TGTTCATCAGCGTTATCACACCTGGAAATATAATGTGGGTCTCAAAGGTCAGAAGTGTGTGTGTGCAAATGTGAAAGCCAGGGTGGCCAGAGAGGGAAACGGAGAACAAATGAATGAATGCATGCAGAATTTAAAGAAGCCCAACTCAGAAAATAACTACAAAAAAATGTATTCTTATTTAACAAGGAATGCCCCATTGAGATTAAAAACCTCTTTTTCAAGGGAGTCCTGGCGATTTAACTTCAAACTCTAACTTGCTTTAAAACTGAGACCTTTTGCACATCACACAAAGTTAAGCTAGTGGAACTTGCTGTATTGCTCATACAACACATTGAGGTTTTACCAGGCTACACCCAAGTGCCAGAAACACACACACAAAGCTTCATCTTAACATACTGTATTTATGTCCTTCAAAAATAATTACATCCATAGAAGTGCACGTCTGTTGCACAAAATCACAGGTTCATACAGGACTCAAAGTCTCTGTCGCCTTTATTATTATTTACTTTTCATCTTTGACCCCTCTTGCATGGAGCCTTTTGTCCTTAAGTTTGATTCCCTTGCAACCACATACAACCCCAATTTCCAGTTAGCTGGTCCTTAAATGTCTAGTTTTTCTATTGATGCTACACGAAGATGATTAAATTAGTTTGTGTATACTGTGTAGAAGTGGCTACCAGCATTAATTTGTTTCTGCACAGCGATGCTATTAAACTATCTTTCAGCAGCAACCAATCAGTGAAGGGATTGGTTGATGTGAGAGGTTAAATGGGGTCAAGTATCCATGGTATGGCCGTCAGCTGTCCGCACATCACTTATCGTCAACTTTGGGCGAGTAAGAGACAGGGAGCAGGTTCACCATCTATAATTCACATAAACTCAGTTGTTTACTTTTTTAAAAAATCTGGGAAAATTAAATTTGGCATTTTTGTTGATCAAGGTTTCAGCAACGGAAAAATCACCACAGTACCACTCAGCCAATTATATTTTCAAACAGCCACTCAACAGCCAGCCTCCCTGCACAGAGCTTCATTTAATTATCAGTTTTAAATCTGGGATAGTAGACAGTTATTAACTTTGATCAGCAGGGCTTCACATTAATCAATTTATGAGGAGAGAAGATTTTAAATTTAGCTTCCTTCTGCCTTCTTTTAGCTGGAAGCAGTGCTTGTCAAACCTTATTTCAATTATTAACTCCCCATGATATGGGAACAATCTTGTAATCTCTCTGCACAAGAAGCATAAAGTGGGAGAGAGTTTCAAAGCAGCATTTCAGTCCTTCCCACAGTAGAGACGACACATCAATCTTTAATATGGTCTGTAAAAATAAACTCAAACCTAAAACATTAAAAACAAATCTGAAACTAACAACTGAACTGGAAACATGAATGTCGAATTTGCACTTTGACATAAAAATCATTCATGGAATTCCAAATGTCTTTCCTTCTACTAAGAGCTTCAAAAGTTGAATTATCCGCCTTTGAGAACTCAAACACAGCTGCACTTTGTCAGGGATTTGTCAACAAACTCTTAACCAGGAGTTTTTAATGCAACTTCAGTAGAGTTAAGATTTCACTAATTCCTTTGTGTCTCTGCTGGTTTTCATTGACAACTCTGCATTTAGGTTTTTCATAAGAGAAAGACAGAATCTAATCCTCCTGAAATGGTAATTAATGCCTGTGATTGTGTGCCTGATAAGGAGATGCTGGTTGTTCTTCTCTGTGATGCATTACTGAAGAGTATTCAGACTTGATGAAATCTTTACAGACTCTTAAGAGGCTGACTCCTGTATCAGGGATTAGCTTCATTAGAGCTCCAATCTGAAGCAGCTCCTCCTCACTGATTCATTCATTGACTGAAAGTGATTTGTCTCTCTTTATCTAAACTTTCACAACTCTTTGCTCTGTCAGTCTGAGGAGGATCTTGTGTTTCCTTCTCTGCCTACACCAACTACCACCCACAGGCAGCTGATTGTCCCTCCTGAGCTGCAGGAAGCCATCAGAGAACCCCTGGAGATGTGGGACAGCCACTCATCCCCAAGTGCTTTCCTCCACAGGTGGCACAGTATCGTGTGGGAGGCCCTCAGGTCCTCAGGCTGCTTGTTATGAACATTTGACTGGAGGGTGACGGGTACAGAGGGTGGCGTGCTCTGCCTGATCCCAAATCCCAAACTGAATATGTCAAACACACACACAGACAATACATACGTGAGGAATGAAATTACAGTGCTTGTGTATTGTAAAATGAAACTTTTCATGTTTTTAAAATATTTTCATGTAAATATGCAAATTAAACTGATTAATTTAAAACTTGAGCTGCAGCGAATAAGATTTGAATTTAGGGGCTTTTAAAACCCACAGAGGGGCAATTAAAATGGAAAAGAAGAGTCTCCCAAACAGAAGTGACTGAGCAGAAAAAAAAAACTCTCCATCCTCAGACAGATCTCTGCTGTGGGACTGCGCATCACAGACCAGCTGTCTCAGCTGGCATAAGAGTGTGGTGTAAGTTTCAACCGCCAATATGTGTTTTTAGTGTCAAGTCTTCCACATCTGCACAATTACAGACCATCAAAGACTCAGATAAACCTTTCATTACACTCCAATAACAACTAAAAGCTGCAATCATTGCATTTTTCTTTAATCAAAACTACAAAACCCAATTCAATTGAAGTTGGGAAATTGTGATAAACGTAAATAAAAACAGAATACAATGATTTGCTAATCATTCTAAACCTATATTCAATTGAATACACTATAAAGACAAGATATTTAATGTTCAAACTCATAAACTTTTTTTTTTTTGCAAATATTAATTAACTTAGAATTTCATGGCTGCAACACGTGCCAAACTAGTTGGGACAGGGGCATGTTTACCACTGTGTTACATCACCTTTTCTTTTAACTACACTCAATAAACGTTTGTGAACTGAGGAGACTAATTGTTGAAGCTTTGAAGGTGGAATTTTTTCCCATTCTTGTTTGATGTACAGCTTAAGTTGTTCAACAGTCCAGGGTCTCCGTTGTCATATTTTAAACTTTATAATGTGCCACACATTTTCAATGGGAGACAGGTCTGGACTGCAGGCAGACCAGTCGAGTACCCACACTCTTTTACTACGAAGCCACGCTGTTGTAACACGTGCAGGATGTGACTTGGTGCTGTCTTGCTGAAATAAGCAGGGGCGTCCATGAAAAAGACGTTGGCAGCATATGTTGCTCCAAAACCTCTATGTACCTTTCAGCATTAATGTTGCCTTCACAGATGTGTAAGTTACGCATGCCTTGGGCACTAATGCACCCCCATACCATCACAGACGCTCGCTTTTGAACTTTGCGTTGATAACAGTCCAGATGGTTCTTTTCCTCTTTGGCCCGGAGGACACAACGTCCACTATTTCCAAAAACAATTTGAAATGTGGACTCGTCAGACCACAGAACACTTTTCCACTTTGCATCAGTCCATCTTAGATGAGCTCGGGTCCAGAGAAGCTGGTGGCGTTTCTGGATGTTGTTGATAAATGGCTTTCACTTTGCATAGTAGAGTTTTAACTTGCACTTACAGATGTAGCGACGAACTTTATTTACTGACAGTGGTTTTCTGAAGTGTTCCTGAGCCCATGTGGTAATATCATTTACACATTCATGTCAGTTTTTGATACAGTGCCACCTGAGGGATCGAAGGTCATGGTCATTCAATGTTGGTTTCAGGCTGTGCCGCTTACGTGCAGTGATTTCTCCAGATTCTCTGAGCCTTTTGATGATATTATGGACCGTAGATGTTGAAATCCCTAAATTCCTTGCAATTGTACTTTGAGAAATGTTGTTCTTAAACTGTTTGACTATTTGCTCACGCAGTTGTTCACAAAGTGGTGAACCTCGCCCCATCCTTGCTTGTGAATGACTGAGAATTTGGGGGGAAGCTGCTTTTATACCCAACCATGGCACCCACCTGTTTCCAATTAGCCTGCTCACCTGTGGGATGTTCCAAATAGGTGTTTGATGAGCATTCCTCAAATTTTTAGTATTTTTTGCCACCTTTCCCAACTTCTTTGTCACGTGTTGCTGCCATCAAATTCTAAAGTTAATGATTATTTGCAAAAAAAAAAAAAGTTTATGAGTTTGAACATTAAATATTCTCTTTGTAGTGTATTCAATTGAATATGGGTTGAAAAGGATTGGCTAATTATTGTATTCTGTTTTTATTTACTTTTATCACAATTTCCAAACTCTTTTGGAATTTGGTTTTGTAAATCCTTATTGAGTTGCCATCACTTGAAAAAAGTTTTCAGGCTGAAGCATTATTAAAAATGATATCAACATGTGTTATTTACAGCTTCATGTTTATCAGCCTCGGGAAACTGTCAAGCTGAGTCTTACTGAAAATCACATTTCACTTTTAAAAAGGAGGTGCAACAAAGTTGTGCACTCAGCTTCCAGGAGAGAGGCAGACAGGCGAGACAAGTCAAGTTTATATAAGTATGTAGAGCAGTTCAGCAACAAAGTAATTCAATGTGATTCACACAGGAGGGTTTTCAGAAATGTTGAAGCTCATGAAATTCAGTTTTATTTTGATAAATTGTTTTATTATGTTAGTAACAGTAACAGAGCTTAGTTAGCTAATGTTAATCTTGATTTTTAACTTTATCATGTCTCTTGTTTCTATTGTGGCATCTCAGCACACAGACATAATTCAACTTTAGTATTTTAACACTGAGAGCGAGCAGGACATTGATTGATCCATGTTGACTAAAATGAGTGTTCCCATTTGAGCATCAAACCCTTTAAGTTCATGACTCCACACCATACATTCACCATACCTTCACCAACAATAAGACAGACTGAAGTTTTCCTTCACCTTTGAAGTGAGGCCTGTTTCTTGAGTCTCTTCTGCCAATCAGCTGTCCATCTCTGACATCAGAGGAACGTCATTCACAGGAGGGGGAGGGTGCTGTCCAGGGTGCTGAATCCTGAGCCAGGTCTGTCAGTGAAAAGCAGCCACAGACTCAACAGATGATGATGCGTTTACAGACCTGAGGACATCTGGATCAGTGATGAAGAAAATATATAAGGAATGCCAAAAAATTAAATTAAAATAGGAATTATATAAGGAGGGCAGCTCTTAAAAAACCTTTCTAAAGTCTGACAAAACTTTCCCACAAACATGGATCTGTTACCGGCTCAGGAGGCTGCAAAAATCTACCACACCAACTACGTGAGAAACTCGCGCGCCATCGGCGTAATGTGGGCCGTGTTTACCATCTGCTTTGTCATCATCACCGTGGTGGTCTTCATCCAGCCCTTCTGGATCGGGGACAGTGTCAACACCCCTCAGGCGGGCTACTTCGGCCTCTTCCACTACTGCATCGGTAACGCGCTCACCTCCGAGCTCACCTGTAAAGGCAGCGTGTTTGATTTCAACTCCATCCCATCCCCGGCCTTCAGGACTGCCATGTTCTTCGTGGGGACCTCCATGCTGCTCATCGTGGGCACCATGGTCTGCTTCAGCCTGTTCTTCTTCTGCAATGCGGGGAACGTGTACAAGATCTGCGCGTGGATGCAGCTGGCCGCAGGTGAGCAACACGAGGGTCATAGTTTTACAGTTTAGAAGTTGCTCACTGTGGCACTTCAACTTCTTTAAACTTATGCGCCATTACTGTCAGTGAAAAGTTAGTCTCTTTAGATTAGTTCGATGTAAAACTTTGACTCACTGAGTCTAAACTCTTGGCTTTGAGTCTGGAAATGTTCCTGTGAACTTCTACATGAAGGGTCATCTTGGATACCTCAGTGTCAGGCTCCTCACTGTCGCTGGAGCTGCTGGTTAAGGGTCAAAGATGTGATGGCTATTCATGTCAAAGCTATGGCTGAAATCTTGAATTGAATTGAATTGAATTGAAATGGGTATTTTGAAAATGTAAAAAAGGAAAGAGAGGGAGGGAGAGAAAAAATACTGGAAAAGTAAGGCCAAAAGATAAGAGGAAGAAACACAGAAACACTTTAAGATTGGGTTTTCATACACTAACAGGAGTGGGAAGAAAAAAATATATATTACAAATAAGGGTAACACTTTATTTGACACCTATCTCTATAACGCATTAGAAATATATGTATACTGTGTTATAATCACGTTATAGCACTGTATAACTATAGTTACAAACATTCATTAATGATCATAATGCAATAATCAGAATACATTAAAAAGTATTTTATCATGACTTACAAGGTCAGATATTATAATGTGTTATAACTGTTAACAACTCACTGACAATGCCCACATAGATAATGCAATGCATATGCTGTTAACAGTTATAACACATTATAATACCTGACCTTCTAAGTCATGATAAAATGCTTTATAATGTGTTATGATTATTGCTATAAAGCATTATGATTGTTTATGAGTGTTTATAACTAAGTTTTACAGTTCTATAATGTGATTATAATGCTTTATAAATATATTTATACTTTACGTTATAGAGATAGGCATCAAATAAAGTGTTACCCAAATAATTATACATTAATTCATTTCTTAATCTTATGTCCATAATCTTCTGACTGTCAACAATCTCTATCCTTGAATCAGATATGAATTAATTGCAAAATATCTAGTCTTCACTTCACCATCTGAGCGTACAAAGCTTTGAAATAAAGCTTTTTGAGTCAGAGAACTGAGTGGGACTCGCCTCTCTGCTGTGAGTGTGAAATGATAAACTCCTCCTGTCATTAGCCACCTTCTTTCCTCTCTGGTTTCAGGCGTGATGTGTTTGAACTGGATGTGTTGTTCATCACTGTGGGAGCCAATAAAGGATACAGTTTCAGCTGACACTCTGACACCTCTGATGGTGGATTATTTACACGTAACACAATCAGGTGTTGCTGTGTTGTTAACTGATCTGGTCTTGCACCTGACATATAACAGGGCCGAAGGAAACTGGCCACATAATAAAGGCTTGCATAACTAATGGTGGAAGAAATATTCCTCTAACATAGAGTACCTGTCTGAACAATATACTAATATCATATAATATACTGGCCAGGCTTAACACTATTCATAAAAAAGATTTTTTAAATCCTAGGAAACTGTTCAGCATTTCCTTATAATGACTAATTTAAGTGTCCTTCCACCTCCACAGCTGCGTTGATGGTGATGGGCTGTATGATCTACCCAGACGGCTGGGACGCTCCAGAGGTGAAGAGAATGTGTGGTCAGAGGACAGATAAGTACAGCCTGGGAAACTGCACGGTACGCTGGGCCTACATTCTGGCCATCATCAGCATCCTGGACGCGCTTCTCTTGGCACTTTTGTCCTTCACCCTTGGCAACCGGCAGGACAAACTGCTGCCAGACGACTTTGAGGTGGAGGGAGCCGGTAAGAGTTAATGCAAACATGTAGAGGCCAAAGTAAGCAAGTGATTGTTTCTGCTGTGATGTTTAGAGTAGAGTCAGACTGCAACTAATTAAAAGAAGGTGGAAATAAACAAATAAGCCTGACTGAAAGGCTGACACACAAGCTGCCCTACATCAAAAGTCTCAGCCTCCTTAAGGCAGTGCTTTGGCTTTTGAACAACCAAGCCTCAGTGTGATGAGAAGACCACAAAAGATCTGAACAGTGACTTCATCAGATAGTTTTTTTGACAATGACAAACGTCTCAAGTTCAACATTTCAGCAAAAAGCAGTCAGGAAGGTTTCAGGGAGGTCAGCTTTTCATCACTTTTCTAGAACTTTATGCCTTATCACAGTGAAGACAGACGGATTTCATCTAGCAAAAAATGTCTTTAAAAGGATTTTGCAATATGCTGAAATATTCTCCTCAGGTTGTGTTTGGAGAGCCTGAGTAGTTCAGTTAGTATGGAAATAATGGTTTGTTATTTCTTTTCCCTCTTTGCCATTTACTCGTTGCAGCTTCGATAAAATTCAAGTGTAGAGTCACTAATGATTTTTTACACTGAGTGTATAAATGCGTTTGAGAATGAAGCATTCAACAAAATTACCATATAATGTTTTATGAAAATTCACAATTTCACAGCAGATGCCCCCAATGGAAAAAATACACTGCTTTTTCAAATGAAGCAATGAGGATAAAACATCTGCTGGTTAATACTCATTAAAGTTAGTGTTTCTCTTTCACAGAAAACTCCTGATGAACACAGACCTGAGGACTACGGCATGATGTTTAAAACCAACATGCAACATGAGGAAATCTTCATGGACCGACTGACGGCCTTCATTTTCTACTTTGTCTGTTTTTAGTTTTGATTTTCATAAAGTGAACTAAGACGATCTTTAGCACTTCCCAAAACCAGGTGGATGTGAAAGGTTCTCATTCTTGGTTTAAAAATCAAATAAACTGAGAGGAAAAAATTCAACAAAGTCCATTTTTTGTTGTATGATCATCTGTTTTATTGTATGGTGTGTAGTACAGTTTGATTTTCAACCACAGCTTACACAGAATCTCTGATCTTGAATCTGAAACAAACCTTAATTTTGTTGTTTATTTTTTTCTTGAATTCTGTCAGAAGGAGATTGTTTACTTTGATATGATCAATTTTGGACACCATAACAGAACACCAGAGCTCACCATTTCTAAAAATAGTGACATTATTGAACAGTTGGCCATACATACAACTGAGCTCGAACACATCTTCCATACGCTTTATTAAAACACAGCTACCCAGCTAAATAATTTTAGCTAAGATATAAGATTTGTTAAAAACTGTACATAACTGTAATATACATAAAGGCAAACTCTTTGGTACAGATATATACAGTTTATTTTCACTTTTTTCCTTTCAATCGGGCTTCCTAACATTTCCTGTTGAAACCTTTGAAATCACTGTGTTTCTGGACTGTGATTGGTGTATGAGAATACCAGCCTCCCATGAGAACGAAAGACCTACTACTCTTACTGACTAAGCTACACTAACATCAGGTTTGTTTTTGTCTAAATAATATGACCTACTTCATCAGACGGTGGATGATTCAGGTAGACTAGTGTGTCTATCTAAAGAAATGCTATCACCACAGTCAGTGTAAATGTCAGCCCAGTGTGCAACTTCCTACGCCTACTTTACAAATACAAAATATATATATACCTTACATGTGTAATAGAAGATAAAATAATCCATTTAAAAAAAAAACAACACAGCACTAATGAAAATGTACGAGGAAAAAAGGTGAGAGCGGGTCCTTTTTAAAAGGGACAAAAATGACCAATAAAGGCTACATTTCCTTGATTTGTTCGTTTTTTAGTGCAGGAGTGTAACAAACAAGGATGAGTCACTAGCAGTACGATAACAGATTTGTCTAGTTGGGTGGGTGAACGGAGCACAGCAGTTGGAGCCAACATGAGCACAAAGTAATATAATCCACTGGATTTCCGACGTCGTCACACCAAGAGAAGAACCAACGAATACAAACATACGCAGAAGCATTAGTTCAATAACAAAGGACGTAAGAAATCCGAAAACAACAAACAAAAGAGAAATAAATATTCGTTTGATATGCCCAAACTGGAAAGTGATCTGTTGCAGTCTCTGGAGAAAGAGGGAGGAAAGGGAGGTGCAAAGGCTGGAGGTCTCCACTAGAGGGCGAGCCAAGGGTGGCGTAAGCACTCAGCAGCCGTGGCTCTCTTCTCTGGGATCAGCTCCAGCATTGGAATCAGGAAGTCAGTGAAGCACTCGGCTTCTTCACGGGGCCACTCGTACTTGTCTATCAGCACCTCCAGCAGGCCCCATGGCTTCAACTTGGTGATGTGTTTCAAATCACCTGCAGATGCCACAATCAGACAAAACCAAATCAGAGCTGAGGAGCATCTAATACAAAAATATACTATGAAACATTCACACATTTATTATTGAAGTTTTATGTGGGTTTTTCTACTAAATAGCACTCTTGACTATAAAGTTACAGACATCGTTTTCACTCTGAAGAAAAAAAGTTAATAACTCTAAAAGGTTCATGATCTTAGTGAAATGCTTATCTGGACACTGATTCTCCTTTTTACCTTTCTTGGTGAAAAAATCCTTGGAATATTTGCCGTTCAATATGAGTTTGCGTGGGACACTCCCCAGCAGCTCAATGATCAGCGCTATATGGTCTACAGGGCAGGCAGTTTGCAAAAGAGGAAAGGGGAAGACAGACGAGACAGACAGATTTGTCAGACAGGGTCTCTGTTACAGGCCCACTCTTGGTGTGTGGGTGGAGGGCTGAGAAGAGAGTGGTCAAGATGACAGTGCACACACGTCTGGGTGCACAGATCTACAATTAGAGATCAGATCATGAAACGCTGCTATCAGACACTGAAAGACTTGTTGAGAAGTTCTGAACCTTTCTCTATCCCAAAGCCAAGACTCCCAAGTTTTGGTTTTCTCTCTGTTGTCAGTTTCATATCAGAGTCTTACTATAATAATAAAAAACAAGAGGTCACTTTCATTCTTTGGTGTAATATAAAACAAGTCAGCCTTTTTTAAAAAGTAATGATTTCATTTTTATTTGAATCAAAATAACTTCTATGTTTATATGTCTGCTAAAGCCCTATAAACAAAAGCTTAAAGATCTTAACATTACAATTAAGAAATAACACTTGAGCACTAAAAGATGTCATGCCATGTTATGATGACAGTCTTTGTGAATTACCAGGTGGTATTCCAACAACTATGACTAAAACTCCTGAGCAAGCGTCTGCAATCTCCAACTATCTCTTTGAAAGTATAAAAAGTTTAACTATTGCAGACAACAACAAAACAGGACAATACAATACAATACGATACAATACATTGCGATTTGTATAATTTTTTCAACTGTCTCGCTAATTTAGCATTTGTCTTTCCTTTATCTTCGTCTTATTTACACAGTATTGTATTTTCATGTTTCACATCTTGCAAGCCTTACACATATTTGTTGTACTAACTTTCTTCTGCTCTATGTCACCTCTGTCGACCTCACTGGACAACCAGTTGATTTTATTTTTCTATTATCATAGACTTGACTTCATATTGGCAACTAATTTGAAAAAAAGTGATACTTTGTAAATGACAAAATATCGCAATACTATGCTGTTTCGATTATTTCTCCCACCCCTAATTTTAATATATTTGACTTTGTACATTTCTATGTGAGATCATTACAAGATCAAGTGTCAAGCCAAGTTTTCAGAAAACATCTAAGGAGTTAGATGTACCACAGCCAGAGTAGGAGGTTTGGCAGAATTTCTGACACTAGAATCAATGTCTGACATGCACTGTTAAAAGTAGCCGATGTCTACTGACCCTGATTGATTTTGTTTTTTTTCCATTACCATGTACACACCAACAGTTTTGGTAGTTTGCTCTAAGGACCTCTCTCTTCTTTTTCCACCTTCCACCCACGACGCCCAGAGCAGGCCACAGACAGAGGGGTGGCATACCTCTCTTGTCGAAGTATTCCTGCGAGTATTTCCCACTCAGAGCATAGTGACGAGGAATTTTACCGAGCAACTCAATCATGAGAGCAAGATGGTCTGGAAATGAGGCACATCAGAGGGGGAGAGGGAGGATAGAGGGATAGAGAGAGAGAGAGAGAGAGAGAGAGAGAGAGAGTGAGAGAGGTACAGGACAGAGAGAGAGTCGGAGAGGAGATGGCAGATGGGAGAGAGACACAAGAAAGATGACAGTCACCTGGAACAATGTATTAGAGCAATGAAAGCAGCCAGAATGACACGAAGCACATGTATGAGATGTCTGCATTATTATTCTAACACTGAAAATTATGACAGACATTCAAACAGGCGCTCCAACATGTAAGCCTTTCACTTTGTAACATAAAAAAACACAAATGCACATCCAGATTTAAAATAAAATCAAAGCAGAGCCTGATGCACTAAAACTTAAACAACAAACGCAATCACAGTCTGAGGAAAGGTTTTAAAGAAGCTTTGTGAGTTCATGTCGAGTAGGTGAAGCAGCAGATGCAGTGCTGCAGGGTATGTGACCATACACTGAGAGTTTGATCTCAGTACATACCTGACATGCTGCATCAGAATCAAGTCAGTACAGAGACCTCAAGCTTAGCAGCAAAGCCAACATAAACATAAAAGTAGGACAAGGAAGTATAGAGAGTGAGTGAAGAGGAGATAAGGTAAAGATGAGCGAGGAAACAAAAGATGGCCCCCTCTCCAGTGTGCTCAAACGTGTGGTTTTAAGGTGTTAGAGGGGAAATAAACGCAGGAATGTTGGTACCCATCATCACAAGATTCATACCACATTTCATCTACATTTAAGACCATTTTAAATCACTGTAATGGAGTACCTACTCATGTGAGTCTTAACACTGTGAAGCATTCATGAAAAAGAACTGCAGCTTACTTTTTCAAACTGCACTTTCATTTAAAGTGCAGGTCATAACTTGCCATGCTTGCTGTGAAACACTTTTAGGTGTTTACATTTTTAAATTATTCACATTGGCAATAAAAGACCAAAACAGCTATAAATCAAATCCACCGTGGAGTTTTTCACAGCACAGCAGTGATAACTTTTAAAAGCCACCACCATCGCTTAATGCTTTTTACAACTTAGGCATACATTTAAAACAATGCTTCCAGCTTGAGCACTTTTTTGATTGATGCTGCCGTTATATCAGGGTAGAACACAGAAAAAAAACAGGATGAGGAAGTCCCAGCAATACCTTCATCCCTGGAATAATCTTCTCCAGAATGTGGTTCAAACAAGTAGTCCCCTGTGGCGAGCTCAAAGGCCTGAGGAGACGATACAATTATCATCAACACAGGAAAGGACACTGAATTTCGAACACAGGCTACTCTTTCATGACTCTGCTAAAGACTTTAACCCTTTACACTCAGCAAAAGCAGTAAGTCGAGCGGGGACTAAACAAGTAATGTAGTTCATTATTATTATTATTATTATTATTATTATTATTATTATTATTATTATTATTATTATTATTATTATTATTATTATTATTATTATTATAACATATCCAAGTTTAATCAGAGCAGCTTTAAAGGTTAGAAAATTCAAAATAACAGTACAGTATGTTTCTACCAGAAAAACTGGCAACCCACAAATGCTTCTGTCATGACTTTACTGTCCTTTACAGACTTCTGATTGTGTTTAGCCAGGATGTGACTGAGGCCATCAAATGCATCCTCATTGTTAGACATAGTGAAAATTGAGTACTGGCCCTACACACCCAGAATGATTATTCACACGAGACGATTTGATCTGTTTATTAAAAGCTCTATACCACTCCTCTGCAGTCTGGACCAATTTAATCCACATTAAATTCACATGGAATATTTTCAGTCCCTTTGGCCTTTAGAAACATCTATAATCCGAGTGTAATAGATAGGAGTGTCCCGATACAACTTTCTTTTTACTTCCAATCCAATACTGATATTCTAGTCTTTCAGTATTGTTCGATATCAATATTGATCCGATACTGTCACAAACTTGTGCATGACAAGTTTTGCACTCAGCTCCAATGTCCTTTTTGGAATCAGATGAAAAATACTGCAACAAGGCCGACATCACTCCCACTGCTTGCTACTTTTGTTGTACCTTAGTACACACTGTTGTTGTGTTAATGTGGGCTCTGCATGCTGGATCTGGGCGCTGCTAGATAGAGGTGCTGGAGCAGAGTCTGGACTGGACTGCTTGTATCGGAGAGCTTATATCGGAGATTTTAGATGCAGGCCAATATAATCCGATATTCCTTTTATTTTCTGGTTTCGGTCCGATATCTGTTATCAATATCGGATCAGACCATCCCTAATAATACACCATGAAATCACAGCTGTGCCTGCAGGAAAACTAAGACAACTACGACTGTAAAACTAAGACATGTCTTCCTCAGAATTATGTGATATAATTTAAAAAACAGGGATACTAAAGATGTAAACAGTAGAAAAAGGAACGTGTTATCTGATACATACCAGTTTCCTCAGCTTCGGCTTATTTTGACTGCTTCATATGCCCTAATTTATACGTAACAAAGGTCCCACAGTGGCATGAAATAATTTCTTGAAGTCTTCAAACACCTCGCCCACCTTTAAAAGGCTGAGGTATTGTATATTGCTAAGAATTCTTTGTGTCACAGTACAATCTCTGTCTGTCAGTGTAATCGCTTACCATGCAGGCTGTGCTCCATATGTCAGCTGGTGTGCTGTATCCAGCGCCAATGAGCACCTCTATGGAGCGGTACTGCCGTGTCTGGATATCCTCTGTAAAGTGCTTGTGCTTCAAAGAGGGACACAGAGAAGACAGATCGTTTTCTTAGAAAAAAGGTTTAAGAAGATCTGAATCAAAACAGACATTTTTAATGTCATTAAAATTATTTTAGTAGTCAGAGATAACACTGGACATGACTGCGGGGCTTCAGTACTAATCAGGAGATCTCTCAGGTCATTTAAGAGCCACTTACCACCCAGCAGGCATTCCCCAAGTCAGCAATCTTGACCTTGATCTTTTCTGCGTTGAGTGGCTCAAGGGGATTCACGAGCAGGGATCCTGCTGTTTGTTTGTCTATATCAGAGCACAGGTGGAGACAGAGAGAGTGAAAGATGAACTGAATACCCCATAAAGGACAGCGTACCAATGTTTTTTTCTACCTTGACATGTTTCAAATACAATCTTCCTGAAAAGAATCACGTGACGATGTTGCTTAAAAGCTGTTTTAAATCTTCTCAGAAAGATTACAGGAAGTTTGTCGCCAAAACGTGTCAGTGTAAAACAGAAAAGTACACGTGTCCAGATACAAAATGAAAATAGAAAAAGATGTTTTTCAGACTGTTTGACTGACCGTTCCTCAGGCCTTCTTCTTCTGTCGTACACTGACAGTCCTCTCCCCCCTCCTGTAGGATGCTTCGCTCCAGCTCTTCCTCCTCCAGCCCGGCAGTAAGGCATGCCTCTGTGATTCCACTGCTATGAGCCCCCCTGCCTTCAGTGTCAGCTTCCAGCTCCTTCAGATCTGGGCTGTCCACACCGTTACAGATGGCATGGACCAGGGACTCCTTGTGTTGTTCCTCCTGACTTGTATGGTCCTCTGTTGGCTCAGTGTTGCCATTGTGTTGGTCTTCATCCCTCCACTGGGACTGCCTTGGATCCACCTCCACATGGCCGTTACAGTTCACCTCTGAAACAGCGTCTAGACCTGTCCTCATCAGATCTGCATTCAAATCAAATCAAACTTTATTTATATAGCATTTTTCGGGCAAAAAGAAATGCAGCGTAAAGTGCTTTACAATTTAAAACAATGACACTGCTCTCTGTAGTTTTAGGAAAAGACTAATGAAAACCTTCTGCATAACTTGCAGCAGAACAACAAGAACTGAAAACTGTTGAACCATTAGCCTCTTACCCTCAGTTTCCTCATTTCCCAGCTCCCGGAGAGACACCCGTCTAAGAGGAGCACAAGCTCGTCCCTTTGGTGACTGTGGGTCCTCATCTTCATCATCCTCCTCCTCTCGTACTTCTGTGGTCTTTTCCATCTCCTCCAAATCCAAGATGCACTTCTCCAGCAGCTCCGCCTGACGCTTTTGCTTCTTTTTCATCTTTTTCTTCTTGTTTTTGGACATTTTTACTGTCTGTCAAATGCAAAAGTCAGAGATAAAATTATTCATCGGGATGGCTTCACTTTTGCGGGACTTCTTTCAGTGTGAATGGTAAAAAGAGGATTGCTGATGTCCTATTCATAAAGTTGAATGATGAAAGAGTTGTACCTGTTTGGGAGCAGGTGCTGTGCTTACTGAAAAGAGAACATCAGATGAGAACAAACTGTTATCAAACTGTGCTCATGAATGTTAATATAAAAGTGTATGTGTATATCTATGTGTGTGTGTGTGAGTCTCATACTTGCTGAGCCAGAGGGGGGAGGAGCCCCGGCCCTCTGCCACTCTGTGGCTTCAGCTGCCAGTTTGCGGACGTAAGGCTCATCAACACTCATCAGAATATTCTCTGGCTTGATGTCAGTGTGGATGATCTGACACTTTGTATGCAGGTAGTCCAGGCCTTGTAGTACCTGGGAAATGGACAAATGGATAATGACTCCTGGATGTTGCAATAGTCCCTTTCCTGTGCTCCAAGCATAGGGAATGAGAGGCTGAAACTGAAGCTAAATTTGAAAATAATTTGTGTGGTACAACATGGAGAAACTTGTTTTTCTTTTCTTCTTTATTGATAAGATTGATATATTGAGCACTACGTTGTTTGATACAAATACCAAGTACGGGACTCTACAACAAATCCAGTTTCAGGAGATTGTTAGGTGTTTGTGTCAAGATTTCTACACTTTTCACAAATTAATTGTTCACTAAAATTTTCTTGAACAGATTTTTCAAAGAGGTCTTTTCTTCTTCTTCAGAACAGACCACATAATTAAAATCTGTTCAAATCACAATATTAACCAGTTTCCTATGCACTTTCAGAACTACTGTTTGTGTTATTATCATTTTGTCCTTGAATTGTATTATTATTATTATTATTATTATTATCATTGTGACGTGTGCTGCTGACCTTTTGGCCAGGTCACCCTTGGGAAAGAGCTCTTGAGCTAAATGGGTTTCTTACCTGGTTAAATTAAAAAAGTTTAAGGTAGAGTATCTTCAAAAGCTTCATGCCTGACACAAACTGTGCGATATTTTTTTCAGCTCTTTGTCTTTGTAGAATAAATGATTAACTCTTACTTTTCCTTATTCACATATTTGTGTTTTTCATGTAGAAACCAAACTCTTCCCCATCAGCTTAAAGAGTATTTTACTGTGGTAACTGAAAGCACAGACTGAGAGGCTGTTTTTGCTGTGTGACAGGCAGTCTGACTTGTGCATATTTAGTTATTAAGTCTGGTGTTGTCACATATTTCACAACACAATCCTATCAAGATCATCCTGTCAGCCAGCCCTAGGGTCGAGCAAACTAAGAGCAAAAAAGTTTTTTGCTATTTTAAGTGAAGATTTCCAGGGCAAGTCTTCAAAATAATCATTAAATAAATTATTTGCTCCATCACACTTACAAGACTGAAAACCACAAACACTATTTTGCTTGCTAAGTGATGTACTGTATGTGCAATCATCAGACTGCCCTGTCTCCTCCATGAACAGGCCGGAGGCTAAATTCTTGTGTAAACTATTGGAGGCTTCGGCTGAAGGTGTGACACTGATGATTACCTGTCTCACGATGCTCTTCACGCACGGCAGGGGCAGCCCCTGGTAATTGGACTTTATTATCCACTTTAATAAGTGATGCCCCAACACCTCGAACACCATGCAGACATCTGGCTGGCAGTTAAGATATCAACAACAGCATACAAGGAATGCAAAACTAAGAGAAGTAATCATGAGAAGAAAACAAAGAGAACTTGCCTATTCATCTACCTGCCTGCCTGCCTGTCTGCCTCTCACCTACACGAGGAGAGGCATTATTTATACTGAAAAGAAGGCAGGGCAGGTCACAGGAGTAACCACAGGACAGTGTTGTTAAGGAGTCTCGTGTTACAGCCGGAGCTATCCCAGTGGCATTCAGGGGATCTGGCTCAGCCAAAGTGTTGTGATAGGTGGAGGATTTTTAGTACACCCGTCACCTGTTGTTTACTTTGTTATTTGCATTCTGCCTTCCAGCTAAATTTGACACCACTGAGGGGGACGGATTTCTCTGTGACAAAGATTTTTGGACACAGTCAACAGTCTTAAGTCTCCATGAGTAAAAAGGGTCAAGAGGAAAAAAATCACAGCCCTGAAAAAGACCCCGACACTTTAAGAGGGACTTTTTTTCGCTGTAAAAGATACGTGTTCCATTAACCCCAGAGATCTTGAAGTCATCTAGCAGCTGAACCACCATCTCCCGTTTGGGATCATCAGGGTCTGTGTTTCGTACCTAGAGGGAAAAAGTCATAATCAAAGATTTAGACCAACTTATGTTCCACTGGCATTCACAGGACTTAAAAGCATGTCACACTTCTCAAACACATACATCTAATACACTATAAATGATTGTTTAAAGTCTTCCATGCTTTGGAATTGACTAACTCCTTTGCCAATATCCATATCTTCCTAATCACTCTTGAAAAAATACATCTTAACTTTTCTTGAATTTCCCACCCTCTTCATATCCCACATCCTTACTCTGTCCTTTTTTATGAATTCAATTTATGATATTTTTGTATTTATATTTCCATTGTATTTATCTGTTACTGATCACTTTGTTCTCCATCTCCTCATTTACGCTATTTTTTTTTTGTTCTCTATGTTTATTTGTTAGCCATAGAAATGTTGTTTTGTTGTAATTAATGACAGGGGTGGAACTTATGTACAAGCCAGTCAGCTTCATTCCCTCCTTGCACCATCGAAAACGTGTGCGTGCCAAAGAAATAAACCTAAACCTAAACCTAACCACAGAACCTAATGTTTGAAATCAGCTCAGCTACTTACAGATCTAAGGAGTTTGATCTCATCCAATGCTGTCTCTGTGTAATGCTCGGCACTCTTCACCACCTTCATCGCGACAAACCTCTTGACCCTGCAATCACAGAGGAAGTAGCATAAACCAAAAGGAAGAACCAAACAAGAACCCTCCACAGCAGTCAGATGCAGCGTGAACCATATCCGACTCCACGTCTATAAAACTGAGAGGTGCAAGAAGAAGAACATGCAGTAAAAAGTCTTGTCATACTGGATGTCCCAGGCGAGCCACACGGTGGAGAAGTGTCCCCAGCCAAGTTTCCGGATCACGTGGTATTTTCCATTGTAAAGGTCTCCCACTTTTACATGATGGTAGCCACCTACATGAGGGGGAAATGGATGTAGACAGGCAAACAACTTACAGAGTTAGAGAACACTTTATTTTTGTAACTGACACAAAAACACCTCCACTTGGTTACCTCAGTGAAATGAAGCAATATAAACTAAAAATGTTCAATCTTATCATTCACACAAACTATGTCACAGTGTGCTTGTGAACAGGACACACCTTTGCAGTAGTCATTGGGGTCCTCTTGTTCCTCATCATCTGAGCCAAGGATCTCCTCAGGTTCCTCGGGTTCTTGGGGTGATACTTCCTGCTGGGTTGGCTGTCGAGCCCTGGCACTGACTGGCTGCTGCCTAATAGGTGAGCAGACACATAACAAAACCATCTCTGACTTAACTGGGGGGGTAGGGGGACTGTCAAGATCCTGACCTGAGAACAGAAGGGCCTCATGTCTCTATTAAAGAGCCTTTCTGATGACTGAAACACATTTCTATTTATTCTGCAGAGTGGATGAACAACTTTTGTCCTCCAAGCTCTATCAATTAAACCACACCTAATTCCTGCTAACTGCATGACAGGTAACAAGTATCAATACAAAGGAACAGGAGACGGTATTAAGATGGCATTATTCTCACAGACAGCAGTACTGGGGAGACGTCAGACTTTTAAACTGTGACAATATGAATGATGTCACCTGGAAACTATGTTGTTAGCTTTGGTGTAACTTCAAACACGTGCCTGTACACTGTTATTGACAGAAAGAGATATGAAGCATTTGTACGTATCCAACCTACTGAATTTCAGAGCAACACAATACTTAACAGGACTTTGAATGTGACTTTGATCTACCTACACTGATCCATGTTTAGATTCAATGTCAAAATTTTTTTAAAAACAAATCATCTATTGTTGGAAGATGATATCTCCTATCAAAGCAACAGTCAAAATGTCAGGGTCTTCAGTTCTTTAGATGACAAGCTGTAGGGCCAGGACTATATTTTTCTATGCTTTCCATTGTTTGCTGTCTAACTGGAGATCAGAGGATTGAGTTTAACATTATACTTGACAATATAACTATCTGTTAGCCAACTAATTTGTAGTTCTGTTTGTGGAGATTGAGAGAAAATCTAAACTGTTGTCAGATGACAGCCATTGTGTTCAGCCACTGCATAATGCCTTCTGTTGGTGGTTCTGTGTCCCTCTCTTTATTTTCAGTGTTCATCGTAAGTCCACAAAAACACAGAAGGACAATGCCTCTCAGACTACAAACCAAAACCAGAACACTTCAGGCACCAAAACTTGTGATCCCTGCCAACAAATTCTGTAACAAGCTCTAAACGAAAAAAACAAAAAAACAAAAAAACATAAACGTACATATTCTCAGATATTAAAAATAAGGAATGCGACCAGATTTGCTTTAAGTAATGATCATGGTGTTGCTGGAAATAATTGCAATTTGGCATCTCAGCATATTCCCGCACATAAAATCACTTATAGCTTTACACTGCCAGAGACAGGAGCTGAAAGAAAAGGATGTGTAGATCATTCCTATTTTGTTTGTTTGTTAACCATGTGAAATAAAAAAAGGCCCATGCCTATCAAGAGCTGCTGATGATTACAATCTGCATTTGAAGTGAAAGAAATTTTCAGCCTTCACCATGCTGGTGTGAAACTGTCACAACCTTCCTGCCACAGTCGTTCCACACCTGCTTTTTTTTTTTTTTTTGGCCTCACTATGAAATATAGAACATATTCAAAGATGTCTGTGCTGCGGGCTGTTTTTTTCTAAAGCACAGCTATTCAGCTGTCAGCAGGTTTAAACAAGAACATGGCTTTACTAATTTTAGCACAATCCTACTTTAGGTTGAGTGTACTGGCTGTATCATTAAATGAAGAAAATATTATATGTGCTCCTGACTCAGGCGTTCAGTGTTTGTTGTTTGAAGAGTGCTCTTGAATAAATGACAAGGACCAAGCTCAATGTGTCGATAAGTCCTCTCCAGGAACAAACCTTTAGAGCTACTTTGTGTCGGATTATAAAACCATAAAGGAGCAGACCTACTTTTTAAGAAACACGCATTCAGACATTTTTGAAAGCCATGTGTGGTTGGAAAAACTGATCGGACTTTACAGTTAAGAATATCTCCTAAAACAAAAAACGTGACACTAAGTAAAGTAAGTAAAGATTCTAATCACCATGTCTTTGCATGTATGGGTTACATCCTATAAGGTGTGTTTGCCAACAGTTTGGTTGCTAATATTAACTTCAAAGTCCAACAGGCTGATGTTACTTCCTCCAGCAAGGAGATTAAGGCTTCTCATCACCATGGGAGCTAAGAGAGCCGAGATCGCATTTGAATAAATTCCCAAAACTGGTCTAGTGCATCTCACAAATGGGCGACTGGTTTCCAATTAATAATCTGCAACCTACTTATTCATTCCTGACATGGTTATTTTAGGCAGAAAGGTTTTACTGCGACACCAATTTCAGACTTTTAATGAGATTTTTATTTCTTTTTATCACATTTCTTATTTCATTTAAAATGTGTGCTCTACCTTCGCATCACAGCACTTATGTGTTTCTGATTGTGAGCAATTAGTATTGGCAAATATAATTTATCTTCTGAACTCCCATCATCCATCACTGTTCTCTACTGACAACAAAAGCATGCAGACAGGGATGATCCTTCGTAATAAAACCTGAGCCAGACAAAAGTCAAATACAAATCTTTCCATGACAGCAAAATAGACCATGGTTGCTTTAGTTTTAGGTGTCTGTTCCTGTTTTAAAGCTGATGTGAAAGCAACTGTCTGTCTAATGCATGTTCACCTGATACTCATCCTGACAATTGATTCAGGATAGCATCACTATCAGTGTCCTCAGCATGACTGACAGTACTTCTGCTCTCCCATTCATTTGGTGCTCAGCAAATGGCATTAAAATGTTAAAGCCATATCTTAGCATGAAATGAGTCTCTGCCTGACATACATGACATGTCGATAACGCTGTCAGGAGGTGAGTATCTGAAATAGTGTAGTTTTCTGTGAAACGCCATGCTACGGTGGGCTGATGTGGGCTTCTTCATTCTCTAGTTTTAAATATAGCACAGGCTGTTACGTAACACTCCAGAGGATACCACCGATGGCATGATTAGTAGATTGTTGGGCAAACCTAAACAATCATTACCAGAGATAAACGACTGTGTAGTTTTATTTGAGCCCTCCATGCAGCATTATCTGAATGCAATAAACTATTCTGATCAGAGGGTCATTTGTATCAGGCATTGAATACTGCACAGAAAATTTAAAATCAACATCTTATTAAAATGAGTGTCCAAGTGATCAATACGACTGTCCTTGCTGAACTGAAAAACAACACAGAGTGATATGCCACATTACTTTTCATCAATCTTTCACTTTAAATCTTTGGATCATGCACAAACCAAAAAGAGCTCTAACCAGCCGTAGCATCATGAACACCTGGGTAATCTCATGTTCCCAATGCAAAAGCTCTGCAACAAATCCCACCTTCAGGAAGCTTCTGCATTTTCAGTCTTTGTCGACGTGATCAGACAGATGATTTCCGAACCTAACATTCATTACTGGTGATAAAGAGAGTGGAAACTGTATACTTTGGTGTGTTACATGATCATATTTTCTCCACCTTACCAAACATTAATACTAGTAAGAAACATTTTTAAATGCACAAACCCTTTAACGACTGTTTTAAAGAAACAAATGTCACCTGTCAGGTCATGTCAACAAAAACTGAGAATGCAGAAGCTCTGTAAAAGCCGAGTGCATGGTAGAGCTGGTGTAACCCATTGCCTAGATGTTCATAATGTTAATGCAAGCATGCAGTCAAGGACCTTGTGTCTATTTCTATGTATGTACAGGGAGCACGTGTGTCACAGCAACAAACAACCACCTTTCACTGATACCACTGTCATGGTTTATGGCAACAAAGAGGAAATCAAGACGAGGAAACAGGCGGTGAGGTTCACACTCACTTTTTGCTGGTCTTTTTTGCTTTCCCCCTCTTCTTCCTCGCCTGGAGTGCCAGAACTGTCAGAAAAAAAAACAGCAGTGAACAATTATGTAGCCATTGTCTGCTCTGATTCTCGTCTGATGTGTGGATGTCATTACAGACAAAAAGCCTGACACTGTCTGGGGGACCCACACTGAACCTGTAGTTTAGATATTGAGGTGTGTAGTAGGATATTATGTCATATATGTGATCAAAATGTTAAGTAAGCCCAGTAGTAGATCTGTCGCTATGCCAGAGAGCCAGTTTGATATTGGAAACCATCGAAACGTTAAATAACATCAAATCTACAAACCTACCGAGCTTCAGTTTCCACTGAAGACTGTGACCATACTAAACTGAATTCACACACTCTGGGACAAGGCAGTCACTTAATACAGCAGCTGTCGATGAATATTATCGCTGCGTTAGGTTGTATGCCAAATGGAAAGAGCTGGAGAGCTAAATGTAGCTAGCAGGATAATCCTGACATGTCCCATTGAGGCTAAAGCTAATGTCTAGAGAGCTAACGTAGTTCGCCCCAGCTCAACAGTGCGTGACAGACGCGTTCATTTAAACCGCCGATTAAATGTCTGCAGCGGCGCTCCCTCCAAAACCGGTGACTGAGGAGGGAGGATGACTGCAATTTCAACCTACACCCGGACTAACAATAGTCGTAAAATGTGCAGCCTTGTTAGGATTTACCTTTTCTCTCCATGTTGGCTGGATCCGTAGCCTAGCCGCTAGCTACACAACCAGTGATCGAATGTTCCACGCATGCGCAATGTGCGTTTGGCTCAAGAGGAGCTTCCCTAGTGATGTCTCCACCTGTTTTTTTTTTTATTATTTTATTTTACTACCTTGACAAGAGTGGTGTGAAGGCTTGTCAGAGTCTTTTCTTGCTGTATCTGGATCCTGAATCTTAACCCTAGTTTACTTTGCAGTAAAGGAAGGCACTGCGCTTTGGCTCAATGAATGTTCAAACAGGAACACTATCATTACATTACATGTAAATGTGGAATAAGTAGCCTTGTACAGCCAGACCGTTACTCTAGTACCACTTTAAATATTGATTAAACTGCATTTTAAAACTATCAAACTATTTAAGAATAAATTCATAGATCAATTTAGTAAGGACTGTGTATTTTGGATAGGGAACGTTTTGACTTAAAGTGTGTGGGACACAAATGTTCAAAAGCAAAGCAAAATTAATTTTCAAAACATCTGTAAAATTTTAAACTCAGCCATTCTGTAGTGTAATTTCCTGCTATATGTTAGACACACTGCTTGTGCTGCACCGATGAAACTGGATAGATGTCTCCATTACCTGATAATATCAGGACCCTGGCCAATGATGCAAAGGCAAAGTGTTCTATTTACCTTGTTTTGTGGGCATCTTCGGAGAAACAATATAGTTTTTAAAGACATTTAACTCTCCTGTGGTGAGTGTCTTTATTCATGAAATAAGCTTAAATAGGTATTGATGCCCTTTTAAGCAAGCAAGGCCCAAAGGACAAGATGTGCAGCTAGAATATTGTCATTTTTGAAGCTTGAAATAGGAAAAAAGGGAGTAGTAGTCAGCTGACAAGCTCTAGACCATGCATGGTTTTATAATTTTCTCTATAATTAACCACATTTGACAATGAAAGTCAAGAGGATGAGATTTTTTGTCTAAAGATACAGCTTGAGCATTTGGAGGACAAGATTTGCAAAGACTGCTTTGTCCACAGGGGGACGCCAGGGTTGACACAAACTGAAAGCTCTTCACAGGAGCTTTAACAAAAAGGCCTTCTACAGATGTATTGTAGATCTCTACTTGAATAAAAAGACAAAATGCTGAAGACATTCTCCTGTTTGGACAAGTATGGCTGGCAGTACATTGAAGACTTTTCAAAATAAAAAGATTATTTTATCGTAAAAGCCAGAAATTTCCTTCTGTGATTCAAAGCCTCATTTTTTCTCTTAATTTTAGGTACATGTGATCCAGGGTTTCACAATGTTCTATCAGTGTGGTAACTGTATTTGTTGTGCTTAAAAAATAGACATGCAGATCATCACCCATTTAGTCATAGAAATTAAATCATTCTCAAGTTAAGCCCCCCTGGATCCAAAGACCTGTGATAAGTGATGTGAGAATGAAAGTTAAAAAAGCATAGGTCTCTTAAAAATATGTCTTTATTTTGTTTAACAAAGCACTGAAAAGAGTAGTTACTCTGCTGGACTGAAAATAGTTTAAGGGATCTGTCGATTGTTGTCTATAAATACCACCTCCACAAGTATAAATACATCTGAAATCCCTCTTTTACATATATAGGCAGTATTTCAATTAAAATTAATAGCATGACACATAAAACTCATGTAAACCGACACCACACTCTCACAAATGCACACAAAGTCTCAAACTGGTGGACAGCTCTAAAAGTGATTGCTTCATAACATAGACACGATAATTCAGAGGTTTTAAAAAATACAACACGGATATTTACATGTTTTTGAGCACGGCCTGTGCACATGAATATTCATTCCTACTTTTTCGGTGTCTCTAAAGCACTCAATCTTCAAACCAGGCTCAGATTTTTCTGTGTAACCACAAGAGTCTAACAGAGCATCTAAGCACTCAAAATTCACATGAAAATGTGTGAAACTTAGTGAGCCCTATAGATCAGTCACTACAAAAACAGGCACATTTTCAACTGTCATATACCTAAAAACATTAAGTCTACTTCTGTCACTAAGAAATCCTTTATCAGTATTGTCATCTCTTTTTAATTACAGGAACGGCACATGACCCAGTGCTATGTGAGAGAGATTGGCAGGGTATGTGGTACACTAGCATATTCCTATTTCAACTGATGGAAAACAAAAGCTTATTGATAAGTTACTCAATAGAAAATTGAACACAGCTACAGGTCCAGGCATTTCAGCATCTCATTGTCACAGTGACCAGTCATCGAAGTCTAAATTTAAAAAATCTGAAGGATAAAAAAAGTATTTCAGCCATTGGCAAGAAGTGATATTTCCCAGCAAAGGACCATCATAGTTAGTGGTTTATAAATAAGTATAATCAGAACTGGTCGAGCTCCTGCCCTGTCAATGCTGGTGATAATCTCTTAACTAGAGCTAATCATGGAAGTTATTTTCTTGGTTAATAAAGTCTAAGTACGGCAGGTTGGCACTCTAGTACAAGTATGTCTAAGAGTTTTACACTAATGCACATGTTTAAGGCTGTTTGAAATTGTCGAAAGGCCTTGTTGATGCTGGTCTTATTACTCCATGTCGTCCTCGTCAAAAATAGGTGGCTCAAAACTACACACCTCCTCATAGGTTAACCCTGCAAAACGATGAGAACACAATCAAATACACTGAAAAGCAGACACACTTTTTTTAGATAAATCGATTTTAAATACATGATTTTTCTCTTCTTTGTAGAAAAATGACATACGTTTCCACTCTTCAATCTCCAGCTCACGACTCTCAAAGCTCTGGTCGTATGGCTCGGCCTCAGGCTCATCATCTGGGTCATGGTACTGAGCGAAGTAAGGGTGAGCGAGAGCCTCAGCTGCTGTTATCCGCTTGTCTGTGTCCAAAACCAGCATTTTCTCCAGGAGGTCCACAGCTGTAAAATATTTGCACATAATCTGATAAATCTCAAACTGTCAATGATGCATGAAAATGTTGTGTTTTTAAACCAAAGTTTGTAGAATTAGTAAAACCAGAGGCAAAAAGCTGAATACAATATAGTTAGCATTACTTGCACCTTGACATTATAAGCAAATAGTGTAAAAAGACTCTTTGTTTTATTTTCTTTATTTGCTCTGGTATTACCTTGTGGGTTGGCACCAATGAACACATCAGCAAAGTTCCTCTTTGGCATGTGAGGCAGGGAGCTGATGTAGTTCCTGGCCTGGAGAAAGAAAAGAAAAACAGTAATTCAAATGTCATGTACTACTAGCAGCAACATGTCGCCCACATTCAGCACCATCTGTTTCACAACAATCCACCATTTTCACGCTACTGCTTCTGCTCAATGTAGCCACCTGCATCAAATAACTTCTGCTTGCTGACTACATCTCCCTTGAAAGACAAGACTTGACTGTATCCTATAATTTAGACTCTATATAAATGCTGCTAAGGCTATTTATGTGTTTCTAACTTGCAACAATAAAACAGAAATCCAACACTTATACAAAAACAGATACTGAAAGTTTCAGGTGTTTGTTTTGATCTTTTTCTGTTGCTTGAAGGACTCATCATATAGAGTGCAATGCAAGCTGTGAAAACACATATTAAGCGGCTGTGAAAGCTATGTGTAACTAGGGGCAGATGTGTGATTTACAGCCTTAATGTGTTTCACAACAACATCAAGATGTTCCGGTGTGACTGTAATGCACCATGCAAAAAAAGGACATATTTGTGTTGTTTCACTGTCCATATTTTCTCTCACTCATCTAACTGATTATTCTTTGGGTTGCAGACAAAACAAATCGTGTTATCGATTACAAATTACATGCAAGTAACATAAATCATACTGAAAGAATTAAGTGCCAAGAAATGTGAAAAAAAAAATCTCACTGCAAACCACCTCTCTTTCAGGAAGCAAAGAAACTACTGTATCATGAAAGCATGCCTAGGTTCTACACAATATGCACATTAATTAATTATATACACCTCCAGTCAAATGACAAGCACACAAAATGCTCATATCACATACGTTTAGAGGCACTCTTTGCCACTATTACTCTATAACATACAGCGAGCGTGTTAAGAATCACAGAAACACTGTCATTAAAAGGACCAATCAAATCTTCAATTGCTGGGGGTGTTCTCCCTAAAGGCTGTGCTGTTTCTTAAAATTAGACCACACCTAACCAAAGTAGAACCACTGTTCCCAAAAAAAGTTAGGAGGCTGTGTAAAATGTTTATAAACTAAGAAATTGATGTTTTGCGTATGATTTATATCTTAAAAACAACTGCAAAGATAACATATTAATTATTAAAACTAAAACGCTTTATTTAGAAAAACTGGTTGGGACAAGGGCATGTGTATTTGCATCACCTCTTTGAAATAATACCATGAGTTTTGAAAGTGAAATGTTGTTCAACTTCTGCCTCATACAGGATTTCAGCCGTTCAACACACTGGAGTCAGCTTTGTCCAATTATTTTGTTTCATCATGCGCCAAATGTATTCAGTGGCTCACAAGTCGAGACTGCAGGCTGGCCAGTTTGGCAGCTAGACTCTTATTACAGAGCCATGCAGTTGTAACACATGCAGAATATGTTTACTGAAATATACAAGGTCTCCCCTGTTTCAATAGCAGCATTTGTCACTCTGAAACTTGTATATAACATCCATAACATAATGACGTTGATGTTGTTCTTTAGGTTGATTTGGTGGAACAGAATGGACGTAAGTACAGCTGTGAGGGACTCACAAGAACCAAACTGTGAAGGGTAGTTGACTAGGACAAAGCGTCTTCACATCTTGTTTGGTGTTGTGGGCTGTTCTTGGTTCAGAATGGACAGTCAATCAAAGAGCGGTCCACATATAGGAAACCACTGCACCAAACCAGTGAACAAGCCACAGGGTCAAGTGTGGCTGAGGCCTTTTGATATATGTGTGGGGAGTGGAGGCTGTGGTCTTTCTTCATTGGACCTGACTGTACGCTAGAATTTGAAGCGCTGACTATCCAGTGCTAAGATCTTTGAAGGGCGGTAATACGCCTCGGTTGTGTCTAGTCTGCTGGAAATTTAAAAGAAGAAGAGGAGGAGGCTGTAGTCCAATCGAACAGAGGAGCTGCCAGAACTCAAACCACAGCAAAAGTTCATGCTGATTCTGATAGCAAAGTGTCAGAAAACCCGAGAGCTGTTCTCAACCATAAAAATCCTGGTCAGTGGGGGAAAACATCTCTCTTTATGGGCCTAATCAATATTGAATTATTTACCGATCAGTCTATTTTTATCAACATTTTACACAGCATTTGGACTTTTTGGGGTTGAGGTGTCTTGAATTGAGAACAACTTTCCAATATTTTATTTTGTGGTTATGTTTTGACAGTCTGACTGCCCACAGTATTAAACGAAACCAAAGGAAAATGAGTTTGTCCAATTCAGTCTTGGCTTCAACTGTAACTCATGCTATTATTATTCTATAGCTGAAAAACGTATGGGAGTAGTAAATCTGTCATATCATTCTGGGATCAGACTCAGATGTAATTCACTTAACTATGCTTGAAAAACATAAAACACGACTGTAGGACTGACTGTCCTCCCACCTCGCTCTGCAGTCCAGACTTGAGTAAGCACGTTTGAACCTTTCTCACCTCATGGCTGGGCATCCTGCTTATTAGGGATGCTGGGGGCGTTCCTGTGAGACGCATTATCTGCTGAAGCTGGTTTATATCTACGAAGCTCATGTCAAGGGGAGTATAGCGACAGAGCAGAGCTGGTTAAGAAGCTGCTTCTCAATCCAACACTGTGCAGTTACTCGAGACCCGCAACAATGTTATGTTGAAAAGCAAACTTCAAGCTTGAAAGCGACATTTGACACAACAAGTTAGGAGGGATTGTCAAATTAAGTGGAAAGACACAACACAGTACTTTGGATTACAGACAACAACCAGTGGAAGGCAGAGACAGAGTTTGATCACCTCGTAAAAGAGAAAACTGTTAGGGGCAGAAAACATGATTAAACCCATGAAGCTTCAGGGTAGAAAACATGCCATCAGTTAGGTAGTAGATTCATCGCTTCATTGCACAGCAGAGAGACATGTTTAGAGCAGAAAACGGGTTAGGGAAAAATCCTTTCATTCCTTTGTCAACTCACAGACTCTGAAGATATTTTCATCAAGAGCTCGGGCCCTGGGGTTCCGACGAGCAGCATGATTAGCTTCAACTGATCAATGTCTACCAGGGACGGTAAAGGAAGACCAGGTGTGGACCAGGGAGAAATCCTAAACTGACCTGTTGGTTTTACTTACAACTTTGACTTTACAACAAAACGTGAAAGCAAATTAGACTACATTGGTTTTTCATACATAAGATGCATCAAAAAAAAAAGGCCTTCGGTGAAAAAGGAGGAGGTAAAGTTCCAGCAGAGGTGGAGGCAGCAGGCAGCCCTGAAGTGCTCTTATTATACAGGCTCAGCTGTTAGTTGGAAAACATTGGCAAGAGGAGAGAAAGATAAATAAGAGCTTGAGCGCAGATGCAGTGACTGCCAGTGGTGCAGCCCGAAGATGGACCTGAGCCAGCGATGCATACTGACTGTGAAAGAAGATTTGAAGCACGCTAGAGGGAACATTGTGGCAAAAGGGTATGTCAAGCCAGAGGGGAAAGTGGAAACAGGTACAGTGATACACTTTTAATACTGAAAGGCCTCAGGCAGCGTCATGTTGGAAGATAAAGAGGAGGTCATCATGAGAGGAAAGTGAAGAGAAGCCGTGCTGATCAGTTTCTGCTGCTTTCTGTGCTGGTGAGGAAAAAGAGAAATTGGTACTTCCACAACCTGTTTGATTTGTTATGCAAATGATGTGTCAGCAGCTATGAGAGCTCAGTACGTTCTGTACTCTTTAATAGAAAGGATACGGTCAGTACCAGGAAACAGAGTTCTTCCAGTGAGGAGTTCTGCCATTATACAGCCCACTGACCAAATATCCACTGAAACACAGAGGGGACAGGGACACAAGCGTTACGTTTTGTGGGAAATAAACCCCTCCTTTTCTGCAACAAGTTTTGGCAAATTCAGAAGAGCTATTTTAAAGTCATCTACCTGTCATGTTGTAATGCATCCAGTTCAACATGATCTCTGGGGCACGATACCAGCGAGTGGCCACGTAGCCAGTCATCTCATCATCAGTATGCCGCGCCAAACCAAAGTCCAAAATCTGTTAATGATTTGAGTGCAAAAACAGAAAAAGTTTGTACAGAACTCACATCATGGAGCAATAAAATAATGTTTTCAACAAGCGTAAACAGACCTTTAGCTCGCAGTCCTCATTCACAGCAAGATTACTAGGTTTCAAATCCTAAAAGAAGATAATCACAAGATAAGATAACCATACTCGATGTCAGCAGGACATTTTTATGTACATTTAAAAAAAAACAGATCTTTCCTTCCTTTGTTGTCATAGCAATAAAGGCATTACATCACTGGCACTGTGTAAAAGTTATGTTCCTGTTTATGGCTTTTCTCTCCCTCAGTGCGTACATACACGCTCAGGCCAAAACCTGCTGAGTGGAAGAGGCTATAAACCCTGACATAGATTTTTGTTCTCGAGTGTATCCAGGTCAAAGTAGCGTACGTCAAATCAAACACAACACTTACTCTGTGTATGATGTCTGCTGAGTGGATGTACTGGAGAGAGAGAAGGAGATAGTGAGCATTTAATAACATTATCACTTCAAAGTTGTACTGACTCACAATCAAGAGCAATGTGCTGAGTTACATGAGTAGATCAACGGCTCTTTTACATCGTCAATTTGATACAACACATTCATCCGACTGGTAAAACAGTTTAGCTTAGTGTGAAAACTGGAAACAGAAAGTGGAACCTATTCTTAGGGCTGGGCGATATGGGAAAAAGTTTATCACAATATATTTTTTTCATATCAATCAATATCAATATATATCACAATATAAAAAATGAACTTAAACAGTGCTTATCTGTAGCATGTTTTTTGCAATACAATAAAACTCTGCATCTGTGAGGTCTTTGTGTCTCTTTTTGTCGAAAGGTGTTGCCCTAGAGAAAGCGGACTGAATAGTCAACTGTTTCAGCTGCACAGTCGCCATGGACTCCTTGCTCCACTCTGGGTTTTTAACCTTTTGCATTGGGCATGCTCTGCCGCATGGCACTGCTTCAGGCGGTGAAAAAGATTTGAGGTATTCCCCAACTTTGTGAGAACATGTACTCGACATTTTGCAGTGCATATTACTCTGCTCATGTCCGACCTCAAAAAACCAAATTACCTCCACACCACAAACGTTTTCGTGCCAGTGTTGTCGACGATGTCATCATCTGTTGAGCCTTCATCTGCATTTCCGCCAGGGGTAGCATTTATTTTCTTTTTTTCTCACTGTCAGTACTGTCAGCTTCACCTGTTAACATGCTATGGTTGGTGTAGCTGCAGCCTGCTACTATGCAGTTGTTTTGCTACTTGGTTCTAATTCAGCACATGATTGGTTCAGCGCGAACCTGCAGACCTGGAGTAACTCCCTTTTTCTTTGGCTATTCCTATAGTCTACCAAAACATGGCAGAATGCTGACTATCAAAAAGCATACTGACCATGTTTTAAATTGATATTGAGGGAAATCAATTTTCGATACTCTATCATTATTGTTTTATCACCCAGCCCTACCTATTCTGTTTCTGACTGAAGGTAAAAAATAAAAAAACTTCCCCTGTTCACACCTCTCAGACTCACTTATAAACACTAGAATGACTCTACAGTGGGTAATCTGCTTTACTATATCTCTGCTTGAATTAAGGACTTTCCTCTGTCTCGTTCTAATTGTGAGGCTGCCAGGAAACCTACACAGACTGTATACAGATACAGGAGTGGCATCAATCTTCTCATTTAAACTGTTTCACTGTTTATTGTACACCCCTCTATTATTTTAATAACCTCACCTTTAACCCTCGGAGGATCTGGTATATGAGGAACTGCACGTGGTCATCTGTGAGTTTCTGACATTTCACTATGTTGTTGAGATCAGCGCCCATTAGGTGTGTCACAAGATACCTGTGAAACAGAAGATTTTCATCAGACTTTAAAAAGAGACATTACCTGAATATATGTTGATGTTTTCTGACTTATAGAAAGACAGATAGTTCAAACTGAATGTGTTTTCTCTTCAAACAATTTCATTCAGGGTTGTTTGCAGTCTGAATCTTATTTCCCATTTGGCCATGTGAGCTGAAACCGGTTTCACAGCCACATCTTTAGACTCTTACTTCTCTCCAGAGATACTGACAGGCCAAGCCCTTCACAAATGGAATGTAATTTAACAACACACTCAGATAAATGGGCTTAATGGGGCTGCATCAGAGGAGAATTCAAGTGTAATCCCAGAGCTGTTCTTAAATGCCACAACAACACTTAGGCAAGAAATATAAAAAAGTGGAAGCCCCACAGCCAAAACACACAGCCATGTGCTGCTTTGACAGTCTGCAGCCCAACAAATACCCATTTCATGAATACTCTTCTATTCATGCACAGCACTCAGAGCTAGGCCTTAAAATAGCAGCCGGTTATGCTTGAACTTGTTAGCAGCAGCTCATTGGGACACAGACACTCCAAAGGAAAAAAAAGGATATAAATAGTGACCTCTGTTTTCTCTCTCCTATAGAAGCAAAGAGCCCGGCTGCAGCTTTGAGGAGCCTCTACACAGCATTGTGACTCAGTCTGTATTAATAGAGCCGAGGGGGAACCACATTTGCAGCACCTACATAGCTGAGATTTTTGCTGGATATCGTACTGTCAGAACATTTACAATGTTCCAGCAGATGTGCAGATAAAGAGAGCCGTAACTCACTCAGGCAATCTGTGACTCAGCATTTTTTTGGTCCTGTGTAATGCGAGGAAAACTTCTCTTTCCATTCAACCTCTCTTTCCATTTTCCTTCTCTCTTTGAGACACAACGTCAGACACTGCCTGCATGTGTGATTTTTGTACTGCCTTTTATCCATCTTAACAGATTTCTAGTCTGTTTACATGAAAAGTTGTAATGCTGTTGTAAATATACGTACTGTATCAAGTATCTATTCATGGTGGACAGTAAAGAAAAGCTATGAAATCAATGCAGGAATAACCGAGTTAATTTATTTCCATGCATTCTTCAATTTTCTGAAAATGATCATGCATTTCCCTTGCAGACAGTTCATCCATGACGGTGTTTTGCGAGTCACATCTATGGTAGCCCTAGGCATCCAGTCTCAAGGAGTGAAAGAGGAACACAAGTCCAGGATACTCATTTATTCCTAACTCTGAGCATGCAAATTTTACCACATGACATTATCATGAGAAGTAATTTGGGACATGTTGGGAAACCCACAGGCACAGAAATCCTGACAGTTGACAGCTGTCAACACAGTCATGACCTCAGCAGAAACACGACCTGTTGTGCTCGTATTCAAAGGCTTGAGATAACACATGAAGCAGGGATGAAGTGTTTCCTACTGTGTGGCATAGCAGAGCACAGCCGGGCCACTTTTGTTGACAAGCTTTTGCTAACTAAGGAAACACAAATACTTAAAATGATCAAATTCTGGACGCCTGTCAGACTTGATGATAGCTGGACTTTCATCACATTGTGATGTGCATCATCTCTGTCTGTCAGGAAGACCGAAATGAAGATTAATCTTGCAATAAAATAGCAGATGTGCTGTCTCACTCAGTGAATGCCACGTATTAATGAGTATGGATCCTCTGCAATGCAAAACCATCCCTGAACATACTCATGAAGTGCCAGTTAAACTCTGAAACATGCATACGATGTTAATTACTTCTTGGCTGTTGTAGATATAGTTGGTTTGAATCGGCAAACAACTATATCTGAACTATACTGACACAGATTTTTTAATCCTTACTTTAAATAATGTACCAATCAGCTACTAGCTGACCCTTTAATGTGCACCTTGTCTGTTTTACTGTTGATCCCACCAGTTTCACCCACTTACACTGGTGCTTGCTAAACTGTGGGCACACAAACAAACCACTCACCTGACCACAGAGTGTTTGCTTTCAATGTTGACACCTGCAGTGTACGTACTGCGTAATGTTGTGAAAGTCTCATACAGAGGAGGACAGTTAGTTTTCTCTCAAACATTCGGAACTATAACGGGGCTGGTGGCACAGATTTAACTAAACTTTGAACACTGCTGTAAATAATTGATGACTTCTACGGAAGTTCAAGTTCAAGTGATCGAACAGATTGTTTTTAAACTGTTAAACGTAAAAAAAAAACCTGGTTGTAAATTCTTGAAACTTCCAATAGATATTACAAAAAGAAAAAAATAATGCAATATCATTTTTAGCTTGACTGTAAAGCTTCACTTTTTCTCCTCATTAGGTCCATGTTAATATCTGGTTTTCACAATTATAATGACCATGAAATGCCACAAGAAATATAATAGTCAAACACGAAAGTCAAATTTGGGAAATACTAGACAATGGCAGAGCAACACATTTCTTCATCAATCTGACCAGTAGACACAGTGACGTAACATCCACCATCCATTTTTAGTGATTTTTAAGTTTGTGATTTAACCACATCACCAGCCCTGTGGCTGCAACTTGTTTGGACAGGACATAATAAACAATCATCTAAGATTGTTTGTCAGGCTTTTACTTCCTGTACGGTAAAACTATGCTGCTACTTTAAAGTATGCACTTCCTCCTGTTGATCAAAAGTGAAAAATGTGAAATGAAAGGTTAGGAACTACATTTGATTGATTACGCAGAAGAGACAAGCTCTATCTTTGCTTTTGGATTCACAGCAAATCTTTCAAAGTAAGAAGTGTCTAGAGAGCTGCTACAGGCAGACTGGCAAGCAGCTGCATCAAGGACCCTCTCCTTTTTAACTTCTATATTGCTCATTGTATGCTTTTTGTTTTTAGCAGAAGAGCAATATCTCATATGTCTTTTTCCATCAAGGCCTAATAATCCTGCAACTCCTCAAGGGCCCCCAAATACTAAAGTAAAAAACTGTGCAATCATTTGCACGTTTCAATTGTGAACAAGGAAGAGAAATGTGATTGCAAGTATGCATTTAGGTGTATTCTTCTGTCGGGTGTCGACTGAAATCTGCTTCAATCTGATCTTGATACATTTGCTCAGCGAGTGTAGAGAGGAGACATTCCTCAAACGACCAGGGAGGCAGTCTGTTGTCTGAGGAATGACTCATTGTCTCGCTGTCCACTTCCCATTTTTAGCAACTTTCAACAAACAACAACTACCTGTCTGCTAGAAAAGTACATATGTTTCACAAAGCCTGAAATCAGGAAGCAAGTGAAGGGAAGCTGGTGAAACAACCCCTGTTACAGGCAGGGAGTGAACAGGGTGGACAGTGTAAGAAATGTTCCAGTGTGTTTAGTCAGCTGGCTGCTGTCCAGGTGTTTCCCAGCCATGACTAGGATTGTCTGCTGCAGAGAAACTGAAGGCTGCACTTTGTTGCACACTGTTTCTAAATTATGCAAAGATCGTGCTGCGGTAACCTTGGGCCAAAGAGCAAAGACCAGATCAGGATGTAGGCAACAACTGAAAAATACATTCAACTCACACATCAGTGAACTCCTTCAGACTAGTGGCAGGGGTGAACACATCTAGGAGGCCGATCACCTGCAGAAATATGAAAGTAGTTGTCACTATTACATTGCAAGGAATCCTTATCATTAACATAAACAGCAGATTTGGTAAAGCAGACACATTCAAAGGCTTTGTTGCCCTGCTAGCTTTTCACAACCAGGCGGAATAAAGAGAACAGAAACAAGTTGACTCACATTTTCATGTTTCATGTGTTTGAGCAACCGCAGCTCTCTGTACGTTCTCTTAGCATGGATGATGGACTGAAATGGCCTGGAAAGCTTCTTCACCGCCACCTTCAAACCAATTTTCACATCATATGCAGAGCTGTGAAGAAAAAGAAAACAGGAAAAACACATTAACTTCAATCTTAACAGTAATTTTAAATCTAGGAGCTATCATGTTTACTGTCTGCATGAACAGATAGAAAGAATGACACCTAAAAGTGGTTAAAAACTGTGGCACACTTAAATCTACAACTCATCCTCAGATGGAAAGCAAGCTTGACAAATTTAGCGCAGATGAGGAAAACTGTTTCAGTGCAGAATGGGCTGACTGGGCTTTCAAACCAAACTAGGTACAGTAAGAGCTGCTCGAGACTGGTGAAAAGGGCGACATCAGCAGAAAATGTCATCTCTCAGCAGATTGGGAACAGGCCTGCTCTCTAATAGCTGAGTGTCTCCAACCAAAACAGTTCCTCCTGCTCAGCTCACCTCACCATCTTCACAAACAGTAGGCAGCCAGGAGGAGAAACTGCAGGGACCCAAACACCAGTGTGACTATGTATTAAACAATATCAAAAAAGTGATCTATCCATTGTTGTTTGTACATTTTAAAGAGTAAACAGGTTGTTTTTGATGTCAGTGCTCATACACAGTTATTTAAATATGAGCATCCTTAGAGAAAAAAAAATCCAATTATAGGTACCGACTAATACCCTCCCCCTCAAAACAAACAAAACATCAACTTAAACTCAGTATGAAAAACTAGGTCCTCAATTTAAAGAAAATAAATATTGAAATAGAGGAAAAAAGGAAGTTAAAGGTCTTCCTCTGGCTTAAACTTGTCAATAAAAATAAAAGGTCACACGCACTCTCTTCCTGTTTTGGTTATAACACACATTTTTCACTTTAAACTCAATAATGTACTGTATAATACTGTGGACTGTCCAATGATGCAAATTATAATATGTAACATTCTAACAAACTGGATGCTCCAGTTCAGTTTGATAAGTTTCAGCCCGAAAGAACTGGTCATGGATACACAGTTAACTCAGGTAGAGCCCATCATGTAAACACTGGCAAATGGAGCCTGGGGGGGAAAAAAAAACACAATCCCAATCATTACAGTGTGGAGCAGGCAGTAATCTGACCAGCAACAGATTATCATATTGCCCAGCAACAGCCCAGCTGTCCACTTTCATTTGCAAAACAAACATCTGCCCACTAAATCAAATGAACTGCCAACAATGTTGTGTCCTAGATTGTATCAGAAAAAGCTCATTTAATCACCAGCAAAATTAAAGGGTCTTTTCCTTAAGAGCGTATGCTTTAGATGGGAGATAGCAACAGGGAAATTACAGCATGTGTTCTTGAGAAAACTAGGAGGAGAGGTCCAAACCTCACAATAATGATAAAAGATTCTTCCCTGCTATAATAAATTATTTTAAGAAAAGTCATACAACTTTAAAAAAAAAAAACCTGGGCTGCAAGAAAGAGTTTTCTTTCCAACCAATTAATCAGCTTTTAAGCAATATGGAAATATATTATTTTGTGCACACAATGACCAAAAGATAACATAATTTAAAGACTACAGATTCCCAGCCTCTACATGTGTTATCTATGTGTCTATTACAATTTATTACTATTCACGGTTCAAATAATCGAGTAATCGAGTAATCTTTTTGACAAAAGCATGAAGTTTTCAGCCCATTTCCCGGAGTATCAAAATGCATCCATTTTTTTTCTGCAGGGAAAAAATTGCAAACACCTACAATATCTACCATTACATCCAAACTGAGCTTGAAAATAAGAGTATTCATGAAACTTACATGGACTCTCCAGATGGCACTAACGACAAGGGGCTGTGCAAGTACACTGTGTGTAGTCGAAACTGTTCCGACATTTCAAAGTTCGTGCAGTTAAGAAGTTTCTTACAGAGTGTGGTATATATGAGCAGGTTCCTAAAGTTTTCAATGTCTTACAAGTTTTTTGCAAGTGGGTAACAGAAAAACAAGACAACAGGTTTTCTTGTAAAACAGCACAACATGTCTTCACCTTGCTAGCCAACAATCCAGACGAGCTAACCTAACTTTAGCATCTGCAGCACAGGCCCTGTCTAAATGAATGGAGGTTAACTTAGGTGACTAGGCTAAACACAAGCTCGCAAACTTGTGAAAGTGATATACCTCACGGATCCGTAGGCACCAGAGCCAACCGGGGATAAGTTTTGGTATCGCTCCGGGACTTCCCATATCGTCTTGTTGACGTCTTGTCGATAAAAGTTGGGTCTTTCTTTCTGCGACATTCCTGCAGAACCAACTGCGGACCACCGACTTGACTTTCTGCTCCGAGGTGGGTAACGTGCAGCCTGCGTCAAACTTCCACCAAGTTCCCCAAACAGAACCAAAATAAAGTGTTTTCTCTCGTCTGAGAACTTAAGTTCGCAAAAAATTGAAGGCCTGCTTTCTTGAAAAAATCCTGCAAAACCACCGTCTGGTGAATGCACGTTTTAAGTCTTCACGCTGTTTGTTCCTCCTCACTCAGCTTGCTTTCAGACAGCTCCCGAGATTTCACCCCGCTTGCAACACATTACAAAGTCTCGCGAGAAAAAAAACAACTTGCAAACTGAGCTATTGTTGTATAAGAAAATTACAGCAATACAGAGTCAAATAGCTCCAATTAATGGACAATTAATTCGATCATCGCATTTCTTTATGTATCGATCCCCCTTTTCTGGACCTTAGAGCTTCTTTAACAAATGAATTTTATTCACTGGAGACTAAACACGTTATCTTAACAGTTTTTCTTTTAATAAAGTTCAAAATTATTACCTACAAAATGTGCGAAAAAGTACCAGAAATACAACCGTGCAGCAAGTGGCCACTGTTGTTTAAGTTTTTACTGCATTTTTCTTCTTCACTACATTAACTGTATTATTTTTTCAGTATTTCATTGTTGCCGTAGGTTTATGCCATATTTAATTCCCTTCTTAGTCGTTTGTCCATTTTGATTTGATTAAAGTGGCATCTCCAGCTTTACAATAATTGTATGCTTAAAAATGTCAAAATATGTACTCAGCTGCAGTGTCAGTGATTTTAATCTTTACCAAGATGTGACTGTTTACATTTGTGGTGTGCATAAGAGAGACACATGTTTTATTTACTGTATCACATTCTGCCTTGACCAATTTCAACTTAATGACATGCATATTTAGTACATTTTCACAGAATAGTTTAAATGTGTGTGACTTCCGCTATGTGATATAGTCCCTTCTGTTTTTAACTTAAACCAACAACTACAAAAATACTCTTGATGTGACCAAAAGGTCTCTTTTCTATCAAAAGCCCACAAAAACATGTATAACATTGTAAAATAGATGAAAGTATAAAATTAGGCTATCTTACGCTTTGGGAAATGATCTCATGAAGAGTACCTGAAGGCAGCATTTAATCTTTAACGTTAAAGGAATGGCTTTCCATCTAAACAAAGCACAATCGTTTCATAATCACCTGTACAGCAGTAGGAGGTATTTAAAGCTCTAAAAATTAAACCAGCTGATGTCAGTTAGCATTTTCAGAATGAACTATATGGAGGGTTTGATTGATTTGATAAAAAAAAGGTAGTCTTAAAAAAGGAAAGACAACAAATCACCAACATAGCCATTCAAAATGTTCACAGGGGTTCAAATATTACACTGAGACACACTATCAAGATTTAAAACAAAAAAAAAAAGAAAGGAAAAAAAAACAATATATCCCCAATATGGAGACTTGGTAATGCATTATTAGGTTTGGTAACTTAAAGTGACAAGTAATACTAAATAAGAATTGTCACCACTTGTATCATTTTAAGTCTTCTTCAGTAAGCTTGTATGTTCAGAGACACATTGAATCCCAATCTACAGGAGCCAAAGCGATGTCAAACACTGTTGCACTTAAGTGGTAGGATTTTTCAGGATCTGATTAGTCAGTCATCATCAGAGTCTTCCTCCTCTCTCTGCCGGAGTGAAGATGACTTAAGTGGAACTGAGTCAAACCCATCTGATGTCCTCTGAAAGTAAATAATAATGACACATGGTAAACAATAACATTATAATAAAGATACTTCATATGTACCTCAATGTATGCATGAAAGGAGGGATCTACTGACCTCTCGTGAGAAAGACTTAATTCTGTTAAAGAAGGATTTCTTGTTAAGGTACATAATATCATCTTCTGCGTCCTCGCCCTCCATTATGGCACAGCTGTCTGCAGTGGGCAGCTCACACTCTTTACCCCCAGAAGTCATCATCAGCTTGGAGTACTTATACTGCAACCTGCAGACAGACAATTATATATATAACATCTTGTTAGTTTAACTTCATCTAGGGGTTTTCATTCTAAAAGTTTAGGTTTCATCTTCTAAATGACAGAGGTTTATCAAGGCTTTGACAAAGACAAATAAATGTGAAGTTTATTGGCATACTTCCGTGTCTTTTTCCAGAAATAGCAGCTAATGCTGATGAGAAGCACTGCGGCAATGGTTCCAGTGGAAACACCAAACTTGAGCCAGAAGTCCAGAGTCACACAGGCACTGACTTTTTGTGCAGGTAGTGATTCTCCTCCATAACACTGTAATGGCTGCTGCCATACATAGGTGGTTTTCTGAAATATACAAACGCAGAGTTCAATATCCTCCAAACAGAATTCAACTTACACCTTTAACACAAAAGTTTTTGGTATTTCTTTTGAAAAAAGAGTGATGTGATACTTTAGGATTTCCATTACAATGCTTTCTAGCAGAGACTTAGATAAGAAAAATGACTTTTGTATCCACCCATTAAAAATAAAGCTACAATCATCAGCCTGTTAGCTTGGTTTAATACCCAGGGGGAAACAAATAGAGACAGCTAGCCTTGGTTTGGCAAAGGAATCACAGTCAAAGAGTATTTAGACTTCTAACTTTTTATACAAACAAATCAAATTAATTACAGCTTCTTTGTTAATGTGCTTTAAAGCTGTTGTTAGACTGACTTTGTGACCTATTGAGCAAGAAATGCTTGCTGTTTTTTCCTTGTTGAGCTAATAGGTAAAAGCTGAAAGTTTTCACATATATTTGGCTCATGTTTGGCATAATCAATCAAATGAATCAATCACCTTATTTAACTGTGCAAATAAAAGTTAGAAACGGAAAACCCTTTGTTGTGAACCTGTGATCGATTTGTGGTTATCTGAGTAAATGTAGTCCTGTGCAGCAGTACCTGTATTCCCTGGATGCAGGCACTGACAATCTCTCTGTAGTGTTCTTTGGTGCACAGTGGACATGCATGCTGGCTCTCCCACAAAAAGTGGAAAGTACAACCATCACATGTTCCCTCTGAACAGTTACTGTGAATCAAAACAAAGTGGGAGATTTTTTTATACAAGCCTTAAGGGATAAGTACGATCGCTGAAGAACCTCTTTGGCTGCAATGCAGAAGTTGATAAATTTGCACTGTTGTTAAAGTTTCTGTGTCAAATCATGCTATCGGGTACAACTCTTGTGAAGTCAAAAGATGCACTCAGGAAAAAGTTACCTTGGCAGAGTGATGAGGTCTTTAGCAGCTACTGAAGGATTGCATCTAAGTCTAACGGTGGCTGTCCTGCCCTGTTTACAACCCTGAGTCGTCTCACTGGACCTGGAAACATGATAACATGACAAACATGAAGGTCTTGACCTCCAGGGTATGATTGATTTCATATTTCACTACTGAACAAGTGATCCAGCTCTCCGCTCAAATATGTCAAATAAATCTGAATATAAAATCATGAAATGTAGCACCACACTGTGTGAGTGATACAAGATTATTAAAAACTTCTAATCCTGTTTACTTGTAATAGAAGATGACATCTGGCTGGGCAGACGATGAGGGAAATAGCCACTTTGGGGAGGAGATGCCACTCAGGAATGTATCAGTTGTCACACCTTCAGAATGAGAAGACATACAGCAAACTGTGTAATTTATGGCATCTACATAATGTATACTCGATGAAAGAATAGATATGCCTTAATCTCAATGTTACCATCAATTGCAAAAACCTTGAAGTGAGAATGTCAGCACTAATATTCAACAAGGCAGAATTTTCCTTTATACTTTTGTACATTATCTAAGCCCAGTGCATTGGCACACAACTGTTTTCTTATCATTCAAAAGTAAAAAGTATCACAGGGCTGATGGGAATGACTTAGGATGGGGGTTTTATGTGGTCATAAGCAAAGGGAGCTTGAGTCTGGTGTGCTTAATTTCCTTGAAAATGTGCATTGCTACCTAAAATGATACTGAACAGCATATGGCTTCTGCTGCCTTCAGATGACTGCAGTAATGTAATTAACTATTAGAGCAGGCTGTCAAACCTCCTACAGACAGCTAAAGAGGATGCTGACAGACGCTGGCAAGCCCTTGGTCTAATATGGATTCATTTAAAATCAGTTCATACCAATGAGCGTATCGGCGATGAGGAAAGGTTGTGAGGACACCACACTCTGACTCCTTATATCAGAGGGAAAAACCGTGGACTGACAGACATAACCTTTCACCACTTTGCCGCTTGCTGTGACATTATCCACACACGTAGCTGGTACTCTACCCTGTGAGGGAAACACAGGAAGGTAAAATCTCTGTTAGACTAATATTTAATTCATAAAAACAAAGATGACAGGATCACAGCCTCTCACCTCATTCCCACACAGTCCCAGATTAAAGCGGTGGAAATATCTGAGTCCTCTGTTGGTGAAGCGGGGGCTGCTGTGGAAGCCTGTGACGTTTGCTAGAGGAGAGAAGTCATAGTGCTGAAGTGTCCCTGCTTTCGTCTGCACATCAAACGTACAGTCACTGAGACAAGCTGTGTAGGCCTGGAGGGAAATGTGAATAAACACACATCACATTCTGTTCATAGAGGGTGGAATAATCCTCTGTACCGCTATAGGAAACCCACAAAACCTTTAGAAAATTAAACATGACAGAGAGATTGCATCACAGTGACATTTGAGTGAAGGAAAAGCAAAAATAAAATTGAATAAAAGAAGTTTTTTTTTTTAGTTTTTATAAATGGCTGAAAGATAATGAAAGACAGACTAAAGGAACAGATTTTCAGATCCTATTTGCACTGAATTGGGGAAAAAGGGTTTTGAATAGGTTTGTTGTACCAGTTTTAAACTAACTATCCATGTCTGTAAATTATTGTGATATTTATTTCAATAGCTTATGACGATGTCTGAATAAAATCTCAGTTCTAAGGATTCTCCACATTAATTTTATCATTAACTATGCCATAAAGTCAGTCAGATTGTTAAGGTTTAAAATGAGAAAAGCATGTCTAGATTTAGCCAGAGATTTTAAACAGAGCTGATCAGTTACTAGTTTCCATTACCTGGTTTCTCTCTGTGTTTGGTCCACACTGAACACAAGAAGCCTCTCCCACAGCCTGACTGGCTTTGATGATGGTGTTTGGTGGGCATCTCAAACACCTCCCCATCTCGTTATCCATATACTGTCCCAATGGGCAGGGGACACAGGCGGAGCCAGTCATAGCAGACCCCAGGGCACAGAGGCGACACGTAGAGGCCACACCTCCGATCACATTGGTGATGTGAATGAGGTAGATCTTTGCTACATCTGCGCTGTATTTCCGCTCCTGAGTGAAGAGGAACATAGACAACATTGTAGATTGTTTTGCTTAAAGTAAAAAAAAGTTTTTCTACATATATATAACTTGTTTGCAGAAGTCATGATGTTTGAATGGGCATGCTGATCTATGCTGCCCTCTACAGTTCAGAGTTACAACATACCTCACATTAGGAAAAGCATGTATGATTCAACTGCAGTTTATAATAATGTTATATATAATAATGTTATAATGATAATTTTCTAAGGAAAGTATTCAAGGATCAATTTTGCATGTTATAAAATCTCCCTGCATTATAACAAAAAAAAAAGCTTCTGTAAGGAACTTTTGGCTGTTTTTGATTTCTGCACCCTCTGTAAACAAAAGCCCTGGCTCATCTCTTTAATAATTTTGCCCATTTCTCACTGAAGTTGTATTTTCTAACAACAAAGAGGCCCTGCATTACTGAACTCTACAACAACTCATTTTTTTTATTATCATTATTCTCATAATTATTTAGTACTGGACATTGTACTCTGCCTTTTTAGGTCCACCACTCTGTTTCCATTGGTTGAGTTGGTCATAGATTAAGGCTTAACTTTTAGGTGTAACTGTGTCTCACCGTGTTATAAAGCCTTGTCCTTTGAAAAGTCCAGATGAAGCTGTTGGTGCTGTTACTGTGGATCAGATAGGAGTATGACTGTTTCTCTTTGCTGCCTCCCCACTCCTCCACCAGATCATTTCTCCACTCATTATAACCCTGTAAAGAAACACACTCACTTCAAATATATTGCCAGTTATTTGTAATAATATTGAGTTTCATTTTCTGTATGCACATATCCTGAAGCCTTTACTTTGCAAGTATGTGACTCACCACCATGAACAAAAATTTGCAGTCGACTGTGCATATGGTCTCAAAAACAAAGGTTATGCGAGACAGTTCATTTGTTTCACTGTTGTGGACTGCAGACTGAGGTAACCTGTGGAAACAAGTGGGGTTTAATTTACCTTGTCCAGCTGGAAAACTGTGTTTGACAATATTTTATACAGGAGACATTTTTTACATCACCTGTATCCAGGAACATTGAGTATGAGAGTCATGTGGTCTCTGTCCTCGTCCCCAGGGGTAGTGTAGATATATTCTCCAGCCACTTCCCAGGCTGTATTATAAAAAACAGAAACACGCATTTGCTGTTCTTTTAGCAACAATGATTCTGTGAGTGTATAAACATAAATCAAAGCAGTAGTTTGTATTTTTAAAAAGTATTTAATTTTACCTCAATGTGCACCTTACTAGCTTATCAACCTTTCTGGTGGCTATTTTGCAAATGCTCTGGAGGTTTTGAACAGCGGTGTAGTTGTTTATGAGAGATGCATGATGTCTTTGTCATTACCTTTGTCCCCCCGTTTCTTACTTTATAAGTATTTGGCTGTACTTCACACACTCCAGTTCAACATATGGATATCTTAGCATCTCCCTCCCCATCCTGAGTCTCACCATTGTTATAATCCATGTCACTGAACCCTTGGCGGGAGATGGAGCTCCTCATGTTATTTGGCATGGTGTTCCACCATTTATACTCGAAACCCATCACTGGCTCTGTGCCGACAAGACACTTGACACACACTGTGAATAATCAGATTTATGTTAGTGTAAGCAATTATTTATTTTAAATGGAGCCAAAAATACAGGCATGGCAGTCATATGACAAGTAAAGGTTACGAAAGCACCCTGATTGATTTGCAGCCTTTGATAGTGTTATCAGACTGATTACTTTATATATATATATATATATATATATATATATATATATATATATATATATATATATATATATATATATATATATATATATATATATATATGTATACAACAATATTTATTGATTATTCAAGAAAATACGCCGTTTTCAACTGTGATCAAAGGATTGCACAATTGTTTCTGTTGAAAATGATTAATCTAAAAACAATGTCTTAAATGATAAGAAATACAGTAAGTAGCTCTTAAATTTAGCTACCAGGGGTAAGATGAAAAGGATTTACAACTATTTTGCCTTGTATTACCCTGTGTCTCCAGCATAATACTGATACATGTTCACAATTTTAACTAAAACTAAGTCATTGTTTACAGTAGATGGACTATCAAACAAATCTGAGACAAACAAAATCTCAGCCTTCCACTCAAAAGTCCAGCTATTGGTTTCTATCTCCATTGAGTATTCTGCTGTAGTTTCACAATGACGCAAAAGAGGAATTGAAAAACTACCAGCAAACAGCTGTGCAACCAATTATCTTTAAGCATGTCATTGTCTTTACACTGAAAACTGTGTTAGTTGTTGAACAGTAAGAGGGTTACTGCATGTATAAAAGGCTGCAAATCAATTACTGTGCTTTCATCTTTTTCAACTTTTGAGGTCGATTATCTTTATGAAGTTTAAATGTACTGTAACTATTAAAAAGGACCAGCACAGAAAAAAAGTTATTATACAGCTTTTAGCAGAGTATTACTTAACTGACCAATTAAAATGAGTTAAAAGCAATTTTAATACTCGTTTTATACTGTATGTTTCAAGTGTTTGAATTTGCTAAACGCTTCTCTTTTTTTGGTGGAAATAAATATGCAAATAAATATCAATAAAATGAGTAGTGGAGACTCCTACAGAAGGAACTCATTTTAGTATCAAGCCTGTAAACTACCTTTCATTTATATCTAATAAATTGAGGTTTATTGTGTCATCTTTGGAGATTCAGTACATAAATGGTGCCTCAGTCTGATATGCAGGCATGATAAGTCAGGAAAAATGCTGCACCTGTTCCGTTAGAGCTGAAACCATCTGGGCAGGGTTCACATGTGGAAGAGTTGGAGACAAAGAAACCTGGGTTACATGGAGGACATGTTTGCTTCTCCCCCGATGCTGGCAAATCCACAGCTCCTTTAACAGTCTCACTGCAGATCTTAGGCTCAATCCACTTGAACATGAGCTGAGTCTGAGACAAAAAAAGAGTCATGATTACATTAGTGAAAACACCCAGCTACTCAGCGTCGCTCTAAACAGTCCATGTATTTATATTCAAAGAAACCTGATAGTTACAACAGGTTGTTGCCAGCACAGTGTTCCACGTGATATCTCTACATGTGTTCACCTGTAATGACCCTACATCAAAGGTGGTCCTTCATAGGTCAGTTTCTACTTTACCTTCCCCTCTGAGTCACAGGGAGTGTGGGTGTAGAAAAAGTCGCTGTTTTTACATGCAGGTCTTGGTTTGCAGCTTCCAGAACCAGCCTCTAAAAAAACAGACACCCAGACATACACAACATACATACCAGGTTAAGATACAGCGATAAGATAAATTATACACACCCCATGAGCACTTAAGCAGAAAAAGCAGTATTTGCATGCAGACGTGTGCGTTTGTGAAAACATGCAAATATGGAAAGGTTGTAAGTTTAGATAAGAATTAAAATGTTGATTTAAGTACATTGTGGAAGATTAGTCATGCCAATATGCATACCTGAATATGTATCATTTGTACACTGGTAGCAAACGGTGGCCCCCCTTTGGGAGTATGTGTTAGTAGGGCATGGGGCACATCTAGCAGATCCTTCCTTTGCATTATGAGTGCCAGGTTTACAGTGGAAACACTCTGATGTGTAGGCCACTCCTGAAAGAAAACCATCAAGCAACCTGGAATTATTACTAGAGGAAAAGAGTTAATTGAATTGTGAAAAACTAAAATCTAAAGCCAATTATTTACCTGAGATGGAAATATTTTTTAACAGAACAGGTTTGACAGCACTGTCCTGCAAGGTATACGTGGTGGTTCGCCAATACAGAACATTGTTGCCAGTATTCAGATTAGCCTACACAGAGGTAATGTGAACACAAGGGAGAATCAAGACATATAAGGTGAGGTGAAGACTAAAAAATTTTAAAAAATCAGAGCTCTTAATATATTGATTCTCAAGCAATTTTCAGTCAAATGTCGGCATTTTTAATAGGCTGTTTAAATATATGTCAGACTCACCCTGTAGCTGTTCCAGTCATGCTCAGAAATGCTCATCCACCTGCTCTCAGAGTCTGTAGACTGACACTGGTCATTCTGGATCTATAGGAGGGGAAGAATCAAGCAAGAAATGATCAAATATTTCCCCAAAATCACAGTCAATGTGACATTAACACTCACTTTGAAACACTTACGTAGAACTCAAAGTAAATGCTGTTATCAGGATAGAAATATTTGAAAGACACAGTTCCTGGTTTCTTCAGGTTCACAGCATAGGACAGGGTTGCACTGCATTCATCTGTGTTTGAGGCAATGTAATCTTCCTTTGGTGTCCAAGTTGAGCTGAGTCAATGCAACAGAAACAAGAAACAGATGAGCCTTGAGTCAATAAAGTTTAGATTAGATGTACTTTATTGTCCCAAAAGATAATTTGCTATGAACTACGCTGAAGAAATATGTGCGATTAGACATACTATACAAACAAACAGGGCTTACAAGACTGGCAACCAAGAAGAGTACAAAATGCTTTATGAAGAATAAGATAAGATTTCTTAGGATAAATAAATGCATACTTAGAGCAGTTAGTGTGGCTGTCCCCGCCATTTGTGTTCATCCCATGAGTGACAAAACCAGGCGGCAGGCTGTCCCACTCATCAAAAGCCACACTGGTGCCAAGAGAGTAGGTACCTGCTGCACACTTCTTGCACAACTGTGACTGCATGTCCAGATACTCTCCTTCTTTACAGGAGAAGTCTGTAAGAGGGAAATAGGTGCCTCATTTGAATGGTAAACCAGGAAAACTATGGACGGCATGGCAAGGTTCATAAAGCAGATAAGCTCTGTCACAAATGGCACGTATTGAATGAGATGGCACTCACTGCACTGGGTGCCTTTGACTGGATCTGGGAGGCCTGTGCATGTGTCGGCTTTGTTGGGAACAGCCACTCTCCATCTTGACCCAAGTACGTCACACTCTGTGTACTCAAAGTGATAGTCTGACTGCGGAGGGAAAACACAGGTGTGAGTTTCACACGCACACAAACACATAGATGAACACATGCATCAAAAACACAAAATAGAACTACACCTGATAAAGTTTAGCTTTAGGTATATAAGTCAGCATGTATTTTGTAAGGTAGATAGAGCTGTCACCTAAAGACGGCTGTTATATACCTGAGGAATTTTATTCCAAAACCAGACAAGCCTCTTTTCCAAACAAGTCGTAGCTAATATTTGCCCAGAAGGCCGTCTCGGCTGTTGTTTCAATCTCCCTCATCAAGGATGTGTTGCCGACTCCCTTCAGGGTCTATTTACTCAGCCAAGGGGGAGAGATGCTGATTCGCCAATCCTTTTGTCAACATTTAATTTTAGTGTTGTCTCAGGACTTGGAAGACAACTGAGCTCAGGTGCAAAGCTAAAGTATTTACTTGTCCCTGCTGTGACACCTTTTGGGGACACTTAAAAACACCACCCATGAAGATATGAGATTTAATGGGAAAGGTTATCTCGTCTGACACCCTGTGAATTAAGGTGGAAAGTCACTCAGGATACTAATCCAAGCCCACACACAACCTTGTGGGATTAATAGTTAACAGAAACACAGCAGCCGCAGCACTCCTTGAGGTCTGTGTTTTTGATTAGATCTGCTACATTAGCTGTGTTTGGGGTGTCAGGTGAACATGGGTCCAGCTGGGGGGGATCACATGTAATAATGCAACACATTGGAAAGGTGCACAGCATAGTCACCTCTTTTACACAAACATGACGAAACCAAGGTAACGGGACATAATGGCCTCTGTGCCACATGGTCAGTAGACAGGCATGGTAACGAAATCAGCTGATGAAAGTAGCTGCTACCAAATGAGCCCTTGAATCAACATCATAACACAGTAAAAGCACTCAACAACTCAAAAAACTACCGGTCTCTTGGGCAACCTTTTTCTCTTTCAGGGTATCTAACCTCCAAATACTCTGAGATAATATGCTGATGAAATACAAATGCTTGAGTACTATCAAGCAGGGCTGCAGCTGTAACCAAATTAAAAGAGATACTGAAGCTGACACTCAGCAGAACATATGGAAGTTATAGTGAAATAAATCTTATAGTACAAACACTAAAGTAAGCAGATGTGAAGAGTCCAAAGTCATGTCAACTAAACATGCTAGTGAAACATATGCTGCTGTCTCACATACAATGTGTGAGGGAGAAATGAAACTATCGCCATCAGATATTGTCTGATGACGAAAACACCATCTCTCTTTGCTTTAATTTCATCAAGAATGACAAAAATTCTCAATTGACATAAATAGAAACAAAGCTGAATGTTTCTTTGCATATCCAGAAATCTGTATGGCTGTTCAAGGGGCTTCAAGTGAGCAATCTTTCAATGTACAAAGTAATTTTGCATTAAAGAGCAACACAGATCTTGTACTGCATTAAATTTTGACTAACACCTCGAGCTCAGCTGATGGCATTAATAATTAATTGTGATATCAGCAGGTATGAGTATCTCCTCACCTCTTTGCACATGGGCAAATCCGCTGAGGTTTGGGCAAAAAGCAGCCACAGCACAAGGTGGCACAGGTGCAATGGGCCTCGCTGCATCATCCCCTCCTGTTAGCGTCCAAGTGATGGAGACATGAGGAGCGCAGGGGTGAACTGCGCCCTCAGGTGCAAACAGCCCAGCGGCTTGAGGCGTGGCTTTACTCTAAACAATGCACAAATAAAGGGAGGACTAGAACTCTGACGTCTACTTTCATTTTGACTCTGTTAGCGTGCATGAACTACAGAAACACATTAGCAGCCTTGTATTGCCTCTTTTCTGCGTGCAATGACCCAACCTTTAGTGTGGTAAATTCCAGTAATTTCAATTAAGTTTATCAGAATCAACCTCAATTAAAAAAAATAAAAATGTTTTAATCCCCTCGTCACTTAAAGAACTCTGAATGAAAACTGATAGGCAAACTAAATGCTCGGGGGGGTTGCATTTAATGTTGATTTTGAACTCGTGGTTTTCGTCACGTATAAGACCATGAAAAGCTGTTGTTGTGGAGTGGAGGATCATCTGGTCCGATCTTGTCGGAAGCAGAGCGGAGCACAGCACCAAGCTGCTTACGCTCTCCCACACTCTGTTGAGCCGCCACAGCCCCCGGACCTCAGGTCAATGATAACCACCTTTGCAGGTGTGTAGTTGTGTTTAATATGCCCTTAGACGTTTTTTAAAATTCGTTTTGTGTGGTTTAAAGGCATTTTGAGAGCCTTCTAAAATGTCATTTTGGTCTCTCAAAAGTTTTTGGTTAGTGCTGTATGGTTTTAGATGAAGAGGAGACCCCTCAATTTGATTTTCTCTTTTTTTCCCCAGGGACAGGAGCTAATATTAATACAAGACACAAGTATCAGTTAAACATAAGTCATCTATTCAGACAGAGATACAGTAAGAGGGGCGATGAGGCTCATGGCTCCTGCGAAGTGGGAGTCTTTTAACAGAGACGTTGTTGTTTCTCCCAGGCCGGCGAGGGTCGTTACTCCTTGGCGGACTTCTTGGGCAGCAGCACAGCCCTGCATGTTGGGCAGCACCCCTCCCTGAGCGATGGTCACTCCGACCAACAGCTTGTTCGGCTCTTTGTCGTTACGAACAGCCAGCTGCAAGTGACGGGGGATTAAACGTGTCTTCATGTGGTCCCGGGCAGCATGTGCTTCTGTCTACCTCTGACACAGCGGTTAAATGAAGCAGTCAGCTGAGCTCACCTGTCATCGACCGTTTCCTTTTCTCAAGTTTGACCGGAAGTGTGTTGTTGCTTAGAAACCAGGTTGTGACCTTCAAGGGGAGTTTTTAATAAGCTTAGACATAAGCAACAAAAACCAGCATAGGTTATACCTTTTGTTAATCGTCGAGTTTGCGGATTTTCATTAATAAATATGTCAAAGCGGGATCCCTATTCCTCCCCAAAGTTTGAGAATGACTTCACTCTCAGCGGCCTCAGACCACAGCAGGTCAGTTTTTCCACTGTTCACCATAGAGACTGTTGACTTGGTAAACTTAACGTCAAGCTAAGGGTTAGGCAGAAATGTAGACTATTTCAGAACACAGGTTTAACCCTGTCGGTTATTTTAAAAAATGGAACTAAAACGTTTTTATAGAGCAGCTGATTCGGAACAGCAGTCCAATAAAATCCTGTTATTCATATTATATGAAATAGTCCTGTGTTTTAGCATCGACTAACAGACAAAATCGACATTCTGTGTATTTTAGACCTTAAGATAAAATGATAAAATGTGGACAAAAGATAAAATGTAGTTAAATACTCATCCTATGAATACAGGGGCCCCGGGGTCCTTGGACCTTTACTTATGTATTCCTGTTCTTTGGATCAATACAGCCCTAAAACAGCACATTTCCATATTTATATATTTATATATTTATGAAGTGCAACTAAAGAACTTCACAAATCAAAGTATCTAATCATACGTTTTGTTAGGTGGTTGCTATTCAGCATTTAATACAAACAACATTTTTTATTTCAATTGAACATCTAAAAAACAGATACAGTAATATAATACAAAAGCTTTTGGATGAAGGATGATTTAAGATCGCACCTAGGGGTGACTCGTCTCTTATTTTACATTGCTTGCAAATAAATGTCATACTTCAAGAAAAGGATAAACTTAGTATACAAAACTTCTGAATTAGCATATACTTAGCTCTTAAACAACTTTCATGCCTTGTTTGAACTCGTCTTTTTTTGGGCTTGGCATTTTTATTGCACATCTACAATTACTTGAGCAATCAAATTAAATTCCAGCGTGTAATTAAAAAGTCTAATAACTTATTTAAGTCAACATTGCTGGTGAATGATATCAAATAACATTGAGTTTGTGTCAATCATGCAATGTTACCTCAGGCAACAATCAATCATGCAGTAATTTCAATGTAAATTTTAAATCTCTTATTTTGCAGAGGAGGGCGTATAACAAACCGACTCATCTCGCCCAAACAGAGGAACCATGGAGCCGCCTTTATGACACAGCCACTTCAGCCAGTACCAGGCGCAGTATCACGTGTGACATGAGTCAGGTAACAATGATGAAGCAGGATTTGACCTTCACTGATAAAACTAAGAAAATATTCCAGGACAAATTAAAGAAATAGCTTTTTTTTTTTCTAAAATTCAGGGTCCAAATGACAGCCTGGATTTCCAGCTGAAGTCTATTTACAATCACCACAAAGACCTGTTCCTCCAAAAGAACCAGATATTGTTCCAGAGAGAGACTTTCTCTAAGAAGGAGAGGTGGGTTTTTTCTGGTCTGGCAGGAAAACTTTACTGTTCTAGCAGCAGCATTTTAAGAGTCTAGAATCAACACTGATTGTGTGTCCTTTTTGTGTTAATTTACAGGAAACAGGAAAAGTTAATGCAAGAAAACAACATTAGGGTGTGGGTCGATCCACAAAGGTGTTCAATTTACAGCATCAAATGAAGCACAGGTGGGGTTTATGAATATCATGATCCTCAAGCATTGCAGCAAATGGCTGTGGTGAAATCTGCAGAAATAAACCTGGCACTGTTAATGAAATACCATTGTTTCATGGTGGGTGCAGGCTTTCCTCAAATTTTAACACAAAACCTTTTTTTTTTCCATCAACAGGTGTTTCAAACAAGCAGCACAGCGGGAAGAGAGCTTGTCAGTCAACATGAGACTTTCTGTGCTGCTGTCTCTACAACCAACAACACAGCTTGTGAATAAACGACTTTCTAAAGTGCATTTTTGTTGGGCTGCTTGTATCAATCAAAGTGCCATAAAAAAGAAGGGTTATAATATGAAACCCCCAAAAGTCTTGAAAAACTAGAACCAATTTGTAATAAAGTATAAGCATCAATACTAATACAAAGCAAAACTCCTACCTAACGTGATAATTCTTGGTAGATTACACTTTAGTGCAGATCACCCAAAACAACTATATCATGCACATTTAAATACAGGATTTAATGTGACATATTATGAGCAGATGTTGTATTTCAAAAACATTTTGTAAATTTCATTTTAACTGGCCTACAAAAAAAATAAATCTAAACTGTTTCTGTATTAAAAAAAAAACACCAGGGCTCATATTGAGTGAGGATTATGAAATGATACTAAACACTTTTTGAGTAGTAACCGCATATTTTATTTAAAAATAACATATAAACATGTGCATATTATTCAGTTAAAGTTTAAACAGTTTAATATTGTGGTCTATGCAAAGAGTTAAAATGTTGCTGTAAATCTTTACATATGAATGTCCCCGAAAAAACAGTGTTTCTAAAGGACTCTTGTCGAACAAAAACTTTGATAAACTTTTCTCTCTGCACTGAAACGGCAAACAGAACTTCTTTCAACGATCTTCAAATAACCAACATCAGTTTTTAGGGTCTTACTCTTCTGATTCACTGATCTGGAACTATGTCGAGTTCAGGTTGGGACAGGTGGATTCACTGCTTCGCTTTTCTTTTGAGACATCGCCTGATGAGAGCCTTCTCATCCCATCTGTTGGGGGGAAGCATGAGGGGGCCATTATGGACACAAAGGACGGTCATCTCTTTGGCGTACTCAAGGTTCTTCAGCAGCTGGAGATAAACAAGACCAGGAGGTAAGTCAGGAAGTGCACTCATTCTCATGGATGCAGGAAGATAATCATGATAATCTACCAATTACAGCAAGCAACAACTGTTTTTGGCCACGTGAGGGCAGCAGATACAACTTAGTTGAAGCTAGTATTGATGCAAGTTGAAAAGTGGACACAAACAGCTGCTTTAGGATCAAGTAGTTGTGAGACTTAACACAAATTCTCATGACTAACACTGGCGTTTATACTAGGTCTTCATTTAACTCTAATAATCACCGTCTTTTAACTTTGTTTTTGGTCTCAGCCAAGGTCACCCAAGTCAGACGGAAATATGAAGCTCTTCCTTCATTAAATGACATTTTTAAGTTCACCAAGGAAAAAAAACCGACTCAGAATGCACTATTACAATCATTTAGAACCATCTGAACGCTCATTCATTAGAGAGTACAAAGACTTACTTTTGGTGTTATTAAGAAGTACTGGGATGTTGTCTCTTTGCAGGCTGTGCGGACCACAATGTCAAAGACTCTTCTCTCATTTACAGGATCCATCCCCTACACAAAGGAGAGCAACAGTCTCAGTCACTCTGACATGAGCCAGCAGGAGACAAGACACTTGTACCACTTGTCACCTTGAAAGGTGAACAAAACGGGTTGTGTGTGTGTTGTGTGTGTTGTGTGTGTTGTGTGTGCGTGCGTTTGCGGAGCGAGTGCCATACTTGACTTGGTTGATCTCATCCACCACTCTGAAGGGGCAACGGTTGAGCTCCTGTAGGGCCATCAAGTAGAGCATTGTGGAGACGCTGCGCTCTCCTCCGCTCTGATGATAGGCTGTCAGCTCGTGGAGTTGAGTGCTGCTATGAAACTTCACACGGATTCTGATCCCGTACTTGTCATACTCCTCCTGTGGTGGCACATGTTGTTTGATGAGCGGCATTTTTTTTCTCCACCCCCAAACAAAATGAACAGTAACTGATACTGGCAACAACCTGAAGGACTAATCCTGCTGACATTACATCAGGTGTTACATTAGAAAACCCGGCTAATCATTTTATCATCACAAAGATTTCAGAATAATTGAGTGTTTACCTCATTCTCTGAGTGCAGATCTACTTCTCCTGCACACTGCATTTGACGGAAGAAATCACTGAACTTGGCGTTAATCTGTTCCACAAGCTGCTTCAGAGGGTTCAGCCAGCGCTCCTTGGCCTATTGCACAGAGAGAAAGAGTGAGCAACTATGATGGCCATGCTATCAACTCAAGAAAATCCCACAGAGAACCTTGACTATCCCCAAAACATCCAAGGTTAACGACTGCAGAGACAAGTTTAGTACCTCTGAAATGTTCTGTCGATAGGCGGTCAGGTCATTGCTTTTTTCCTCCAGCTCTTTCTCTAGATGTTTGATCTCCTGCTCTCTTCTGTTGTACTCATCAACAACCTTTGAAGCAGAAATGTAACTTGATGAATCATTTGAGCGCAATATCCAATTAAAGAAGCAAGACGACTTTCTATGAATTCATAAATAGGTAACAAGGGCAGTCTGAGACCTCTTTGATTTTAGAGAGCACCATGTTTTTTTTTTTTTTTTCAGCCTGATAACGACTTTATACTGAATAAAGAGGCCAAGACAGATAAAACTCTCAGCTGACTCTCATGTGCTCTTACATTTTCACTGAGGCCAGTGAAGCACTCAGCTCTGGAGCGCTCCTCATTAAGCATGGCATCAATCTCATCCAGCGTGTCAGGTAGCTCGCTGAAAGCCTGCATAAACAACAAAACAGAAAACATGAACGTTTTAAACGAATGATAACTTATGTTCAAAAGGCTTACAAAGCAACAGCAGGACTCTGTGAGTTCAATCATATTTTGTAGCAAAAGGTGCCGGCGGTTTCATCAAGCAAAACAAGCAATGTGGTCAACACTAACATTACGCAGGTCTTCAGGTAAAGTGGCATCAGGTTGCATCTTGCAGATGGACTTGGCTGTCCTCAACAGGCCTTTGCATTGTTCTGTCAGCTGAATCTTCCTCTGCTCCAGACGACTACATTTTTGCTGCAAGAACCCATACATAGTTAGAATTTAGCAAAAATAGACGAAAAAAGCAGACATTAAAATTGTGGACAAGTATTAAGAAGAGAGTGAGAGAATTACATCTGCAGTCTTGAGTTCTGAGGCACCCTCCCTACAGTCGTTCTCTAGTTTGGTCCTCTCCGCTGTCAACCCCACTGTCTCCAAAGCCAAGTACACTTTCTCTATTGTCAGCTGGGCTCTTAGCTATAAAAAAAATACCAGGGATAGTGAGCGTTAGAGATAGTAAGACATTTGTAGGGAAAAAAAGACAGAATAGGACTGAGGGCCTGATCTTGAACCACGCACAGTCACCAAAGAAGGAGTAGTACTGCTGTACCCAACGCTTGTACATGGGTACACTAAAGGCAGAAATAGGGAACACTGGAAAAGAGCTCCATAAGGACATTGTAGTACTTTCATTGAAGGACCTGAAAAAAGGTTGTGTTACATTCAGTCGTACCTTCATATGAGCCACGAATACTTTGACGATGTCCACCTTCTGGAGATTGACAGCTTCTATTTTATCTTTTGTCTCCTCCTCAATCTTTTGAAGGTCAATAACATTGTTCTCCATCTGCCTCAAACTTAACACAACAAAATAGGGAGACTATTTCGTGGTTATCTGTGTTAACACAAATGATTCATCTCTATACAAACATATTTAATGTTGCAGTCAAACCAAATGCTGTGCCTGATTACCATTCTAATTATTTAAGGTGGATTTACCTGTCCTGTTTGGTGCTGATCTTCTGCTCCAGCTGTCTCTTTTTGCCCTTAAGCTCAGACAGCTGTTTTTTCTCAGTCAATAACTCGTTGTCCTGACGATCCAGAGCAGCAGCATCCCTCTGCAAGGCCTTCATTCGTTCATCGATTTCTTTTATTTTTGACTTGCAGGTCTGGCCACAGAAGAGGTAAACAATAAACTCTCAACACGACTGAACCAAATGGACTGAAATATGTCTAGGTACTGTTTATTGATAGGGGTAAAAGAAATGAATCCCTCCCTCCTCAAACCCTGCCTTTATCTGCTGCTCCAGCTTCCGCTTCTCTTCAGCATCCACAGTGATGGTGAGGTACTGGGATGGGTGCACTGCAGAGTTACTGGTGCTTATCTTGTTTGAGTAGAAGGACCTCTTCAGTGTGTACCTCTCCTCTGTTGTATACAACACCTTGAGGTAGGGCTCCTCTATCACCTGTTTGAGTGAAACAGAAAAAAATGATATCAGCAGAGGTGCTTTTTAAATAGAAATTAAAGAAATATCTTTTTCTTTAATTGCTAGAAACCTCAAGCTGCTATAGAAATTCTCTGAACTTCAGTGGTCCCCTGAGAAATATATAGAGAAAAATGTGCAGCTGTCACATCCAACTTAGCAGACTTATTCAAAAAAGATAAATCAGACAATTAAAACTGATCAAATCACAATCTAATACAACCCAGCAGCTAATTATTCAATTCAAGGATTGATTATTAATAAATTTATTACTGTAGCCCACCTGATAACCTAAAAATGGCTGTGGGAAGAGAAACTTACTGTTTTAATCATGGCTTTAGTCTGGTCATTGCCTACAGGGACGTCATGTACCCTGTACTGTTGACAGAGGTAACTCATCACCTCATCAGGGGCGTCAAACATCTCACGAAGGTAGGTGAAGAACCCAAAGCGACTACAAATAAAGGACATATCAATGCAAAATGTAACAGAGACAAAGATATATTTAATGAATTGTTTTTCTACAGTGACTACCATCAAGCTATATTAAATTTGACGTACCTCAGAGACTCAATATTTCTGGATGGTTCGCGCCTGGAGCATGACTCTTCAGGGGAAGAAATGGCATTCACCCTTAAGTTCATTTTGTCTCGGACCTGTGGTCAAGAAACATCAAACATACGGCTTGATTTAGAGGGTGATAATTACTATTTCACAAGATAAGATAAATTTAACACTCAAAAAGTATAATCTGTATTTAGACAGCTTTCCATTCTCTAGGCAAGACTTAAAATGACAGAAATCAACGGCAGCCTCCTGACCTCAGCCATGAACCGCTCCATGTCATCTTTTCTCTGGAAAACAAACGCCCTCAGATCATGGAAAGCGATGTGGGTCTCCACGTACTTCGCAAAGCGATGGTCCTTAACATTGATCTGTAAAATGAGAAAGGGATAAGTGCACGGCTTTGCAGAATTTCAGTGCTGACAAGAGTCAAATAAGCAAAGCTTTGGCCTCTGAGGGTAAGGTATCAGGATAAATGTCTGATCTATTCTGCTTTTGGGATACATACAGATGGTGACACTTAAAAACCCGTCATTTGTTTGCTTTTTTATTTAATAATAACTTCAGGGCAAACTAATGTAGCTGTAAACATAAAAATCATTTACTCATAGTTGTACTTATCGAGGAAGGCATATTTTCTTTACTGTATTTTACCTTTAAGTCGTTTATACGTGTATTCACAGCTATGATAAGTTGATGCCTATTTGATGACAAATACATAAAAGATCCCTTAATGGTGTTTGTATGAACCTGGATCTACATTCTAGTGTCTGGAAAACTTTCAAAAGTTTGTTTAACATTGGGGTTAACGTATTCTTCGCACATTGTTGGCTGGTACTCACCACCAGCATCATGGGCTCATGGACATTTCCATCAAACATCTCCTTGTGCTGCCTGAGCCACTGGAGGGCAGTGTATGTGTCCTTGTGCCGTCCACGCAGCTTCTCTTCTTTGACATTCATCAAGTTGTTCACATCATTGAGCTTCTTCTCCAAACCTTGTAAGATAAAAACATGAACATTTTGTAGCCTGACTGAAGAGTCTCTGACTGGCACAAGCATTATTCATGTAGATTTGTGAGCAGCATCATTTCTAAGTAGTTTGAGTTCTGTTGGTGTAATCTCTCAAGTCTGCGGGTAAGACTCACTTCTCGCCTCAGCACAGAGGTTGTCTTTCTCCCTGCGCAGGTCAGATTTCTCTCCTTCAATCCTGGCTCTCTCAACCTGAATGCGCCTCAGCTCAGTGTTGACTTCGTTGATCCGCGGTGTCACGTCAGGTTGGTCAGCGATCTTGGCAAGTTCTGCCTTCATGTCCTCGATAGTCCGTCTAGTGTTGCTGATTCGGTTTTGGTGGTCTTTCTCTTCCATCTCCTTTAATCTTTGGGTTTGTTTTATATCGTCAATCTGTTGAGAAAAACATTTTACGTATAGACACACAGAACACAAAAGATGAGCTTTACCAAGTACAAGTGTATCATCAATATTTAAAAAAAATGTAACTGGGTATTTTTTGTCATCTACTCTTTCCTAAATACAAAGTTTGGAATCAATTATTATTAAATCAGCTCTGATCATTTTTAAAGACCATGAGGAATACAGTCTCACCTCTTTGTGCTTTCGGTCCAGCTGATCTTGTTTTTGTTTGCACTTTAGAGAGGCTTCTTTGATGGCAGCCGTCTGAAAACAAATGAGCAAACAGTTACCTTCCAAGAAGTTGATGACTGAAGAGGGAAAGAGATTAAAGCCGCCGAGGGGAAATTTTTAGATGATCATAAAACATTCCCAAACAAAAGCAAAGTAGACCACCAGAGAAAAAAAAAATATTCTGTAACCTCTGTAGCAAGGTCATTGTGATAAATATAAGGCAGAAAAAGCCTTTTAAAAAGAGGTATCACTCATAGTATAACCCCACATTTAGACATTTCCAATAAAGCAGGATGAGATTAAAAAAGAAACTAAATATATACCACGCAAAATATAACAATTCATTTCTTCTTTTAGAACCAGCTGTCCTGCTGTGGGCTTGTTTGAGAGAAAGAAACCTTATCTTTTTCACCTTCGCCTTTATTTGTGCCTCTGTAGGTTTCAGCTGATTGTCAATCGTCTGGATTTTCTTCAGCATGGGCGTCTGGGCCTGCCTCAGGGCAGAGAGCTGCTTTTTGGCCTCCTCTCGCTCCTTCTTTACACCCTCCAGCTCTTTCCGGGTGGTCTCATATTCCTAGAACCAGTCAGAAAGCGTTAGAGTCAATACAGGATAAAGGATTCAGTTCAGTCTGTCTGGCTGTATGCTGTGCCTGTTTGTCTCTTCCTCTTATACACACTGTTTCATTCCCCACCACTTACCACCCATGGTTTCTTCTTTGAGAGCAATTCAATTACATCAAGATGCCTCTTCTTTTCATAGTACCGGTTCATGTCATGTTTATTCCTCTCATTCCTCTGCTTAGCCCTCTCCAGGAAGCTGGCCTTCTCCTTCACAATATTCTGAAGAGAATCAAGATGCAGAAAAGTTTGTAAATCGAAATAGTGGGTCTTCAAATTGCAGAACTAGCTTAACATTTTTTTAATCTAAATAGTGACAAATAGAGCCTCATCTTGGTGTGCAATAAAAGATGAAATTAAAAAAATATATCTCATTAAGCCTCCTCCAAACAGTGGATTTAAACACTATATCTTAATTAACCGTCAAGATTGAAACTGACTCTCACTAAAATCAAAGTAGCACATGCTTCTGTATGTGAGTACAAACTTCTCTGTGTACTCTAATATGTACTCTAATGTGTACTAATATGTTTACCTCCAGCTCTCGCTCTCTATTTCGGAAATTTTTGAGCTCACAGTGGTATCCGTACATCTCTGGTGGTCCCACTGACTTCTCTGTTGCCTCTAGCAACTCAACTTTGGACATCTTGGCAAACTCTCCCACTTTTTCCTGTGAAGGTAAACAGACCACATCATCAGAAACCGAGAGGACAGTGTTGTTACATTCGAGACACACTAGACTTATACGTCCATTGTTTGAAATAAGGTGTTGCACAATTTTTCTAGAAATAAACTGAGGTCGCCACAGGGTACTTGTTCTCTGATAAGAAATATGAGCGCTCGTAATACCCACAATACCCTCTGCTGTTAAGTTTCATAGCCTGTTACATGGCTTCTCATGTGCCCCACAGCCCGGGACTTCATGACCTCTAATGGCCTCTATAACCAAAAAAACCAATGTGGAGTTTCTGTATCATGAATTCTGAAAGAAAGTTAAAGCCAGAACCAGAAAGATGATTGGGCTAGGGCTCAAATAAAAGATAGTGAGATGTGTCCTATGTGTCCACGCATAAAAATATAGCTTTAATATTGAAGCTGATATTGTACGTTTTTAGACCCAATGCTGCTGTATATGGGATAACACCCCCATTGTTGAGAAATTTTTGGTTGTGACCAACAACTACTACCTAACACATTCAAATTATTGCTATCATAGTGAGAATGAGAAGAAAAAAAATCAAGGCATGCTTTGATATAAAATGAGAAGACATAATTAAATATCCACACTTCACAACCCTTCTGTGTGACAGCTCACACAAAGCTTTTGAACCTACAGTATATCAAGAACAAGACTGAGCTATTTTCGTATTTCATTGTGGAACTCAGTGTAAGTAAATACTGGTAGTTTAACTGTTGTACACTATGAGGGTACATTTCTATTAATCTGCTGATTGTGCTCAGCCTGGATCAACTGTGATTTTCTGCAGAGGTAAGTCAGACATCCTAACTTTAAGACTGGTTTATAATTGAGCATTCAGAGGTTATGTCTACCATGTGCAGATTTGCATTTGCATCAATTATGCTGTTCTAGTCTTTAAAAAATGGGAAGCTGTTAGTCTTATTTTCTGTGTTTGTACAATCCTATATTACAGCGATGTGCACAAACCTGGGGCAGAAACTGGCAGAGGTTGCCGACTTGAATTTGAAGAGCCTTAACCTCTTCTTCAACTGCTTTCTGGTTGCAGTGTTTTCCATTCAGCATCCACAGTGACTGGTTGTTGTCTGCATGGATCTCCCTGTTGATCACTACATTTCCACTCCTTTTGTAACTGGAACAAACATAACAAAGGAAGAACTCTTAGTGTGAGCCCAGCCTTGTATCAACAAAGTTATTAAATTACATCCAAATATCTGTTGTTCTCGAAAGTAACAGTATGTAGTTGCCAAGTCTTGAAAAACTTACAGTTCGATTTCAATCGATCCTTTGGAACATCCTCGTTTCACATAGAGCCCAACCTGAAAAGAATGCAAACAACTAGATTTAACAAATTTGAAGCAGAAAAGAAAAGATCGGCTAATTTTCTTTTCTGCTTGATTAGTGACAAACTATACATGCTATCCATCCATTTTCTACCGCTTATTCCCGTTACCGGGGTCGCAAAGGGGGCTGGAGCCTATCCCAGCATCTTCGGGCAAAGGCAGGGGACACCCTGGACAAGTCGCCAGTTCATCACAGGGCTGATATGTAGAGATGTACAACCATCCACGCTCACATTCACTCCTATGGGGAATTTGAAAATGGCCAATTAACCTAACCCCACTTAGGCGTGTTTTTGGGATGTGGGAGGAAACCGTAGTACCCGGAGTAAACCCACACAGACACAAGGAGAACATGCAAACTCCACACAGAAACACCCTGAGCCGGGTTCAAACTCAGGACCTTCCTGCTGTGAGGCGACAGTGCTAACCACTACACCACTGTGCCACCCTCCTATACATGCTAGCAAGAGGTAAATGAGACATAGACAATATTTATTTCTTAAACTGTCACTTTAATTTTCTGCCACTGGTCCCAAACATCATTTGATCAGATGTTAATGGGTTTTACAAAGAAACTATGGCCTAACCATGTTAATGGCTAATCTACCAATAGCTATGTTATACTGCTGTTTACCTTATCGCCTCTGGCCAGGATAGCAGTCTTTCCAGCCAGACCAAGACAGATGGCACACACAATGCTGGACTTGCCAGTTCCATTGGCTCCAATGATCATGTTCAGATTGGGTCCAGGATGGACCACAGAGTGGTCGTAGGTTCTATCAGAGCACAGGAGAAGTGCACCTTTTTTCCCAGTGTTTTGAAGAAAATGTGATTAAGATAACTTATTTTACTTTCATAAATACATTCATTTAAAATTAGAAAATATGATCAAGTAGCTCCTTGTGTAACAGCTTATGGAGACCATGCAAATAGAAGATAACTTTAGTGCGTAGGAGCCTGCCGTGCTCCTATTAGGATCTTGCTGGCACTAACAAAAAAGAAGACTTATGACACAAACAATCCTCCTCTAGTAAGTTATCAAACCATGAGCAGAGTCGGCTTACATGTTTTTAACACTGCAGTCATGACGACTGACTTGACCGAACTGGTTTTGGGGCCGTATTTACTTGTTACACATCATGTTAGTGAAATTTCAAGTACATTTAGACAGCGTTGGATAACAGGTGAGTTTCAGCTGTCAGCGGAGCTATCGAGCTATCACCGGGTTTGTCTTCCAGTTCGGGCTGACGGTAGTTAGTTTCGGTTTACATCTGCTCGGATTGTTGGCAGCTCTTGAGCGGTAACTTACAGGAAGTTTTTCATTGTGATACTAAGTATGGAGCCCTCCACATAACGATCCTCCGCAGCAGTGCCTGGCTGACTGTCTGCTTCTTCGCTTCTACGGGTTTGTGAGCTCATGTTGGCATAACTGACTCGCTTTCTTTTACCGGACTCCGCCATGCTGGAAACATTAAATACAGGCTGATCGTCTCAACTCATGTATGCTCGCCTCGCGCGCTTCGCAGAGCAGTTGGTGAAATTTGATTGGACTAACAAGGTCACATGTATACACAAAGGCTGATGTTTCACCGGCAGCGCGAATTATCGCGAGATTTAGTAGTTGACGAGAGCGTCAACATTATACATGTAAACGCCCCATTTCGTACTGGAGCAGAATCCAGCGTCACCGCCATATTGGATGGGTCTCCCCACTCCAGGTTTGCTCAAGAGCCAAATGGGGTCAGTGGAGAACGAGCAACTATGCCCGAATTTATTTATTTTTACACTCTATGGTTGAAAAACTCCGACGCACTATTGAAACCAGATCACGTAGGATTACATTTTACAAATAGGATTGAAAAATAATTTGTTCTAACATGGATCACCCACTTCACAAAACCTTGATGGACCAAAGGGCAAATGGTGGTGGACGGCTCCTCTCTCTTCGCTGCACGACAGAAAGATTCAGAGGATCTTTTGTACCAACAGCCATCAGGCTTTATAACTCTTGTGTAAATAGTAGATGACTTTTTGAGACTTACTGTATTATGTGAGACAAAAGACAATTGAATTTCTCCTCAGGGATTAATAAAGTTATTCTTATCATAAAATCATTGCTGATCACACTGAATGCCGAGAACTTTTGCTTATAGAAGACTTGTGCAGAGCACTGCTCATCAGAATACATACAATCCTCATATTTACAATGTCAAAAATTGTATGTAGGTAAACATCATATGGAGGCATAAAATTAAGGGAGGTGTTTTTTTTTTTTTAACAGAAATACTCCACTGGCTACATCTAGCAAGGAAAAAGTTGAGACCTTTGAGTGGATAATGATAAGATTTTGAACCTTTATTGTTTATATAGTAAGAATTCGAGAGGACTCTGTGAAGGATGTGGTGGAGATATCTACACTGAGGAAGGTGGAGACTATTCTAAAGAACATGGATCACTCACTTCACAACACCTTGATGGACCAAAGGGCAAATGGTGGTGGACGGTGTTGTGAAGTGGGTGATCCGTGTTCTTTAGAATAGTCTCCATCTTCCTCAGTGTAGATCTCTTTAATATAAGATTTATCTTTCTTTGGTTTTACAAATCAAGGACAAGTTAAAAGAGAATTGGATCAACTTGAGGACCTTGAACATTCAAGTGTGTGTTCTTCCGCCAGTTGTGAGGGTGTTTCAAGTGTACAGAACTACAAAAATATTAACAAAAGGTCAGCACTCCCATTACAGTTTAACATTTTTCTATTCTTTATTAAAACATTTTTCATCATACTCATCAGTATTCTTAGAGTTGTGGCAGCTATAAATGTCCTCTTTGTCTGGACTGATGATCAACAAGAGATATGATATCAAACTCTTTGTTTTCAACAGTCTGTGGCCTCCTCAGTATAATGTAGGCAGGCATGAGATGTCCAGGCTGTGTGGATGTTGGTCAGGACCCAGGCTTCTGTGGTCTACTCAGACATAAAAGCAGTCAAATCGGCCCTTCTCAAATAAAACAAAGGTTTCACTGATGTAACAGTGTTTTTGAGAGACTGTAACTCCAGTAAATCTCTCCATAACAACCACAGCCTATCAGGCTCCTAATGTTACATCGTTCACCTTTGCGCGCGCTTTGCCAATCGGGATCACGTGTACAAACAAGGCCTCAGCAATACAAACAATAGTCATCAGTGAAAAAAAAAACACCCAGGGCTCTCCAAAACTCGTCAGTTGTGGTAAGATCAGAATCGCCTCTATACTCAGAGTCCATTGTGAAGCTTGAGATTGACCCAAGCTCAGCCAGAACTAGTATATCTGATCAATTCATCACCTCTGACCACAGCACGAAGCGTGGAGGCCCTGAAGGTAAACATCCTGCCGGCTTCTCACCGCCACCGAGGCTCGAGAGCAATTTTCTTATCACCTCTGATCGGAGCAGAGCCAGACTCAGATCAGATCAAATAAGATCACTGTGTAGGTTTAAAGAAACATTCACACTCAAACACCGCACATTCGCTCAAACAAGCATTCACCATACTCTCACACAGCACCCACGCAGATCATTCATACTGTGAGAAAGAGAGCTTCCGGTTCAGCTTTTAACTTCTGAGCCGCATTGAATTATGGGAAACAAAGGTAAATAGTTGTATGTCGCCCTCATGTGGTCGTTCACGGGAAGACCTCTCTACAGTATGTGTTTAATGTCATTTAACATTCATTATTCGACTGTATATTTTTAATCCTGCCATACAATCAATAAATACTCTACGATGGGTTTCCCTAATTAATACAGTGTTAATGTTATGGTATCAATGAGATAGCTACGGTGGCCGAGAACCGCCACTGCTGCCAAAAAAAAAAAGAAATCACAACGGAAGTTACCTATGCAAAAAAGAAACCAAAGCCAGTTGCAAATAAAAAAAGAAAAAGTGCAGATAAAAAAAAAAATAGCCACAATTGAAGTTAAAGACGCATGAGGCCGTGTAGTGCCTGAGTCGATATGAAGTTGAACTAAAGAGAAATTAAACAATAAACTTTCCACTAACTTCTTTGCTCATCTTCTCGCCATCGTCTTCTGTGCTTAAATCGTAAAACACTGGTGCATCACCATTATTGGTCCCCAGCAGCTCACTTCAATTGTGGCTATTTTTTTTTTTTTTTTTTTTTTGCATCCTTTTATTTTCACAGAAAGTTTTTTTTTATTTTTTTGCTTTGCCAATTTTTCTTGCGTCTTTAACTACTATTGTGGGATTATTATTATTATTATTATTATTATTATTATTATTATTATTATTATCATTATTATTTTAATCTGCACTGTTTCTTTTTTATTTGCAGTGGGCTTCGTTTTTTTTTTTTGTTTGTTTGTTTTGTTTTGTTTTGTTTTGTTTTTTGCATCAGTAACTTCTGTTGTGGCTTTTTTTTGCATTCTTTTTTTTTGCATTCTTTTTTATTTGCAGCAGTGAGGGTTCTTGGCCACCGTAGATAGCAGACAGTTTTAGCTGCACTATAAATGTTGAAAATCCTTAATTATTGGTCAAATGCCCTTGCACAAACACCATATAAATGTATTTGTGTTTCAGTAATTAAATATACAAAAGACAACTTATCCTATCAATTACTGGAACATTTATGTCAAGGCCACCACACAGACACACAAAAAGCCTGAATTACTGAAAAAAAGCTAGTTTACTTGAGTCTTGAGTACATGACTGTTAGTTCTGACAAAAAAAAAAAAAGATGCGGACATCCTTTAAGTTTTACATGAGTCATGTCACATACATTTGCATGCACAGATATCATAAAAGTCAGTGGATGCATTCATGTACCAAAAGTATATGCGAAGACACGTGCATATGCAGAGGACTTTGTTTCGTTTTTCTGTTGTTTGTCTCCTCCAAGTCAACTAATCTGCCACATCCATGTGATTGTTTTGTTGTTTTTAATCTTAAAGGCCTAGCCAGTGTAGGATGCAGAAGTCTTCTCCATAATCTCCTACATGCATGATAGAGTAAAAGAGTTCTCTGTTTGACATATCCTCAGTGCTTTGACTTTGTATGAGAGTTGTTGTTGTTGTTGTTGGGGTGTCTTTTAGTATCAATGGACTGGGAGGTAGAGGAGTCGAACGTTACTAGTGCCGTGCTAGGTTGGTTTTAAGCTGCATTTGTGTCTGCTGCAATTAACTAATCTAGCCTTGTATTCCGTGTGGGGGTTGTGAGGTAATCTTGAATGGCGTAACAAGATTTCAGTGTCTACCACTATTGACTGTGGCTGGCACAGAGTTGGAGGATCCTTCATGAACAGCACCATGTTGTGCTAAGATGCATCTAAGGAAAAGACAACAGAGACTATGTGAGGAGGTGTGATTAATTGAACATGGACTAGAAGAGGAACACTGTTACTGGACAGAAACAGTGGACCTCCACCGTCCTGCTATGGAGGGATCAGCTGCGAAAAAAGTGAGTCTTTGGAATTGTTTCCCTACATCTTTACTCCTGCCTGGTGAGCGTGAGGTAGTTGTCTGGTCTGGTGGCCATCTGTCAGAGGTTTAGGTGACTTTGGCCAGGCTGAAAATGTACTTTCAGGGAGTTTAAAGTTGTTGTTTATTCAAAAATTTGTTTATCTTAAAACGAAATTCTTAATTTTGTATTCTCTGTTCTGAGCCTGTAAGTGTTACAGCATATTGAATTATTTGTTCAAAATTACAGCCAGATCCCTGGAGTTAAACAAATATATTGAACTTAATTTGTTTAATACTCTCTATATTTAAGCTACTGGTTTGTTCTTTGTTTCCAACATTCTATTTTATCTCAGTTTACTCCAACTGATCGGATACTCAAAGACAAATTAGCCTTCTGAAAAACCCTGACAACAAACCTTCATACTAATTAAATTTTACTGATTTTATGTTTTTATCGTGTAATCTATAATTATAAAATTAATGAAATGAGATGCCTTGCAACATTACAGTCATAAATTTTAAATCTTTTTTTTAGTTGAGGTTAGATTTATGAATATGTCTTATACTCATGAGAATGTGTTTTTTTTTTTTTGTATGTTTTTATCATTACATTACACACAAAGTGAAAGTTGCATTGTTTCTATAAATAATCTATTATCAGAGTAAGAATGGTGTATGTTGCATGTAAACATTTGCCTCCCAATGGTTATACAATTCAGAGCGTCAGCTCTGGAAATCGGGGTGGAGTGATTTGTTGGAATCCATCCCAGCTCTGCAGGATCTGACTGGAACAATGGCTTCTGTCATGTCAGGTTATCTCCTAGCTCAACCTCTCTGCAGGGCCAAACGTTAGACAAGATTTGGAGGCTTATCGGAGACAGGAACAGCAAAAGGCATGGTTTCAAAGACAGCTCTGAGCTCACCTGAGCATGCAGTACAGTTTAAAACAGACAAATAATTACCAACATATTTTGACTTGATCAGTAAAAGGCTGCTTAGTTAATTTAGAACAGCATCTACCAGCTGTTCTGGGCTCACTGTGCCCCTCCCTTCTATGTTATCTGGTTTCAGTGGGTGTGTTTAAGTCTGCTTTGTTTACCACAGGACACCATGCCAGGGTCAGTCTTATGTTGTTATTCCACTACTGTAAGCAATGCACACTTTTGCGTCCATTTCTGTCTGTGTCCCACTGAGTGGTTGGTCATGTTAGGCCAAAAACAATGACTGTCAGGCCAAACTTACTGTACCGTTACATCACCTTTGTGCTCCAAGTAAACCCACCTCATCTGCTTAAGCAGGGCATTGTCCCTTTTATCTCTTACATCATGTAATTTTGACCTCTGTCTCATCAGGTGAAGATCAAATTAAATAAGACGCTCTGATAGTCGAGTGCAGCAGAATTAACAGCTCTGTCTCATCAAGTGCCTACTAACAGTTTGCACTTTGCCCTTCTGTTAATGCTCCCCCACTGACAGAAAACAGGATTTGGACATCTCAGAAAAGGTATGTTGACAGTAAAAATGCAGAACAATAAACTGACAAAATGAAAACAGATTGGTTTCTGGATATTTCAGTTATTCTGAACCACAAATGTTCATTTAGCATCCAAAATATGTTGTGCTGTTTCTAAATAAGTCTTTTCAGAGGCCGTAAGGCTTCAAGAATTTTATTAGAGTTCATTCATATGAAGATTGAAGGAGTTCAAGTTGAAGTCAACATATAGTGTTACATGTTATTGTGGTCTTCGGGTCTTCAGAGACGCTGCTGTACCGTCAGTCCACAGCCGACTGCAGCAGTGATGAGGTTACTCATCCCAGGAAGTTAAACGGTTCCTCTGTGGAGACACCGAGCTACCATCACCTACATCGGGAGCTGATGCTCAGCCATAAACGGTAGCAACAGAAAGCAGCTATCCTCTATGATTTTATTTGGAAGTGGTCTCTCTTTGTATCAGTGCAGAGTGAGAGAGTATTTCTGTTAATGACTGTGCAGGGGCCTGTTGCCCGAGAAGAAACCAGAGCTGAAGCGAGTGTTGGAGCAGCGCAGACTGGACCTGCACAGGGAGGAGGAGATGCCCCCCTCTGATCTGCAGACAGAGCTCCGCAAGAGGCAGCAGAAACTGCAGGAGGTGAGAAGTGTGAAACAAGTAGCTGAGAGCTACTGTCCAAAACAAACAGATACACAATTCACATGCAAGACGTTGTTAATGTTCCCTTCATTGGACTTTGATAAAATTGAAGCTACAAAGACCATGACTGTTGCTCAAACCTAATTTTCAAAAAGGGCTATCCCCTGTGTTTTTAAAATCTTCACATGTAAATTTGTTCTGTTTACCTAGTATGAGCAGGAAGAGATCAGGCGGCGGGAGAACCAGCAGAAGATCCCGGAGTTTGTCCGTGTGAAGGACAACCTGAGGCGAACTCAGATGTCCGAGCAGTGAGACCTCTTGGCTCCCATCAGCCCCTGCAGTATCTCACCATAGTGGCCCTATCTCTACGATCACCATCTGCTGTGTTACACTTGAAACAGACCACAGAGGCACAGACTCAGGACACATCTCTTAGTGTAAAAAAACAATTGTGCAAACCAGGGAACAGAAAAAATAAAAATAAAAATAAAAACAGCATTTAGAAATACATCCTCAAAGCTCTCTCACAGCGTTGTCCCCAGTGAGAAAATAGCCACAGGTTTTGATTCAAAATTGTGTTGATCAATATTTGAGATGAGAAAGCTACTAATGTTCAGGGGCTGAATATTTTGTATGTTTTTTATTGATACCTTTTTTTCCAAAACCATTAATGTCATTAACTTGAGAGAAAGCAGAAAACTGTATATAATATCTCAAAGGAGTGTCCAATTATTCTGTTGTTCAGTTTGGTCACATTGTTCCAAATCTAACTTTTCTATAAAATCAAAATATGGTTGTTAACAGAGATATTTCCAAACAGAACTCTTTTATATCAATACAAAGCCCCCTGTTGTTACAAATTTTGTTCATGTTTCTGACTTTTGGTTTCTAGTGTGTCCATGTGCTGTGGAAATAAAGGCTTTTATGGTTTGCAGAGGAGTGTTGTTTTGTTGGGCACTATTCAAAGCACTGAGGATTGATTTGCATGCAGCTCTTCTCCCTGAGGACTCTCACGCTTCTTTCACATGGATATGGGACTTTGTTTAATTAGCCGATCTTTTCATTCCATCATGGTACGAGGGGAGAAAGCACAGGCCATCTGGTGGAGACTGATCAGGATATATAGGCTGAGAATACCCCAGGGCCTGGTTAAGGCACTGGAGAAATTTGGGATAGTCGGGGAAGCCATCTGACTGAAGGCAAATAAAAGTAGCTTGTTAGTTGTTTCGGAGCTACACCTAAAAGGAAGGGGTTTAGCATTTAAAACAAAACTATTAAAGAAAGTGCAACATGCAGGGAGTCTGGAACAGAGTCTTGTCACAATTCAAAACAAATTACTGTTAAACAACATCATGAACACATGATTGTGCAGTTCATATGAAAGGTATGAAATATCATAAGATAAGAGAGATAAGATGTTCCTTTAATAGTTCCACAAGGGGAAATTCCAAATTTACAGCAGCATGGTATAGATACAAAAAGAGAAAAATTAAAAGATAAAAAAAACTTTGATTAAAAAAAAAAATGTACATGCATTATATTTAGATCTGTACAAAATTTACATAATAATAATAGGATTTATTGCACCATTGCATCATTGCATCATTGACTATAGAAAGTATAAAATCAGCAAGGCCCTAAATATCTTAAATGGGATACTTTTAAAGATACTCAGCAGTGTATAAAGAAACAACAAAACAGGTTTAGACTGAGGGTGAATAACTGCAGTGACGCATCATTAATATGTTGATAAGCACAACCAAAAGGAATTCAATTATCTTCATCACCAGCATTATTTTGAAAAGGGTAATTAGTTTGCCAACTACAATTGTGTTTCAGTTTTTTCCTCTCCATTTAAAATAGGCTACATTATTAATAGTCCAACCTACTATATATAGCCTAGATATCACAACAAACACTTTGAATTTACCTCTGGGATTAATAAAGTATCTATCTATCTATCTATCTATCTATCTATCTATCTATCTATCTATCTATCTATCTATCTATCTATCTATCTATCTATCTATCTATCTAACAAGGGGAATGGTAAGTCTTCATAGAATAAATATTATTCACAGTGAAAGTGGGTCATTAAGAGCTAGAAAAGCCTTTTTGCATGCTACCCGTGAATGAAATCTGCATCTGTCTTAAAGAAATAAGAAGTTTAATGAGTTCTTGTTGTGTTTGAGATGTAAAAAAGTAACAAATGGCCCCAGAGGAAAACAAACTTTCTTCCTTTTTTCTTCATTACGCTGGAACCATAGACTAATGCTTTCTTGTTCACCACCACTTGCTCACCAGCTGTCCTTGCTTTTACCAAAGTTTGTCTCCCGGCAGCCATTCATCTATTGTGCTGCTTCCTAAATTAATACCCCCTCGGTGAGTCGCGTGCTGTGTCAATATCCAAAGCGTGTCTGGAGAGTCGGCAGCGTCGGACCAAACCATCTGAACAGAGTTAGGGGGGAAATGAGCAGCCAAAAAATGGACGCTTTCCCCAGTGTTTAACTTTTTCTTGTAAAATGACAGATTTTTGAACAAACTGGACGATAATATGATGAATTAGGGGAGGAAATTTGCTAGCAAAGATATAATTAAGTAAATGCCAATCTTGCCTCCCCCTTACCAACAGAATGGACTCGCCTGAAACAGATGTCCCAAGCGTTACTCCCACATCTGACCAGAGAAAGTAGGAAGAAGTTCTGCCGGCTCGGAAAGGATGCTGTAGAGGAGCATATTTCACTGAAAACGGTATGTACACGAGGTTTTATGAAGTTTGAGCAGCAAAATATGTTGAAGTAGTGACAGTGTTATCACCAGTATTACGCTTTGATCAAGAGTGTGAGGGCAGGCATGGTGTTACAAGTCGGTGAACTGTTTAAAGAGCTGTTACTGAGAGATAAGCCTGGCTGTGTGTTATCATGTGGTGTAGAAATGTTCAAAAACAAATGCTTTAAAGGTGTAACTTAGCACATTTTCTCAAGTTAGGTAGGTTTATCTGACTGTAATCACGAGATAAGCTGTAAGTTATCTGTTTGGGTAGGCTGTTTAAATGTGCTGTTATTTTACAATAGACTACAAAACACAGGTTTAAGAGAGACAACAGCATTTGTTTTTACTCATATTTATTTTAAGTCCAATTAAGTACAGATATTTTTTGTATACAAAAGTTGAATAAGATAGTAGTCATTTATTGATGATACTATTGGTGTTTATTATGGATCAGATTTCTGTTGCTTTAGGCTACATGTAGGACTTGTGTCACAACTTTTTCATTGCAATACAACTTTAACCAGGAATTATCTGATGATTTGACAGTGATTTAACTATGATGTACCTCTTACACTGCTACACCTTTGTTAAGAGAATAAAAGTATGGTAACCCCATATCACTGCAAGTACAAGAGAAAACAGCAACAATCAATGAGTTCGAAGCAGCTGTGTTAGAAGACAACCTGGACTCTTAGTAGTTTAATCCCTAGCACTGAAGTGTTCTGTATATGTTGAACAGGTTGCATCCACAGATAAACAGTGCTTTAAGACTAATGTGGGTCAATAGGCTGGCTGTTGGCAGTTGTTTGTGCCAGCAGCAGCAGAATAAACAATTTCCTACAGTCTTCATGTTGACTGGCCTGCAGTGATACTGTGGTGCTAAAGACAACACCTCTGTGTTGTTATGCCTCCGGAGCCCACCAGCTCTTTTGTCATCAGGGGGTACTCGCGGGTGAAAAGCTGTCACCACATCCTGCTAGGCGCCTCATACTGACCATCAGTGTCTGATTGGAGGCCTCAGAAATGATGACTCCGAGGGACAAGGTGTTGTGAACCCCGGGCAGCCCTTCAGCCTCTGGAGAACAATGGCGTATCTCTTCTTGACAGAGCTGCTGTGTCTGGCCAGCATATGGCCTCCAGTGACTGAGAGCAGTGACACAGTGCCTGTTGCCTCTACATTGTCTGTCCCTGAAAACTAAGACCCTAGCACTACACAACAGTGGTGATCTAAGAAAAGGAAAGGCAGGCACTGTTTAAGTCTCTGACACAGATCATTCGAACTTCTGCTTTTATGTAATCTCAGCCTCTAGTGTGCATACTACAGACTTTCCACACTGAGAAATTCTCCCCAAGACAAAGATCTGACTCCAGTGAGGTGCTTTGTAATCCAACACTTCATTTTTTCCCTCTGCTGCTCCCCCCACATCGATGCACTTTCCTCCAGCAGCCCATACTGTGCACAGAGCGGGTTCATTTTGCTGAATGGATTTTGGCTTTTCATCAGGCTCTGAAATAAGGCCTGCTGTAAAGTCGTTTGGTTTCTTCCATAGTATCAGCATTCAGTGGAGAATCTTAATTACAGGGTTCGAACAGGCCTCGGTCTGGTTTCAGGCATCTCTCACTGTTTCCTCGGTGAGGCTGGTCCCCGTTGGTAATTCCAGGGCTGACCACAGTGGTAATGAGCGAGGCGGTTGTGGAGGCATTCCAGGGGATCGCAGCTCCAGAGGCTCATGGGAAAGGGTGGCGGGGGAAGTCTGGGAGACAGTGAATCCACATTATGATCTCTTGCCATAAACACCCACATCCGTACATGTTCAAATATCATAGGCTAGTGAGCGGTGAGGATGGGCTGGTCAGTCGCTCTCTTCTTGGACATTTCCCCAGATAGTTGTCATTAGCAGTGATCACAATTAAGATGTTATGGCTACATCAATCAAGGTGGAGACAGTGCTATCAGCAGCTATCCCCTCTGGAAATGGGCTGCTATTCCTGGTACAGAGGAGACGTTATTATTCTTGGCTCTCCCTAGAAGCGAAATCTCAACACTGCAGGTATTTATGAAAAATTTGACAAATAAGCATCAACATCTTGGAAATAAGCTTCTCAACCATGCATCCACCCACCTACCCACTTACTCAACCTAGACCTCCGACCACAGACTCTTGTGAAAGTCGTCAGAGAGTTATGGGGTGTAAGTGGGTAAATCCCACATCACCCTGCCTGTCTCTGATTACCAGACTGGATTCCTGTTGATGTCTTTAGTTTAGATTGCTGCAATGTGGAGCCATGTGTCTGCGAGTACAGTCGACCTAAAACCTCGCAGAGTGAAAACACTCAGCTCTGCAACTTTCCCCCACCTCTCACTGCAGCCTTGTCTCAATATCAGCCCAACAACGTGTTGTCAGCAGATATTGCGCCCACAGCAGCTTATTGGGGCCGGTTGGTAGATACAGGCCCTTTGTTGCAGTGTTGTTTTACTGACTCAAGCTGCCTGCGCTGCATTGTGCTACCGGCTGCTCATATCTGCGTCAGTTCACATGAGCTGCTGTGGTGAATGGCTCAGACCTTTGGGATTCACAATAATATCCTGTTAGAGGAGGTTTTTATCCACACAAATCTGTGTCTTCCTGGTCCCTGCAGGAAAAGGCCTGATATCAATCTGCAAACACAAGGGAAGAGACAAGAGATGGGGATTCAAAACAGCTACACAGTACCAGCCCATTCATCCGCTCTCATCCCCGTTCCTTTTCCTTTGATTTCAGACTCAAAACACATTATTTGCTCCTTTTTATGGATGATTTTCAAGTGATACTGCACGGGGAGTCATCAAACGTTTGATTTGTCGACTGATATGTGTCACCCTGCTGCAAGGCTGGCAAACAACATCCTTTGATCGTGTAAGTGCTTGACACGAAACATTTTCTCTTGTGATAAGCTTTATAGGGGAAGTCCAGAGTGGTGGCAGACATGTGAGATTCAGAAAATACAGACTGACCTAAAAAAAGAGAGATAAATAACTGTATCTGTATCTTCTTCTGGGGTTATGTCCCACAAACAGCCAGTCACAGACCTCCATGTAGGGGTTTAGAAGCTTCAGCTTTTACCTTAACGTTATCTCCAATTTGTTGTTGTCGTCATTGTTTTTGTCTTCTTTCTATACTCCTCTCTGCATCTGGTTTTGTTTATTGTCAGTCAGATGTTGTGTGAAGGGTAAACAATGCAGCAAGAGGCCATAAACATGAATTGTGCTCGCCTGGTTGTGAAAGTGTGTCAGTGTAGGGCAGCATTGCACAGGAGTCAGCAGGGCCTCTTGTGATCTGGTGCAAGCCCAGCATTGAGACATTCTTCCACTTCAAAGCCCCCAGAGGGTTTTCTGGACACTGGTTGAATAGAAGGAGAGGGAGGGGCTCGCAGGGGGAACAGGTGCAGTCCATGAGGGGTAATTCCCACTGCCATCTGCTTTCTTTTTCGAGGTTCAGGGCTCTTTAAATGCCCCCTGACACGCCTCATGGCAACACACTCCCCTTAGCCTGCTACGCCATGCTCCGTCACCATGGCACCACGATTTGGATTAACCCCCTGCACATGTGCCGAGTCACCCGTGGGGGTCTGCCTCTTTTGTGAGTGAGCATGGGGGCATGAGGGGGAGGAAGAGGTGAATGGGGAGACGTGGAGCTGCATAGATGAGTGTGTGAAAGGACACTCGCCAGTCATTCACTTTTGTTAAGTAGAGCAGCAGGAGTGAGCCTGAATGAGGCCATGTGGAAGGAAAACAACAGGAGAATCTCTCATCTGAGAGGTGATCCATCTTATTTTTACTGACCTGAGAGTAAAAAAATCTGCTTATTTCAACAGGTATCAATCTGAACTCAAGAGCTGAGAGTCAAAATGACGGCCATCGAGAGCAAAGAGGAGATCAGCGACACTGACAGTGGGATTATTTTACACTCTGGTAAGAGCGTTAGTAAATCATACAGAAATAGAGCATCTGAACCCCACATATCCTGTGTATCCCAGGGCTGTGTAATCAATATGAAACATGATGATGCTGAAGATATGAAAGCAGCAAGCAAAAAGATCATTTCACAATGTCCTCGTTCAACTTTCTTAAATATTCAGAGTGAAATGTTAGAAAGACTCCTGTTAGTCACAAATTCAAATAAGTTAGGCGCAGTTTTGAGAGCTCATGTTTATTTGAATTAATTGTATTTTCCCAAAGAGAGTTTGATTTAGAATAAATTAAGAGAAATGTAACATACACAATAATAACAAGACACTCAGACATTTTACTAATATAACAGTGACTCACTGTTTGGGGTGGGACAAGGGACTTTTCACCATGCAGAAAGGAGAAAAAGCTATGCAGTGAGAAGCTCTGGCATGAACATGACTTAACAAACAATATTAGAATAAAATACTACAATAACAGTGTGAGATAAGTGTACAAAATGATATAAAGCACCAGCTGGAGTACTGATAAGAAAAATAAAAGTGCTGCTGCTCACTTGTGCCAAAGTTCGTATACTAAAATGTGATTCTAAGGTGAGGTTAAATTATTCCTGTATATAGTGTATTCATACAGTGTAGTAATAGTGGATAGTGTGTATATGAATATGACCGATCAAATCCTGAATACAGAAGTCTGATCTGATCATCTGTGTGTCCCTGCAGGTCCTGACAGTCCCACATCTTCTGTGAAGGACCTGAACACTAACACCAGAGCCCTGAAGCTCAAACACCAGTCTCTGGAAGAGCGTCTGGAGCTCTGTTTGCTGGAACTGAGAAAGCTCTGCATCAGGGAGGCTGTAAGTTACTCATACATCAAAATAAAAACACTACTCAGATATCATTACTTTTATTTGCTAAAGAAATTTGTAACTTCTCTTATTGAATTGCCTTCGCTGCGTTTTGTATGTACATTTGTGTTGTATGGTTCTCATGTTTGATTGAATTTCCCTTCGGGGATCAATAAAGTTCTTCTATTCTATTCTACTTTATTTCCTCAAATAAACACCTTAATCTGACATTCACAGGAGCTAACTGGTAAACTGCCTGCTGACTATCCTCTGATGCCAGATGAGAAGCTTCCCCGGGTCAGAAGGAGAATTGGAGCTTCCTTCAAGCTGGATGAAGGCCTGATCCATCTTAACAGACAGGTACAGGGTTAACCGCTGATAGTCCTGACTGTTTTGACCAAAAAAAAAAAAAAAGAAAAGAGAGAGAGACTGAAATCCAACAACCTTGAGTCTAAGTAAGAATGTGTCTTTATGTTAGGATTCAGAGCTGCAAGCATTGGAAACTGACTTGGCACTTCAGCGACAAATTTATGAGGCAGCTCGAAAACTTTCTGTGGAGGAGAACATCAGCAAACCACAGAAGAAGAGCCGGCTCCAGCAGTGCAAGAGGGAGGAGAAGAAGGTGAAGGAGCTGCAGGAGGCTGTGTTCCAGCACAGAGTCAAGAGTGAGTGCAACTCACCCTGCATACCCATCTCAAGCAGCCAATGCAAAGGTGAGTTACACTGCTGCCATCTTCAGGCCAGACCGTGAACTGCTCAAATGAAAAATAGTTTCACTGTCACTTAAAAAATGTTCCTTCTGCTTACAGATCTGAACATGTCTGATGACAGTTCGCTGTCTGATGTTGTGGCTCTGGATGATGGTGAGGACTTTATTTATACATAGAAGCTTTTTGTTCCCTAAATCTGCCGTATCAGTTCTCAAAATCTCATTCTCCGCCTCATACTGATCGCTGTTTTCTGTGATCACTCATAGATGTGGACTCGCCAAGCCCTCCCTCTCCTCCAGAGTCTGGCTCCTCCTTCTCAAGCCCCCCACATCTGCCAGCCAAGACCCTTCAGCTGTCCATGCAATCTCCAAGCCAGCTCAGTGTGGAGTTTGAGCCCTCCCCCATTCAGAACTCTCCATGGAAAGAGTCCAGTCTGGATCAGCCCTACCAGAAGGTCACAAAACCTCAATCTGCTCACAGCAGCAGGTCCAGGTAAGAGACACAGCTGTACATATCAGCACATCAACTTCAGTGCAGTAAGAGTGGATAGTAAGGCATGTTGCTGTCATTCCACATTGTGACGATAAAAGTGTTTAACAGGAATATCAACATTCCCCTTCTGTTTTTATCATGTGCAGCAGTCCAACAGGGACCCAGGTGTCCACAGAAAGCTGCAGGATTCCTCTTTCTCAGTTCGTCAGGAACTCAGCCTTGCGTCAACACCAGTCCACCAGCGCCCCCTCCACCCCAGAACTGCAAATCCGCAGACAGTACTCCCAGTCCTTCAGGTAAACAGAGAAACAGATCCGTCTGTTCACAAAGAGCATAGAGTGGATTATTATAGTTTTTTTAATTTTGCATTTGTCTCCTCAGACTTCCTAAAAATAGACCATCAGGTGACAAGGAGCACCTCAACTCAGAAAACAATCGGGGGCGAGCCAGGCTGCCCCAGCGACGCTGTGTAGCTGACTTCATCGTGCGTTCTCCTGAGTACTCTCCTTTGCGGCCCTACCAGTCCAGCTCCGAGGATAGCAGCTCTGAGCACTCCTCCTCCTCTTACATAAGCTCACCTGGCAGAGACGGACCCACTGAGATCCCAAAGCTCTGCCCGCCTCCTTACGGATTCCACTTTGGAGCGCAGAAGAAAGGTCACTCGTGCTTCTCCAGCTCACAAAAGAACACCAACCAGTCTCAGCTCAGCCCCGGCTACATCAGGCCTACAGCTGAAGACAGCCCACTCTCTCCTCAAGACCTGGACAGAGCGAAGGTCTTTCTGTCTTCGCCTCCCGTTGCTCGCAGACCGCAGCTAAGGCAGTGGCAAGAGGGAGCTTCGTCCCCAAGGAGAGTCCTAAAGCCCCCTCCGCCTTATACGAGGCTGGTGCGAACGCCCTCCCTGAAGGAGTACCCCAACCACGCAATCAGACTGATGCCCAGGGAGATTGTGTCAGAGGAGCTGAAGTCCTGGCATCAGAGAAATCAGCTGCAGAAGCTACGACCGAGTTGTGGGGATCAGCTGGGCGTCAAGAGCCCCACCTCACCTCTTCTGTCTCCATTCAAACAGGTGGGTACTGAAAATGGATCTGCTTACACGCTGATGTGGTCGAACCATGCTTTTTTTTACTTCAAGAATGACTGACACTATCCAACTGTTCTTTTATCAAGTAGTTTGTAGGTTCATGTTTCTTTTGATGAATAAATTGATAAATCACTGATTGTAAATGAATCCACAAGTTGATTTTGTGACTCTTTCTTCAGGGTTCAGGTAACGTGGTTCTCCAGAGAGCTGCAGACGGGACTCCAGTCCAGTGGTTCATCGCAGAGGATGCTGAAATAGTGAGCCAGGTGTAGCTGACTCCTGTCGTACTCTTCTTCCTTACGTTCAGTAGGATGTGTGTTATTCTTTAATATTTATCTCTGTATTTATTAAGGCTTTGGACTCTCTATGAGATATTTGTCGATACAGAAAACGAGGACCTGTTGGTACCCTGATGAGCCCAATTCCCTCTCATCTTTTAATTTAAAACTTAATGTAAGGTTTTATACCAGTTTTATTTATTTAATTTGTTTAAATTGTCATCTCTGGAGTGTCAGAGGTGAAATGACATTCATACAATTTCTGAAACGAGTCAAGTGGATCAAAAGATTTGAAACAAACTTGCTGTGGTTCGATTTGCACACGATGACCTCCCACAGAAACTCTGAACATGACCCCTTTTTCTAAAAATATTTAAGTTTATTTATCTGTTTTTAAAAATCCCCTTGGGACTTCTATTAACATGTTATTACACCTTTGAAGATGCAGTGCTCTTTAATATATTTAGTTAAAATCTAACACCTGTCTAACCTCGATGTGTGAGCTGAATTTTAACGTTTCTATCCATTTGTTATAATTCTTCAGTAATACCTTCAATGGTGGAGTGATGAATGTTTAAATGCAGTATGAAGTTATGATACTAATGAAGTGATTGTATCAGTTCATGTTTTGTATATTTATAATAAAAAACTACATCTGGAAGTTAAGTTTGTGTTGTTGTTTTTTTGTCTTGAGGGAGTTAGAAAAATATTTCATGACACAACCAGAAATTTCACATTGAACATCCTGTATTGAGATATTAAGAGCTTTCTACTGTGAGGGGGATATTTCAGCAAATCTAAACACTTGAGATGATTTGGATAATCCTGGACTGATCCGGTACTTCATCACAAAATTTCAAACAGCACATAAGTCAATGTTATGACACAGAGGAGCACAAACAGGTAGGTGAAGAGGAGCGCCCAGCGACAGCGATACAACCAGTGGATCAGAGGGCGTTGTCTTGAAAGAGAGCTGTACCTGTGGGAGGCAGTCAGCCAGTCAGTCAGAGGAAAAAATCAAGAGCGTCATCTGACGGATTTTACATCACATGTTGACTTACGTGCTCCCAGAAAGCCGTCTGTAAATATTCACACTCTTTTTATCCTTTTCTGCCTTTTTCTTTGACAGCGCAGATTTGTTCTTGTGTCTCTGCCGCAGTGTGTCCAGAGGGGAACTGAAACAACAACACATTTAAACATGCATTGATGTTGTCTTTGCATTATCATTCATGGGAACACATACGAAACCAGGCCTTTTGAAAGTTCCATTAAACTGCTCTAACCATCTTCTTTTCATACTGTTTTTTAACAGCAGGAATAGTGCAGGTGTGACAAATGAATAATCATAGCTACAGCATTAGTTTTTGATCAGTATTACTCACTACACCTGAACTTTCATACCCTGCAGGGTCAAGGTATCGCCGAAAAAGGGCTTTTTTTGTCAGAATGAAACTATACCAAATTTGTGCTATACTTCTTTGTAGCAGAATAGTAAGGATGTGTGTTTGTAGCCTCTGTCATGTTGATTTATTATTATGATTATGTCCATGACTTTGGTTTCTAAGTTGTACCTTTTGTTTTGTATCTTCCTGGCTGGCTGTTTTGGGGGAAGGCACTCTGGCTCAGGTGTGGGTGAAGGTGGGGGTTGTGGAGAAGGTTGAGGAGCTGGAGGTTCAGGTGGAGTTTCATCCGGATCCTGAGGCCTGAAGAAAAACAAAAAACAAAAATGAAATTGTAGAGATTCTGTAAGTCTAGGAGACAGCATTTAAAGTAATAGTCTGTATTTTAACCTGTCTTCCACTGTGCAGATGTTGTCCTTAATTGTTGAACAGTAGTTAAATTCTAAGCTCGGAGATGAAGACATGCTGTTGGGGGAGGATTTCATGGGGTGGGGGTAGCCATCGTGGGACACCTGCTTCCTCAAACCTCGTTTTATTTTCTCCTGTAGAGACACTTTTTTGTAAGTCTCGGTGTGAAAACATTTCAAAAGAAAGTGGTAAATCCTGTCAGAAACGTACCTACCTGGATTTGTGGGATTTGTGTTGGAATTAGAGAGATACTGACCCTTCGCCTGCCGCTGGTCTAACGGAAGGAAGAAATTAAAAAGTATATTAAAGTGATAAACAAGAAGTTGAACCTCGACTGGGCAATATGCCAGCTATGTTATTACCTGCAGAAAGCATTTCTTCCTGGTCTCACTTTCCTCTGGATCTACAAAAAAACATCCAGTGGTGAGTCAATAAATGCACATAATGAGGAAGAAACCACAACAAAAGTTAAGTTTTAGGAACCTGGCGATGGTCTGAGATCTATGGAGTTTCTGCAGAAGTTTTGCTGCTGAATCGTCCTCTTGGCTTCCTCCAGCTCTGCCACATTTCTGTCATACTGTCTCCTCAAATTCTCTACGTGGGCCACCATGAGCTCGACAGCCCGGCTCACACGAGCCTCCTACAGTCAAGCATCATGAAAGAAGCATGATTAAGTGAATTCCTATTATTGAATCATAAATAACTCCAAAAATATGTGACACTTAAAGAGAACGGAGCTTAGAGGGGGGTATGGGGGTGCGAGAAATGCTCTCAGTAACTTTAAATGTACAAACACACATAAATCAACAAGAGCAGATCTCTAAGATGCACAGTGGGGTTCATACAACAGTTTTTTATATAGTTTATAGGATGTGGCATTATGAGTCTTATTTTGTTGCCTGTACTCATTGGATAAACTCCCCAGCTGACTGTGATTCTTATCGCTTATAGGCATCCAGTCTAGAAAAATATTAAAGGCCCAAAAAAGTTTTCAATTGCTCTGTTTTTATGAGGGATCTGATGTCAGACACTGTTAGACACTTTTCTATTCCATAGTTTTCTGCTCATTCCAGATATCTTGTGTTATTTTAAACCGAGACACATGAATGAGTCGAAGCGTACCTGGTGCACGGCCCCCAGCACCTCTGCCGTGTTGGAGATCCTCTCCACAGTCCCACCCAGAATGTCCAGAGACAGCTCCAGCTTCTGCAGGATCCTACTGCGCTTGCTGTCCAGACACAGGCCCTTCAGCATCTGCGAAAAAAAGAAAAAAAAAAGAAAAGATTCCCACACATGAGCATAGATGGGAACCTGCTATCTTATAAAGGCTTAGTTCAGATCTATCAACACTTTTGCAGCACCTCCAGGGTCTCTCTGCCTCGGTTCAGCTCCAGCTGGATGTTCTCCTCAGCCAGATTGCGTGCGTGCTCCTCTGCCTGCAGCCTCTGCTTCAGGGTGTACTGATCACATTGGAAGGCCAGGGCAATCTGTGCAAAGGTGCTCTGCAGAGACCAAAAACAAGTCAAGAACAAAACAGGTGACACTTAATGCACACTTGCATCTGATTTATATTATAAAGCTTTATTTTGTATCATTCACTTATTAGAAAAAACACTAAAAGCCCCTGTGAGGAACTTTCGGTTTGTGTCTATTTGGCACCCCATGTGGAGAAAGCAGTCCTGCTTAACTTGATGCATGCTTAAAGGGATATTCTGGCGCAAAATTCTTTATCATTTCCTTGTAGTAATAATCATCATAATAATCATTTTGCACTGCAGATGCAGTGGTTATTCTGCCTTAGTATCTCAGTCTGGTTGCATTTCCATAAAGTAATGATCATAAATGTTCTTCCTTGAGCTGTGCCTATATGTACTGTTGATGAAGGTAGGTGCTGAGACTGCTGTGTATTACTAGCAAGTGGTCGGCAAAATTAATCTCCCTGGGGGGGCGTCTAACTTAGTGTTATGGTGTGTTTGACCTTAACTTATTTTTACGCCAGAATAGTATCATCTGACAACAATCGTCTGATCCTGCTAATCTTATCCTGACACTGATTCTGTAAAAAGAGGGCTGTCTTTTTTCAGCTGCTTGGCTGACACCTAACTCCCTCACAGGCATCGAAAATTGTTGCTGATGGTTGTGTCAGCTTTTATATGTCATACAAAGGCAATAAAATTAATTTCAGCCTATTTCATAATCATCAAAAAACTCCTCATAGGTGCTTTAAGTGTGTAAGGTGGAAAATATTCATGGAAGTATTAAGTGACACGAATTTCTGCTTTTGGAATATGCAAAAGTTAATCCATATTTTAGGGATATTACAGGAGGAAGAAGAGAGGGTGACCTTACCTCCAAATCTTTCTCTGACATCTCTGTGCTGTCAGAAAACAAGACAGTTGAAAGGATCATTACAGTCACATTAAATCCTGTCATATAACCATACAGTGAGAGCCTGTGTGGTTGATAGTAGAATATTAAACTATGATACCCATTCAGGCCAACACGCTCTATGATTGACAATTCATTCCAGCAGATGACTGGCGGCTCCTCTTGGCTGGATTCTGTTGTAAAGACACATCTCTGTTTAAACTCTGACTTCTTACTGGCCGATTTAGTTTTATTTTATATATATATTAAGTAATGCTCTTACCTTCATCACTGTCCTCACTGTCCAGCATGGTCGGAGGACAGTAGTTGGTTGTCTCTGCTTCAGGCTAAAATAAGTCAGGAATGTTACCTCCAAAGTAAAGTCAGTGTAAAAAGGACACGTAGGACATCTGACAGTCTATGGTGATCATACTCACCTCAGTGCTCATGGTGTCAATGTAAGACCAATGTCAGTGCCTCACATGTGAAATCCAGGCTGAATTAGTTCAGTCCTCTTCGAAGTCTACAGCAGGTTTCTCATCTTTGTTGAAAACACAAATATACTCTTTTATCCCAGTACCTGTCCGTGTTTGTATCATGTCCCCCCTCAGGCTTTCTCCTGCACTGAGAATAGATAATCCTATTAAGAGATCCACAGTCACAGCAGAGCAGGACGGCTGCCACAGGAGGCTCATGTTGAACCTGCTGTGTGATTGTACCTCATGGAAATAGCCTACCTGCTGGTGACGCCCTAAAAGTGCAGCTTCTATAGAGTGCATTTCTAACATTTACTTTCCTTTGAAAGAGTTTTGATGTTGGGTGCTTTTACAGGGAATCATTTACCATCCTGAATTGACTGAAGGCTTTCAACTGAACTCTGTGTCTCAATTTATTGTAATTTTGAAGTCTGGACTGCACATCTTATGAGATTCTGGTGTTATTATAGTGGTTAGTGTCTCAAAGGCCCCTTTAACTTTTTTTCCTACTCATTTATATTTTTATATTTTTTCAAATCATTAAAAATTGCTCCCACAATTATTGTCACGAAAGCTTGTGAGAAGTACAAAGATGAGAAAGTTTCAGGTCAACTAATTTTACACATTTGTTTATGGGTGGGACTTTTCAGTATGAAACAGTAAAATCATCTGACATCAATGTGAATTAAGTGTGGGATCACTTGCCTTGCCCTCTCAACATGTCTGTCTAATAAGATCCCCAAAGTGCACCCTATTATTATCAGCTGCAGTGTTTTCGACAGTGCCCCTTTTATGTTTTGAGTCCAGTACTGGACCCGCTTAAGGTCACCCAGAACCCATTATAGGTTCCCAATTCTGATCTCTTCCCCATCCGTCTCCGGAGTTAACAAATTGTTGACTCCAAGGATAATTCTGTTGTGGGTTGTAAAGGAAGCTAAATTTGTTTCCATTCAAGACCACTGCATAACATTACTGACTTTATCTTGGCTCTTTGATAACCCTTACTGGGTTATACAAGAGAAAAGATAAATTAAGCTATATGTGTAAACACTAAGGACTGCACCACAGATCACTCAGGTTCAACTAAAGCATCAGGATACTGGATAAAACAAAGATACAATTTTACACAGTCAACAAGGACCGGCTGTTTCTAATTTGTTCCCAAACTACAATTCTTCTTTGCTCTAGGATTTAATTAAGATATAAACAGAACCGTCACACCAAGGACAAAAATGTAAACATTAGTTTGAAATGTGACTACTGTGAAGACATATTTTGATAGATGCTCAATATTGGTAGATGTATAGATCACTATTAGACCAACATATCAACCTAAAAATACAAAGACAGAAGAAAGGAAACCCAGCACAAATGACTTTGGATCATCTCCACATTTTTATTCATAGAAAAGCAGACATTTAGTAGAGGCGCTGAGGTTTGCCCATGGTGCTCTTGACGTAAAGGGCGCGCACGTTCTGCCAGTTCTTCTTCAGAAGAGACACCAGGAAGTTGACAGCCAGGTGGATGTTGTACACGAGCTCATCCTCTGTCATCTTCACGTGTCCGACTGCTACAGCCAGACAGAGCACCTACACAAAGGAAATAAAATGTTCACTGACCAAACATCTGCTAACATCGCCTTTGAATTGACAACAGTAAGAAAACACAAACTTCCAGAACAAAGTCCTGCTGCGTACCTTCTTCATCTGGAATTTGATGGTGGATTTGACTTCATCCACCTTTGTGGTCATGTTCTCGTTGTGGGTGAGCAGGGAGGGGAACTTGCCGGCCTTGTTCAGCCCGGGACCCAGGATACGAGGGATCTGCTTGATCAAAGACTCTGAGGCAAGGAAGGCATCGTACTTCTTGGCTGTTAAGAGGGAAAAAAAGAATCAACTTTAGAGAGACGTGTCTGACTTCAGTGGTCAAATCAAGAACTGTTTTAGGTCATGCTGTTAACTTCATACCGAGCTTCTTGACAAGTTTCTTGTTTTTGTTGAGCTTCTTGAGAGCTTCAATGTCCATGTGTGGCAGGTCGGCAGCTTTGGCCTCATCACAATGCTGCTGGTCTCCCAGGACGCACACAGAGAACTTAGGTCTGGGCAGAGTCTTCAGTCTGTGTATTAACAAAACCACAAGAGGTACCATTCACAATACTGTATCAAACTCAAGGACATCAAAGGCAAACCAAATTAAAACCTACACAGCAAAGGAAACACAGTCTGTCCAACAGCATGATCTTCATAAAGGGAGTTTAAGCCATGTGGACCTCTAGTGCACAGTCAGAATATACTACATGTTGAACCAACTCAAGTCGTCATCTATGACAGCCACTTAGGAGATCAAATGTAGAAAACAAACTAAACTTTTGTGGTAAACTGATGGTAACATTATTTTCCTAAACGTAACACAAGACAAATGTTCTCCCATAACTAGATGACACTTTCCTGATTGAACCATGCAATAGAAAAATTCTTACCCATACCACCTGCTGCTGGTGTCCTGCTGACTTCTTCAGTAAAATTATGTACATTGGTCGGCTAGAGGGCATGAACTTACAAGCTCAGCCACTCAGAACCTCCCCTCATGTTTTAAGACCCAGGGTAGGGGTCCGTCTGCTTCACCTCCACCAGCCAAGACTGGGTCAGCTCAGTCAGACTACCCAGAGTACTTCACCATGTCTGCCCCTGGCCTGTCTGGAGTTTTATTTTATATTTTGAAAAGGTTTCCAAAGCTCTATTTGCCATACATTAGGCTGATGTAACACTCAGACAGGGCTGGAAGCACACAGGGAAAAGGTTGGGTGAAACAGTAAAAGGTCGAACCTGACAGTGCCGGAGAAACGCTTGTCCTTCTGGGGATCATAGTTTTTCAAGCTGATCTGCAACTCCACAGACTCCACAAACCTACAGACGGAGTAGATGTTAATAACATGACATTATTTCAACTACTTCACAGGTCCAATAGTCCAACAGTCAATCCACTCCTGCATCAACTTACTTCCTTGGCTTGGCCTGAGAGCCCTGCAGGACCTCTTTCACGGCTTCGTACAACGTATCCCTGGAGACCTTACTGTAACAAAAGCATTTTAAAATTATGATGAATGAACTTATATGTGTAATAAGCCCTGATCATGCTGTTAACCGGCGGTGACTACGAGACATCACAACGTAAAGGCAAATTTCGACAAGATGCGCCTAAATATGATCTATATGGATACATGTACACATCTAATGCTAAATTAATGCATAAACAGGTTTTAAATCGGTGGATGATGATGGATTAGAAATGAAACTCCACCGTCATGTTGTTCACCGGTAGATGAACCCCTGCCTTATGCTAGTTTAAATAGCCGGTAGAAAAGATAAAAACTCTATTTCAACCTAACGGAACAACTCTTAAGTCCTATAACTGCGGTATCACTCAATAAAAACGACACAAAAAGGTATTAAATTAAATTTAAAGATTGAAAGGCCTCACCTCATTTTAGCGGCTGATGCCTCGCTCCTTGCTACGCTGGAAAAGGAAGTACGGTGGGAAATTGCGTACAATAAACCAGGGCGAATGACGTCATCTAAATGCGACGTGTAGTTTTTCTACATCCATGTTCAGTTAGATCTGACCAGAGCTGAATCTGACTAATATGAGGAGGGAGGTCGTAAAGCCCTATTAAAATTAACTGGTTAAGATCCCTTTTGAGGAATGAAAACAGTTTGTGGTTTCAGATCCCAAATTATATTTTTAAGGAGTTAGGTGGTGTTCATTTTGTTCTGAGATATGATTTCAACATCAACTATCTCCCTATGAAATTGTCTGCCTTACATCAGCAGGTTTTACATTACTGGAAAATGATCTACAAGCACAGCTTTAGTCCCCACAACACTCTATTATGGAATTGCAGATACATTTTACTGAAAAAATAAATCTTTTTTTTTTTTAATCAAAATTGGCTAGAGAAAGGAATATGGTCAGTGATGTATCTCTTGGACAATACCGGAAATATTATACCCTTTGAGTTTTTCTGTATTAAATATAACCTGTTTGATAGAAGGCAATACAATAACCTCATTAAAGCGATCCCACAATCTATCATAATGATGGCTTATAACTTGTTTCAGAATATTGTGAATCCTGCACTTCCTTCGCTCTTGGTAAATGGTCACAATATCAATGATTTTAACCTACCTAATATCACAAACCTTTGTTAAAATACTATATCCATTCTCATCAAACAGAATTTCAATTTTACAATTTTCTCTAAAAAAGAAGTTGAAAATCTGGGATCTAAATTCTCTAAGTTTCCCATTGCACCAAAAGTAAAGGAAGTTTATTATAAAATTCTTAATAGTGTTTACCCCTCTTCTTCTGAGTTTTTCGAGGAATCGCTTTAATTTAGACCGCAACAACTGCTCCTTCTGTGATGAGGATATAGAAACAACTGAACATTCATTTTATGATTGCAAATTTGCTAATGCCTTCTGGGAAGATTTTTATGATTGGCTGTTCCCTAAATTGCCCAGTTTCTCTACTCTAAAAAAAGAAAATATTTTATATGGAACATCTAAAAAAGGACCGCCCCACGACCTGGGTATTAATACCTTAATCATTCTCTGAATTTTTTTTTATTCATAAAAATAAACATTTAAAGATCAAGCCTAATTTTTATGTATTTCATACGGAACTATAATTCAATAATTTCATTACATTTTCTTTTTATGTATTTATTTTCTCACGGATGCTCTTGAAGCTTGTCTGTGATATTGTGACTTTGTGCAATGTTCCATGCCAATATGTTTTGTACATTTGATATGAAATAAAGCAAAAAAAAAAAAAAGCAGTACATATTTTTAATTGTATATAGCCTTTGCATATACAAAAAATAATTCAGACTATATCGTTTTCTAACAGTGTCATACATTCAAGGTTTAGAGTGCTCTTTCAGAGGAATGAATATTTTCTGTCGGACTACAACATGAAATACACATTTGTTTATTTACCCTATGCTTTGTTTAACTTTAAGCTTGATGTTACGATTATAAATTAACCTGTTTTATCTTCACATTTGTCAATGGCCAACCCAGCTATATATTAAAATATGTGCTCATTATGCAAACTTTGTGTTTAAGAGATAGTTTGAAAGGATTTAATAAACCAAATTAAGACATAACAATAATCCTTTTAAAATTGCATTGCAACAGAAATTTACAGAAGTGCTCAGATTTATGGAAGACGTAGCCGAAGAAATCTTTAATTCTTTTTTTTTTCACCACCAGATACTATAAAGTCTGAAACATGCAGCTTGTTTTAGAAATTTAAAATAAAAATTTCCTTAGTTGGTCAGATTAGCTCTAAGAGTGATGTACAGCTTGACAAGAATGAATGCATCAGATAAGTGTTCACCATTGCAAGGTTTTATTGTTCAAAATGTTTATTCAGCATTGACAGCACCTACACAAACACAACATGTACCATAAAGATTATGGCAGAATAGGCTTATCTTCTTAACCAGAGTCTCCTGTGAACCAAAGTCACAAAAGCACAGGTATTATGAGTCTGTGATTCGTTTCAAAGCTGCCTGAAGAGGTTTTTTCAGGAAGGTCTCATTCAATATCAAGCAACCAGACAGGGAGTGTTTATGTGCAGCAGTCACCTGTACAAAAAAAAAAAGAACAACATAATTTAAAATCACATTTCATCCCCAAAGATAATGCACAAGAAAAATAAGAAAACTTACCTGACTGCTATATTTGGTGAGGACTGTCAGCATCATTTTTGCAAACTTTACAGACTTTGCAAACTGTGGACCCTGGCTGACAAGCTGTTCCGTGAACTGTGTGAATACTTCTTCACTCAAGTCAAGCTGAAAAAAGGAAAAATTAATAACAGTGATAACAATGAAAAAATGATCCTTCAGCATCCTACCAATAAGGGAACATACAGATTACCTTTGAGTCTAGCAAGCTGTGGATAACAGAGAGCACTGCCTCATTCCACGCTATTTTGAGGGTCATTCTGGGAGGAAGAATAAAAACTAGATCAATGAATAATAAGTGACAGTCAGATATGAGGTCTTGCATCTTTGACTGCATCAGGTATACAGAGAATGAATGTATTTTATCTTACTGAAGCACCAGCAGTTTGTAATGGGAATCCATACAGTCTTTTGTCAGTCTGTTTAGCAGCTCAGCCTGTGGATTCCCTGAAAGCAAGACAATATAACAGAGGATTAATGGATACGAGGAAGGAGAGGAAAAGGAGGTCAATGCTTAGCCCTTCATAATATCAGTTTTCTTTGTGATCAATAAAACCACCAGATCCATAAAAGCTCCAGAGCTGCTGCTGCTCTGTTTTTACTGTAACAAGCAGTTTAAATAATTGATTACATCCATATTTTTGTGTTTAAAATGGCAGGCAGGGAAGCTCAACCAAAGTGAGTTAAAAGTTCATGTAGTTCCTCTTACTGATTGGCAGCAGTGTAGGTCATGAACCTCACCTCCTTCACAGACTTTAAAATCAAGTGACATTCTCGACAAAGAGGACTGCAAATTATGTTGTTCTTTTTGTGTTGGCAGAAGAGGCAGGAGATTAACATTGAGGCTCAACCAGCCAAGGTATTTCGTCACATATTTTGTGCAGCAAGAGGAGCTAGAGATGCATAATCAATCTTTATATACAGTCAATAATAACAGCTGTTTTTCACCTATGTTCATATCCTGCAGAACTGGTTCAATTAAAGCGTGACACATTGATCTGGGACAGAGGCTGCACAGTGATGTCACTGCACTGACTAGACATCTGGAGGCTGGCTCAGTCAAGGACAGCACCTGCAGATAAAGAAAAATTACATTTTGTTGGCAATTAACGTAGCAACATGTGTTGCATCCTTTGCATGTTGAGAGATGTACCTTCTTCAACAGGAGGCTCCTGATGAGTATCACTGCTGCGCTGAAGCTGATGTTAAGCGAGGGGGCCAAAATACTGCTGCACAGTTTGGGCAGAGTTTTTTCTGGTACGTCGGGAAAACTCAGCATGCTGCATAACAATTCCACCTATAGAGAAGTAGTTGATGAAATATTACAAACACTTTTAATTGCTATTCATGCTTGAAAAATGTATATGTATGGATCAGCTTTTAAATAATGAGGGCCTACCTGGTTCAGGTCACATTCATTCAGCACTTTGAACCCATCTATGGAGCTCTGATCCCACTGCAAAAAGGACAATAGGAGTAGCAGTAACAGTCAGATAAATGCAACTCTGTAAGTGCCACACATAGAGGAAGAATACAAAAGTTTTCCTCTCACCTCTGTTTGACTTTCCATTAATTCTTTTATGTGAAGAACAGAGACCTGGATGAATACAAAAGTGACCAAAAGGTTTTTTCTCCGATAAAACCATGCAATAACTTTTGTCTTTACTTTTGTCTGCTCTTCAGCATAAAGGTACGATTGTTAAAAATAGACCAGCTGAGTGTCTTTACCTTTATATGTTCGGGCAAAGCATTACAAGGTTGGTCTACTTCTGGCTGCATGTTCTCGGCAGGGGTATCTGCAGGAGCATCACTCACTGATCTTCTTGAAAACTCTTCTGTCAGACTTGTTTCTTCATTCTCAAGACTCTCATATACACAGCCATCAATCTTTGTACGTTTACACTGCTGCCCCGTTTCATCACCGTCTGAGTCAAGAGAAGCAACGCTGCTCTTCCTCTTTCTTTGTGCCACGCTCCTTAATAAACCAGATGCCCTCTGAGATCCAGATTCAGATGTTTGGCCATTGAAGCACTTTGTCCATCCTCCAGTGTCACCACTACCGACCAAACGCTGCGAGAGCTCTTTGAGTCTTTGGCTGCTGTGTGGAGTGTAAAGAGGCTCTTCACGGAGGACTCCTGTGTTTCTCTTGAGCTGTTTCATCAGGGCAGAGACCCAGGGGCTCGGGTGAGGGTCTTGGCTGAGGCATTTGAGCAGGTGAAGAATAGTGGTTTGAGGAAGAACTGGTTGGACCAGGTGGATGAAGGACAGCAGGTTCTGTTTGAAAAATGCTGGAAACAGGCACACCAGGGGGCGACTGAAAAAGGAAAGACCTGGTTACATTTCAAAAACTTTACAGAAGATAATGACAATAGTTGTCAAGTCTAGTGGAATAAAAAGTAGGGGAGGGTGGGGTAAGTTGAGCCACCCCCTGTTGCTTGTAAATGGTAAAAGAAATTGATCATGTGACCAAATATTTAGGAGATGGGCATCAATTCATGGAGTCTGTGGAGGTTAGAAGCACATGGGCGAAGGGGTTAGAAATTTATTTCCAAAAAAAACTTTTTTCACTCTTGAAAGTGAATTTAGTCTGTCATAAGTTTTATTAGAATTGTGTTCAGACCAAAAAAGATCATTTTAAATTTGTTTTATACACCAATTGTGGTATCTATGAGCTACAACATGAGGTCAAAAACCTAGCATAAAAGTCCAACATTTTAGTTTAGAGGATTAATAAAGTCATAATGGTAGTTCTGGGGTAAGTTGAACCAGTGGCTGAACTCAGAAAGTAAAGGAGTCTGATGAGAGGATCAGAGTTTCAGTTCAGATTGTTGAAATGTGTTACCTTTTCTTTTTAAAATACAGCTGTGAATGTTCTGAATCACTTAAAGACATTCTCATGTTCAAATGACTTTTTACAAAACAGCTTTTTGGCAGTTATATGCAATAATAATAAAATGAATCATTGTACCAGTTGAATAGCGTATAATAGATAAAAATGCACATGAATGTGAAGAAGTGACTGTTATTAAGGAAGACATAAGGTGAGGGAGGGCTGGGGTGGAGAGTAGGGGGGCAGTAGGGATACGGCTCAACTTACCCCATACACGGGGTAAGTTGACCATAGGAGACCACTTTTTTTTGGCATGCTATATTATCAAGAAAGTTTTGTTTACACCCATTCTGTTGGTTTGCAGGGATGCACAACATCTTGAAATATACGCAGATTCACTAGAGACAAAACTATGATTGTCTTGATGTAGTGATCTGAAATATAAAAAATTGCTCATCATACCCCATTCTCCCCTATATCAACATCTTAATTGTATTATGTTATAAGAAGTGATTGAATATTGGTATAAGTACTTCAGCTGTATTTGTCCAGCTGCAATTTTTTGTTTTATTTACACATATAGCCCAGGTCTAAGCACTGTCTCCGTTTCCTTAACGAAAAGTGGGTTTTCTTTTTGTTTATGTAGCTATAGACCTTTATATTAAAGGAGAGCGACTACCACAAACCACATGAGTATGCCTGTTATACACTGATTTAGATTTGCTTGAGCTCTGTCGTTATTTAGTCCCTCCGGTTGTGTCATTGAACTTACACAGTGAGAGGCTGAGCTTCAGTCGGTCTCCAGTCCACTTCGTCTCGACAAAGTGTTTCCATGAAGTTACACAGCGACATCTCACTGGCCCGCTGCTGTCTGTGGAAGACATCAAGAGCTCTGCGGGGACCACAGGATCCACAGAGGAGGGCCTGGACCAGCAGCTTCGACTGACTGTCAAACCGACCCAATGACACCCCAGCGTCCATAATGCAGCTGTCTATACCAACTCCTCCAGCCCCGATCACACTTCACAGCTGTTTTGGCCAACCCGCCAGTTTTAGTGGTTTCTTCTTCGCGGGTTATTACTCTTATGTTTGCTCCACATTTCCATCTAGTGGTAAAAACCAGAAGTTATTGATTCACAGTCTCTTTTATCAACCGAATAAACATCTCAGTGTGTAATGAGTTTAATTGGTGAGGTTCAATTGGGAACAGGTCCAAGGTTTCAGGTAATCCTCTCTGCATGTAAAGTTGTGAGTCTAAACACAAACCAGAATGACCTTAAATGGTACACTTTGACAAATATCACTCTTACAGTCATGCAGAAACATCCCTTCATTATTGTATTTGGTGACATATGAGCATGTTGTCTTTGTTATCAGTCGATACTATTGCATGATTGATACCTCCCAAAACAGCCTTTTTGTTGCAAGAAAACTGCAGATATCCTAAATTCAGTCACATTTTGCTTAATGTTATTATGTCTCTGAACTTATGAACTTATCACTACCTCGAGCTGGAGGTCTTTTCTCATTTTTCCTCAATGGAAAGAAAAGTCTACAGAGAAAACATCCTCTTCTTTTATTGCTTCTCTTTTTTTTCTCTTTGAATGCCATAATGTGCATTTGGAAAAATATTAATATATACGGAAAGTTCCATTATACTTTATCAAGAATAAGTTGCTCCAGTTGTAAACAACAGCACATAAAAAAGGGTCGTAAAGTGAAATTTATCTTTTTTAAAATGTCAGAGAAAAAACATCTTTCTTATCCCAGACAGATTTTATTGAAACTCCTACTATCTGTAAAAGGGTTGTTAATTCTATGTCTGCTAGCAAGTTTAAGGAGCTTTTTTATTCTGTATCTTTAAATGCCAGATTGTAACTTTAACCCAGATTTTAACACAGAAGAGCTTGTCTCTCTTTTTAATCACACTTTTAAATCTGTCTTGGATTCTGTTAGTCCTTTCAAAGACAAAAAGTCAAATAAGGCCCCCAGCCCTGGTTAGCAGATTCTCTAAATGGATTAAAGAGAGACTGTAGGAGAAAGGAGAGCAAACAGCAAAAATAAAAAAAAAAGGTTTACAAGTTTTTAAAGACACCTGTAAAGAAGCAATGAAAAACTACCGAAGGGCAGCTAGAGTTCACCACCCCCTCCCCTTTCTGTTTTAGTGATGCTTTTCATAATTTATGCAAGAATTTGATTATTTTATCAACAAAATTAAGGATATCAGGGATAATGTCACCCCCTAGTCTGCACTTTAAACGCAAGTAAGGATGTTTTAAATTTTTTTTTGTAGTTTCAAGCCCCTGTCCTTTTTATCTGAGATTTTAGTCCAGATGGAAACTGCTACATGCAGTCTTGATTTTATTCCCACCAAATTTCTTTGATGCTTTTATCTCATGTCATCTTCTCACATTTATTTTGTATTTGTACCACCCTTAATGATTTTAGTTCGTATTCCCTCTCTATTACTTGCCTTTTAAAAAACTTCATTCCCTTTGGTCTCTGGGTTTCAGTCTGGTTTAGGTCGTCTCCCCTTGAATATTCTTGTGTTTGTTTTTATCTTGCTGCTTTGTTCTGCTTATCAAAGCACTTTATAAACCCTTGTTTTATAAAAGTAAAAAAAGTTATATTATAAAATAACACATATTCTTTTCAGTGAGCCAAAGTGTGAAGCAATGTTTTATTTCCTGTGTACAAGTACAACTTGTTTAAAAGAAATAAAATCTTAACATTCAGTTTTTGTCAAATCTAGAGAAGGCGTTTCATCAATTGAGGCAGGTATCATCAGTAGTGGATTTCAGCAAGTAGGGTTACAGTAAACTTTTATCTATAGACATTTAAAACTACCATCCACTTTACATTTTAAAACAAACCGATACAATTTGCTTGGACAGAAACCTTAACAGAGCACTTAAAGGGGAATCAATGTGCTACAAAAATTGAAGCACTCAGGCACTCTGAGAATGAGGAATTTAACTTCGGAGGCATCGGTTTAACCAGAAGTTTAAGGGGATCAAATGCTTATCATACACATTAATGTGTTTTTTTTTTTTCTAGGGCTGGGGCAACAACTGTATGTTCTGGAAAGCTAAGTGACAGCCCAGGAGACTAACGGGTGATTTCAAAAGTTCTTTCCTCTGGCTGAAGGAGGGCTGGTCAGTAAAATGACCTGCTGTAGTCCAAGCAGAAATAAAATCCTGGACACACTTGACCTTCCATGAAGCACAGTTGATATCCTCAATCCTGATCATGGCTCCTCAATATGTTTAGAGATCCAGCAGGGGCAGAAAGGTAAGGGGATGTGTTCTTCTGGGGCCAGTTTTATTGTCAAGACCCCAACTACTGGTTTCAGGCAGACAAAAAAAAAAAAATCAAAGGCTCAGAAGCCAAACTCCTCTGCTAGATAAAAAGGAAAGTCGTAGTCATCGTCATCATCCAAGTCGTCATCATCAGTGCCAAGAAGGGTCATGGCTAAGAAGAAATTGAGCAGATCTAAACGATCAAAGTCATCTTCATCTTCATCATCTACTGGATACTGTTGAGCAAAAATAAATGTTAGGGAAAAGCAAGCACACAATCATCTTTGTGCAGATGAATAATCAACAACAGGCTGTGGATGATATTTACTTGATATGACCCATGGCGTGAATCTTTGTCATGGCGGTAAAGACATTCGGCTCGAAAGGGGCAGTATCTGTGTCGTGAATAGTAAGTGCAGCTTTTCTTACTAGAACCAGAGACAGAAAAGTTAGAAATGATCACAATCTCAATCAACATTTAATGACAGGAGCTAGAGCATCTTGTGGTAGTTAGTGTCACACAACAAACCCTAAACCAAGTTCTCCAATTGAAGCTCGTGGAATTGGTTTTCAGCAAAGCACAAAGCAGCTAAACACGTACTCTGTATTAAAGATTTTACACGTGCATTCAGTTTACATCTACAGCGCTGTATCTACAGTGCATGTATATTTGTGTTTTTGTTTTGTTTTTTGTCTAATACTCTTTAATTCTTAAGCATAAACCAGTTTTAAAAATCAAAACCAAAGGTAGGGCTCCTGCCTTTAAAGTTCATTTGGATATGTCTTTGGAAAGCTATGAAAGAAATGATTAAAAAAATAAAAAATAGATGAGGATGGTTTCATTCTTTTCTCCAAGTCCACATACTATTGTGTTCTTCACACAATGCACATTACAACTTTTGGGTCATATCTATTCATGGAACCTTAAGACTATTTTGACAGCACAGCTTTTGAGCAAATGACAAGCTTTTAACCCAATTTCTTTTATGTTGTATAATCTGGGATTCAGTTACTTTCTTACACAGGTGTCATTAGAAGTGACTGATATCATACCTGAATTTGCGTTTGAAGGCAGCAATCACACTGTCCTTTTCTTGTCCTTCAACCCAGTATTTATGAGGCACATAGAAGGCAGACCTCACCCGGCACTGTGGGCAGGTCCTGAGCAAGAAATATAAAAAGCACCATTACACTGAATCATTTCTGGTGCACTGTGCCAAGTTTTAAAATATTACTGCCACCTACTTCACAGTGTCTGGTCCAAGGTCTTTTGTTTTCCTCCAGGTCATGATGCAGTGTAAACAATAGGCGTGATTGCAGTTGGGCAAGATTCCAAACATATGGGTTTTTGGATCTGTTTTTTCATACACAACTTCCATGCAGATGCCACAAGTTACATTTCTACTTCGATTATAGGCCTCAGAGTCCCTTGCTGATAGTGAGGCACTTGGGTCCACAACAGCAGCAGCAGCGCCACCATAACCATCATCATCACCACTTGTAGTCTCACTGGAAGGAGCCTCCTGGAACCAGAAGCACTGCCATTAGTTAAAGCCCATAAGGTTATCTTAAGTTCATAAAATGTCCCTGTCTAGGAAACACACCTGTTTGTTTTGGGCACTTGCCTCACCAACTTCTGAGCTCTGGGCTGATTCCACAGAAGCAGCATGATTAGGGTCTGGATCTGCAGGGTAAAATCAAGTATAAAGTAAGAAGATATGCTTAAAAAAATATAAACAAAAAGTCTGTTTAACCCATAAAAGCTCAAGTACCTTGTGTCCGTTCCTCAGCAATATATGTTGCCAGTCCCCCAGTATTATGCTGAAGACTCAAGAAATTATACACAGACTCTGATCTGCCGCTTTCCTGCCTGGACATCACCTCAGCCTGCAGAAGAGCAGGCTCTGACCCTCTTCTGTAAGGCGGAGCATTAACAACACTGATAGAGGGGACTGTAGGCACTGAGCCCCTCCTACCCTCAGTTTCAGGTTGAAGAACATGGAGGTACCTTGAGAGGGAAAATGTTGAATTACAAAAGGATTTTTGTGTGTGCTGTAATATAGTGCATGACTTTGAGGGGAAACCATAGCCTACCTGCACTGTTCACCGTACCAGCATCCCCCTTTCTGAAAGTATCTACATATTTGGGCTGATGGATGAGCTGGCCATTCATGTTGATAATAACACCTTGAACCAAATCTGCAATAGCCATTTATAAAACGCCTGGAATGAAGAGAAAGAGGAGAAAATATCAAGTATAACTAAATGATTTGTCACATTTTTAACACACTTTTAAGGAAAATTCATGTCAAAATGTGAGGGCTGATTGCTATTGAAATAAGACTTATCAGTGTGAACATTTCTTGAAAAGCTGAGATATGGAAGTTCGTCTGTGTTGTTGTGGAGATGTTGATTTAAAACATGCGTGCAGACTGAACAGTGCTGTATTTTGTCAACAGACTGTTTTTGCACAAAAGAAGCCAAGGACAGAACCGGTTAAACAAAAACATAAGGACGACGGCAAAATCACAGCAAACCGTCGACCGATGATGCACATGGTGGACAATCCATTAAAACCAATACTCTCCTACTCGTTGTGTTTGACAGAGCGCAATGATTTTTTCCTACATTGCCGTCAGTCCTTAAACATCCCAACTGTTGCTGTTTACGTGCCGTCGGGAATCAAAAATGAATCCGATACTAAAACAAACTTTACCTAACTTTGTGTCAAGACATTTCCGACTGGCAAAGGCGAGTGTTGAGTTTGGCCTTCAATAAAAACAGAAAGCCTCAGCCAAATCAAGACAGGAGCCATGTGGTCGCCAATTACATTAACAGACTTAACGTTAACAGCTAACTCTGGACAGCAACGCTTCACCTTTCTACTACTTTGTTTACATCCACCCATTTTCCTGCAGCTCTCCACAATGCCTCCCCTTCCTTTCCCTTTCGCTGCACTCTTATCACAACCAAACATTATCATATTTATCACAAATATTTCCAAATATCATCGAAATGAACTCTCCACCCCAACGTCCTCGTTCGATTCCCTCAGGTTTGAAGGAGGCACATTCACACGGTCGCTCGGAGAAGCTTATTCCAAACACAAAGCTAGCTTCATGTCTCCGTAAATGAACAAATACCCACTCAGACTGTTCACTTATCGTGACTACAACTCCTGCTTACCTACAGATACCTCCATTACGGACTGAGTCCATCCTCCGTGTGTTTTGAGCATACCGCCAAGCCCTCTCCATCCTATTACCAAGTTAAATAGTTCACAGCCGGTTCCTGCTGCCAATTAACATAGCAACGAGCCAATAGCAACGAGACGTTGACGTTCGGTCGTTACGTAGCTCGAATTTACGTTCAGTCACACTGACGTTTGACTCTGAACTCCTCCAGCTATTCATTGTGATCATGAGTATTTTAGACAATGAGATTATTAACCGCAGGCAAGTATGTTTTTTTTCCCCCTCATAAATTAATTAAAAAAAAAAGAAAATCAGTGTTAATGTTTCTATCAAAGTTTATAGGTGAGATATGACTAAACTAGATCTGCATATTGGTTACAGGTAACTATAAGGATGCAATTAATTCAAGTCGTAACATGTTTTTTTTTTTTTTGTGGAAAAAAATGTCAATCCATCAGTTACACAGGCATAGAGGTAGCTTACATCAACAACTTTTTTGGTGAACTTTGTTTTATCCATCCACACTCTTCGCTAACTTGGCACACTGCACATCAGTCATTATCAAATTTGCACCAAAAGCAGGAATTAAGGCAAATAAACAGTCAGAGATAAGATGGGACAGTGGAATAATGTCAGAGATCATACATTAGAGGTAGATAGGGATTGAGACAGGATAAGAGCACAAGAGGAGAGAGGACTGTGTGCACCAGTGCTGACATATTGAAGTCCATTCAGAACAAGTACAGTGAAAGAAAAAAAAAACCCAGAAGCAGTACAGAAAGTGGAAAACAGCCAGAAACATCAATCCTGGCCACACTGATGTAAGGCTGTTACATGTTGTGCCTCTCAGACTGCACACAAAGAGGGTGTGAAAATAGGACTGGTTGTATCTTGGGTAAATACAGAAAAATTATATTATCCGACATTGAAATTTCTACTCATCAGTTTTATGGCATTGTGGTACAGTATGCTGGTTTGTGTCAATCCTGCTAAGGCGCCCAACCGAAATTCCTTATGTCAGGGAACAATTTGTTGGTGTGCTTAATGATATATTTGGTACAACCTAAACTAAATAGGCAGGCATGTAATACAAAAGACAGATATACTCAATACATAAAACAAGATGATAATTCATGTTTTGTCCTAACAAATACGATCAACAATTACAAATAATTAGTAACATAATTACAAATAAACTAAGAAAAACCATAAAATGGCAAGTGTATGATCGATTGCATGTCAACATAAAGAAAAGAACATGCGGTCCCTTGTACTTCAGTGAGTCATGTGTTTATAGTGTCAGCTTCAGAAACAAATTCTGTGCAGCATAGTCCATATTAAGTTACCACTTAGGTATATGGCTTTAAGACAAAACCTATGTAACTTGGACCTCCACATTTATTGACACATGGAAAAAGGGTATTGCACAGACAGCTGCTTTGAGAGAGCTCTACACTGCTGGAGCCAGCCCAGGTTGTGTTCTAGAAACCAGACGGCAAAGTAGCGGTCACTGATATTAGTGATGATGACGACAATGATGATTATGATGATGTAAACAAAAACCGAAATTGTGCATCTTGAGCTTTACAAAACTTCAGAAAACAATCATCCTACCAAAGGCATTAGAAGAAACTTTTGCACAGTATAAATTGAAACTTGTTTCAGAATCAACTCTGCCATTGGTGTCAGAACACGAAATGCTTTCCCTTCACTGGAAACACAGAGCCGAGGTGAGTGAGGAGAAGCTCTCTTGACACTGCTCTGGGGTCAGTTTTGCTATTGGGATGAAATAGGAGCAGCCTTGGTGAGAAAACATACCATTCTCTCTCTGTTAAGTGACCGTTGTGGGAAACTAGGACTTGCAGAAAATGATTCCAGATGCTCACCTCACACACACACACACACACTCACACACACACACACACATACATACACATTGCTGTGCTGAGGGTAATGCTGACATTGAGAAGACTTTTCTGATTGTTTTAGCCCTACCACGTGACTTTGTTTCACCTGCACTGGTTAAAATCCATGCCCGTACTGTACGTGGAACAGTGCTTGAACTGAATGCAGTGTATTATTAGAAATGTCAACATAGTCTGTAACAGTATTGCTTAATGCAGTCTGTGCTGATGAATACTAATACATGTCTTTGTAGATCTCCTGTAATAGAGGGTGAAGCGAGGTCTCTGACTCAGTCTTTTTGATCTTTTGGACGAGGTGAACGTTCTCTGTAACCAGCTGACGGAGGTCCGCCATCTTCTGCAGCAGCTTGGGGAAGAGGTAGACAGAGTCAGAGTGGTTTGCTTGTAGGTGGAGGTCCAGGGCCTGGAGGATGCTATCCTGGCTCTGCTCCACCTGCTTCACGTTCATCAACCCAGGACGATCTGAAAGAATAAGAAGGTGAAACATATAATGAGTCACTTTGAATATATACACTGTATTTGTTACAGTTCAAAAAGTAAATCTCAAAAATTAAAGACCTTTTAAATGCCAAACAGAATGCCTGTTTTATAATTATTCAATTTAATAAGTAGAAGAGTAAAACAGAACCAGTCTTATCAATACCATTGACTAAATTCATGTAACCTGAGCCCAAAATTAGTCACATTAGGAGGTTGGATGAAATAGGGTCTATCAGTAAGATTTAAAATAATACTGGCAAGACTTCTATGAAAACATCTGGTCAAAATGATCCATTTTGCAAGCATATAACCAGTCTCCAATTATGACCGATATGATACAACCAAAGGTTAGAAAGAGAAAATGCTCAACCTCTAAGTTTTTCCCTGCAGTGCCATCTTTTGAGAAAGCCGGATTATATGAATCTTTTATGGGCCTGTATATAAAACCCAGCGAATGCAGTATTTTTCATACCTTCACAGAAACATTTTTTGTCTCACCTCCACAAAGAATGATGGCAGCGACAAACAGGGCCAGGTCACTGTCATCCAACTCCAGGGCATTAAACTTGACAGCAAACTCAAACTTAGGCTCCATGATCTCATTGAAAGGCTTTCTTAAACTACGCAGGAACTCTCTGGTCACAAAGCCTTTTCCGTTGGCCACCAGCAGCCCATCCTTGTTCATGAGAGAGGGCAGCATGGCAAAAATAGCCTCGTGCACACCGTATTTCAGTAAAGTCACCTGCAGAGTGCACAAAAAATAGTGATACATCAGTGCTGGAGCTAAATAAACATACATGTCCTCTGATTATATGGCACACTAAGGAGACTGAGACTTGCCTGGTCATTGAGGAAGAGGTCCACAAACCCTGGAATGCACTTGGCAAACTCTGTGAGCTCTCGCACAGTCTCCACCGTAGTGCACTGGCAGCGGTAGAACACATGGACCCCGATCTCTTTGGTCAGGGGAGCACCCGGAACCAACTGGCTCCATACCAAACCGCTTTCTGCCTTCCAGAGTGTGTCCACATCGTAAATCACAAATGGCTGAAAAGGGGATAAAACCACTCTGTCACTAATAACCAATTCTTACTTTAATAAATGAAGAATTTACTTTGTGTGAGGCCTTAAAAGGTTAAGGCATATACAAAATAATCTTTTATGAATTATACAGTGGTTCTTTTCAATGTTTCCAGATGAGGCTTTGAATCAGAGTCAGTTACAATTCTATATTTCACTCTCATTCCTAGAACTGGGACTTACCGCGGTGCTGCTGGTTTTGCCCGTCAGGATGCTGCGGGCCCTCTTCTTGGTCATACTGAGGTTCTTCAAGTAGGCTGTGTTGACTTGTTTGGCCAAGGTCTTCAGGTCAGAGCCACCTGGTTTGCCATGGTTTAGTTCCTCTGCAAGGAGGCCTGCAACTAGTTTCTTCCTCTCCGCCTCAGGCATACGTCCATATCGAATCGCTGCGCAAACACACACCCAGTGCTTATTTTAAGAAGACATTTCAGCAGCAAATCCCAGCACCACTATGGTTTGGTTAAATGTTGTTTTCTGGACATGTCTGGGTAAGTAATACACACACTTTGGGGGGAAAAAAAGATTGGATTCCTGTGCCATCATCCCAACAGTACAGTGACTATATCATTTTGATAAATGTTTCCATCTCACCATCATGGGACATTCCCAAAGACAGGCACTTCTGGAAGCGACAATATTGGCACTTGTTTCGATTCTTTTTCTGAATCTTGCAGGACCGCTCACAGCGATCATATTCGAGTTTCATCCGCACAGTTCGCCGGAAAAAGCCCTGGGTGAGAAACAGCAACTGGTTCAACAACTTGGACAGTTTAGACATGCTTTTATTGAACTTTGTAATCTAAATTAGCTTTTCTGCCTTATTTAAACACAGCATTACCTTGCAACCCTCACAGGCATGCACGCCATAGTGGAAACCAGAGGCCTTGTCTCCACAAACTTTACACTCCACACTGATCCCAGACCCAGTGCTGTCTTCACGGCCAAGACGCAGCTGCTCTGATAACGAAGGTGAAGAAGTGTGGGATAGGTCTGCATAAAAAAAAGAAAAAAAACATGAATGATAAAACAAATATTTTAAAGCTCAATTTCTCTGGAGATGAGACAGAGGATTTTGAAAGCAAGTCTTACCCGTGTAGCTGGATGCTGCGCTACTGTTTTGCTTGCTGTGATTGTTTTCATCCTGATCTGGGCTTCCCTTCTCTTTTTTCTTCTGGTCCTCTTTCAAGCCTTTAGAGGCAGACTCCTCCTTGTCCTCCTCCTCCTCACTCTCCCTGCCCTTCAACTCTTGGAGGTCTGTGAGTTCCGACACACTTGTCCCCCCACAGCTATCTGAACCTCCGGACTCTCCCTCTGGTGGCGTCCACCTTACGTCAGTGTCTTGGGGGGATTTAGGTTCAGAGTGGCCGTTCACGCGGTCATGCTGGTCAGTTGCAGTTTGCTTCAACCCTTCCATCTTTGCTGTTGAAGCTGACTCAGCGGCTCCCCTCTTGTCACGTTGCCATCATAACTCCACTATTGAAGAATGTAAAAGGTTAGTTTTAAATTGGCAATATTTCATAAACAGTGTGGATTTTATTTTGAGCAATGCTACCAGAACAATCTACAATCATTAACTTTCCTCAAAAAATCCAGTATGTGAGAGGTTCACTTACAACAGTTCACTTATAGTAACTACCTGTCAACTTAATACAAGTATATTGATTAAAAGTTACATTAAATACTTGGCTATTCAGACTTTTACTATTTGCACACCCCAAAAATGAGCTAATTCGATTTAGATAATCTTTGACACCGTTTATATAGATTTCCTTTCAACCCAGTCAACCTACAACTACTGGTTGTGTTTTCAGCAGCCAGGGAATGCCTTTGATAGTAATAGGCTTATGACATGATATGCACACGCCATGAAGGCATGCCTGGATTACACGCAAGGCAAGTGAAAAGACAAGCGGGGGCCCCAGACCATTAAGAAACATGAATGCCATTAACTTGGCATGAAAACAAACTTGCAACAAAACACTAAGATGGTCAATATGCCAAAAAATCTCTTATAGAACATGTTAATAAGAAAGACTTATTATAAATATGACAAAAATTAATTAAATAAAACAGGTCAGGAGTATTTATTTATGGCCTTATCAGCTGACAGATGAAGGCAGGTGCAAAAGCATAAACTGTGTGTCAAATTCTTTTGGTCATGTCTTTGTTGCTCACCGATTTTTAGCTTTCCCACAAGAGTATGTCACAATAACACTATGGTCTACATTGAAACTAGGCCTAAACATTAATAATGACAAGGTTTGACTGGATTCCTAAAGCAGACATGGTTTGAGGTCTGAATATCTCCCTTCAACATTTCAGTCTGTTCTTTGCTATCTTATAAACAGTAAACTTTGTCTCTACTGGAGCTGGGAGACATCTGTATTATTGTTTGCCTGAGTATCACACTAGGGTGCACAGTGTACTCGGTGGGAGCATTAAGGGGACAGGGTGCATGCACTATGTACACACTGAGCTCTGTTGATCGCTGGTGCAGGCAGTAGGGGGAGAGGGCTTTGGGGTGGGGGGTTGCATATTTGCCCCGCGGCCCCCTAGTGGATTAATCCGCCCATGTATGTAGCTGCTGCGCCCGGACCAACAACCACAGTATCCATTTATAAGACGATAATAGATGTTGTCAAAGTTAATACTAGCATGGCATAACATCCTAAAGCGTGACGAAGAGTTTCTTTTCACAGGGTTCTGTGGAGAAAGAGCTCCTCACATCAGGACTGTTAAGACTTGTCCACCAGTCAACCTGTCACACTGGTTTCTCGGAAATATCTGCTAATATAACTGAATTGAGTGAGTCAACGACAGGACGGTAACTGGATACCAGCGTTTGGGACATGAAATGACGACTTAGTTCCAAGCATGTCTCTTTTCAAGCACTGTCTCGATACAGAAAAACGATGCACTAAATATACAAGAGTTGCTTTGGCCGTCGAAGTGTGTCAGCACTGCTAGCTAACTTGGCTAGTTAGCTAGCACCTAACCTTGAGTGTTGACTGAACTAGCCGTTAGCGTGGCTGACCCACATTCTCGTGCGTGCCCTTAAATAACGTTAGCTCGCGTGCCAAGGTAGCTTACCTCTCGAAATACTGCGGCTGGTTCGGAGGACTTTTCGCTATGATTAATTCACAGCAGGCGACATAAGCGAGCGGCAAAGACAGTCCCGAGTCTGGTCCCCGGATCGATCGGCTGTTGACAAGTTGTCTGAAGTCACCAGCAGGAGTCAGCTAGCAGCACGAGCTAACGCCAGTTTGCTAACATAAACTTTATACTGATTCAGGCCGTCGTGTTGTAAACACCGATCTGACAAACCGCTGAGCTCCACTCAAGAGAAAAGCAGCGTGGACACTTTTTACCCCTGCCATATGACATGCAGATAGGCATAGTTAACTGACAATCCGTCTCCGACTCTCTCCTTGTTGCTCCTAGCTTTGCTTTGCTTTGCTTTGCTTGCTTCACCCCCCCTCCCCTCCACCCACCACCCTCCTCCTCCATCGTCACATGCCAGGACACACAAACACGCACTCACACACACATCGGGCTGGGTCCCACAAACAGCAATCAAGGTCTCTGTTCATGCTTGTAGGGGCTGCAGTTTCCCGCACATGCATTGTGTGTTTATTCTGCATTGGCACCGATTTTAACTAACCTTTTGAGGTTCTGGTCACAAATCTGTTGAAAGAAACAAGGAGAGCATGCATAGTGAGTATTAAAGCCCCTGAGCTAAATTTGTGGTTTTGGTCAAAAATAGAATTATAAGAAGTTCATCTGCAAGCTTCACTTTCAAGATCATAAGATTTTAAAGTTTATCTTTATGTTTGAACACGTGTATTTTTTAAACAAACCTGTGACTGTCTAAGCTAAAATGTGCATTTCATGGCCTGATCACATCAAGTCAAACTAGAAGAAAAAAAGACTAAAATTGTCCCAAGGACCCTAAAAGCTCCTAGAATTAAATTCTTAAACGATAGCTTGTTTAACTTGCTACATTTAATTTATTAACATCAGTCTAATTTGTATTATATAGGGCAGAGTGGGGTAAGATGAACCCTTTTTCATATTTCAGATCACTACATCAAGGCAATCATAGTTTTGTCTCCAGTGAATCTGCGTATATTTCAAGATGTTGTGCATCCCTGCAAACCAACAGAATGAGTGTAAACATAAATGTCTTGATAATATAGCATGCCAAAAAGTTGTCTCCTATGGTCACCGTCACCTACCCCGTGTATGGAGTAAGTTGAGCTGTATCCCTACTACCCCCCCACTCTCCTCCCAGCCCTCCCTCACCTTCTCTCTCCCTAAATAGCAGTCACTTCTTCACATTCACGTGTATTTTTATCTATTATACGCTATTCAACTGGTACAATAATTCTTTTCATTATTATTGCATATAACTGCTAAAAAGCTGTTTTGTAAAAAAAAAAAAAATCACATTTGAACACGAGAATGTCTTTAAGTGCACTTGGGAAGATTCACAGCTGTATTTTTGGAAAGAAAAAGTAACACATCTCAACAACTTGAACTGAAACTCTGATCCTCTCATCAGACTCCTTTATTTTCTCAGTTGAGCCACAGGCTGAACTTACCCCAGAACTACTATTATGACTTTATTAGTCCTCTAAGCTGATTCGGTGGACTTTCATGCTAGGTTTTTGACCTCATGTTGTAGCTCATAGATACCACAATTGATGTAAAACAAATTTAAAAATTATCTTTTTTTGATCTGAACACAATTCTAATAAAACTTATGACAGACTAAATTCACTTTCAAGAGTGAAAATGTTTTTTTGGAAATAAATGTCTAACCCCTTCACCCATGTGCATCTTACCTTTAGATGATCAATAACTTTTACCATTTCCAAGCAACAGGGGGTGGCTCAACTTACCCTTTGGCTCAACTTACCCCACTCTCCCCTACTGTATATTGTGATTTACATTTTGAGAAAATATGGATCCTCTTTCAAACTTACTCTGTGTAGCACATTTCCATAGTTAATTGTGGTTAATTGATTACACAACACTCCTGGAGCCTCATAATGTTACTGCATGGAAATACAGGGAGGGGTGTTGACTGAGCAGTCTGGATGCTCATTTTTGTTCTAACCCCCACAACAAATAATTCTGGCCACGGTATAAACAATAATTGATTTAAGGACTGTGTGGTAATATTTTCACCTATTTAAAATAACTCCTTAAAAACAATGTCCTCAGATGAAATAACAATTTCTAAGAGAGCCTGAGCCTTATCGTTTTATTTTTTTGTAAAATAAGGGGGGGAAAAGGAAAACATTCATTTAAAAAAAATACCTTAAAAAAACAAAAGACAAACTAAGACAAAAACATGGAGCAGAAAACAGAAGCTGACGTGTAGTATGCAGAGTTTGTCTGTGGATGTCTCTGTGAGCTCATCAGAGCTTTTTTTCAGTCAGAGCTGTCAGATGAGTCAATGATGACATATCTTGAGACAGAGTACATGTCGTAGACTCAAATCCAAACTGAGGCGGATGTGCAGTCTGACAAAGACAGCAATGTGGACAATTTGTTCTACTGTGTGATCTTCAAAACTTTTTGTTCTGCTACCACTAATCCATCCTGCCTTTTCAACATTTCAGAACCGAGCTGTCTACTATGTAGAGCACTTACGTTTTCATTTAAAATAAAGTTGTTTTTTTTAATGGATGCTGTACATCATTACACATAGTACAAATACAGACAGAAACCAAACCATGGCTTCAGTTCACTGTTTTATTTACAGATATGTTAACTGACAGAAGAAACAGGAAGTGTGTGAAGCTTCTCTCTCTTTCCTGTTTATCAGGGGTCATAATCTTATTATAAAACTGCAGTAATTTGTAATACTGATCACACTTTTTACATCATAAGTCAACCACCAAACACTCAAAAAGTATCATCATAAAATGAAACTGTGTTATGCTTCAATATTACAGGGTAAAACAAACCAGCTTCCTTATTTTGTACATACATTTTAGCCATAAACATCCCAGTTTACTTTCAGGATTTTGCTTACAGCCTTTTTTTATTTGCAGTGAGGTATTTTTTTGTGCCTTGAAACCTCACACAGGTCACATTGAAAGATATGTTGAGAAGTGGATTCTTTCAAAGTAATTCTCCATTAAAAAGTTAAAACTGTTGCTCTATGTGAAATGAGGTCAGTAATGTCAACATTAATAGAAATGGCAGTACTGTAAGTTCAGTTTAAAGTGTAAAGTCCCACTATTTAATATACTGTGAGGACACCAGACAGTCATTTCTCATCCAACCCTCAGATTCACTCCTGCAGCCTCACTGGTTCTTGTTTTTAAGGGATGTCCATGTCTCCATTCGAGGCGTGGGAGTGGCGTTTCTCTGAATCACATCCAGCTCTGTTGTCAACATTTTCTTTGCTCTCCTCGTCCTGATCACTTGATCCTGATTTTCTTCTGAGGCGCAGCCCAGGATCCCTCTGTGTCGGGATCTGGATGGTTGAGAAGGAGCTTCCCAATGATGGTCTCTTTTCTACAAGCAAAACCAGCACATAGTACTTTAGAAAATGTAGGCAAAATAAATGATTATTTGTCAGTGATTGTCAGTTTGTTCAGCTGGGAGTCAAACGTTTTCTAGCCAGACACTTGTTTAACCACACGGAAGAATTGTTTGCTTCTGTTTTTATGCAAAGTTTTGGTTTGCAAATGCTGGATGGAAAAACTAAGAGACTGTTAAACACTTGAAGAAAGTTTGCAAATTATGCTGTGGTGAAAAACGTTATGAATCTGTGAATTGTCAAAGACTATGTGTCTGGAAAATTTTAAGAATAAATCATTGATGCTGTGGTTTTCTAAAACTACACATTAATTAGCATCAAAAGGATTCAATGGTATGATACACCAAATGCTGGTAGATCAGCATCAATCTTAGTAGCTAAGCAGTATGCAGCACAGTCAAGAAGGCCAGCAGCTTGTGCCAGTCCTGTCAGTGGTATGCCACCAGTATACCATAACATATTTTAAGTCTTTATTGACAATGCGAGTATTACACGGTAATGTAAATAAAGAAATGTGTACATTCCTCTTATCTGTCTTTCATTTTACATAACCTTGTGAAAGTTATAGATTGCAGAGATCATGATCCTAAATTACATCATTTCACTGCAGCACAATATCTATGCCAGTAAAGCACGGCTAACTCCCCATTGAAAGGAACAGGATCAAAATTCAAAGTACTCCATACAATATTTTTTCCAAGGCAAAGGTTTCTGAAATGTGGGGTCATATTCTGTCTGATATCAATTACTTTGACTCACTATGGTTACAAGGCTGACAAGCAAAATGACTCTTTTGCCACCACAGAGGTACTAGCCAACAAAAGCAAAAGCTGTCTGTGTTAAAAAGACTTTGTAGAACCTCTGCTGGTCCTGAAGCTGAAAACGAAGCCCTTTGAATTCACAGATGTTATTACAACAATGCAAAGGGGGCTCGTACCGCCTGGTCCAATTGGACGCATCAGTCTGTTCATCTGAACGTTCCAGTGTTTGACATTGGTGCTCGCCTGGCGGAGTTTCCTCTGTGCAGCCTGTGAGAGAAAAATATTGACTTACTGAAACACCTCTTTGCTCACCTATGATACAAAAACGAACATCACGACCACAAACTGAAACTAGTACACTTTAAATATTAGAAGTCTTAAAACTTTGTCATAAAGTTCTTTCAAGAAAGAATGTACAGCACAAACTGGAACGAGCAAAAGAGATGTAAAACAGCATTTTGGCACAGTGACACCAACATCCACTACAAGACTCACAAAACAAGCAACCAAAAGTCATTTAAGGTCTGGGTAAACTGAAACTGGATCAAAGGCAAAGCACAATCAGTTGAACTCTATTGACTAAAACATCTGTCTGGACTTTGAAACCCCTGAACTGTTGTGAAGGACACACCATAACAGCTGTCTGTTGACTCTTTTTTCCCGTATAATTTAATGTGTTGTCCGTCTGTTCATAATAATGAAAACTTTGATCTCAGTTAGTTTTGAATATATATACTTTCTTATCTTCTAAATTTGAAATCAGAGTTGTTATTTTTCTTCTTACCACCACATCCTGGTCAACCCTGTGTCGATTTGCTCGGACCTCCTCCAGCTGCCTCTGTGCCTCGTCCAGGGCTCGGGACTTGGCCTCCATTTCCTGTTTGAGCTCCTGCTTCTCCCTCTTTGTCTTCAGGATGTACTCCTCCTGTTCCTCCTGTAAGGACATCAGGGCCTTCATTTTCTCCTCCTCCTCAGCCAGTAACCTGGACACAAGAGAAGTACACACAAAAATAAACAATCCATGAAAAAGACTGACTGAGAGGTCTGTATAAGTATCTAAGCATCATAAAATGCTAATGCATTTGTTTGCCGATTTGTTCATGATACAGTCATTAGAAATTTAAACATGAAACGATGAACATTGGCCTAAGACCAGAAACAGAGAGTGACTGATGGCAGCTTTTAACAACTTCCTCTGTTTTCAACTTCCTCAGGAACATAACGCAACATCGACACATTTCTGCCACTCGACTGTCTGCACACAAAGACTTATCTCCTCTCACGGCTAACAGAGGATTGTTTTCAGGCTCTGAAACAAATGACTTCTTGTCATAGGACAGTCTCCTCAGAGTGTATAGGTGAGAGTTTATAGGGGAGATTTGATGTCATATTAACACTCTACCCTGCTTGAGCATAGCGGAACTCCTCCTCATCCAGCCTGGCCTTGATCTCCTGCTGCAATGCCTCCTCCAAACGCTTCTGCATCTCTTCCAGCTCCTGGATCCTCTTCCTCTGTTTCTCTGCCTCCTCTTCTTTCAGAGCCATCTCTGCCTGCATGCTGACTCTCGCCTCGAGACAAAGAGAACAAACACTTTATTATTCTTGCTTCTAAATCCAAGCTGTTCCTCTCACCTTCTCTGGCTCCACACGTACCTCCTCAGCCTCTCGCAACTGGATCTCCAAGGCCTGCTGCAGCTGTTCATGCTGCTGCCGCCTCCTCTGCTCATCCTGCTCCAGCAGGGCCTGAGCCTGCTTTTGGGCCTCTTTCAGGAGGTCCAGCTCCGCTAACTTACGCTCCCGTTCCTCCTGCAGAGCCCTCAGCCTTTGCAGCTCCTCCTCTTTGGCCTGTCGTCTCTTCTCTCTCTGTTCACGCTGTTCACGACGCTTCAGCTTCAGATCTTTGTGGAGGGATGTTTTGCCTTCCACGTGTAGCCTTATTGCGGTCTGAATTGCTGTAAAGAAAATGGTGCAATGATATGAAGATAACTAAAACAAGAGATTGATACGAGTGGATATTAGTCGCATCTGACCTGCAGTCCACTCCTGTCTCTGTTTGGTATCAGAAGCGCTCATTTCATAGGTCTTTGAGAGAGTTTTGAGGCAAAACATGCATCTCTTTCCATCCCGGTCTGGCAGCACCTGTTCAAACAAGCAAATACCTATTTTATCAACAAATGTCCCTTCTTCATACATTGTTTTTGCAAATTTTTCATTGAAACCATTTCATGAATATAGAGTGTTAAGGAAAAAAAAGAGAACTCACTGGGTAAAAGGCGTTTATGATCCATTTTGAAAGACCAAACAATATATGCTCATCCCCTATTTCCTATAATGAAGCATGATTTTAGAATGATGGATTTTTTTCTTGTAATATGAGACAAAGTGTGGTTTAAAAGTGCCCTTGATGAAAAATAACTGAACTATTTGAGAGTTAACTGTTTGTTTGTCATTACACAGTGTGGCATTGATAAGCTAATAATTGACTTTTGTGTCTCTATCAAAAGCCGCCAGAACAAACCAGGTAAGATCAGTCGACTCTGTTTCAACAGCTGCAGGCTTCATATCAGAAAGGTTCATTCATGAGTGTAACGCTGGCAGACTAATCTTGAGTTCAGCTCAGTTAAGCTCTGTGAGATTTATGAGGAAATCTGATTGGGAAACAACAAAATATTCAACTTTAATAAACATTCTGGCTCTTAACATTTTTGGATTATGATGCATAAATATGAGGCTACTCAGCACATGCACTGAGTTATTGAAAGCAGAAAGTTTCTGAAATGAGAGTTTTTTTTATAAATATCTTTCTGTGTAAGTAAGGGAGAGCAGTCCAAATTCTCTGGAAAGGGGAGGGACTTGAAAGATTACAGCCACGTCATTTGTTACTATTTTACAGCAGCTTTACTTTAATCTTCATCCAAACAGAAGGCAGAACAATCATGGGGGGCACTGGATTTGGTATGAAGAAAAGCAGCAGCTGAAAGTCATGGTAGCCTTTAAACAGGACAAATCACTTTCTGAAATGATGTAATTTGATCTTTTTCAATTACTTTAATTTCAAAGAGCAGTTTGGGGGCCATGACCTTACATCAGGGAAATTGAATTAAAACACGTAGTTTGTTAACAAATTATGTGTGCAACTGAACATGCAGAAATGAAACTCTCATCATGCCTTTTGGGGCGACTACTTTTAATCTAGTGAACAATTTGTTTGATCTGAAAAAAATAGAAAATAAACCTTTAGCTTGAAGAGGAAGAAGATAAAGAAGAAATTACTTATGAAGTGTTTCATTTGCTCAATTCAGAGGCTATATTGCCCACACAGGTGGTGCTAGAAGGGTGGCCAGGGGTGGCATGGCCTGCCTTAAAATCTGATTGGCTATATCAGGTGGCTTTTCAAAAATTCAGAGTATGATTGGCAATTAATGCAGACCATCAATAATACCATCAATAACAATCAATAAAAAGATATATAAATATACATTTATCAGCACTGATTTGGTTTGATTTTAGGTTTTTGGGTGCTTCAGATTGTTTGTTTGTTTGATTGGACAAATATCTCATTGAGATATAAGCATAAAAGAGATTTTAAAAAATACTGCCATTGTACTGTGTTATTCTTTGAGTTATTAAAATGATACACTCAATTATAACCTCTGTATGATCCCTTAAGGGGGAAAAAAGGTATTCATTTGCATGCGTTTGATCAAGGGATTGTGTGTGTGCTTGTTATACAGCATACCACCCCTGTAGTTAGTATGTTAGTATGAAGGCCAGAACAGCCGAGTGGCAGAGAAATGAAACAATAAAAAATAAAAAACAGTCATAAAGAGCACTCTCTCAAGGTTCACAATGAGGTGTGGCATCTCCGATTATTCATTCTCTTTTCCTTACTAATGCCAGAATATACACATTTTAAGTTTTAGGATGGAATTATAATAACCAGCTGTTTTCCTCTCCCATATAATTTTGGTGCAGACCCTTTTGTCACAACTACCCACAGGTGTGGAGCATTTCATCAGTCTAGTTTTTTCTCTTGTATTTTCTTTTTTAGTCCTGGTGAGAGCTCTAGTAAAAAAAACAAAAACCCCTGGGAAGAGGTAAAAATCAGATATCTCTTAACCAACATGAAACCCTCTCAGCTACATTTTGCAACTCCTTAGGGGAGTCCCCACCCCCAGGTTGTGAACTGCTGGCATGGAGGATGAATATGAGTCAAATGTACAAAAGAAAGCAAAAGAGCAGTGTGATTTCTGCAGAGACTTACTGAGAATACCCTGTTATTAAAGCTAACCCTGCTCCAGTTTTAATATTACTTTGTTTTGAAAGATGATCATCTGCTGTTGCTTACCTCCACAAAACAGTTTCCGTCCAGAGCTATATTGCCCTGGCATTCCTTACGGTCTTCCCCGCTGTAGTAGGACAAGTTGCTCGGCCTTAAGGTGAACCAGCGTTCCTTCCAGTTTCTCCTCAGCTGACCTTTCTTCCACAGATAACCCTGCATGAACCCCAACACAAACACACACACAGGCACATATGCACACACCCCACACACACTCAGTCTGATGTAACCAACACAATGGAAGGCATGTCAGGAACCAAAGCACATACATCTGCTGCCCGACATGTCTCACCTCTTTGAGGACATCACCAACTATCTCTCTGTAAACCTCCTCTATGGCCATGCTGATTATGGCTTTATCAATCCCTCTGGTTATCTTTCCTGAGTTCATCATCTCCAGGAAAACCCAAACAGTGAGGCCGCCCTGCTGCACTGAATCTTGGGAGAAGAAGTCCTCTAATTCCACACAGTTGAACTCAATGCTCATAGCCATGCACATCTTCTTGATGAGATACTCCACCTGAAGAGGAGAGAGAAACAAATATATGAGAGATCCGTGTGCTGTAACTTATCTTGAATATCTTTATTTTGTAATGGTCCAGTTTTTTTCACTAACATGTCACTTTTTGGAGACCATGTTTTAGAATAACTGGCTGAAGCAGCTTTCCTTGAAGTTCATTTACGGAGTTATTCACACTAAGCTGTCAGTTGGCAGATAAGAGCAGATCATCCTGGTCATATAAATAGTGGTGATTTCGTATATGAGTGTGTTTAACAGCTTTTTTCACACTGTAACACGCATTACACAGCAGGTTTTTTTTAAAGTGGTTAGTTAACTGTTAACCAAAATAAAAGAGAAGAATATTTTCAAGAACACAATGTAAAAAAATGACTCTGCCTCAAAGTTAGGGCCTTTCTCTTGGCAGCAGCAATGAAAAACACACAACAGGAAACCAAAACGAGGCTTTGCAAGTGAGAAACAAGCCTACACCGCTGCACGAAAAGAGCACCATGTTCCATGATGGCAAGAAATGAGGTTTCAGCCAGGGTGTGTTTAGTGGTTGTAAAAGATTCAGTTTTGAGGTCACAGATTACTTACAATGGTCCAAAAGTTGAATTATAAATAGAGCACACGAACTATAAAAATTCATACTTTTAAATTTAGAAACACGTCACTATCATCATAAACAGCTGCTCTGACTTTAGCACAAATACATTTTTTTAAAATTGGGATTAAACATTCATTTTGAACAGGCTTTCAAAACCAAGAAATGTTGTACTGTGAATATAAAATCATATTTCCAGGGTTTTTCCTGTATGTGTCAAACATCAGCCGACATTAGAATGTCCTCAAAGGTTTTTTAGTTGCACACACCTCATCGGGGACCATAACCAACGGGTATTTGTCTTCAGAGAGGAAGTTAAAAAGACACCAAAGCCGAAAAGCATCTTTCTCTGGCAGAACAGTGCTGCTGGTTTTGTCTGTCTGGTAGTTTTTCTTTGCTGTGAGAGTCCAACAGAGCTCGTCCACGTGTTCTTTAATAAAAGAGCCATCAACAACCTACAAGGACAAAATACAGAGATTAAAAAAACAAAAACAAATTGTATGACATTTTAAACTGACAAAACAAAAAGCACAGAGTGAAGCTGTGTTTTTATCACCTTATCAAGGATGTACTTGTTGAGGTAAGGCATATAACCCTGACTGGAAACTGGACCATCATCATCATCCCTGAAGTGCTCCTCCAGAGCAACAGGGTCATGCGGGATACACAGGACTGTGCATAGATTGTGGGACAGCACCTGATGCCAAATGAAGCCACAACATAGAAGAGATGTAGTTTACAAAGGGCAGTTTACATGAGCAAAAAGACGCAGAGCAAATCTTATAACTAAACTTGCTGGCAAACCTTAATACAAATGTGCATCTGTGTGACTGTGTGTATTTAGCTCGCAGGTTTCAAGCTAGAGTGTGTTATTAATTCATTTATAAAGAGATAGCAAACAGGACTCCATCAGTCTTTGTTTTAAGGAACTCAAGTTTTAAATGCTGCAGCATTCATTTCTAAAAATAGTTTAGCTTTCACATACATAAGAGTGAAACAAACACAAAAATGAGGACTGTCAAAGTTCTGTAAAAGGGTGAGTGGATTTCCAAGAAAATTCACCATGACAACCTTAAGTGCTCAAACTGAGTGTGTTTACCTACAAAAACAGCATGAAAGATTAAAAAAGAATTAAAAATCGGGAGATAAAAATGAGTGAAATTTTTTTATTTTTTTATTTTAATACAATAAAATGCAATAGATAAGATTAAATTGTAAGTATCATTATTACTATTGGACAACTTGTATGAAAAGTTTTAAAGGGTTATACTTAATGAAGGCCTTCTTTTGCTTGCAATCCTAAATGAAGCTGTGTAACTTCTTAAGATATCTGATGCATGTTATCAGACAACCAGTCTTCGTGTGTTGAGCCATAACCACATCCTGTCTCTAGTCTCTACTGCTCTAGAACATCTGCTGCTTTTGAGGCCACTGCAGGCAAACGGTTTGCCTCTGTGTGCGTCTTAAGAACTGGGTGCTTGTACACAGGCTGCATGCATGATGGGGATAAGCCCAGTCATGAGGCTGGGCAGCTCACTGTAAGCTAAGAGGGGCAGGCATCACTCTCAAGAAGGTGGAGGCGGTTGGAAAAGGAGTCTGATCCACACTGCGACCAAGTGACATAATGATGAGATCAACAAAAATACAGTGGCTTCATTGAAGCCCTGTGCCAGAGACAACAATCACCAACATGTTTTCACTTTGTCCTTCACTAACTGTAACAATGTCCTTTAGATGCACACAGGCTCATGGTGAGAAGATACTCAATTCAGCAGGCTGTTCTCTGCTCAGGTCCAGTGTCAGAGAACCCTTTGCACTACAAGCTGGTACATGGAGACCCAAGGCAAGCACAGCTTGGAGATGAGGGCGCCCATTCATTTACAGACTGAGAGCAAACTGTTACTCTCGTGCTCTTGCAGACAGAGGTACATATTGTGCCCTCTACCAGCAGTGAAAGCATTCTACGAGAAATATAGGAACAAATGTGTTCCTTGTTGAGCAGCATGTAGTTTATAAACAGAGTTTCAAACAGGAAACACAGAAAATGATCTTTTTTTCTTTTTTAATCTCACATTGTATACATTCCTACAAAAGCACAGACTGAAACACACACAAGGCCAAACAGCATTTGAGTTGATGACATTTAGTTTGCTGAGCACTTCAAATTTTTCCACCTCATCTTCCTCAGAGTGAGCCCACGTGACAGATTATGAATTGAGGTAGGAAATGAGGCAGCAGATTGAAGAAGTGAGTGAATTCAGACGACAAAAAGTCACTCAAAAACCCAGGTAGAGGAGATTTCACTTACCTTTAATTGAGACTTGGACACCTTACCACTCTTTTCCAGGTCCAGAGCAGTGAAACCATACCAGATAGATTTGAGCAGCTCAGACCGCTGGTCCATTTCTGCAACAGAGCTACTATCTGGTTTCCTCCTCTACGTCTCGTCTTCTTCCCTCTGCTTTTGTCACAGGGCCCCTGGGTGACAAGCAGACACCCACGATGTGTTAGTTACTGAGGTCACAGGACATTGGGGCTTTAGCAGGCTGCTGTCAGCGACACCTGCAGGTCGATAGCAGTCACTGACAGAGGGGGAGTGTGTTGTTTACTTCAGGTCCTGATCCTGCCTTCACGTGGAGAGAGTAATACTGATTTTTTAAAATAAACGTAAATACTTTGTAGAAAACACTGAAAATAATATATATTTTAAGCATCTTTTCAAAAAAGTAGAACAACTAAGTGTCAAATGTAATTGAAAAGATCAGGAATGTAGCCTAAAAATACAAAGTAAACTAATTAATTTAAAAGATAAAAAAGAGAGATCGATTTGTATCAACTGATTATCCAAGGAAATATTTTTAAATAAATATCTGAATGAAATTTATTTGAATAAAATTAAAAGGAGCTCTACTAACTCATGTTTGCACACACTCTTTCTTCATTTAACACAATTACATGGCCATATACAGTATATGTATCCACACTGACAGGATTTGTCTAAATTCTGGTTTTAGCATTCATTTATGTGTCTTTGTCAAAACATGCTCAATCAACATTTTCAACAAATATACTGTCATTTTCCCCACCTTGTGTTCTAACATGATGGTTTAATGCAGTTCAAGGTTTTACTGACTGCTCTTTACTGGTTTTACTGATTGAAACTGTCCACAACACTGTCAAACAGAATCGTAAAAACATTAAAAAAAAAACAATGCCCACCTGTCTTCACTTACAGACATCTTAAAACCACTGTTGATTTCCTTGTTGACCCATTTCATCATGTCATTGTGGTATTTCAGAAACATATCATAGACCACTGTGCATCAGGGCGAGCTTACCGACACAGCACAGGCCTATTTGGCAGTGGTTGTCCTTTTGAAACTTTGTTGTCATCATTTTGTTATGGTACTTAAAAAATGGCCATGTGCAGTGGTTGCTTGGTACTGCTGTCTTTCTTTGGTTTCATGGAATAACTGGTGGTGGTTGGTTTTGGTTATCTTCACCAGCAGTCTGGAGGCAGAGCGTTTCCTGATTGCTGACTGGCAACACCTGTACAGAGAGGCATAAAACCCAGCTGTTTCTCTCTCTCTTCCCCTGGACTGGGAACCTCCAACATCCATTATGTTTGGGCTGTGTTTCTGTTTAAAATAAATGTTATGTTTGTTGCAAAACCTACTGTGTGGACCTTTGTTCCTTGCTGTGGCCTATACCACTTGGCCATAACACACAGCATAAACCACAGTGTGGAGAGAGCATTTTATTCCCACCTCACTGTGAAAGCACTGGTCCTATAACTGGACAGAGAAGCATTTCAATGAAAAGACAGAAGTACCTGCCATTGTTTGCCTTTTGGGATCTTTCCATCTCATTATTTAATATTATTACATTCATATTATTTCACTGTAGTACTTCAAAAGCACAGTATAAATGACGAGGAGCAAAAAAATCATTTCTGCATTATGAGGAAAGCTTCTGAACAGGAAATCATTTCACTAAAAGGCAGGAGTGCTTACAACAACACCGCATGTGTGACAGAGCTAGGGTTAAGGTCTTATCACCATTTCACTGTTGTGGCTCAAAAGCACAGCTTAGACCACTTGGTATGAAAAGCATTTCATTTTTAATTATTCAACTGCCTGGGACCCCCTTCCTCCATCAAGGCCCTGAGTAGTCAAAGTGAATTCTGTGAACCGGGTAAGCTGGGAGTGATGTTGCAGTCGATATGGCTGTGTTCAAGTTACAAGTTATATAGTTGACTCAGTGATAACATTGTTAACTAATAATAATTAGCTATAGCTACTACCTGACAACAAAAACATGAAAGTTTGTGCCAGAAAGCACCATAACTAAAACTTGCACACTGCTTCTGGTGTGATTGATTTTATTCTGAGAAACATGACTAGGTTGCTAACCAGTTTTATTAAAAGTATGCTTGTTTTATATTTGGTGCAGGGCGCAATCTTGGGCTTGGAGCTTTAAGAAGGTACCTGAAGTCAAGGTGTCCTGGATGATGTCTGAACGGCATCTCAAAATTACTGACATCCAAGATGAAATGGAACACACCATCAGTCCCACTTCTTTTGCCTAAATGGCATAATAATAATAATAATAATAATAATAATAATAATAATAATAATAATAATAATTATTATTATTATTATTATTATTATTATTATTATTATTATTATTATTATGATAGTTATTATTATCATCATGATGATCATTATTATTATTTATTTATTTAGTTATTTTTGAAATGCTGTTTCAGAGAATACTTTTCTTTCCTTTTTCAAAGTACAATGGTGCTTGAGAGGCCGCGGTTAAAGCTAATCACGTGGTATAACAACTTTCCCGTCGTTGCCATGGTGCTGTTTATCATGATCAGTAGCTCATTGGCTGAGGGGTATTCTAGCCGAATGAGGCACTATCATTGGTTGGTACGGCTTCCTTTTGCGACCAATGGTGAAGCGCGCTTTTTACAAACTGCTGCCAGTTCAGGAAGTTGACAGCCCACAGTGGTATGAAAAGCACAATTGAGGCTCTTTAAACCTCCAAAGAACGGCTGGGAAAAAACTAATTTGGAATTAATTTGTCAGAACTGCATAATCGGATCCAGAACAGGAGGTAACGGAGGTCCTCTTTATCTTGAGAATGCGTAATAGAAGTTATGGCCAGTTTTATGGGTGTATTCAACGTTAGCATTTGTTACCGTGATACGAGTGGCCGTCGTTTGCCTCTTCTCCACGGGTCGAACTTCTCTTCTCCCCGGCTGTACAGTGTTAAGGCTGCGATATTCTTGTTCTTATCACAGCTTCGCTTCACTCTTCAGGCTAAAATGTGTGGTAGCTTTTTACTGGTCCATCGATTGTGGCACTCGGCACAGATCTCCATGTTGGCTCCATCACATTGTTTTTTAGATCGGCAGATCGTGACTCGTATCTTGCAGTCTGATCTTTGGTCTCTGATGTGTCTGTTGGTGTTTTCTCGTAGAGTCTTAGTGCTGTTTTCAGTCATGTTTTTTTCTCATTTTCATCTTTTTAACATCTTTGTTTTGTTTTGTTTTGCTAGTTGCTGCATATCATCCACACCTTGCTGATCAGCATGGATCCCTCAGTTCTTCGTCTGCAAAGTCAGAACAAAGTCAGAAGTGACTGTCTGAGGTAAACCAAAGAAGATAGACAGACTATAGACACATTTTACCATGTTCTTATATTTTTGTGTTATTTGTTATGCATCTGATGACAGGCGAGTTATTGCCTTGAACCTATTTTTAAAAAGATGATTCCTGAATTTCAATCTATTTAATCTATTATTCTATTTATCAAGAAACGTGTCCTGTGTGAATGATTGCATTAACACAAAATTTAATTGGGACTTTGGCTTCCACCAAAAATTCTAAAGAAATATGCAGGGAAACCTACTTAGACTTGCCAAAGTAAAGCACAATTTTTAATCTGTGTAAACAACAAAATCTGTTGACGTAACACTGCTTTTCTCCACTCAGAATGAAGAATGAAAACAACAAAATGCCAGCTCAACCAAAGCCTTCCAAAGCCCAGTCTGTGCCCCATTTTTCCAATCACAACATTGAGAACCAGGACCCAGAAAACCCACAAATGGGTAGAAAAGCACCTGTGCGCTCAGGTGTGAGTAGGCTACCAGTGCTTGCAAAGTCACTCCACCTTCAGACTCCTTCTGACTTCAGTCAGTCACACAGTAAATGGGAAGAAAAACCTCTAGCTGTAAGTGACCCCTTCCTTCCTTCCTTTAGATTTTTTTTCTTTTCATTTATATCTTATGATGTTCTATGTTTTTAATATGATGTATAATATTTCTGCAGGGAAAGGCTAAGAAGAAAAAGCCATGCACTCGACCCATACCTTTTAACTTCTCTCAGCCAAAGAGCTCCAGAGTTGCCTCTGAAAATCAACAGCCCCCAACACTTTCACAAACAAGGACTGGTACTCACACTGTTAAACCTAATAACGATGCACGTAATGTTCCTTTAAAGGCCCAAAACATTAGTTCAAAACCAATAAAACACTCTGCTACATTAAACAGCATTGTGGACTCAAGCAATGGTACAGGGAAGCCTTATGGGAAGGCAACAGAAAATGCATCTGAGCTGTCAGGAGAGTCTGTCCCTTCCATCACTTTTAAGACTTCATCCACTTTGTCCCGACCTCTGTCTGCTGTTTCTAATAACGCTTTGCACCAAAACCACGACAGTACTTCCTCTGCACAGTCCATCCTCAATACAGAAGCCTGTTTGAAAAACATGAACCAGCTCAGTCTCAAAGATCCAACCAAGTCATCCCAAGCTAGCCAGAACATGCCGCTGACCACACAGGGCAACTTTTCCAAAAGTTCAGCAGGTGAGTTAAGTGTGTTTTTGGGACTGCATTATCATTGCTTTTGATTAGTTTAAAATCTCTCTAATTCAACTATGCATAGCAATTGGCACATCTGCTCTGTGATTTGAGGTTTTTATGTCCTCCCTGAAGACAAACCTTTTCTTCTTAGCTTTTAATCAAGTTTAAACAGACTTCTGGCAAATTTGAATGTAGTTGAAATTGATTCTATTCTATTTTATTTTATAGCACTGTGTTTATGTACTTAAGTATTTATTGTATGTATTGTATTTGCTACATTGTATGGGTTGTTTTTTATCACCCGTGCTGCTTTTAATCTGTACAGCACTTTGGTCAACCCTGGTTGTTTTAAATGTGCTCTCTAAATAAAAATCACTTTAGCAGGTGCACTCAGAACATAGTTTTGCAACAATTGGATTTCCTTATGGAGATTCATGCTGTGACTTTGAAAACGAGAGCTCTCTTTTTTTATAAGGATGGTATGCTACAATCTTTCCAAATTCTTCCAGAAAAAGTGGAGAACTTCCAGCCTGACCATGCAGCTTTGCTGAGTATCCTACGAAATGAAGGAATAAGTGCAACAGGTTTGGGATCTGCAACTCCAAAATCCCAACCCTATAATTATGTGGTGAGTTGGCTCTATAATTGTTGTTTACGGCCTTCTTTTACAATGTCTTTTAGGCCCCACACTTTCCCAATAATGAGATATTTTTTCGGGATGCTTATTTTTGTCTGGTGTCTGATTTCACTGTTTAAAAATTTACCCCACTGTGACCCTTTTTTAAACTGCAAAATATAATTTTTTAAACCATTCGTATATTTCTTTATCGTTTACTTGTTTGCAGCCCCAGCGAGTGTCTGTCATGAAGAGTCGACAAAAACCTGGAGTCTCTTCCGGTAAGCACAAAGTTAGGGACATGATGTGTGTGAGAAAGACAGGGGACAACAACAGCAACAACAACAACAGCTCATACAGAGTCCTGGTTACAGAGCCAATAATGATGGAAGAAAATGAGCTCTGTTTACAGGATCAGGAAATAAGTATTAACGGACTGCTGTTAAATTAATTAAGAAGTCAGCAGGCCTAATAGTAGTTAACTCTAGCTTTATGTTATTAATGTCAGTGAGGCTGATATCCACAGCAACAGTCCAGAGGAACCTAAGAGATGAAGGAGCTCAGGGACACTCAGAGAGAGCTGTTGTTAATAACTATATCGGGACATGAAGATATGAAATAGAGATAGAGACAGACAAGAGCTCAGTGTGCCAGTTCCCCTAGCAGTCTAAACCTATAAACCGCTATAATCTTATATCAGCATAACTAAGACCTGGTTAAAGCCTAACCAGCCCTAACTGTAAGCTTTATCAAAGAGGGAAGTTTTAAGTCTACTCTTAAAAGTTGAGAGGTTGTCTGCCTCCTAAACCTTGAGCGGTAAATGATTTGCGAGTTAAATAACCAATTTATGAATAATGCTCTTGAGTGTTAACTTGCAAAACAGCTGGGGAATTTTATGATCTACATTATATTATGTTCTTAAAAGACTGAGAGAAACTGGAGAAATCTGTGTTCAAAAGAGACAGGGCCCTAAATCAAGGCTGAATGGCTGTGATCATCAGGTGAAGTTATAAACTGTTCTGTATTCTGACAAATCTTTTTGGAAATCAGGGATGTTGCTCCCCCAATTCCAACAAGGAAACGATCACCCAGTTTTTTCTTTTTTTTTTTTAATCAGTGCACACCTCAGCAGCCAGCACCCATGGTGTTATGATAGCATACACACCACACTGATGCTGAATAATAACTACAGGTTTTGGAGCAATATATGTTGCCATGAGATAATGCTTTTTCAGGTAAGACCTGGCATAGCACAGTAAGAAAATGCTCGAATACATTTTGCACGCATCATAAACTGCATGGCTTTGTAGAAGAAAAGGCATTTGATGCATCATGACACAAAAATGATAACAAAGGAGACCTCATACCGGTGATCAGCTGAAATCCAATATCAAGTAAATGGGACAATTCAAAAACCCAGAAACTAGTCTCTTTGTTTCCCAAATGTCTATGGAGCATCATTAAAAGGAAAGATGATGCAAAACAACAGGGGAACATATCCCTGTCTTCTTATCTGGGTCAGATTTACAATGAGGGTAAAGATTTTCATACAATAAATAAATTTTTTAGTTTCAAAATTGAATATATTCTCTTTGTGTTATTTTCAATCAAACTAAAGGCTTTGAACAATTTGAAAAACCATCATTTGACATGATTTCATGACTCTTTGGAATTGCAGTTACAAAACGACAGTATTCAGTATGAACTAAGGTTATAAAGAGGAAAATACATGGTCTTGCTTTTATACATCTGTTAACTCTGTTCTCTTTCGTTCTCCTCACAGCATCAGTAAAGTCACTGCAGTTCTCCCCAGACCCCGCTGCATTGCAGAGTATCCTGCAGAATGAGGGAGTAAAGGCTGTCGGTGCCACACCTAGAAACCCAGTCCGTCCATCGGGCAGAGGCACTTCAGTCTACACAGTATGAACACATGAGGATTGTTTTACCCTAGCTAATTATTCAATTTTCAGCACCTTCTTTTATTAACTATATTGTCTGTTGACTCCTTTCTCAGGCTCAGAGAGTCCCAGTTAAGAAGAATCATAACGAAGCTAATGGAGGACCAGCAGGTGAGATGAGGGTTTGCTGTTTGAATACTTAAGGTACACTCACACTAGGCCCAGTTCCTTCGTACCGTACTGGAGGATGTTTGTCCCCTCACCCTAGTCTTCCGCTGGCCAGTCCCTTGCACTGCTCCAGACTCAAATGGGCCTGAGAACGATTACCTACATCATCCTTGGTTTACAAGAACTGAAGTCTCATAGTCAGCACTGCAACATAGAGGACATAACTGCAGATTTACTGACTTGTGGCAGAGTCATATTTGACTGTTTTCTGCCAGCTATTGGTAATTTTTCCAGAATTTTGGCTAAAGAGAGCAACTATCAGTCAAAGCTTGAATGTGCAATTCGATTAACAGACATTAGATAGTAATAAAACACACGAACACTGGTTGCTTTGGTGTAGTGTAACTTTCTTTAGACTTAATCCTGATCAGTGGGGGACTGTAACAGTACTGATTGGTGCTTTCCTTCGTGTGCTGATTCATATCATGCATACCATGCTCAGTTTAATCGTTGATTCCTCCTCCTCCGCCAGTACAAAAGCCACATTTTTACCGTCTTTCCTCTCATTCTTTTGAAATAAACAGATGAATGTTTTCTTGCTTTTTTTGTTAAGCAAACTTGACAGCCTGGCAGCATTCAGGTCCTGTCGTTTCCTCTGTTTGTGTTTGAGTGTGTGCATCAGCAAACATACTCACCATTGTCAGTATGGCCAGGGCCAGGGCCAAGAAGTGCTTTGAGCCTCACTCAAGTCAAACTGGACTTTAGGAGCTGAAATGTACTGACAGACTGCCAAATGTGAGTGCACTCTTGTTCAATGTTTTACCCTGACTACATGACTTTTTTTTTGTCTCTGCAGTAGCGCTTAAAGAAACCCCCCTGAAGAAATGGACTCCACAGAGAGTCCGTGACACCAAGCATCAGCCCATGTCTGCAGTGGTTAGTGAACACGTATTGTACGATGACTTCCTATTTTTGTTTTCTTAATGCGTCTCATAGTAACTCCCTTATCTTATGACGCTTTCAGAAATGGCATCTGTCAAAACATCAGTCACCATATGGCAGCACTCCAGGGCCGCGGAGCTTGAAAACCAGCCTTCAACCCCATCAGGAGGTAAGTGTGGTAAACTAAGTGAGTATAAGTCTATGGAAATAGTCTCTCGACACAGACACAACCCCGGAGTCTCATAGACAGGATGCTGAAAGCAGATTTGTATTTTATCAAATCTGTCTAAAAAGCATATGCTTTACCCTGGTACACTGATAGAGACCATTAAGTCTTTAGTACAGTTTCAAATGCACAGTGGAACATAAATCATGTGCAAGACTATGCTGCACTTTTTATCCTGTTGCTTTTCAAGCCACATAACCATTTATTCATACAGCCTTCATGTTTGTTTTCAGGAAGTTGTCCAGAGACTTTTTTATGGTAAAGAGGACCAGCCGTGTACGAATGTGGCAGAGGATGATCCTGAGACACAAGAAGAGCAGCTCTCTGTAAAAATCAAAACCGGAGACAGTGACCTGAAGAACAAACCCCTATGCGAAGAAAAGATAGACACCAGCAGGCCCAGTGAGGACAAGGAGGATAATGAGCAGAAGCAACAGGAGCTGGGGGTTCTGGGACGGCAGCCATTCTTCCAAGCACCACAGAGGGAGTCTGTCATTTTTTTCTCAACCGGCAAAAAATTGTTAAGAGCTCCACGTTTTGAGAAGCAGGAGGACTCAGTCCTTCAAGAGCAGCATGGCCTGGTTTCATCAGCACAGTCAAACAAGCTGCCAGCGCACGAAGAGAAGCCATTTGTGTCAGCACCATCACATCAGAACTTCCCTGCTGTTCAGAGTCTTCACAGAGGTATCCCCACTCTAATCATCCTACTGTGTCACACATACATTCATCATTATCTTGAATTCTCACTGTCGTGTCTTTATCTATTACAGACCTTATTCTTCAGAAAGCTTGTTCCAAGAGTCCTGCAGTTGCACTGCTGCGTAATCGCCTCCCTCAGCTTGAGGAACTGCGTCTAGATGAAGAGGTGGCCACCTATACATCTGTTGCTATCCAGGCTGCTCCGGGGTCTCTTTCTCCTCGACCTCGATGTGGAAACCCAGTGGCTTCCTTCCTGCACTTTGAAGAGTTGTCTGTAAGTATATTTCTAACATAGGACTCTTGTAGGGGCGTTCAATGAAGAACTTTTGACATTAAAAGTGAAAATAACGCTGTTCTTCAATGAGGAGTCAGAGTTGATGTAATTTTCACTTTTACGAGTTTTCTGCCAATGTGTTATTCTGTTGGAAAAGTCCAAAGTCTCAGCACTTTACCAGAAGTTGCAACAAAAGACAATTTAAAATAAAGGGTTGCTGAGAGATTGGATGCAGTGGAATGCACCATGCAGCTTTGAGTGCAGACACAAAAGTGAGACGTTGAATACTGTGATCATGACTACACTGTATATCCTCACCAAGAGAAAATAAAGGTTAATGTAACAGTAGGAAAAGTTATCAAACCAAATGTTATCTGTTAGTGAGCTTGCAGGCTAATGTTAGGTCTTTTGTTGTTGTCGTTGTTGTTGTTGTTGTTGTTGTTGTTGTTGTTTTTGCTCACTAGTAACATCTAACTCTCCAAGTTTTTTATTCCACAATATCCCAAGCTAAGTGGCGGCTTGACCAGCCATACACTTTCTTTTAAGACTTGAGAGTCAATCTGTCTCTATCCATGTTTCCTCCTTTTTGACCCAAAATAACACGTTACTCACCACTGAACTTCAGTTCACTAATACAGCCTCTGAGCTTATCAGTGACATATATCAAAGCACATGGGAAATAAAAACGTTTGAATTACCTACACAATATTCTTAGACTCAAAATGATCCAGGCTTAATCCTTTTCTTTATTTTGTTTTCCAGAGATTTGTCCCGATCTGCTGCAGCCCCTCTGACTCTACTTCTCCACAGAGCTCCCCACTCTATGAGAGATAATTTGCACTACTAAATGTTTTACCTTAACTGACTGAATCGAGACGTTCGCTCTGTCGTCTAAGGAGTGATGTTTGTCAAACACTGGTGTTGCTGGCCTCAGTGTTAGTCCAAAGAATGCTGCTGTTACTTTTTTTTTTTAAACCTTTTCTTTCTTACAAATGTTTTCTGTAAAAAAAAAAAAAAAAAAGATCTATATCTGTTGGAAAAATAGGAAACATCCTTCAAACTGCAGGCGCTCGTGTTTGCCTAAAGTCTGGGTGAGCTCCTATTGGAAATATTATAAATGACTTCAATCAATTCAACAATTAAACTAATGTATGAAACAGTCTTGAAGGCCTGTCAGTGTTACAGTTATAGTATTCATAGAGAGTAGGATGGCTTAGAGAGTATTGTTGATTTCACATTTTTAACACACCAGACTCTATTTTGTGAATTTGAAGATTGTTTTTGGTGCACAATCTTTATAAATAAAATTCTATATGTAAATGTTTGGCCATGTCTGTTTTTTTTTTTACTGTTACAGCAACTTCTCCAAATTTGACAAACATTATGTTCATTTCTTATGACAAACACTAATCACTCAGTAAAAAAGTGTTATAATTTGTCTTTTCTTTTTTTGCATTTAAACAACATTTCAAGTTTTAAACAGTGCATGGATTACTGTCAATGTGGAGTTTTATGAGCAGCTTAAATTTAAACAGCTTTTAAATAATGTTGGCATTATGTTAGGGTCAAATGTGGGATCCAGTATTTTGGTGCATCATCAACACAAACAACTAAAGGGATCTAAAGAGCTGTTAGAACTAACGAATAAATAAACCTAATAAATGAGTTCATCAGAGCCATTTTTCACATGTGCATTTCTAAATATTTGCCTTTGCATGACAATCAGTTTACAAGATTTGCTTGTGTTTGTATTGCATAAATATTTTTATATTTGCTTTGTAATTAAAAATAAAAACAACACTTTTTATTGTTTCTTAACCAGTACTAAAAATATCCCCGTTTCAGCATATTTGCCTCTAATGTGACTATTCTGGTCCATGAGTCCAACTTTATAGACGTGCAGTGTGCCGACACTTTATCACAAAGTCCTCGGCTTGACAATGTGAGAGAGATCATCTTCATCTCATGGTCTGGACAAGGTTCTCACTGGGGCCAGATGTAGAGGTGTGATCTTTTTCTCGATGCATTATGGGAGGTGCACACTGGGGTGTTGCTGGGCCCTCTGAAAGGGTAACACATCAAGCTTCACTGCCACAGTAAGTGTAAAACCAGCATCATTATTATAAAAACACCATCATTGTGTTTAACCCATTCATAAAAATGTGTACTTTAAAAATTGGGATGGAAGGGGAGGGGCCTTTGAGGGACACCATGTAGTTCATTCAGCCAATTATACCTCCCTCATGATGGCTGTCAGTTGGTGAGAAAAAGGAAGACCACTATACACCATATTCTCACTTCACCATCAAAGACCCTGTCTTCTTCTAGGGCCTCTTTTCCTCACTTCTGATTGCACATATTTACAGCAAAATGTGAACACATGTGCAGACAGAAGGCGGTAGTGATACAATGCACCATACACAATACAAGTGACTTGCAAACTGCTGCTAAGTCAGCTTGTTTCTTGCAACCAGTTCTCATTTAAGTGACTGAATATCAAACTTTAACACAGAGGACTTTACAAATAGCTTGTGCAGGATGAGAGATTAACCTAAAACCAAAGCTCTATTTACAAGACGGCAATATTGTTCAAACAGCCATGCCAATAAAGCCAATTGAAGATGATTCCCATTTTACAAGATTAGTTCTAATCAAACAGGTGGACATGTTACAAACAGACTCTTTTTCTTCTTTCTTTGGAGAACCAGCTTTCCTGCTCAACGCTTATTATTAAAGAAGTTCAAAAACAGTTTCAATTATTCTTCCAGCTATATGGATATACTGATGATTTGACTTTTTTATTGAGAAAATTCAACAGTAAGTTTCTCAGACTCATCAAGTATATGACTGGAATGATACAATCATCATAGTCAGCACCATGTGGTCCATGTTTCTCTAACTGTCTACTGCAGGTGGTCACTGAGACTGGTGTATATTTAGTAGTGTTGTATGGTGTGGAGAGAGCGGTTGAAGGGTGTCAGTGGGAGGGGGCTTGGGGCAGGATTTGGAACAGTTAGTCTTAAAAGCCTCTGCCCTCACTCGTGCCTCCTTTGTGGAGCAGACAGTGAAGCAAGGAGCAGTGGACCTCTGTTCTCTCTCTTTCTTATTTCCTCCCTGTCGTGTCCTCCAGTCTGCCTGAGCGGCTTCCTCTGGAAACATGTCCAAGAGCACCAAGCCCACCATGGACCCCACAAAGATGGGGCTGGGACGCTCCATTGCTGTGCTGACGTCTGGTGGAGATGCTCAAGGTAAGCAGTGGATGATGCTGTTTTTTTTTTTTTTAATCTGAAAACTTTGTGATGAGAACTTGTTGATGTTAAAACAGAACAGAAGGCCAAAAATTCTTATGTTTTCTGCTGATGTTTTTGAGCACAACGCTGAATCCCTACCAGCTGGAAAAGAGCCAGTTGTCCTCTCTATTGCAAGGCTCTATCAAAGTATCATGTTGGTCCTGTGACTGCGTGACATGCTTAGTCAGTTTAGAAGCCAAAGAACAGAAAGGGCAAGAAACATTTTTCCACGATGACAGGCAGGCAGAGTTGGAAGACAGCTGTAAAAGGTTGATGGATGTTCATCCAGGGGTCTTACTTGAAGTCTGCGCACCTAGATTAGGTTATGTCATAGATACACAACGCCATACGTGTTTGATTTAAATCCAGCAGAGCCTCAAGTGTCAGTGAAGATGACACACCGTTTGAAGTAGATGCAGTAGAAGTAGATGAACATTAAAATAAACAAACCATTGGTGATAGAAAAAAAAGTTAGTTCAGAAAGCATCCACTCCCACATTCTTAGATTTAAATTTACATTAGATTCTGTGTTGAGCTACCACTGAGGTCCTGTGAGGAACTTCCTGTTTGTGTCACCCCCAGTGGACAAAGCACTGCATCTCTCCTCTGACCTTTTTCAATATACGACTGAGTAAGGATTTATGACAAAACAACAGCTTATCCTGCATTCTTTGAACATTAAATGCATCAGTCATTCTTGAATTTGTAATAAAAGGCTCCCCCTTATGGCTGCAGTTATAGGCATGAAACTTAACCTCATTACTGGTGATCATAGTTGCTTTTGAAGGTCATAAAAAAAACATCTCTTTTTTTTACTTTTACTTAAAAACTACATAAAAAAATCTTCTCGCAGGAGTTTCAGTGCTTAACTTGATGGTGTCTCATCATAACTTTGTGCCATCTTTACGTCCAATCTTCTTCTCCAAACCTGACTCTTACCCTTTGTATGGCGCCTTTATCTGCCCTAGTGTTCACTTTTTTTGCATCTTCAAGGCTAATTTTAGTGGCTCTGACCTTTTTCTGGTATGGACAGAGAGAAACGCCCCCAATTCTCAGCTGCTGTCTGCTGAAACAAGAGCTGCCACATGCCAGTCAACTCTGCCACAACACAAGCCCTCACACTGTGGCCTTTCAGTGTACCACACAGTCAGGGGGCAAGATGGTACACAAGATGTACAGTCCTCCTAAGCTCAGCCTCTGTCCTGTCTTCTGTAGTTATTTCTGTCTCATCTGTTCCCTATGGAGGTCACTTAAAGGTTAAAATAAATGGGTCTGTGAGTCCTAATGTCATGATATAGAAAATACAACATGCCTTTTTGTTTTGATGTGTGTCTGTTAAACCTCACACATTGTGTCTTTTGTGTGTCTCAGGTATGAACGCAGCTGTTAGAGCCACAGTAAGAGTGGGTCTCTACACAGGAGCTAAAGTCTACTTTGTTCATGAGGTACAGTACAAGGTCATGACATTACTCACAAGCCTGAAGAGAAACTTTGTTTGTTATTAAAATAAGCTACCATACAGTACTGAGCTTGTGAACCAACAATTACTGCATCAGTGTTTGTTGACATGTGCTGCAGGGCTATCAGGGTCTGGTGGATGGAGGAGACAACATCCGTCAGGCCACATGGGAGAGTGTGTCCATGATGCTTCAGCTGGTGAGTGAGCGGAGTATTCACACAGACGCAGATATGCAACTTAATCTACACATAAATTCACAGTAAAAATGATGTTGCAGAAGCAGTCCGATATTTCAAAATCATTTCAAAGTGAGCCAGTTTCCATTTATTTTGAGGTGTGTGAGATTAGCACACATTCACCAACCTCTCATAATAGTATAGCCTACAGTGTGTCTATCTCAGCCGTGAATGTAAGATGATAAAGATATTGCAAAACTGTGAAATTCATTGTTCCTCTTTAATTTGTTGTATTCATTGTGATCTAAATGAATAGACCAGACCACAGTGTTGTATAGCTGTTGTGTTGCACAATCTTTTTAGGGATAAAGAAGTGCTGTTGTGGCTAATGTACAAGAATAACTGACAGTAATTACAGTGCAATAATCATCATCTTCAAAGCCAAGGCTTTTTTTTTTTTTTTTACATGAACAGCTTCTCTTTGTGTTTTAGGGAGGCACAGTCATTGGCAGTGCTCGCTGTAAAGACTTCCGCTGCAGAGAGGGTCGTTTGACTGCAGCTTGCAACCTGGTGAAGTTGGGCATCACCAATCTGTGTGTGATCGGAGGAGACGGTAGTCTGACTGGAGCCAACCAGTTCAGGACTGAGTGGAGCGGGCTGCTAGCTGACCTGGTCAAAGCTGGTAAAGAAACAAATGGAGAGACTAGAAAAAAATTATGAGAGAAATCTGTAAAATCCTCCGAGTGATTTTAGACACTTTTTAAACCCCTGGATGGAAGGTTGGTCCTTTACTAGGATGATTTTTAAGTATCTCAAATATTGGATGGAGATTACATTTAGGTAAAGGTTTCATGTTCCACCAGGGGATGACTCTTTATAAATTTGGTCCATTGGATTTCCCTGTGCCTCCACACTTTTGGCAATAAGCACATTAACTTAATAAAACTGCTTTATTTATTACCATAAATTATGCAAATACCACCTCTGGGGCACTTATTAGCCCTTCACTTAAGAGGTAATGCTTTAATTAGGCCAAAATGTGAATATCTTACAAACATGAGCTCTGCTGAATGTTGCATAAATTGTGATTAGCATGGATGACTCAGCTGACAGCATAGTGGTGAAAGTTTTGCTTTTGCTTTCATGCTCAGCAACAGACTTCTATTTTAGATGTAATATTCTCTTTGCAGGGGAATATTAATCATTTTATATTTCTCCTCTCAACAATGTTCATATTTCGGACCTTTTTTAAATTTTCTGCAGGTAAGATTACAGATCAAGAGGCAAAGCATTCTTCCCACCTGAACATCGTTGGCATGGTGGGCTCCATTGACAATGACTTCTGCGGCACCGACATGACCATCGGCACTGACTCTGCACTGCACCGCATCATTGAGGTGGTGGACGCCATAACCACCACTGCACAGAGGTACAGCATAACTGTGACCCACTATCTCCTCACAAGGAGATTCACTTTTAACATTTAGAAAATATTATACATCTTGTTTGTGTAACTGACACAAAATGCTCTCTGTGTGTCCACAGCCACCAGAGGACCTTCATCCTGGAAGTGATGGGCAGACACTGTGGGTCAGTTCCTATTTGTATGAAAATATGGACATTAAACAAGATAAACAGTGAAAAAATGTCATAATCACATTGGTGTTCACTTTGTATTTGCACTTTTTGTCTTGTGGAAGGTTTTTTGTTGTCTCTCTGTTTACATCATAACCAGGTGTCCAATATTGTTTATGCTGCAGGAAAACTGTTTTATACAATTAAAACTCATGGATGTCAATCATCTTGTGCATCTTGGCCTGCAGGTACCTGGCCCTGGTGACAGCTCTGGCTTGTGGTGCAGACTGGGTGTTCATTCCTGAAATGCCACCAGATGAGGACTGGGAGAACCATCTGTGCAGAAGATTGACAGACGTATGTGTGTCTGTGTTTGCACATCCATGCAAGTCGTATGTAAATGTTGCAGCATTTTTTATTCATGATGCATAATTAAGAGTATTTTTGTTTCCTTTGGTTGGGATTCAGCAAAGATCAAGAGGCTCTCGTCTGAATGTAATCATTGTCGCAGAGGGTGCGATGTCCAGAGATGGCAAACCCATCACATCAGACCAGATCAAAAAGGCAATCACTTTTTACTGATGTCTTTTTACTAAAGAATTAACCCAAGAGGCACAGACCAAATATCATACTAACAGGTGGATTTATCTGTCTCCAGCTGGTGACTGACAGACTCGGCTTTGACACCCGCGCCACTGTTCTCGGACATGTACAGAGAGGAGGAACACCCTCAGCCTTTGACAGAATCCTGGTAAGTTTCTTTAATTTATCAAATACCAAATTTAAATCGTGGTTTACATCTTTACCACAGCCTCTGAAGTCCTCACATTCTGATCTGATTTTCTGTGTTTGTGTGATCAGGGCAGCAGGATGGGTGTGGAGGCAGTGATGGCGCTGCTGGAGGCCACTCCAGAAACTCCCGCCTGTGTGGTCAGCCTGTCGGGGAACCAGGCAGTCAGACTTCCACTTATGGAGTGTGTGCAAGTGGTATGTCATATTCAAGTGTTGATCTACCTGTGTGTACAGATGTTTTTCTTCTCTCCTGCATTCTTTGTTCAATCTCTCTCTCTCTTTGCTTTAGACCAAAGATGTGACCGCTGCCATGGATGAGGGCAGATTTGAGGATGCTATCAAGCTCAGAGGAAAGTAAGTACCCAGAGGAAAGACAGACACATGAACAGATGTTCAAGCAAAAAGTGAAATGACCTAAAATGATGAGTACATAGACTTATTAAAACAAAGAAGGGATTTTGTTGTATTTACTTTACCAGCATTATATATATATTGGTTGGTTATATATGACAGATATATCCCTACTTTTACCTCTATATTTTAGGAGTTTTGAGAACAACTGGAACACATACAAACTGCTGGCTCATATCAACCCCCCTGATGTGAAGGTAAGGAGCCTCCATTTTCCATATCTGGCTCTAACTGTATAATCAAAATTGTTTAACATAAAACTCAGTTTCTTGCTTTAAAAATGCACACCGGTATTTTTATTCCACGGTCTGACTCTGTGTTCATCTCTATTCCCCCTCTCATGAACAGAGCAACATCAATGTCGCTATAATGAACGTTGGCGCTCCCTGTGCTGGAATGAACGCTGCTGTGCGCGCAGCCGTCAGGATGGGCATCATCCAGGGTCACTCCATGCTGGCTGTTCATGATGGTTTTGATGGTCTGGCTCATGGACACGTTAGTTTTTCCTCTTTGTTCAGATGTCTATTTGTTACTTTGAATGCTATTAGAAATCTATTAAAAATGATGCAACACCAAAGTCAAAGAAATGGGAGGAAAACAAGATTAAAAAACATCAATTTGGTTTCCTGTAACGTTGTGGATATGACGGGTGGTAGCAGAGGTTCTAGGCAGGAACAAAATAAAGAAAAATATAAGTACTGTGCCATAACAGTGTTCAGTACTGCGATAACAACATAAAGTAGGTTATACAAACTGATACTGACAAGTCCATACTGGCTGTAACTCAGTGGGTTAATAGGACATCTCACTTTATATGCTGATGCAATAGAAAACACACACACTGACAAACCAGAAATTAAAACCCAAAAGCTAAATGAGTTTGTACTAAATCCAATTTTGTCTCTCAGACAAAAACTATGCAATCATCGGCGTACAGTGAGACCTTTCACAGCACAAAGTTATTTCTTCTTGACCCAATTTCAGACAGTATTTTTTTGCTTTATTGCAGATCGAGCCCATTGCTTGGACTGGAGTGAGTGGCTGGACCGGAAAAGGAGGCTCAATGTTGGGCACCAAGAGGTAAAACAGGTAAAAAATATGTTTGTGTTTTTGTGATGAGACAGTCAAAAGATTCACTGTGCACTCTGTCTGTGTACCAAAGAGTTCTACCTGGTAAAATACTGGAGGAAATCAGCCAGAACATTGCAAAATTCAACATCCATGCTTTGGTAATTGTTGGTGGTTTTGAGGTAAGACACAACTTTTTTGGGAAATACAGAATTTGTCTGATTGTAGTTTACTAAAATGCCTTGAGGAGTTTAATAACTTCGTCCCTCATTTTCAGGCTTATGTGGGAGGCCTGGAGATGGTTCAGGCCAGAGAAAAATACGAGGAGATGTGCATTCCCATGGTGGTCATCCCTGCCACCGTCTCCAATAATGTGCCCGGCTCTGACTTCAGCATCGGCGCCGACACCGCCCTCAACACCATCACCTCTGTCAGTGCTTTAACAGCAGATGTACATACATATATACTGCACAAACAATAGAAATGCAGCTAAATACATTGCCTTTGTGTTCGTCTGCAGACATGTGACAGAATCAAACAGTCTGCAGCAGGGACAAAGCGCCGCGTGTTCATTGTTGAGACTATGGGTGGATACTGTGGCTACTTGGCAACCATGGCTGGTTTGGCTGCTGGAGCTGATGCCGCCTACATCTTTGAGGAGAAATTCGGCATTAAAGATCTAGAGGTGAGCTGGTTATTCAACAATTTTTTAGGAAAATCTGAAGTTTCAAACATCAGTGTGTTCAGAGTGTTATGCGTGGATTTGTGCTTTAGGTGAATGTGGTACATCTCCTGGAGAAGATGAAGACAACAGTGAAGAGGGGTTTGATTCTCAGGTAGGTTTGGTCAGACATTCATCTTTACAGTCTTTACAGGTTTAGTCAGATGTGACTCGTAAGAGTGTTTGATTATACGTAGCTAGGTTATTCAAATATCTATAGTGGTAATCTCGAATACTTAATCCCTGCCCTTCCAGTGAACATTACAATCATCTGCCCCTGTTTCCCCAACAGGAATGAGAATTCCAACGCCAACTACACCACTGACTTTGTCTTCAATCTGTACTCAGAGGAGGGAAAAGGCGTCTTTGACTGTCGTAAGAACGTTCTGGGACACATGCAGCAGGTCTCTTCATGCAGAGATGTCTCCAATCCCTCTTCAAGATTCTCTCCTGTTTAACACTTTTATTGATAATGCATCTGTCTCTTTCCAGGGCGGCACTCCAACACCCTTTGACAGAAATTTTGGCACAAAGATGGGGGCCAAGTCTGTTCGCTGGCTGACTGAGAAACTCAGGGAATGCCACAGACACGGTGCGCAGCCCTGACATTGAATGTTTTAATTGCACATTTGGGACACTCAATTAAAAAACAAAAGCATGGGGTGCTGCAGGTTAGAGATGGAAAGAGTACAAAAATATTCTACTCCAGTTAAAGTAAAGTTACCTGGAACATGTAATTCCATTCTGTGAATTGCATTTCCAACAAAGAAAATAAAATTAAGAAAAAATAGAATAATAAATTCCACAAAAGGGCAAATTTTATGCATTTAAAGTATAAAAACACAATGTATACACTTATACCTAAAGAGAGGGGGAAAAAAGTACTTTCTCTATTGATACTTTCTCTGTTGATGTTGATAGATTATTATAAGTATTACATAACATGTTTACTGGACTGTTTATTTCTCATTTCCTTCAGGTCGTATCTTTGCCAACACACCTGATTCTGCCTGTGTTCTGGGCATGAGGAAGAGGGCTCTCACCTTCCAGCCTCTCGCTGATCTGAAAGAAGACACAGATTTTGAGTAAGAAACATATTTACACAAGCATAAGCGCTGAATCAACAAACCTGTTTTATTGTGAGTTTATGGAGTCACCCCTCTTGTGTTTAATCCAGGCACCGCATCCCTAAGACACAGTGGTGGCTGAAAATCAGGCCCATCATGAAGATTCTTGCCAAGTATGACATCAAACTGGACACATCCGAACGCGCCGACATGGAGCATGTGATCAAGAAGAGGGGTGCAATTGGGAAATAGGCTCAAGTTTCCTACAAAGTGCACTTAAAGGACAGAGTAGAGAAAATTTTGGTTCCATTACAAAGTCTTCAAAACATGTTCACATGCCCTTGTAAGAGAGCTGCTGTTACCTCCATCGTAATCCTGAATGTGTTTTTTTCTGTCAAAGATATTTCTGTTCTGTTAGTCTCCTAAGCCTCAAACTTTCAGTGAAACAATTTTACACAAGTGCAATATAACAAATAAAGATATATTTTAAAACAATTGTTGCCCTTTTTTGAACAGTATAGATTGTAAGTTATTTGGAAAACCAATTTAAATGAGAATTTTATTTATTTAAAAACAGAAATGTGTGAAAATGGCCATTTTGTGGTCCTGAAAATTGACCATCCCCCTCCCCATTTCATTCACTTTCACCGATATTATCAGTATTAAATTTTCCCCCATGTCAACAGAAATGTTCTTCCTCGTCAGATTTTGCAGCTCCATATTTTTGAGTTTCGTTTCAGATGAACAAAGTTGTGTTGAGTTAAACGTCTCTAAAGACTGACATACAAAAATCAGTATAACCAGGAGTAAAACCTTCATGATCCTTGCTTTATTTTATTCTATCTAAATATATTATTCATATTTAATCCTAAACTTAGAGGAAGAATTATTAGAGCCATTATTCACCACTGAATAACCACTAAGATATGTTTGACAGTGTAATACAGAGTGACACATGTTTGATGAAGCCTTCTGTGATAATTCCAGGGACTTCAGCAGTTTATCTCCTGTCCTTGATTACATCCCATGTCGAGCCAAAATGTGATTACATCACATCATTTCTATGGTCCCCGGTTGTGGAACAGCGCCTCAGAGAGCCTCAGGGCCGTAGAGACTGTTGATGTTTTTAAGAAGAGGCTCAAGACTCACCTTTTTAACCAGGCTTTTCACTGATTGCCTTTTTATATTTCTCTTATTGCAAATGTTCATTTTAATCGAAGTTCTTAATGTTTCTTTTATGTAATCTTATTAATTATCTCTGTTCTTAGTCTTTTTCTTAACTCCCACCTTGGAGGTTTTTACTTCTTTTACCCCTTTTATATGGTAAAGAGCTCTTACTTATTTGTTCATTCTATTATATTTTCTTATTTTAGTCCATCAGGTTGAAGTCTTTCTTTTTAACATTATTCATTTATTTCTTTTTTAATTTTATTTTTTTATCTTTTATCTCCAGTGTTTCCTAAAGGAAGCTCTTTTTGTCTTTGTGTCAGGCCATGTCTCTTTAGTGAGTAAGTAAGTAAGTAAACTTTGTATAGCACTTTTCACAGACAAAAGAGTCACTAAGTGCTTCACATAGACAAAAATAAAAATGTACAAACAAATTAAAAGGCCAAGACAACAACATTAAACAGTCATAGCAGCCCCAAAAACAATTAAACAAATGCCTGAGCAAATAAATCAGTTTTGAGTTGGCTTTTGAAGGAGTCAACAGAGTCAATTAGGAGCAGAGAGAGAGGGAGATCATTCCAAAGCCCGGGGGCAACAGCCTGGAAGGATCGGTCTCCTCTGATCCGAAAATGAGTGCGAGGAACCATCAGCAGATTTTGATCCATAGACCCCAGAGCCCGAGAGGGGGTGTAAGGCTGGATCAGATGACAAATATAAGATGGATATGTTAAATTCTCACACTGTGTGTGCTTGTGTTTGTGTGCTTGTGTGTGTATATGTGTGGGTGAGTGTGTGTATGTTGGTCCATGGGTAGGTGTGTGGGTGGGTGCCTCTGTGAGAAACTTTGAACTACATTTTTCTATCTGAAAAGTGGCATGGAAATAAAGTTGAATTTGAAATTGAAAAATTTAAATCTTTCCTCTTTGAGTGGAAAATGAAACACAGCTCCACTGGATCAACAGGTTGTCCCTCATAACCTATCATCGGTATGTTGGCAGTGATTTCATTCATCTATTTTCAAACGTGCTGCTCTGTAAAATACATTTCTCATCATTGAAGAAAGTATATAATATTTAAATAATTTAGGGCAAACTTATCCGTTTTTGGATAAAAGTTGTCAGAGCTGAGCTTTTCATAGTTTGAATAAAACATTAAACATACTCAAATCTGCTAAAATATGTGGACCTTCTAAGAACTAGGAAATGTGAAATTGATTTAATATAATCCAAACAAAGGAGAAAACTACAGTAGATCCGGAAAAGGAAAAGGAAATGGTTTTTTGCAGAGGTCACTGAGACCTCGCGGTGGCAGCCGGGACGTCGGCGGACTGTGTGCCTGCGCTCAGGAAGGTGCGTGTCCCCAGTGTCCGCTCCGGTCGCCCGGTTAGGAATGCGCCTCACGAACCCGGTGTGTGCTGTGATATCTGAAGAAACAGCAACGGGGAGCGCGGTCTGAGAAGAGTCATGGTTTGGCAAAGCTTACACCAGCAGTAACGTTCCGTGCAAGTTTGATTCATTGAGCTAGCTTGGCGTTAGCCCGCTTCGTGGATCCACAGCGCGCTAGGTCGTTAGCATCAGTCGGTAGCTTCTTAGCTAACCGGCTAGCTAGTGAGCTAGTTTGAGTGTGCAGCTGCTGGCCGACCCAGCCGAACAGGAGAGAACCAGACTGACTGCTGGACCCAACCTTATTTCGGGAAGAGGAGGTGGAGGCAGGTGGGGGCTGGGAGAACGCGAAGGGGGTGGAAGTGAGTCAGGAGCGGCTGATGAGTTCAGACCAGAGCGGAGAGCCGCCGCTGCTGCAGGAGGAGGCTGATCCCGGACCGAAGACCGGTGGGAAGGACGAGGCTCTGTTGGGGAGCGAGGGAGGGTCAGGCGGCATGGTGAGTGAGGCCTTCTTTAGCTTCGAGCTACATAGCTGGCTAAGTGACTGGAAACCTGTTAGCACACTACGCCCCCCCCTCCCCTCCTCTCCCTCCTCTGCGTGATGAACGATCTTAATCAGCTAAAATGAACCAGAATCAGACTCAGATCGGCCCACCAGGGTCCAGTTGGGCACCGGCTCGCTGACTATTTGCGTAATCATTGTGTGGTGTGGTTCAAACGCAAGATGGTGTCGATTATGAGGCGAAAGCAGCCTTAGTAACCGCACATATGGCACCATTTGCACCTCGTCAAACTTGTAAGCGGGCGATCATTCACACTTGTTCTGATCCAGATCCCTCACACAGTTGGTTAGCTCAAGCTAGCACAGCCTCTGTATTAGCCAAGCTCATTAAGGAGTTTGCTGAGTAATCACGAGCCCGTAAGTCAAGTTATAACGCCGAAGCAGAGTGACAGTGGTGTTAACTGAAGGAGGGGGTTGCTGAAATGGTTATTCTGTAGTTTTTGGCGATGGATTCATCGATTATTCGCCAAAGGAGAAACGTTCAATCACAAACCTGATCTGCTGGCTAATCGCACTGCTAGCTAACTTAGCTAGCGCAGTGGCATGCGTTGCAAATACCTGGCCTGTGCTGCGCAGCGCAGTCAGCTGACTTTACTTGGCTTGCAACGGCCTGTAACACAGAAGCATGCATTGTAACCAATGTGTCAAGTTGCACATTTTCATGACTGCTAGTTTTTCTTTCTGTGACACTGGGGCCAGAGCGTTCATTCATGTTTATCTGGAGGAGAGAGAGAGAGAGAGGTCTTGAGACAGACTGAGACCGGCAGCTGGATTTGTCAGGCCAAGTGCTTTTGCAGGAAGGGGCTGGATCTTTTAGCAGGTGGCAAGAGACAATGTCAAAAGAAAATGTTCTAGTTAACGATGTTGTATGAGGACTGTACACCAGTCGTCTGCTTTAATTTGGATAAACACATCTCCTTCATGTGTCAGTCACATTTATCTTTGTATATCTCATTATGTACTGTGGATGATCTATTCTTGGCCATAGACCTTTGCAGGGGCAGGGTTTCACCTGCTAGTTCTCACCCCCGTTAACACCAAGAGACAGGTCAAATCCTTAGATTATTCTTTAAACGTTTTACTGGAGATATTAACGTTTTCTACAGTGGCAGAGAGTATGTCTCTTTGTGACTAAAAGGGTAGATGTTAGGGGTGGGCGAAAAAATCAATACAGCATAGTATCCTGATATTTTGTCTGGTGATATATTGTATTGTCTCATTTACCAAGTATCTTTTTTTTTTTTCAAATTAATAGTTAATATGAAGTCAAATCTTTGATAATGGAAAAATTAAATCAACTGTTTGTCCATTGAGGTTGGCAGAGGTGACATTATAGAGCAGGAGAAAGTTAGTACACCAAATATAAAATATATATAAGGTTTACATTAAGTGCTACATGAAAGTAAAATACAGCATAAATAAGACAAACTTAAAAGACAGACAAATGCTGAATTTAACAGTTGAAAAAAGTATAAATCGCAATATATTGTATTGTAATACTCACTGGATTGCAAAATGTTAGAAATCGCAATAATATCGTATCGTGACCCAAGTATCATGATAATATCGTATCGTGGCCAAAGTATCGTGATAATAGCATATCGTGGCCCAGGTATCACATTAATATTGAATCGTAGCCCAGGTATTGTGATAATATCGTATTATGGCCCAGGTATCGTGATAATATCATATCGTGGGGTCACTGGTGATTTCCACCCCAGTAGATTTTGAGTCAACAAGGGGATCCCTGGGCCCTATGTTGCTTATTTCACCTTATTTCTTTGGCGTTATTTTGTATACAATGAAAACATTGATATTCAGGGGTTTTCACTTCCTGACCTCTTAAAATCACACCAGGTGATTTCAATTAGTAGCTCGTCAATTAAAGGTTGGAGTAACAGGTGAAGTCATCAGGTGTGGAATAGTCGGCTGTTACCTGCATGCTCTCTGTGCTCCAGGTTCATTGTTCATACCTCGTTTTCTGTCTTTTTCATTCATTTTATACTTTTGGTGTCAGGATTTTAAATATATTTGCGCATTATTTTAAGACTGTGTCAATGTACTGATTCAAGATGTAATATAGTCCAAGGTAACTCCTTATTTCTTTTGAACATCAAACAAAAACACTCTTCTTAATCAGTCAGCAAAACTGAATGTATAATGAAAGACATTTGTTTTTCAGTTGTAATACAGATTTGTTGTCTAGTTTCATGACTTAGTGTTAGTCTGTTGTAGTGTGATTGTGGCATCAGGCACTTGGTATTTTACGGTCTCCTTTGCTCATTGCTTTACTTGCAATATCTTATCACATTCCTCATAGTTTCCATATTTCTTTACTATAATTTCCTCAGGTCGTTGGATCTAACTCTTGAGAGCTAGGAGGCGAATTTAATCTGCTGAAACTACTCTGTGGTTGCTGCTCAGGGCTCAGTATTGGATTTAAGACCTGCCTCGGTGTGTTTGTGTTGTAAACAAATGAGTTTGAAAACATACTGTGTGCTGCGCTGTGTTTAGGGTGGTGTTAGGAAGAGTTCAGTGCTCGGCAGGGATGACACGGCAAATCTCAGATGATTTTTGAGAATATTTACTGCACAGTATTGATTCGAGGGACAGTTTCTACTGCGCTTTGAGTACTTAAAAACAATCTGAGTGAAAACAGAAACAGAGTGTATGTGTAACTTAATTCATTTACAACCATAGAAAAAAGGCTCTGTTTCTGCAAATTGTTTTAAATGGTTTGTCATTTTGCTTTAATGGTCTTCAAACTCACTGAAACTTTCCTGATTGTGCTGTTTGTTCCCTCTAGGTCACCTCAAAGGGTGCCGGTTTGAACCCAAATGCTAAGGTGTGGCAGGAGATGCCTGTGGCCTCCAGTGAGACTGTGACCAACAGTCCTCATTGGCCCCCCTCTGACATCAGTGAAGGTGAGAAACACTTTAAATATTGATATTCATAATTAAACCTGACAGAATTTTAAAATTGAAAATGTGTGAATGAGATAAAAATCAATCATGTTTTTTGTTATTTTTCAAAAGAAGGTTATGGACCTCTCAAACAAACAAAATGAAGCAGAGCACTCTTGCCTCTGAATAAACCTCTGTACCTTGATCACAGGTTATTCTGAGCCCTCGTCTGCTGGGTGCAAACAGTACACTGTGGGATTCACGGCCCTGGATGACAGCAGCTCCACAGCAACAGCTGAGATAGCAGTTAATGGAATGGACCCTCCAGAGTTGGGATTTTCCCCTGCTGAGTCCACCACAGGGACATCAGGTCAGTCACGTCTTCACACACCAACGAAGACTAAATCGCAGACTTTTCCTTAAACCAGAGTGAAAAAGTTTGGAGGGATAGAAACCTGATAAATGTTGATAAGATCATCTGTGATCTTGTATCCAAACCAGTACCTACAGCGAACATATTAAACATCTTTTGAGAGTGATGTCTCTCCACAGTGAAACACTGACCTGTATCATTCAGAGAGTTTCATCCCAGCTGATAACCTCAGCTGTTGATTTAATCATTGGGTGAAGTCTTTGAGTGAAATGAGGACCTGCAGGCTAATGGTTTCTGCTGCTAAATGATTATACTTATTTTTGAGACTCCAACAGCCAAATAACCACATCCTCTGACGGGCTGCAAACACCTAACGGCTCTCCCAGGCTCAGTTGTTCTCATTCAGTAGCACTCACATGCTTGTTAGACCAGGTTCAGGATAGATCAGACCTTGTGATAAAGCTGGCCTGGCTGTCTAGAAGACTCAAGTCACTGCACAGCTTTTATGTTTTTAGTTGCATCATAATACACAACAGTGCAGAGGGAGAAAGCAGTCCATGAACATGAACTAAGTCATGTCTGAAATATCTCACCACAACTGTAATGTGTGGTGACAGTAAAGGAGGGATAATGGAAGTCATCTACTCAGGCGCTGTCTCTCTGTGAAGTCACTAAAACTACTTTAAAATCTCCAAACTGCCTCTGAGTGTTTGACTGAGCCGTCAGCCCTGAAAGAGACACAAGTGAGCCAGGATTTTATGACTGAACCATGACCAGCTGCAAGAAAGGCTTTGAAGTATGGTGGGGCTTCTGTGGATCTTTAGAGTCTGAAATTTAGATATTTAAATGCCTATTTAATACTTCAAATGTCTTTTTTAAGTCTTAACCTCCTCAGTAAGATGTCTTTAATGTCACTTTGACTGATTTGTCTGAACACTTTATCAAAATGACACTATGTATATTTTATCATTGTATTCTGTGGTTCCAATCTTGGAGTATATGAAGCCTTTATTTTGACACCCATCATCAGCATGGTTTTTCTGCATCATGTTTGGACTTGTTGTGGATTTCAGTGGTTCTCAAGTCCAGTCCTCAAGGCCCACTGTCCTGCATGTTTTGGATGTTTCCTTCCTCCAACACACCTGATTCAAATGATCAGCTCGTTATCAAGCTCTGTAATGGCTTAATAACGAGCTGATCGTTTGAATCAGGTGTGTTGGAGCAGGGAAACATCCAAAACATGCAGGACAGTGGGCCTCGAGGACTGGACTTGAAAACCACTGGATTAGATGGTTTAATTTACTCTCTTGAAAGTAAACTACAGGAGGGCAATAATCTGTAATCTGAGTTTGTCCCAAATCAGGTTTGAACATCTACAGCTAGAGCTAATTATCCAGAGTAAACACACTGAAACACCCAATGACAAAGGAACAGGTGACAAAACACAGCAACCACTGTGAATAACACTATACCTGACTGGTGAACAGTGCCTTTTTGATATCCTAAATTAGCAAAACAATCTAGCACTAGCGTTCATTCCCTGGATAAGTGGTGGAGAGCACCAAATTGTACTTCTGACCCCTGAAGACGTCAAAGATCTCTAGTTTGGATGCTAGCTATTGTACAGATTCATAAACAATCTGATAATCTTTGAGTGTTTCTTCTTCATTGTATGCTGGAATAATTCACACACTACTCAATGGTCTGTAAATAGACACACAGACGTTCAAATCAAAAGGAACACCAGTTTTATTATCTGACATGATAACGTGATTAACACACTGATGATCACTAAAAAATTTGTCATATAATATAATACATTTTCAGAAACTTGCCATTCAGCACTTTTCCCTGAAAAACAATCAGAGTGACTTTTAAAGTATGTGAAGGAGCTTTGAAACTTGAGATATGGTTTAATATGATTTTAAAAGAAGTTTGAATACAACCTTCCTGTGTCAATTGTTGTTATACTGTGGAAAAAAATGGCATTAGTTTTTCTTCATTTGGGTCTTAAGCAGTCTTGAATTTGATTTAGAAAAGTTTGTAAGGACCTTGGTATAGTTCTGACATTGAAAAACAGACTTATATGAACAATAACAAAGTTTTTGGCACACTGAAGTGTTTTCTCATGTGTCATACAGACCCCAACTTCTATCTTCGGCCTTTTGAAAAGTGAATAAGAATCTTAAATCCTGATCAGGGGACAGCTCTACCAATGATAAAACAAAAACTGAACATTATTGGCCTCATGTACGTTTTCTTGACATCAGTGTCCATGTTCACATCTAACAGGATATTTTGTTTTTTTCTTAGCAGACTCCAAAGCTGAAGAACAACCAATATCCTCAGAGAATCTGCGAGAGTCTCTGAAGAAAGAACTTGAGTTTTATTTCTCAAGGTGAGAGCGAGGAACTTGGTCAATCTTTTCATACCTTACGATTTGATAAGTTTCCTAGTTAAGCTGAAGGCCAGTTTTTAGGAAATGTTGTCCTTTTAATTTTTTTTAGAGAGAACCTCTCCAAGGATTTGTACCTGATGTCCCAGATGGACAGTGACCAGTTTGTCCCTATTTGGACTATAGCCAGCATGGAGGGCATCAAGGTCCTCACTACTGACATGGACCTCATCCTGGATGTGTTGAGATGTAAGTGCAAAGTTTGAAGTTTTTCTTCTTAAAAGCAATCAGAGGGTCTATAATGTGTCGTGATTAATTAACTTTGAATTCCCCTCAGCCTCCCCGATGGTACAAGTGGACGAGAAAGGGGAGAAGGTGCGTCCCAATCACAAGCGGTGCATTATCATCCTTCGGGAGGTCCCTGAAACAACGCCGGTCGAGGTAAAAGCAGCCTAAAAATTCTCTCAAGAGGAAATGTCACTGAAGCATCCAGCTGTGGTGGATTTTAACCTGTGTGAGACTCTTCTCTGTGTTTGCTTCATAGGAAGTGGAGTCTCTTTTCAAAAATGACAACTGTCCAAAGGTGATAAGTGTTGAATTTGCACACAACAACAACTGGTACATCACATTCCAATCAGACACAGATGCTCAACAGGTAATTCAAGTGAAATTTAGCTTGTATTTGGACTGTCTAGAGTATCGAGTCAAAATGCTGCTCTGTGAATTGCTCTAATTCTATCATGTGCTTTCCAGGCCTACAAGTACTTGAGAGAGGAAGTAAAAACATTTCAGGGAAAACCCATTATGGTGAGTTTTCTGAAATCCCTGATTCATCTTGGAAATGTCCCTTCCTGAGGCTGTTTTTGGATGTTAACGTCTGATTTGTTTTTGTTGGAACAGGCCAGGATAAAGGCCATCAACACATTCTTTGCCAAGAATGGCTACCGTAGCATGGACAGCAGCCTCTACGCTCAGCAGTCCCAAAGCCAGTCCCAGTACAGCTCTCCTCTCTACATGCAGCATGTGTACCCCCAGCAGCAGTACCCGGTCTACGGCATTGTACCTCCCACCTGGACGCCTTCACCGACACCGTATTTTGAAACTCCTCTGGTGAGGCACACTTCTCTGACATAAGTCTTATTAATGCAGAGTTACTAATGCACATCAGTGAAAAACTTTCACTTCCACCAGCTGACTGAGCACCCTGTTCTTCAGAAACCACACACTGCCAGCTAGTCATTGCCACATTGTTGTTGTGAGGTCTTGGAAGAAATACACAGGGTCGATTCAAATGACTATTTTGAATCCTCAGCTGGCTTAAGCACACAGTATTTTGCATAACAAAGAGTTTGTGAAAATAAAGTATTGTACTGATTTAAAGTGTTTTACATCAGGGATGCAGAGCATGGTATGGTTGAATCTGGACAGAGTTACTGTAATGTGTTTTAAAGTCATTAGATTGTAGAGTGTTGTTTCATTCAACTTAATAAGAAGTTGATTTAAAGACAGGAATCTTGGGTAGAGGTATTGGGAGTGTTAGCTGGCATTTACACTATTTGTGCTAAATGTGAGAATTTGTGAAGTAAAAGGTCGTCTGAAATAGTTGAATACTAATCCTGGGTACAAGGGATGTCCAATCAGCCTTTTCAGCCCCTCATCCTGGTCTGATGTTTAAATATGAAGTTTCTGATCCAATATTGAGTCCCAGTCCTGCCTTGATAATCAAGCAGCACATATTTTAAGATGTCTTCAGCTTATTCCATTTGACCAAAGCCAGTGTGCATGTCATTGGTCTCGCCTATAATCTGTTGTACATGTTTTCTGCGTGAGACCCAGAAAGCTGTGTGTGCAGTACTGGACTGAGTTTTTAGCTGAGGAGTTTGTAAAATAACAGACTGTCCTGTGTCTGGGATGTGTTTTAACCCTCCATCCCTGGGTTTAGTTTCCGTTGGCTGATCTAAAGCATTTGTTAGTTTGAGCTGTGGCTGAAGTTTTACATCAACATCCTGTTTGTCATTTTTTTTTGTATACAGGTAGGTGAACCCAGACCACACCAGTACCCCATGTCACTTGTGCCCTTTAGTTCAGCTTATTCTAATGATTTAGATGAGATGATCTTCTTAAATGTCATTGACTGATTAGTTAAAACACAGAAAGCACTTGATGATAGGAATAGAAACAGGCATAAAACAGAGCAACAGTAAGTTAAGGATTCTTTGTATTTTTCTTTGTCTTCTCTCATCTTCTTCTTTCGTCTTCTTCCTCTTTGTCATTTTCTTCTTCGTCTTCATATTTACTTCTTTGTCTCCTTCATCTTCTTCTCTCGTCTTCTTCTTCTTTGTCTTTTTCTTGTTCTCCATCTCCTCTTCCTCTGCAGTCATTTCAGGGTCAGGTCAGTAAGAATGTGAGATGGTACAGGTTGATTGTCTGGGTGCCTTTTCCCAACTTTCAACAAGGAAAGGAAACCCACATAGCTGAGTATTGCACCAAAGCACGTTCTTATGGTAGCTGGTCTGTTAGCCATGGTGACCTTCTGGACTGCTCCATGTTTTTTCTTGAGACGTTAATTCCTTTGGTCCTTGAGTTAGTTGAGAATAAATATCTTTAAAAAAAAAACAAAAAAAACTAATTGCTGCTGCCTGGACTATGTTTTAATTGTTTCTGTCTTCTATCCTTTGCAGGCACCTTTTCCCAACAGTAGCTTTGTGAATGGATTTGGCTCTGCTGGGCACTACAAAACTGGATCCAATTCTCTTAATATCACTCGCCCTTTCAACAGAAACCGGTAGGAACTTTTCCAAAAACGTGACTTTGTTACTCTGAAGTTTAACCAGCTGGAATGTTTTATCACTTTGTGTCAGTGTTTGCATGATGTGAACTGTGAGCATCAGATCATCTGCAATACAATTGTGTGTAGAGACAATGTGACCTCACCGGGGGTTTCACTCCCTGTCTTCTTACTGTCCCCACAGTGTCCCCCTCTATTCAAGAAAGAATGTAATAAATGCCTTCAGGTACAACTACTATATACTGCACAACCAGCTTCATTGCTACCTTCATCTCTGACCATACTGCAGCAGCCAAATGACTCGATCCATAATGAGGCCCAAGCCCTCTGCCAGTCAGATTTCAAAGCCATTAATCCTTTGTATCAGTGTGATAAATGTTCGTTGCTGCGTGATGAACATCCTGATGGATTTATCACATCATTCGAGAGGTCCAGTCGGGCTTACTTCATGGCAGCAGCTGCTATTTGACTCTGATTAACTGGCTTTTCAAGTTATTGACCTCCTCGGCTCCAAAAAAACGTCCTCCTTTCATTGACATTATTACATGTAACAGTTTCTCTCCATCCTAACTAACCACACGTTTAGATTTTTGTACGGTTCTTGGTGGCTTTTTGTCCGTGATTGTTTTTACTTTTGCAATGTGCAGTCTTATTGTTGAACAAAGAAAGACTGACAGTTTTTAGAAGAATCTAATCCAACCAGCTGTCAAGCTTTCATCTGTTTGCTGTTAATCTTTGGCAAAGTGATGACAACTATACACGTTTGTTCAGACACTGAAAAGCTGCTTCACAGAGAAAAAGTCAGACCCAGTGATGACATCAAGATGCGCATAGAGGGAAACTGGAGATGGAAGTAACTGGCTTTGTTTCATTCTTTCTCTTTCTCATCTTCTCTCTTCTGTCCTTCACTTTTAAAGTCAGGTACTTCTGTCTGATCCCAATGAGCGTTCAGATTATGAGATCTGAGGGTCAAAGACTATCGATCATCAAGACATGCAAATACTGCCGCTCAGATCTTGACATCTGTCTGAGTCGTTACACTCAGAGCAGTCTGTCTTGGTCTTCCGGCAGTGTTGTCAGCTCTTTTCAGTGATTTAAAAGTTTGCAGATTGCCAAAAATACAGTTTGCTCCCATCAGTGTCTCCATCGCTTTAACAAGCCGAGCACCAGTGTAGCCCCAAGTCCTCCTGCATGTCCACACATCCACCCTGAAGACAGAGCATGCTTTCTTCTCCCTCCACCAGTGTTTCCTATGAACTCACCATGCTGCTCCAGCCTCTCTTATCCATAAAATGTTTTGACTCCAATTTAACAGTCACATTTTTGGGTATAGACTCAATCAAAACCCACTTACAGAACAAAGTTAATTTAATTGTAATAGTTGCTGATCATCATCATCACACTCTATAAGAACAAGTGAGAAAAGTGTTCAAAAAGATGAATTTCATCTTGTTAGAAATAGTCAAGGTCTTAACTTATCCACAAGTAATCAATCAATCAAGATTGGCTTGAAGCTTGTTAATTGACTTAAAAAGCTCAAGTCAGGAAACACTGGTCTCTTTCTGGATCTCTGGCACTTTATGTCGTCTGGACCCCGCTCATTTTCATTCTCGTCTGTGACAGAAACCATGTGAAGCCCCAGGTGAGGACAGGTGACATGACTTCAGCGTCTATAACTCCTGTTCCACTGGAGAGTCTGACTGGACTGCGTAGCCCACAGCCCCCCACTCCTGTCGCATCGGCCACCACTAACCCAGTCCAGACAGCTTCTGACCTGAGTTCAGCGTTCTCTCATCTCTCCTCCTCTTCCTCCTCTCTGGACCCAAGTGATGACAACAGTATGGCTGGACGTGGGAGGTAAACCTGCCACATGTGTGCTCAGCTATAACAGCTGCTGCTTATTGAATCAGTTACACTTGACATGACAAATGATTTGTTCTGTGTTTCAGACGAGGCACAACATACAGAGGAACACGGAGGAGGCGAGAAGACGAACGGATTGCGGTAAAGAGCAACTCAAGGTGTCTTTAAGTTTTAGTTTAAAGCCTGTAAAATCTTGAGGCCTTACTGTTTGTGTCCTTTGTTTCTCAGAGGCCCATACCGCTAGCAGAGGTCAAAGTTTCTCCCCCCAAGTTTGACTTGGCTGCTACCAATTTCCCACCTCTTCCCGGTTGCGTGGTCAGCACACAAGGGGAACCAGTGCTGGAAAACCGAATGTCAGACGTTGTTCGTGGCTTGTACAGAGACAAGGTAAGAAGAGGCTGAAAGTGAATCTGTCTCAGCTTCATTCTTAGATTTTTTTTTAAAGATTTTCAGTGTTTTTTTTTTGTTTTTTTTTCCCTAGAGTGAACAGGCCAATAAAGAAGCCACTGTGAGTCCAGCTTCAGGTCAAGCCCCAGTCACAGAAGACGCTGCAGCTGTCCCAAGTCCTGCTTTGGCTGCTGGGAAATCCGCTACACAACCACTTGGACCTGCATCCACTGGGTATTATTGTCTCCCCAATAGTGATGGTTTTGAATTAAATATTGATTTCTGATTGTTGATTATAAATAGATTTTAGTACTTGGAGTGTTAAACTATATGTTTGCATGTCCTGTTCCGACAGCATCACTCGTCAGGAGAGGAGGGTTGATCGCGCAGAAAACCCCGTTCCAAAAGTGACTCCCCGCACGCCAGCTCAGACAACTGTAAACCCATCCTCTTCCTCCTCCTCCTCCTCCTCCTCCTCACAGCCTGTGCCTGCCTCCAGGCCTCAGCCCTCTGCTGCCTCAACCCCTGTGACCCCCAGCACACCGGCCCCTACTACAGCTACTGTTTCCACCTCCATACAGGTGAAGATCTGGCTCTTTTTTGATGACATCTGTCACTCCAGCGTAGTTGTGTTCGGTTATACTGATGTTTTTATTTTGCAAATGTGTCTTCCCAGTGATGAGATCTATTGCGCATAGAGGGAAGTGAGGAAGTGGACTGAATGGCTTTGGTTCTGTTCCTCACTCTATCTTTTTCTTCTCTTCAATATTCTCACTTTTATCCTCCTCTGTCCTTCCCCACTAAAGTCCAGGATGTTCACTCCCACCCCGATGAGCGTTAAGATTATGAGATCTGAGGGTTTGACAAAAGGATTATAAATGAATGTATGATCCATGGAGTTGCAGCTGTTTTAATATTGTGCTTTTTGCCTGGCTTGTTTAAGGAACCTCGTAAGCTCAGCTACGCCGAGGTATGTCAACGGCCACCCAAGGACCCTCCTCCTGCTGCCCCAGCTCCAGCTTCCTCGGGCACCTCTTCAGGTCAGCCGCTACGTGAGCTGCGCGTGAACAAGGCGGAGGAGCCGGGCTCCAGCAGCGGGGACAAGCAAGAGAAAAGCCACGACAAGGAGGGGGGATGGGAGTGCAAGGAGAGCCGACCACCACGTGAACGTGACTCTCAAGGCTACTACCGCAACAATGGCCCCAGAGGCACTGGAGGCCTCAAGTTTCGAGACCAGAGGCGTCCGCCTCCAGCCCGACGCAGCTCCCCTCAAGGAGGTTATCGGCACACTGGCAAAGAGCAGAATATCCCACCAGTATCGCCAAAGTAAAAACTGATTATGAATAGAAAAAAGATGTATGAATATATATACATGGATATATATAATTATATAAAAATGAATAACATAAAAGCAACAACATTACGGTAGCCACCTTCCCCTCCTGGAACTTGTCGAGAGAAAAGCTTTTAAAATGACGTTAAGGCTGGGACATCCAGGACTGACGGGCAGAATGACATCTGGAGAACTGTGAATGGTTTGAAAAGGAATATCTTGTTCTGGTCTCCGACTGTATGCTTAAAAGAATTTAAGTGCGATTTATCTGGAGGCCGTCTCATTTATGCTCTGCTAGGGAGAGGTGGGATGCTGGGCCTAAATGGCCCTCTACCTTTTTTTTTTCTTTTGACGAATAGATGTCTGCAAGAACAATATGCACTAAGAAGAAAAGAACATGCATATATGTCATGTACATATACAAAGACATCACTAACACGCAATGAGACATCAGGTTTTTGTTTTTGTTTTTTTCTTTTCTTGTGTGCTTAGGTTTGAGAGTATGACTGAAGGATTGACTGATGTCTGTGTATGCTCTGATTGTTAAGCAAAATGATTGAAGTGCTGCAGTGTGCTGTTGCACTGATGTAATGAAATTGATGATTTTATTTGATTTTTACATCAGAGATTCAGAATCATTGTCCTGAAACTGGACAGTGTGATCTTCTAATGTATAATGAATTGTGTTCTATGGTGGTATTTTGATCCTGGTTCATAATTGGCTTAAATTGTATCAGTCAGATATCAGAAGCTGTTGATGTATGCCGCAGTCAGCTGTGTGAGTTTGTTTGAAGCCTAAATCCACTTTGGGGGTGCTCGCTGGCCTGTTGGCCATGGTGAACCTTCTCGCCTGGTCCAAACTTTTCATGTTAAGTTTTTCTCTCTCTGAACTAAACACACTGATTCAGATCATTGTCATGTTGATAATCAGTCAGGTTCTCTGTTTACATGTTTGTTTGGCTGTTAGGTTGATGTTTCCAAGAGAGAATAGATTGAAAAGGGGGAGATTTGACTGTTCAGTGCGCCTGAAGGTTCAGATGAGGTTAGGCTTTTCTACATCATCACAGGATATCCAGGTTAAGCTTATCTATGAACTGTTCTTAACAATGGCATAGTGTCAAAAATAGACAGAGGAGTGCTGTAAGCTTAAGAAGATAGCTATTATATTTGGCAGCCAAAATATGGGTATGAAGAAAATTGGGACATTTTCACGTGCTATGTGCCAGCTGCCTATGATCATAGTGTGTTAGGATAAAGTTTGATTTTTATTGACAAGGTCTGCTAAATAATGTAGTTTTGGGGAAACTTTTTGCCCAGTGAAACTGGATTTTGACAAAGCTGTAGAGGTGTAGTTGCCTATGCTATATTGTAATAACCCTTCACTAGAAACGTGTGTGGGAGAATGTAATTGTTCTAGTACTGAATTTTCAGAGGGAGGTTTTTGACAGCAGGTATCCACCAGATTGTTTTGTCCTATAGGGTAAGTTTGCTGGTTTGTTTTTTTCTTTCCTTTTTTAAATTTCTTTTCATTTTTTGTTTTTGTTTTGAAAAGAAACAGATTGACTTAGAATTTGAAGTTTGACTCACTGTATGTATTGCTTTTTAAATTTATTTATTTTAATTCTGATGCACAACGCTTTTCTCCCAATCTTGGTAGGCTGGTTTCCCCAAAGTTGTGTGAAATCGCATTGGCAAAATAAAATCACGCATATGACATTTATATACTGTTCTGGATGTCAGCTGAGCGAATAAAAATACTTGATGCATTGACTTTGGGTTTAGTAATGCAGTAAACAAATAACCAATCACTGGGGTTGTATTTTTTTCATTAATGAGTATGAGCAGCTAGTGGATTAGTATAATTAAAGAAATGCACTAACTTTTTTTTTTTTTTTTTTAAATCTTACTCATGAGTAATGTGGAATCATTTTAGAAGCATATGGTTGATGTTGACAGGCTTGCAAATACCTACAGGAATTGCTCTCCCCTCCATATGTTTGGGTTATTTTTTTGTTAATTTGGGTTGGGGTGGCAAAAGGAAATAAAGATATGGATAAACCAAGTGTTTGAGACACAATCCTAGAACTGTACGAAATGTCACCAAAAATAAATTATTTTGATTTGGCTTTCCAGTGTTGTTTCTTTCTGCTGTTTGATATCATCTTCATACACCAGATAGAGGTAAATGAACAGTAAAACATAGAAAATATTTAGGCCAAGACAGTAGATGCACTTAAAGAACTGTAGCTTGTTCTGAACACGGGTTTTAGTTTATTTGAACCTCCAAGGGGAGTTTTGTGGGGGTAAGAAAGTGCAGGATGGATCAAGGTCCCTGTTTGAGGTCTTTGCAGAGCCTATATTGGCTGCCAGGAGGGCCATAAATTTGCAGAATATGGTTAATCTGTTTATTTCATCCAGAATACTAGTACAAAAAAACCCCCAACAAACCATTACATCTAACAAGAGTGTCCAAGTAGGACTTGGCAGAAAAAAAAAACCCATTCAGACTCGTTACATTTGATAGAATTGACACTTTAAATTGACAAAATAGATCATTTGTAATTCGGGTGCATACTTGATGAGCAATTAAATGTTTCATGGTTATAAAATTAAAAAACAAAATGAGGATTTAAGGATAAATCTGTGTGTCATTCAAATAGTCTTATGATTATTAACTGATTACCTGGCAACAGGAATTATTTTTGTCTTTATAGCTTTTAGTTAAAACATTTTTTACAGGTGTATTTATCTTGTTTGTACAGCCTTTGTATGGTATCTACAAAACCCAATTCCATGGAAGTTGGTAAATTCTCAGTCATTCACAATTAAGGATGGGGCGAGGTTTACTACTTTGTGAACAACTGTGTGAGCATATAGTTGAACAGTTTAAGAACAACGTTTCTCAAAGTACAATTGCAAGGAATTTAGGGATTTCAACATCTACAGTTCATAATATCATCAAAAGGTTCAGAGAATCTGGAGAAATCACTGCACGTAAGCGGCACGGCCGGAAACCAACATTGAATGACCATGACCTTTGATCCCTTAGGCGGCACTGTATCAAAAACTGACATCAATGTGTAAATGATATTACCACATGGGCTCAGGAACACTTCAGAAAACCATTGTCAGTAAATACAGTTCGTCACTACATCTGTAAGTTCAAGTTAAAACTCTACTATGCAAAGCGAAAGCCATTTATCAACAACATCCAGAAACGCCACCAGCTTCTCTGGACCCGAGCTCATCTAAGATGGACTGATGCAAAGTGGAAAAGTGTTCTGTGTTCAAATTGTTTTTGGAAATAGTGGACGTTGTGTCCTCCAGGCCAAAGAGGAAAAGAACCATCTGGACTGTTATCGACGCAAAGTTCAAAAGCCAGCGTCTGTGATGGTATGGGGGTGCATTTGTGCCCAAGGCATGGGTAACTTACATATCTGTGAAGGCAACATTAATGCTGAAAGGTACATACACGTTTTGGAGCAACATATGCTGCCATCCAAGCAACGTCTTTTTCATGGACGCCCTTCCTGCTTATTTCAGCAAGGCAGCGCCAAGCCACATTCTGCATGTGTTACAACAGTGTGGCTTCGTAGTAAAAGAGTGCGGGTACTCAGCTGGTCTGCCGGCAGTCCAGACCTGTCTTCCATTGAAAATGTGTGGCACATTATGAAGCGTAAAATACGACAACGGAGACCCTGGACTGTTGAACAACTGAAGCTGTACATCAAACAATAATGGGAAAAAAATTCCACCTTCAAAGCTTCAACAATTAGTCTCCTCAGTTCCCAAACGTTTATTGAGTGTTGGTAAAAGGAAAGATGATGTAACACAGTGGTAAACATGCCCCTGTCCCAACTTCTTTGGCACGTGTTGCAGCCATGAAATTCTGAGTTAATTATTATTTGCAAAAAATAATAATAATAATAAAGTTTATGAGTTTGAACATTAAATATCTTGTCTTCGCAGTGTATTCAATTAAATATAGGTTGAAAATGATTTGCAAGTCATTGTATTCTGTTTTTATCTACGTTTATCACAATTTCCCAACTTCAATAGAATCGGGTTTTGTAGTTTGAGGACTGGTGTTGACACAACAAATAATTTGGCGTTATAAGTATCCTAAATGATTTAGTGAAAATAGAAAAGAACCGTTCCAGCCAAACAGGCCAGTAGGGGCTGCCTGACCTGTCAGTGTGTAGTGATCTACAGTCACACTTGTGTTTCTCTCTCCAAGTCTGTACCTCAACATGGTCATGAGCTGAAGGAACTCGTGGCATGTCGTTGGATGTGTGGATGTGTGCGGGGCTGCCGGGTTATGCGTGCCTATATTGGGACAGTCGATACAGTAGGCAAAGCCGTGTCTAGTCGTCGGACAAACTCACACTAAGGATACCATGAAGTTGATAAAGTAGTCGCAGATAACAACCCCCGTGGCCTCCGTGGGGTTTAAATGCAGGGACTGTGGGGTCCAGGCAGAGGGCGTGGCCGCGTGTGATGACGTTCTGTGTTTATGTCAAAGCGAGCAGCAAACAGTCAATACAGTAACCTGTCAGACCTTCAAACCGTGGACCACAAACGGTACGTTGTCCCTTAAACCTGATTTATTTACCACCTTCGATGCGAAAGACGTTTAAAACGTCTTCAGAAGTATTTAAAATAGCTGTCATTTGATTTTTTTTTGCTGTACAGTGTCGATTGTTCCTCTCATCTCTCGACGCTAACGTTAGCTTCTGAGCTAACTTGGTTGAGCTAGCTGCCGGTGAAAATGTAACGAGGGTCTATTTTCTCCCTCTAACCCAGCCTGTCAGTGTGTGGTTGAATGCCAAGTGGCCGTGGTGGTCCGTATATTACCGCTTCGATCCATTTCTGAAGCTGTCAGTCAGTGTTAGGCCATTTTCTAGCAAGTCATTCAGCTTTCTTTGTTGTTCTTACGGAGCGAGCTAACGTTAGCAGTCAGTATCAGTCATCTGTTTCCTAAATACAGAGTGATAACACTGCTATCAGTCAGCTACCAGACTTATGCCATAAACTGGCATATAGTGTATTCAGCCTTTATTCCTTTGATTTCAGTGTGGTTGTGATTAAGCTAGAGGAATTACGCTGATTTGAACTAGACGGTATTATATTTGCTTGTCAGTATTTATGATTTACTGTCATTTTGATCACAACAACAACAATAACTAATGTACAATCTGTTGATTTCATTATATTATCTGTATTTAAAAAGGGCAGATAGCATAATGTTATTGTAATTTGAAACCCCTTCGAGGAGTTTTTGACTTGTTGTGAAGTAGATCTATATTTACAGAGATGCCTGTTTATAAACTACAAAAGCAGCAAAGATGGCAGATACAGTTTTAGCATTGAAATGGGTAATGTCTGTAATCTCTTTGAGGGGGAAGGTGACAGACCAGACAAGTGACAGCACATTGAAGAAACAGACATCCTTTACATTTTCAGCTGCAAAGATTTACAGTGGATGGAAAATTTAACTGTCTGAAATAGTGGGATGAGTATTTTTGCTAGAAATACAGTACTAGATTATCATGTACAAGACAATATCTGCAAAGTGATAAGAGATACAGTACAGGCCAAAAGTTTAGACACACCCTCTCATTCAATGTCACTTCTTTATTATTTTTATGACTATTTACATTGTAGATTATCACTGAAGGCATCAAAACTATGAATAAACACATGTGGAATTTTGTTCTTTGTACTAAAAAAGTGTGAAATAACTGAAAACATGTTTTATATTCTAGTTTCTTTAAAATAGCCACCCTTTGCTCTTGATGACAGAAGTACTTAGTCACAAAGTAACCCTGATAAGGAACACCTGTGAAGTACAAACCATTTCAGGTGACTACCTCATGAAGCTCATTGAGAGAACAACAAAAGTTTGCAGCGCTATCAAAATAGCAAAGGGTGGCTACTTTGAGGAATCTAAAATATAAAACATGTTTTAAGTTATTTAACACTTTTTTCTTAAGCACATGATTCCACATGTGTCCATTCATAGTTTCGATGCCTTCACTGAGAATCTACAATTTAAATAGTAATGAGAATAAAGAAAATGCATCGAATGAGGTGTGTCCAAACTTTTGGCCTATACTGTTTATATATTTATTTGCCCACAGGAGTTTCTAAAATTGTCCAAAACCAAAAGTTGATTGTAGCACCTGTAAACCACAATAAAATAAAATGTATTTGTATTTGAATAGACTTGCCACGCTGCAATTTACAGATATTTACCACCATGAACATAACTAAATTTGAATTTGAATTTATAAAAGGATAGTCCCTTGAGGTGTAGCATCTCATTTTCAAGGGGGCCCCTAAACAAACATACATAGAACTCAGGACACATTATAATGCATTAACATACATAACATATTACAAATGCAGACATCTTGCTCATCCTACTCCCACACACAACCCCAACCAACATACACCTAACATACAAAATAGACAAAACTTTTTAACAAGGATTAATAATGTGAACATAAATGAAAAAAATTAAAGAAAATAAATTAGAAACATGAGCAATTTGTTTCGAGATGGGAGTATAGTGCCATTCTAAAGTGATAAAAAGAATAGAATAGTAATAGAATACAAAGAAAGAGGTAGGTCATTCCAGTCTGATGGGGCTTTATACTGGAACACTCTTTTGCAAACTGTTTTAAAGATTCTAGGAACAAAGAAAAATGGGTAGTTCATGTGTTCATATGTCTAAGAGAGTATGGGGAGTTGTATGGGATCAAGAGTTCTTTTAAATATGAAGGGCAATGGAGATAAACACATTTAAAAAGGAAATGAAGCCAATGAAATTGCTGTCTTGATTTGGGTTGTAACCAGTTCAGTGAGTCAAACATAAAGCAGTGATGTGTTCTAAAAGGACATCTCAAAACAAATATTCAAAAGGAGTTAAATAATACAGTCAGAGGTTTGAGATGAGAGTCAGAAGTATTATAGTAAACTATATCAGCATAATCAACAAGTGGGAAGATTAGTTGTGATATTAGTCTTTTTCTGATTTGCAACATCACGTTATCTAAACTGTCATTTTGCTACACTGGGTTGGAAAAAGCACATGTCCAAAGCAATATGCAACTTGTCTCAAAGTATAATTTCTTACAGTTGTTAACTAAACTTATTGCAAAATGTGTTTCAGTGTACCCTAGTGACACCCCTGCCTGGGTGCCATGGTCCTCAGTTACACATGAGCTCTACTATGTGGTACATCATGCAAAGCATTCAAAGTAAATACTCCTTGTCTGAGCGGCTCATCCGCACCATCGCAGCCATTCGCTCATTCCCACACGACAATGTGGAGGATCTCATTCGTAAGGTAGGCCTATTTCTCTACCACTTTGAATCATGATTAATGACTTTTCTGTCCATGTGATCAGTTACACTGACATAGTTTTTTCCCCTCATGCTCAAGGGTGCTGATGTGAACCGGATGCATGGCACACTGAAGCCCCTGCACTGTGCCTGTATGGTTGCTGATGCTGACTGTGTGGAGCTGTTGTTGGAGAAGGGGGCAGAGGTATGTCATGGAGGAAAACTCCTGCACATTGACACCAAGGGATTTGAAATCAATTTATTACCTCATGGACAGCTACCTCTTAAATTGAAATTCAGAGTTGTACTATAGATATAAAAGGTAATCCAGTAGGCATTATGGCGGGTTTTATTTTTGAATGTTATATTTTCTGAAAAGTTATCTTTATTGGGGAATTTATGAGTGATAAAGTGAAGTTTTTCACAGCTCTTCACCTGAAAGATGTTCACTTTTGACATCTGGAATAGAAAAATTAGCTGCAGAAAACATTAGGAGGATATTCTTTTGTTGAAGTGGGGTTGCGTGAGGTGCTTGCCAAAAGTAAGCTCAGCCTCTTAGTCGAGAAAGTAGCTGGGGAACCGAATTGGAAGCTAGACTATCATCTGCTGCAGTTTGGGCCAGGTCTGACACATAATTTAGCTTTTTTAACAAAATACATTCTTGGTGCAAGTTTTTGCTGTATTTGAAGTTTTTTAACAGCTTTACCTGTTTGAAAGTTTATTTATTTTGCACTATGTGTGGACATGACATATACATGCTCCTATAGATCATCTACTCAAGTCTATGATGTACGAGCCACTGATGTATTGTGAACATTTGCATCCCAATTTGACAGACATTCAAGTACCCAAAGCTTAATATTCAGTGGACACAGTAATGACTGAAAGATGTTGAACAAAAAATGTTGAAATTGAAGTTTGACATTTTCTATTCTCGGGTATTTGGCATAAAAAAATCTTTGTTTTTTATATCACACTATACTAACATGAACTGGTAACGGAGACTTCCTGAATTGTTGGAAACTTAATGATACAATTATAATATGCAAAAGACACTTGATTGTCCGAGTAAAGCTGTAGTTTACAGAAATTACAGTTGAAAAGGGTAAAAGCTTTTTCTCATGTGATGTGACCGCCTGGTAGTGTCTAGGCTGAAGAATGGGATATCTCTGACTTAAACCTGGACCAGGACACCAGTAGTTAGTGTCATATGCCTCTCTGGAAACTTTTCCTGTTCCATTTCTTGGGGTAATTAGTTTTGGTTCACCAAGCTTGTAAGTGCAATGCTCTGTTTCTATACCAACACAAGTTGTGCTGTAACAGTGCAGACTTTCCCCTAACCTCTAAATATGCTCTGTGTTATTTCTGTTGACCTTACGGCACCCACCGATCTATATTTTACCCTAGCCAGCCCCTCTGCACTCAGTACTGCTGCATACACATTACACATGAACCAGCAAAGCAGGTGCACATTTGAAGTTCCTAACAGTTTCTTCTTTCTGCAGGTTGTTGATCAACCTTCAGAGTTGTTGATTAGTATTAATTTGTTCATAACATTACATTTCCTCATTAGGTGAATGCTTTGGATGGATACAATCGCACAGCACTACACTATGCAGCAGAGAAGGATGAGAGCTGCGTGGAGCTGCTGTTGGAGTATGGGGCCCAACCAAACGCTCTGGATGGCAACAAGGACACCCCACTGCACTGGGCAGCTTTTAAGGACAACCCAGAGTGTGTGAGGGCTCTGCTAGAAAGTGGGGCCTGTCCCAATGCCCGGGACTACAACAATGACACGCCTTTGAGCTGGGCAGCAATGAAAGGCAACCTGGAGAGTGTCAAAGTACTTCTAGACTATGGAGCCCAGGTCCATGTAACCAACATGAAGGGCCAAACCCCCATCTCTCGACTGGTGGCCCTGTTGGCCCGGGGCCTGGGCACCGACCAGGAGGAGGAGTGCCTAGAGCTGTTGTGCCGGGCGGCAGGGCGGTTTGAGATCAGACGGGCTGATGGCACACTTCCTAGGGAGCTAAGTAAGGATCCCCAGCTGCTAGCGAGGCTTACAAACATGGTGGCTCAGGCTCCAACACTTCGCTCACTGGCTCGCTGTGCCGTCCGACAGAGTCTTGGAGTCCAGTACCTCCCCACTGCTGTTAAAGAGCTCCCTCTACCAGAGACTATAAAAGATTATCTACTCCTGAGAGACTGAGTTAATGTTACCACTGGCTGATTAATAAACAGATCGCCACACAGCTTTTTTGGCACGGAAGTGTCTGCATTGAGTTCTTGGTGATGTTCTGGTGGTGGCCCCTTTTAATTTGATCTTCCTCCAAGATAAATGAAGACTTGTGCTCTGGGTGAGACATTCAGACCTCTCCAGGCCTTTCTTTTTTATTGAATAGCTGTTGCACAATTGAGTGTAGCAGATTAATAAGTTTTGATTGGTTTCAGTTGTCTGAAACGAACTGCACCAGTTCATGTTTGAAATGTCTCACAAAAGATTAAAAAGTTATGCAATCTCTGGGAAAACAGTTCAAGCCTTTGAAAAAGGTAGTCCTGGACTGGTGCAGCTAAACTTTTGTAGCCCACCCTGCAAGAAGTACAGAAAGAAACTATATCGGCATTGTTGAGCCTCATCGAGAGGATTAATTTTTTCTTTATTTCTTGAAGCAGGGAGTTCCCAGCTGTTCGCAAAGAGCCTGTGCATCTTTGTCAGTTTATTTTGGCTTGTTACCATTTTTTTGGTCTAATAAATTTACAAAATATTAAAAACTTGTACAAAATCTAAAAAAAATAAAGTTTTAAAAAATCTCTTAATTGTTTGTCACAGAGCATTAGGGAAATGTTGAATCATAAGTTTGTTGTCTGAACTAGCTTGTGGCCATTGCAAGATTAGACTTAGTGTTGGATAGGTTTAAAATGAGGTGTAGTTATTTAATGATGTAGACTCTTCATAGATTGTGCAAGAGGACACCGTTCCTAATAAGAGGTGCTCGATAACATATGTTATCCAGATTATATGATGCAGGGGGGTGGCCGTCTCTCTTTTGATAATATCCCATGTAAACCTCTGATGATATATAAGTGTTGATGTGTGGGGGGGTAAAATAAAAAATAAAAAATCATATAAAGCTTGCAGAAAATCAGAAAGATTTAATTGGTTTCAGGCATAGAAGAGTAAAGATGTGACAGGCACATCCTCTGTCCAGTCCTCTACAAATGTCTACTGCCTATTAAGGAAAATAATGCAGTCTACATGTCTGCTGTCAAATTGATTTACTTTTTATTTTGGCTGTGAGGAATGCAGTTGCTAAGCAGGAATACAATTTTATTTCATTTTTTTACTTGGGATGCTATCAGTCTTGAAAGTTTTCAAGGTTGGTCCAAAATTTTGCAGCAAATGATTAAAGTGTTTTTATGTTATATATTACATGTTAGACTGTTAGAACTGAGAATGGCATGATGACTATGTTTTTGTCCTTATGGAGTCACTGAAAAAGCTTGCAAAATGTACTTTTTTTTTTTTTTAATGGGATCTGTCTAAAATCTGTTCCTGTGCTTGAATTTGTTTGCTTGCTCTGCTACTGTATTTAAAATCTAACTCTTAGATCATGTCTTGTGTACACCTGCAAAAGTGCTTATTTCTCTTTGTCAACGTAATGAAAGTAAATGCCTTTATATTGAATTTTTATTTCTTCTCCTTTTTTTCATCAAAGTTTAAACTTCAGTGTAAGTTGGCACCATTATTTTATAGTGAAGCACCATTAATTTAACAGCACAGCTCAGCTAAAGTAGTGAATGAAACCCTACTAAGGCACAATCACTATGTCCAAATTATCCGCCTGCTTCAGGTTGGGGTGTGATTTGCACTGGCCTTTTGTCTCAGCAGAGATTTTCACTTGTCATAGAAGCTAAAGCCGAGGTGTTACTAAGAAGATTAGTCCCGGGGCTGTTCTATTCAAGTGTCCTGGTTAGACAGCATGCACAAAACCATCGCTTAGACCTGTGCAATTAAATGGAACTCAGCCCTTGTTAATCTTACAATCCACACCTGGGTTTCCTTTGTACTTTCACTCCCTATAAGTCTACCTGTGATGGTAACCATTCCAGTTATCAAGCCTTTAGAAAAACTGTGTGTTAATGCACACAACATAATAGCAATGTTATGATGTTTTTTTTCCTTGTGACCTACTAATAAGAACACATGCTTAACATATTAAGTATTACATAACATAATCGGCTCTCAAAAATCAGCTTTAATTATGAAGTAGCTGAAGAAAGAGGTACAGTACATGAGGATTAATCTGTGTGAAATTTGATCTTTCATCAGCGATTGTTGAAGAAAGTCCTGTTAACTTGATCACAGTTGGATGGCGCTCATTTAAGTAAATCACAGCCAATACAAAAAGAAAGCCGGAACTGCTCAAATAAAAGTAACCTTGTGATTTCTTAAGGGGTTCTTCTTTTAACTGTTACTTAGCTATTTTAAGCACATTATCCACATAGGCAGAAATACTCTTAAATCTAAGACAAGAATGGGGAACAGTAAATGACAGCTAAACAGAAATATTAGACTTGTAAAAAAAATCCACATATAAAATATAAAATGTTTCAAGCAATCCTAAAATTGCTGATTTTATTTCCATTTAGAAACAAATATGAAAAAAAAGAAAACTCTGCATGTCATTCCTCCAGTTATCCACTGGAGGTCTTCCTAGGCTTGTCTCTGAATCCTGATTCACTGGCTTATGAAACAGCATCTGAATGTGATGTTTAGTGTAATTTGTATATCCAGGGAAAACTGTGATGTTATGCAACAATTGCTTCGGGTTACATCAGCTGCCTCATCCATAATACTTGATGCATTTTTAGTCATGTAACAAGCTGGTTTGGTGTTATCTCAAGTTCTAGCTTATTTATCAGTTTAGTACGCTTTAGCCCATTGTTTTAGGCTTGTACATGAAACTAACACAGTCAAGAGGTTAACTTCCCAGGAGAAAGAGCAGATTGAGAATATCAGGAAGGAAGCCAAAGCAAAGGGGGGAAAGGACCCCCTCATTTTCAATGTTTACACAATAGTAACTGCTTTTATGTTACGATCAAATGGCTATAGTCTCTAAAGACCAAGGTACAAAAGTATATTGACAAATACAATGGCCAAGGAAACAACCATGTACACTTAATTTGGACATAGTATTGCTTTCAATTCTTTACAATTGTCGATTTGACAAATTAAGGGGCAGAAGGTTGTAAATTAATTACATATTTGCCAAAAAAATCAACCATGGACACAAATTATGTGGAAGTAACAGTACAATTTGTCCCAACAGCAATTTTCTCAAGGGGATTTGCTATCAGTATTGTGTATGATGCCTTCTATCACTAGACCACCAGTCTTAATAAAACTAAAAAAAGGACTCAAGACTGATGTGTCTCAATTTCTTGGTAATGTCTGGTTGAGGCGGTCCCCTTGGATGGCCTGATTCAGCCTAAGGCTACTGTACTGAACACTATTAGCCTAGTCCTGGCTCTCAAGCTATCCTAAGTGTTGAGTCTTCTTGAAGAAAAGCAGGTATGTTCAAATCAGGAGATCAGACTGTCCAAGTTACATCCCAGGCAATTTATTCAGCATGCAAATGAAAAAAATGAGTGAGAATGAACTCTGTAGAATCCAGACTGGCATACCCTCTCTAGCATATTTTGGTAGAAACCTTTGTTTCTGATAGTGTCTTGGGCAAGGACCTCAAAGTTAAGACTCCTCTCCAATGAACTCATACTTTCAGGTTTCTTCCCTAATGGTGTCTCAGGAAAGTTTGGGTCACATAAAAAAATGAGGGCCCCCATGATCAGGGCCCTGTTTACCCACATTTGAAACTTTATTGAATTACCTCACAGTGGTAGACAGTGACCTCATCTTGAATGCTCTGCTTTGCTGTATTGATATCATATTATTGCTATCATGATAAGGCTAATGGTCTTGCCTTCTGATTCACCTCAACTTCCAAACTACTCGACCTTGGTCTCATAGCAACTGATTTTCTATGGACAACAGTGGTTTGGTGTCATAAATTGATAATGGCTGAGCATTGAGCCCAAGGGGAAAACACAGAACATCATTCTTAAAAAATGATTCCACAAGACCCTCTGGAAAACAAATAAAAGACTCAAAGTGCCTCATTTAACTTTTTTTTTAATGTTTGATAAAGAATTCATCACGCTATCAACAACCAATGGCTACAAAATCTAGGGGGAAAAAAGAATGAATGAATGTAAGAACAAACCCTTCAATTGTTTTGGTTGGACCTTCAATAAACCCAACGCTCTGAGAAACATGATGGGATATTTTCAATACAGGCAAAATCTTTTTTCTTTTCCAAGGTGGCATACCCCAGCTTTCACGGCTGATGAGCCCCAATACAGACATAATATCTTCAATGGCTGCTTTCATGCTCTCATAAACAGTATGTTTGTCAGGTTACTTTTGGTTCTGTTGAGCAATTTTCCATCAACTACAATTTGAATGTCATTTAATGAGCACAAAAAAGTCAAATATGAATGTGCAAAATCTAAAACATTAATCTATTTTTTAAAACTCTGTTCCCTCCACGGCAGTGTTCAGGAATTGAAAATATCACCCACAATATTAGACATCCTGTTGTCTTAACTGAACAATTGCGGTTAGCGCCTTGATCTATTTATTTGTTGGTGAAAATATAACATCATGCACCTAGTTTAGGAAGAACTAGAGCCAGACTAATTTTCTTTTTCCATAATGTTATATTTAGTACAATAGCCAACCATAGTGACATGTTTAATGCACAAAGCCACAAACACATTTAATTTTACACATTTATGTGTATTTGTGTGAAATGTTGTTTGGTGAATTTATCTAATTGGAGACTTGATAAATTGTACAACATTTCAAAACAGGACTGTAAATGTTTTGGTTCAGTAACTATTCTTGCCATCTAAGTATCAGTGTTACTTTTCAACTCATCGTGAGTTGTATTAAAAGTAAGCTTATGATCTCTCACTGTATTGCATAATTATTAGAGGCTATAATTAAGATGCCTTGATTGTGTCTTTAGGGTAGCAAGGAAGTGGTGGTTTTCCAAAGTGTACCAAAAAGCATGAAAAATATGGGTGAACATGGAGGCATTTAATACAGAATGCTTGTAAAACCCTAAACTATAATAAATGTATAAAACATGCAAAACAAGCGGTAGTTTTGAACCCCCTTTTCCTGTCCACACACGTTTCCAAGCGTTTGGGGAGCTGCTGTGAATTCTCGCGATACTTCGACGTCAAGGGGAGTGTCAAATTCCAAGAGAGAGGAGAGTAGAGGGGAGCCAGAGAGAGGGGCGCAAGGGTGAGTTTGTAAACACTTAATTACCCTTTAAATCCTCCATAGATATTTCCAATTCACTGAACTCTTATCTTAGGTAGTTTGGTGCGTAAGTTTTTAGTATTTGTGGTTGTTATTACAACACGTCTGTTTATTTGTCAAAACTGTTGTGGCTGCTACAACGTTTCATTCGGACCCACATCTCGCTTTGCACTTAAGTGTCAGTCCGCTAACCCACTAACTGTTAGCTCTCTTAGCTTTCGTGATTTTAACTGTCCCAAAAGTCCTTGAAAAACATTAGTTCACCTCAAATATAATCGAAATTAGTGTTTATGTGTTGTATGTCGTCGCTGAATATGGTTGAAGCGCTGTTATTGTGTTTTTTCAGAGTAAGTTCGGCCTGTTGTTAACGCTAGCCACACTAGCTAACCATTAGTTTTTCGTGGATACAAAAAGTTGATTTCTGGGTTTTGACCAATAAGATTCGAGTGGCTGCTGTTATTGACAGGCTCTAGAGCTGTGCTCATCGAAGATGCTGCTGATTGACGTGCTTAAAGCCAATAGCTGAAAAGAAAAGGCGGGCTTGTTACGGTAAAAGGCGGGGCTAAAGTCTGCCCGAACATCGCCAGACGGTAATGAAGCCCAAAAAAGACAAACTTTCAGACTAGTCTGTGTTGTCAGGAAAAGGGAACAAAAGTATGCAGAACATATACATTTTGAAGTGACACTGAAATATTTTACATACCAGAAACCCCCACGGAGAATATGTTTCTGTTTGTCCTTTGGCGGTGGAGTATGCTAAAATGATAACTGGGTCTGCAGGAAAAGTCTCCAAAGAAACTCAAAGTTATAATGATATCCATAGTGTTGCAACGTGAGCTGCTCGACGCCCCAGGATCCGCATCCCCATGCATGTCAACACCTTCATTAGGAATGTAGGTCATGTTTTTGGCAGAGTTATACCTCATTCCATCACATAGAGTTACACCAGAGTAAACTGCATCCTGCTCTGTCCAGCTACATATATTGACCCACTCTAAGTGATGATATAACTGACTTTTTTTTTTGGAGTATCAATATTATTTACAAAGAAAAACTAATTACACTTTAGAGGAACAAATGTGTTAATTAACACGAATTTGGCAATCGTGAGCTTGTTCCGTATGAGTATATGCCATGTTATTTTATCATATGTCATTTTTATTATAGAGCAGAAAGCATGTGTGACTTCGCAAGATTATTGTCTGGAAGCTTTTGCAATCTCGACCTGTGCTGACACACAAAATTTACAATTATATAATCCTTGTCTCTTAATTCACAACACCACAAAACTGTAGAGAAAATGACAACAAGTGGCCAACGTAGTTAAAAATGGACACGATACTCCTGAGTTAATTGTAGAAAAGTGAAAACAGTATACCCTGTATTGTTCTGCATTGTTTAACCTGGTTATAGATTTTTTCTGTTTATCAAATCCTTGGTTTACTTTTGCTTACATTGATACATAATGGCTGTCGCTCAAACCAAGCTTTAGCCTTAAAGTCTGCCTTTGGTTCATACTTCCAACATAATCAGTGCTTTTGTAATTTAGCTATATAGCTATTATGTTCTATTAATGGATCAATTATAAATAGCATTTATTTTCTTTATTTCAAATGTTGTTTTTTTTACCCAGTTCACACTCCCCCTGTCTTCTTTTCCTTTTTTTCCCCTTTTTGCGGGGTCTCCCCTACCCTCTGGCAATTCAAGCCTCAGATTCCAGAGTCATGGCTGCAGCGTGAGCTATTAATACAGTTTGTTTAGTCAGTTTCCTAGCAGGCTGCATCAAACACTGGATGGCTGTGGCTGATTATAGCTGGGACTCGTTCCCCTACACCTGCTGAGTTGGAGAAATCCAAGTTAACTGTGGGACTTTGGCAGCGGCTCAATGAGACAGGACAGGAATTAGGGCAATTTGAGTGCTTCTATGTCACCTTGGATGAAAGGAGGCGAAAATAGGCGGACTTGATATCCATGCCTGTAATGAATATCTGAGATTCATATCAGGACTAATGGAACTACCAGACTGATTTATTGTTGAGGTCTGCATTATCCAGCCAGAGCATTTTACAGTGTACAGTAAAAATTACCTAATTAGAGCAATCAAGTTACAGAAATGAGATACATCAATCAAAGTACAAAGATTGACAGCCCTATTTCATTAAGGACATGTGATCTCGCAGAGAAATGCAAATGGAGATGCAGAGTTTTAATGATATTCTTTGAGATACGCTGTCTTAAAGCCAAGCAATTTATGCTACAGAAAGGAGCTTCACACATCAGCTTGAATTAGGTTTAGATTTGTCTTTGAAAACTATGAAAACAAACAGTATTTTCCACCCCCGTCATCTTAGAGTTAGGGCGGAAATCACACATGGTGCCAGTCAGCCAAGTTAATGTCTAGCATGTCCCTGCTAAGATGTAAACTCTAAAGTCTGTTCCCACTCCTCACGCCAGATGTGTCTATTCCCCACACAGTCCACACCCGCAGTATAACGAACCCGACCGAGTATCTCGTTTGCAGATGCATCTCTGCTCAAATAGACACAATGAACTGGGAGCACTTTGTGAAAATCCTGGCACCAACCTGTTTCCTTTTCTTCAGAGGCATGGGAGGTCTGCTTTTCAGCTTTTTTGATTTCCATAGAGAAGAACAGGGAGTTTGCTTCTTTGCTGCTCAATGTGGGCACCTTTCCTGATGAAGAAATGAGGCTGAGAGACACAACAGCTAGGCCTGGTTCAAGCCCAGCGTCATGGGAGAGCGTTGTATTCCACCGCAAGGCTTCAGTAATCATGTGTTGGCTCAGGGGTAGCTGTCTTCAGCAAAGGGAGGAGGAGGAAAATATACTGAGTTCAACATTGGGAAAACTTTCAAACATTTATTCCTGGCCAACAAAATGAATAATCTGTCCCACTCAATAATGTCAGGCTACATGCTCAACCCATGCAGTGCATACAACTTAATAGAACAGTACTGCAAAACTTATCATGTTTAGCTAATGTTGCCAGTGTCAATGTTGCACAAAAGAGGTTCTATAATGTATATGCAGGTTGACTCAAATGACTGTACAAACAAGTCAAAACAACACAGAGGTATCCAATGCCTTCAACATAATGTAAGCATGGATTTAAGGGAAAAAATTGCACAACTCATAAACTTGATAGGATTTCAGAAACAGATGGGTGTTGAATTTTTAAGGACAGATGCCAGTCCTTCCCATGATTGTGTTTCAGCCCAGTGTTACTGAGTATTGCAGAAGTCGGTGGCTTTCATTCTGAAGGGCTTTTACTTGTAGAAACAGTAAGGTCCCGCTGCGTGTTGCTGGTTGCTGTGCTGTCAGTGGGACAATGTTGTGTAATAGCTACCAGACGTCACTTTAGGCCAGCTAAATCATTGATGTCGCTTGTTCATTGCCATCCCTCCAGATCCATGATTTGAATTCACGGCTACGTTTTTTTAGTGTTTTTCTTTCAACACTGAGCGTCTTTAAGCGGTGCTGACAGAGCAGTGCAGAGTGAGGCGGTTTGGTTAAGTTTAGGATGCGATGACAGCTAATGGTAGCTATAACAGAGTGCAGCTCTAGTTTGTGTTACTTCATCAGCAGGAGGAGAAACCAAACATGAACATACGGAATAGTCATTTTGAACTAACTGGTAAAACTGTAATAATTCACGAAAAACATGTCAGAAGTGGGCCAGTATAAAAATGGGAACTACAAATATTAGGATCAGTTATCTTTACACCTGGTTTAATTGAATTCAACAGGAAAGAACTGTAAATGATATTATGACACGATTTAATTTATTTAATAACAGCAGTGTTATAAGTTGAGTTTAAAATACTTAATTACTAATTAAGGACTATTAGTTATATTAAAATTAAATCAACTACAAAATGGCAACACTAAAGATTTAACAAATGAGGTGTCACTGAGGTTTGATGCAGACGGAGACGCTGAGATTTCTTGCATTGAGAGGAACAGTTGAATTAGGGGAGGAAGTTATTGAAGGAGGTAAAAGGTTGGGAGGTGCTTGGGAGGTGAGAAGAGGGCGTGGTAATAAGAGAAGGAGGGATTGGGAGCAAGGGAAAATGAGACAGAAGGAGAGAGATGTCTTTGTGTTCACGGTAGCCGTCGTTCTCCTGTGGAAGCGGCAGCTCATTGGCCAGCCAGAAGCCCCCCTGTGTGAAGGAAGTATCACCAGGGAAACTTCGTCTCGCTGCCTCTGTGCATGTTTCCCTCCTTGCCAGGGTTATTTTTAAATAGCGCTCGGCTTCCTGCTCAGACTGAAGACTACAAGCCACAGCATCCCTGTTTTGTTGTTTCCAGGATTTGCCAGATCACAAATCAAGACAAGCTGTGGCAATGTTCTCCTCTTCTCCTCTTCCACAGTTACATTGCAAGCTTTTTGCAAAAATGGGGGATGACAGACCTTTTGTGTGCAATGCTCCAGGCTGTGGACAGGTGAGTCTTCTCTCTCCTTGATCTGGGCTTCAGGTGTGCGAGTGTGTGTGCTGTGGAGTAATTTTGTTCTTCTGAAAGTTTATCCAGTAGTTAACTGGAGCCGCTTAATTTTGAATGTCTTTTATGTGCAGAAAATGAATTAAAAGCAACAGAAAAAAGTTATTGGACTGCAAAATTACACCTTAGTTATAAAAGGAACAACTTTCTAACTTTAACAAGACTTCTCTTCATGCTCACGGCTTGCTGGGATTTTTACAACACTCTTAATGACCGTCTTGATACAAGTAGTGTTCCTGCAAGTGTGCTGTCTCTTGAGACAATACTGTCTCCTTTAGCAATGACTCACTGGAAGCTCCAGTGAGTAATCAGAGCACAGTCATTGTTTCAACCTGTCACTGTTGACTTCCAGCGCCTGCAGACACAGGTTTGAGCCTCGGCAGTGACTCAGCTGAGTGCCAATAGTGTGCTCACATGCCAGCAACGTGGTGCGTTGTCGGGGCTTGGCCTCATATCACAGCAAATTAAAAGAAGTGTGTTCTAGGACTCATGACTGTTCAGCACAGGAAATGTCAGATGTGCTAAATTAGCAGTCAGATGCCGCGCTCAGCAGCGTGAAATATCCCCAGAGTTCAGGATTATCACTCCTGAGGTCTGGAGAAAGAAAGTGTTTATATGGTTAAGTAACGCTTGTGATTCATAAACCTTTTTTTTTTCACCCTCTGATCAGGATCCAGGTGTTGTACATGGGATTAGTGGTTTTAACAACATGCACATTCAGCGGTTAAACATGCATGTGTGGGATAAATAAATGATATGTTTGGTTTTTTCTTTTAGAACATTATGGACACTGAGGGATAGTCAACTTGAATATTTTAACTTATCTCTCATGTAAATACTCATTGTCATTCATTTATGTTTTATTCTGTTGTTAGTCAGAGCAACACAATCACATAAAAATTAAATTATGTTGACAACATCGGGGGTTATTGGCTACAAATGCTTGAGAGGAGACCAGGTGGCTCAGTCAGGGAGTACATGGTCAAGCATTTTCATTAGCAAGTATCTGATTTGAGTGTTAAGGTCCGTAGTTAGGTGCTGGGAAGGGTGCACACAGGATTTATTATGAAATCTTTCTGGAAAAAAACCATAGCTGAGTTCTGTTGGGTTCAGTAAGGACAAGAACCCACAAAACTCTCAACAGAATTGAGAACAGCTTTTTTATAAAATTGTCACATATCTCACACTTAACTCCTGAGCCTCTAGCGATATAAAATTAGTGATTAGATATAGTTGATAAAATATATATACACAAGTCATGGATTCAAAAGTGTAAACAAAATATGACAAAGTTGGTCATTCATGTGAATTAAATGATGAGTTTTTTGAAAGTTAAAAGATGAACTCCAGCAGAGAGGAGCTGTTGTTTTTGTTGTTGTTGTTTTATCCATTTTGAAGATTTTTGAACTTTTTGACAGAGAACATTGTTTATGTTACGGGTTCCTAATGTGTAAAAGCTGTGTAACTGTTGCCCTTTACAAGCAGCAGTTGTCTACCGGGAAAGTCTGAATCATGCCAATAATAGAACAAGAATGATTGACTCCTGGCTTTGCCCAGGGTTTTCCTTTTACCAAGTTAACAGCAACAACAACAACAGCCCCCCATTATATAAAGTCCAGTACATACTGTGGGGAGGGGTAACCCTAGCTGCCTGTATCTCATACAGGGAGATTAGTTGGAGATAGTTTCCTACACAAGACCCTGCAGCCTTGCTCAGAGGAAAGGGACAAATCAGACGTGTAGTTGTATTGGTGATGCTGCCTGGTGGGGCTAAAAATAAGCCCCCTGACACTTGACTGTGTTTCCACTTCGCTCTCTCACGTCTGAACTCGCAACTGTAACGCAGTGCCCCAAAAATAGGCTCCAGTTTCTGGTGAATAGGCTTGTCCCTGAGCCAAGATCATTCCTCCTCTGTCTCTGACTGATTCATCAGGTTACTTCTCTAACGCAGAAGTGGCGTGCCTCTGACAAAGCTGTTTGTTCTCCCCTTGAGGTCTGATTTGCCGTAGTGCCAGACCTCCTGTAGCTTTTACTGTGGATCCCTGATAGAGAAATAACAGTCCATTAGTTTTAAAAAGGATAAATGTTGTGGGAATTTTATGGTGCCTGCCTCTTTTACTCTTTGCATGTATTCTGACATGTCAGCTTATTTTCTGTTGGCGCTTCTTGGACTGGCAGATTTTACACCTCATCAGTTTGTCAACATGTTCTGCCATCATTTTGTTGTGAAAGTTATTGCCCCTCTTATTAATACAAAGCAGTTTGTTTCAATAGATAGTCAAATATTTGAGCCTACATTCATCTGATGTAACAGACCTCAAAGATAGCTCAGGCATATAATGTATACAGTACAGGTTCTGCATGTTCTACATCTCCAGGAGATTATCTGTCTAGGACTACTGCAATATGATCTATAGGTTTTGTTACTGTAAGCCTTTTCTTTAGGTCACTAGGACAGGTAGACAATCACCTGCAGGCTTTTCCTTATAATGTACTTTTCTCTCCTTTCTTTTTTTCTGGTTCACATGTTGCAGAGGTTTACAAATGAGGACCACCTGGCTGTTCACAAACACAAGCACGAGATGACACTAAAATTTGGACCAGCCAGGACGGACTCCGTCATTATAGCAGGTACTTTTGGAAAAGCACGGCTGACCTCTTCGTCTTCATCAAATATCTTTTCCAAGTATTCAGACGAAGAAGACTGTTCAGTCTGCGTCAGCGCCCGTGTGGTCCAACACTGTCAGCCCTATCCCAAGAAAAGCAGCTCGAAACACACATTTATGGCATAAGATGCTATTATTAATTTAGTGTGAACAAAGTGTGAAAGCGTTCGTTCCAATACTTATCTGTATATATTCTCTTTTGCCAGACCAGACACCTACTCCCACTCGCTTCCTAAAGAACTGCGAGGAGGTTGGTCTGTTCAACGAGCTGGCCAGCTCCTTTGAGCAAGAAGAGGAGGACAAGAGAAAGAGCTCTGTAAGGATCGCTTGGGGTTGATGAATTTATCTGCAATCTGTTATTCTGTGTGTGTGTGCGTTCATCCATTTTTAATGGAAACCATGCAGTGGAATTTGTGCAGAAACTCCTGTGATTAACAAAAGCTTCTTTCTTTCTTGTATGAGGTGTTGATATAGTCAAAGATCCTCGCCTCTAGAAATTCCTTTACTTCATTTGCCTCGGTTGTTTTTTTTGTGAGCTAAATATCATTAGTACTCACTTCCTGTTTTAAATGTGCGGTTGTTTCTGAGAATATTGTCTTTGAGAAGTAGTGTGAACGCTGCTCTTTATTGTTGTCTGACTGCCTCGGTTTCCGTCCTCCTCAGCTCCCTGCACCCAACTCTGTGGCTTTGGACATGAGTCTCCAGACGCCATCAGAAGTGAAGGTTAAAGAGGAGGAACCTGTAGAAGTTGATTCCTCACCCCCAGGCAGCCCTGACTCTATCTCTTACCAGTCAGACAGCAGCAGAGAGCCTCTGGTGAAAGTAAAGGTAGGGTTGAAACTACTGATGTGAGTGGAACCTGTAGAAAGAGTATGACTGATGTTATACATCATCATAGATCTTTTAGTGGAACGTAAACATCTCTAGAATGGTGTTATCTGTCCTTGAAATGTGATGACATGATGAAAGCTTTGTCACTTTATAACGTCACAGTGGATGCTGGAAAGGTCTGGCCTTTTAACAGGAAACTGCTGTGAGGAACAGGGTGCTAGGTATGCTACAGTTTTTTGCAGTCGGGGATGAGTCTGCCAATTGAACTAATTTTGAGAGACTACAACTCAGGAGTACGCTCCACTGAGAAAATTTTCAGTACCTCACTACGCCATTAAAGAGCTTTTTCCGCTCTTCCATGTGCAGTGCGCTGATCAGCTGTTCAGGTCGGCTTGCTTCAAAGAGACAGTAATGTAACCAAACCAAGTGATAAGTGATCTTACGGGGTGATGATATGCCGCTTACCACAAACGCACAGGGAAACCTCTATGGACCACTGTTTACAGAGGAATAAGGTGGCTCATTGCACCAAGACAAGAAGAGGTGAGACTTCTATGCTAACTGTCAAGCAGCAGGGATCCTAAGCTGCCTGGTGGCACAGGTGTGATAAATGCAAGCCAATGCCTACATAAAATACCCCTTCACCTTAGACTGCAGTCTGCAACCTTAACCAATCAGAGTCTACCGCCGTACTAAATGCCCTATTTTGTTACTGATTTTCTTCAATATTCAGGAGCGAAATCAGAAAACCAGAAAGGCAGAGCGGGTGTCTTCAGAATATGCGTTCAGCTCCAAAACTCCACACATATCACTGTGTGTGGGTATATTAGGCATTCAGTTCTGAACACTGAGATCCCAAAATATAAAAGATTGCAGTTTATCAGTAATTGTACATCGTCAGTCTGATTTGCTGATGACACCGCCTGCGAAAGAACACGTATGTGTATTGGGTCCACAAATGGTGCTGAAGAAAAATTGTCTAATGACAAGGTTAAAAAAAAAAGTGAATGCTTTGTTCATAATCAGATTATATGGCAAGAGTCAGCCCTGTCTAAAGAAAACTAGCATTCCTACTATCCTCTGTCCTCCAACAGTTTCTTACTAAAGGGGCAGAGCCAACCAGCACTAATACACTGATTAGTAACACGTAACTCCCACGAAATCAATTAAAAATTGCCGAAATGCTCCTTTAACCTCACTGCTCTTCTTCCAGGACACACCACCCAGGAGTTCAGCCCCCACTCCTACTATTGTGCGTCCAGGCTCCCTACCACTACATCTCGGCTTCGATGTCCACCAGCCCACCATGCCATCACCCACCTCTGTCATCACACAGGCACCACCTTCAAATCGAACCCTGGGGTGAGTAGATCGCAGTGACCTCTGTTTAGCCTACTTGCTTTTTAAAATCCTCTGAAATATGTTCCATGAAAGACTTTAAAAGCAGATTTGTCACACTATGAAGATACTGCAGTTTGACAACATCACCTGTATAATCTTGATCCGCTGGTTCAAGGGTGAAGTGTTTAATTCATGTTACCATTACGTTCTTTGTATCTGCTCAAATTAATTCACACTAGTTATTCACATTTTATTTATGTATCCATTGTTTATGATGACAAAGTGTTTCACTCATGGGACAGTGTTTCTTCATTCTTTCTGGAGCTGTAAGTTCGTTTGTGGTGACTTGAGGATTTCTTAATGTATAGCTTGCATTAGTGACGGTGAATGCATGTGTGTATACTTTTGGGATACTGTTGAAACTCCCCTGCTTGATATTTCTCTCTGTTGTCTACCTGTGTAGCTCCCCAACCAGCCACTACCCCATGATGATGCTTCCCTCCGGTCAGGCTGTGCCCGTTCTCCCTGGTCCAGGACAGATACCCTCTGTCATCAATGTAATTCAAACCCATGCACTTAATATTTTGTGATTTAACTTAAAGGCTAAGAAGTTTTGAATAAATATGTGGTGGTGATTCTTTACCCTCTCCAGCTTGTCCGACCCATGTGCATGGTACCCAACATTCCTGGGATCCCTGGTCCTCCTCTGGGAGGCAGCAGCAGCGGCTCTAACTCCCCCTCCGGCTACAGCATCCACTCAGAGGCCAAGATGGTCAGGACTAGATTAGCTCTCTATTTTTGTCTCCTTATCTTTTCTTTTTGTCTTCGTCTTCACCCTCTAGCCTCACTGTGCACTGACTTACTTGATTCATCATATGACTTTTTATTGCAGTTACTTATTTATGTAACTCTTTCACCACATCGCACAGCAGTACTTTTCGCATTAATCGCATCTTATTTGTACTTTGGGCTGTACGTAATGCACAAACCATGGCACACTATTTTGTAATTGGTTGTGGAAATGTGCGCACTAAGATGCACAAACAAGAAAAGCAAAAAATATCAATAAATAGATCAAATAACGTGGCCTACAAAGTTAGTAGGAAGTGATTTCAGACAGGGATGGCTTTCTTGTTATCAAGTCACAATTGTTGCTCTGTCCTTAAATGTGCAACCCAGCAGTTACCACAATCAGTTATTTTTAGACTATTACTCCAAGCTGAAAAGTGTACCAAGTCTCAAATAAAAGTCATCGGAAAATTGTTCCAAAAATATACAATCATGTTGTGCTTACATCATTTATAACGCCTAAGGATGTGAATCAGTAAAAAGGGTTGATATAGAGCAGGATGTCACATGAATGTGGTGCTGTTGGAACAAGCTCTAAATGTGTGATACTCTCAGGTCAGCATGGAGGGAGAGCTCCCTGAAGAATTAGAGTACCTTTTGTCTTACATGGTTGTGTAAAGCATACATTTAAAATTACTTTTTTTATAGCTTTGACAGAATACAAGCGTCTTAAGCAGACTTGGTTATTTGACTTCTTAGAATTTGTATCATTAACCGTGTTCTTAAGGTTAGTTTTATGTTTCTCTTCCAGCGTCTGAAAGCTGCGTTGTCCCAGCAGAGCCCATCAGGACAGAGCATGGGGATCATGGCCATGGGCAGCAGCCCAATGGTCCCTCAGAGGGCAGAGCAGAGCCAGCTGCTTGTCCAACACCCAGATGCTCCATCACCTGCACAACCTCAGGTACAAAGTCTAATCTGTATTTGAAGATCTGTACAAATGAGAGAGCCTTGTTTAATGTTACAGATAAAACCTGTTTCAGTTTCATTAAACTTGTGCTTTACTTCTTGTGCTCTGACAAAAATACTGCAACTGTGACTCAAACTTCCCTTTTCTCTCTTGTCTTTCTTCCGCTCCCCTCCCTTGTCTGTTGGCTTCCTTCTTACCCTTTCCCCCTATTCTCCCTCAAGGTATCTCCAGCACAGCCTACAGGTGGGCGGCGGCGGCGGACAGCCGACGATGACCCAGATGAGCGAAGGCAGCGCTTCCTCGAGAGGAATCGTGCTGCAGCCTCACGCTGCAGACAGAAACGCAAACTGTGGGTCAGTTCTCTGGAGAAGAAGGCAGAGGAGCTCTGCACCCTTAACGTCTCACTATCGGTGAGTGGGCTTTGGAGTGGGTTGGCCGTGGTTTAAATGTGGCCAGTAGGAGGACCGTGTTAGTGTGCATATTGTCAACTAGAAGTGGAAGTTTGCAAGGGGATTTCTAGATAATGAGAGCAGTTTTGTGGAGTTTTTGGTCATTTTATGTACAGGTGAAGTTGGAGGATTTGTAACCACAGACCTCATTACCACTTGTTTCACATCTTTTCTGTGTTTTATGACTGGATCAGGTTATTTTTACACTCAATGCTCACTTCTCCAACCTCAGTTTCTGTGAAATGAAAACCATGTTCCTCGTTTATCCCTTCATGGCAGCTCTCACTGAGTAAACATGATTAACCCTCAGGCAAACATTTGGCAGGTTTCCCTTTGCAGGGATTCATCGGTGTACTGCATGTCTATTATATAAGATGTCTTTGACTTAGAGAAGTGTGCTATGATTTCTTTGTTCCATCCTTCAGAATGAGGTGTCTCTTTTGCGGAATGAGGTGGCCCACTTGAAACAGCTGCTGCTGGCCCACAAGGACTGTCCTGTGACCACCCTACAGAAGAAGACTGCCTACTTAGGTGAAACTTTGAAATTCACTTCTCATCTTAATTTTTCACGAGTATTTTGCATGAAATAAAGATACAGATGAAAAAAAATGCAAAGCAAAAACACTTTTGTCCATAGCTCTCAAAAAAGGGATAGACAAGGGTTTAATTATGGCCAATTGTGGCCAATCTGTTCTATTTTATTCTATTTTTATTTTGTACTATTTTATTTCATATTTTATTCTATTTTTTGTTACTCCAATTTCTTAGAAAAACACCACTCCGAGCTGTTTTAATTCCGTTGTATACCTCATACAGTGACAATAAAAAGTCTGAGTCTGAGTCTATGGCCAATTAATCTCTCCTTTTTCTGTATAGCTGCAGAAGAGAGCATGAAAGACACCTCAGAGCCCACAGGGTCTCCTGCTCCAGTGATCCAGCACAGCTCATTGGCACCCAGCCCCTCTGCAGGCCATAACGGCCTGAACTCAAGGGCAGCAGCTGAGGCCATGGCCATGTCAGTGCTGGCAGGGATGGGCCAGCAGCAGAGGTCTGAGAGTGGACCCTCTCACATTATCATGGCTGCACAATCTCAGTCCGCTGCCAGATGATGAGCGATGCCATGCAGCCCAGAGTTGGCTCACACTCAGCACCCAGGGGGTAAAAAAGAGCAGTGGATCCCCAACCTCCTCCTTCCTGAATTCCCAAATCTAGAGGTCAGAATTTCTCATCCCCTCCTTGCTGAGCTCCCCTGCTCTTTCTGACCCTCCTGTAGAGCCATCATGCTGTGGCCTGGAGCCCAGCAGCAGCCCTCTGGGAATGGACCGAGACTTTTGAGAGCGCTTCCTGTTCACTTTGCCATAGACTACAGGGGCTGGACTCCACCCTCACATCCTCGTTTCCCTCATCTTGTGCTTCCCTGCTCATCTCCCCTCTCCTTCCAACAGAACGACTCCTCACCAGACTGTGAGACTACATCACTCCAAGAGTACTGCCTAATGAACTCCACATGTGAACACCGAAATGCACATACACAATGTCCAACACACAGGTGTTGCATTAACACTCATGATCAAATCAGATACCAAACAACACATAGGGCTTCACACTGTTATCAGCAGGGAACTGTGCCTTGTTGATTCTCAACTTTTTAGCTTTGTACACACACCCACTCACACATGCCAACACAGCCTTTCTCCCCGGACGCCCTTGGCTCCAAAGATGCAGTCGTCCCTTACATGTCTCTGACTCAGTATTCACTCGTACACTCGCCTGAAGGTGATCTCAACCCAGACCCCAAAACCTTACCTCAATCCAACCCCTCTCTGATAAAGTAGATGAACTGTGTGCGTGAATGGCTCTGTGTGTATATAATAATGTACATCAGAACATAGCAGTTTGCATACTCCTGATCTCATACGTTAATAGCTGGATTGTTAGCATGTGACTTTTTCTATTAGGGTGTTTTCTTGTTGATACATAATGTGCAGCTATATTTTTTATTAATTGGCACATCCCGAGATTAGTCCACAAAACCAAAATATGCTAGATTGACCTTGTTTTATTCTAAAATTAGAGTGTTTGAGGATATCTATTTGTTTAACCAGAAGGGAATGTCCCCTCTTCCTCACTTTATCTAAAACAGGCTGTTGGGCTGTTTCTTAGTTTATCAGATGCCTTTTTGCATTTTATATGAAAACTATATGGTGACCGTGTTTCTCTATGTTGGCTCCTGACCTACTGTAACTGTCATTTTCACACTTCTCAGGATGGTTGCACATCCTCGCTGCTTGTTGGAAGTGCGATGAATGGATCAGTCTCTCTGCTTTTTACCAAACCTAAACAAAGCCATAATGACACAATTATCCTCTCTCTGAATCTCCAAAGACCACCTGGCACTTACTACAAGACAGGAAGTTCAGTTCTGGACTGTTCTTGTTTGTGATTCAGACATCACAGTGACACAATCATTAGTATGTAATACTGATGATTCTACTTCTTGTTACTTGCACTTGTTTGTTACTCACAGTTTCTCACACAGTGTCTCATATGTTTGCCTTAAGATCACATTGGTGCCTCGGACATCCACACTCAGAAATAAGAAGATTGGTTCGAGTGAAAAACAGTGAAGCCTTTGAAAAAATGGTTTAATGCCAGTTGCTCATTGAATGAAAAAAAAAAGCGAGTCATGAGAAAAAAAAAATACTAACTGCAGATTTTAAAACCTTTCGAGTTAATGTTTAACCACAAGTCTCCCTTGAGTGGCATAAACTTAACCAACACTGGTCTGTCATCTGGTGGAGAGACACAGCAAAGACATCTTCGAGCTCTGAGAGAGGGCGGAACTGAGATTTATTATGCCTATTTTTGATTGTCTCTTGTTCTTTTAAAATCCCATCAAGATATTTTAATAAAATATTAGCATATTTTACATGAAAACCTAAACAAGCAGCTTGCAGTTAGTGTTTTCTTTACAATTTTTCCTTCTTACAACTGATACCATCATGAATTTCAAAGATGTGATATTTCAGAAACAAGATATCTGTCCACACAAGGGCGTGTTTTATGCACTAAAGTAAAAGTTTATTGTCTTTTTGTATCTCTGTTCATTTTTTGCAGTTCTCTTGTTCTCTTGGTCTTTTCAAAGATATCAGTTCATTTTTACAATCATGAAGTGTCTCTTTTCTGTGCTGTAAACATGAATGGGAATTTGCTCAGCAACTGTATGACCTTTCACCTATGACTGAACCTCTTTGCTGATAGTCCCAATGGCAATCCCAGTGTTTTAATGTACTACATTGCCGGCACTATATTTGGCCGGCAGTCCCTTTTATAGACGATTGTTCATATGAAATGAACATTCAGACTATATTTAGCTTTCATGTTTTCATGTTATTCATGTCATTGGCACCTTTTCTGTCATTTCTCAGTTTCTTTTGTCGTGTGCTACTTTCAGCACTATACAGTCTTTGTCATGACGCTCCAATAGTATCGGTTAATATAAAAACTAGTTACTTAAAAACACAGGTTCCTTTTTTATTTGTCTGTTTTCTTAAAATGTCATTAGTCACTAAAAGATAGGCTACATCCCCTTTTTACATTTGTGAAGATGAATCTGGTTGTGTCTATTTACTGTCCTTGTCTAATTTATTTTTTAATTGGGAGGCTAACGATCATCTTTGGCATATTAATGTTACCTAAAATCATTGTAAAAGAAACAATCTGATGAAAAATGCAACTAAGTGAATGTTGCATGTAGTGTATTAATGGTTTTTCACAAACACACTGTTGGACTGATAATTTCAAAAGTTGTCCTTTTAATGTACATATCTGTACTATATGAATATATTTACTTTTCCATGCATGTCCAAGTGGAATACTATGAACACTTACAGCGCTGCAGTTTTAATTAAAGAAACTACATCTTAATGACCATTTCTGAAGTTCTTTTTTTCATTTTCAGCATATTTAAGAAATATATAAGTGTGTCTGTTTTGCATCTGTGCTATGGCCCTGATTCAACAATTTTGTTCTACACTCAAGTACTCTTGGACTAAATAGCAACTCATTTGTCTACACATTTTCTGTTTTGTATACTATGCTTTGAACGTTTTTTCTTGTGAGACAATGACCATGTTTCAAATGAAAAAACATGACCGTAACCTTTCGTACGTGGCCTGTAATTGCAGAGAATGGCTGCAATGGTATATTTATCTTTATTGCAGTGACCGTCTGCCATATTTGCCTTTTGATGGGGACCATAAGAAATGTACTCACAGCAGAGATTTAAAGTTGAACTGGAGCAAATTTAACCACAAGTATTCTTACTAGATCTGTGTACAACAGAATCAAAAGCATCATCTCAAGAAGGATACCCCACCTTGGAGAGCCCAGATTCATCCAGTCCTGCTGGTTGTGTGCAGCATATTGCGTACTCATCAACTCTTAGTCTACAACAGCCGTCAATATAAGTTGCAAATAATGGTGGGAGACTATTTCCTTTATTGATAGGTCATTTGAGCCCCTTTTGCATATATGAAATGAATTAACTATACCAGTGAGTAGCCTCTTGAAGATTCTTTGTACCACATATGTGTATTATGATGGCAAAATATCTTTGGGTTTAATGCAAAAACGACTTGATTTTTCATGGTCATCAGCATTCTTCTTTTTCCGCCTTTTAATGTCAACAAATTGAATAAAGAAACATGTATGTTACCTATAGCCTTTCATAAAGGGAAGTATGCAATTTTTTTTGTTTGTTTCCAAATAGTCCCTCATGTTCCTAAAGATCCTTCAATAGTTTCAGTTTAAGTCTGTTTGTGTTATCACCTATAGAGGAGAGTGGGGTAAGATGAGCCATTTTTTATATTTGGGATCACTACATCAAGACAATCAAAGTTGTGTCTCTAACTAGTGTATCTGCATATATTTCAAGATGTTGTGCATCCCTGCAAACCAATAGAATGAGTGTAAACATAACTGTCTTGATAATATAGCATGCCAAAAACTAGTGGTCTCCTGACCATAGGAGCGGGGGAAATTAAGCCGTATCTCCACTACCCCCCCACTCTCCACCCCAGCCCTCCCTCACCTTCTCTCTCCCTAATTTACAGTCACTTCTTCACATTAATGTGTGTTTTTATCCGTTATACGCTATTCAACAGGTACAATAATTCATTTTATTATTATTACATATATCTGCTAAAAAGCTGATTTGTATAAAGCCATTTGAACATGAGAATGCCTTAAAGTGATTCAGAACATTCACAGCTGCATTTTAAAAAGAAAAAGTAACACATTTCAACAATCTGAACTGAAACTCTGATCCTCTCATCAGACTCCTTTACTTTCTCAGTTGAGCCACTGGCTCAACTTACCCCAGAACTACTATTATGACTTTATTTGTCCTCTAAGCTAAAATGGTTGACTTTTATGCTAGGTTTTTGACCTCATGTTGTAGCTCATAGATACCACAATTGGTGCATAAAAAAATTTAAAATTATATTTTTTGGTCTGAACACAATTCTAATAAAACTCAGGACAGACTAAATTCACTTTCAAGAGTCAAAAACGTTTTTCTGGAAATAAATGTCTAACCCCTTCACCCATGTGCTTCTAACCTTTATAATATATTATAATAATATAATATCACATGATCAATTTCTTTTGCCGTTTCCAAGCAACAGGGAGTGGCTCAACTTACCCCACTCTCCCCTACTTGGTAGAAAATCTTTGTAAATACTCTTAAATTACTGAATGATAAAGTTGAACAGCTGTCTGTGCGTCCACATAAATTTTCTAAAAACTTTTATGTTTGTCAAAGGCTGAGTAGTGACTGTGAAATTTTAAAGCCTCAACTATCTTGGTGTCATTGAGTTCATGTCTGTGTGTGTGTGTGCTTTTCCCAAAGATACAGCAGAGGGAGCAACAATGTCGATGTGTTTTCTGAGGGGATGCAGCTGAATCAACGTACTGGCGAGGTAAATGTAGTCACGTGACCTGCTCGTTGCCGTTGGTGAGTTTTTCCCATTATGGCGGAGGGGCCAACCGTGCGGATGGACCGTCTCTCCCACTCCGAGGCTTGTTTTGTGTCTTGAGGGAGGGCGTTTTATTTTTATTTTATTATTTTATTTTTTAACATTTCGTTGTCACAGCCTGGTGTCCTTTCAACTAGACTGCACTCGGTTTTTTTTATCAGCGAAGTCATGGCAGACCGCGGCGCGGATTTGTCCGCCCTGCCAAAAGAGGTTAGAGACCAATTGGCGGAGTTGGATCTGGAGCTGTCTGAAGGTAAAGGAGGGGAGGGGGTCTGATGATGGGGGGGATGCTATGGCAGATTTTTTTAAGCTAGCCGTGTCTGTCTCAGCTGTCTGGGCGAACGAGCTTTGTCTGAACCGATAGTTTCCCACATCTCCTTCTACTTTACGTTTGTGATAAATTGAATGAAGCACACGGCCGGCACATAGTTAGCTTATTTTGTGCTAATACAGGATGTGAGTGCACGAGCTAGCAGAGCATGACAAGCAGGAGGAAGAGAAAGGCTTCATCCATTTCCTCATGTCTCCTCTATCTTAAACCCCTATGGAAGCTCTTTGGTAATAAAACGTCGATGTAAAGATGCATTTCTTTGTTAAATCCCTATCAGCCCATGTGTCACACAGCCATAGCTCCTTGTGTCTCCTTGTGTCTGTGTGTGTGAGGCTGTTGGACAAACTGGGATGGCCAGAGGCAAGGTCTGGCTAACAGGGCTTGACCCTTCCCTTGTCATCTTTGTTATACTTCCTCTTATGGCAGGAATTTGATCCATCTGTCAGTACATGGTTTCCTGTCTGACAACATAGAAGCCTTGTACTTGGCATATGGTTTTCATGTTTCAGCCAAAAATATGTCGTTATTGCATTTTAACTGTGAGTCATTGCAACGAGGGTTTAGGTGAATGACAAGGCCTATAGTCATCTTCTCCTCTGGTGTCATATGAAGGTACAGACAAATGACTGCTATTAATTACCCAACATGATGTATGACCTCAGTTACAACAACCTAATATGCTTGTATAGACCTGCCATTATCAGAATTATAGGTGTACGTGGTTACACTGCTCATCGTGGGTTACAGCACCCTTTGAGACCTGTGTCAGGTGTACATGTTCTGCTTCATGTTTGCTCTGCTCTTGTGGATGTACGGTTAATGTGTTATTGATGTTTCGGCTTATTTCAGTCTATAAATATCCCAACCATTCATTCATCCAAAGCATAGTGCTAATCAACCCCTCCCCCAGAGCAGCTGTTAGCTCGAGATCTGGTCTTCATACACTGTCCCATCACTGACAGTCCCACCGTTTCATGACCCCTGGGCTTCATTCTTCTACATTCCAGCTGAGGTACCTGAGTTCAGTCCCCCCTGCATGGTGACCATTCACTCATACTGGTTAAAAAGTCTTGAATGGAAGCAGTTCAATTTCAAACTGAAAGTTACATTTGATAGAAGCAATTGAACCGACATATTTACAAGCTAATAAATGCTGTTTGTAAGAATGGTAACAGAGTAGACACATTTCACAGCACATAACAGCCATTGTTAGGATGTAAGCTCATGAATAAGAAAGTCTGCTGTGTGTATAAGTTGAGATACCTCTTAGGTAAATTGCTGTGCAGGTCTGGTTCAGCTAGTATTTTGCGATCAGGACGTTTAGTCACATTGTAGTTGTGGGTTAGAGACGTTCTAGGACATTAAGTAAGAGATTAAGACTCATTTTGCAAAATATTCTTTTAATAAAAAGTAAATAAGTTGAGGAAATGGGCAGTATGTTCTCTAAGATGTATAGATATATAGAGGAAAGGAACTTTTTAAAATTATTTTTACTGCAGTAATTATCCCATGAGCAGCACTTTGAGTTTTTGAGACAATGTTGTAGCAGGAACCTTTTCATGTATGTTTGCAGTTCTGTGATGAACTACTCTGACATTTCAGGTGTCTCATTTGCTGGATTATCCTGTTTTGTCTTACATGAATAAATCATTACTTCATTTCCAGGAAATACCACACTCTTTGATATTTGTGATACTGCAGTGTATTAGAAATCATCCTCTCATCATCCTGAACTGAGAGATGACAGTAAAAACCTTGCCGGCGTTGTATTTTGTCAGTAAAACATGGCAATGCTGTGTTTTTTGTTGGTGTTTCATTCAAGTGCTTGTGAGAAACATGTGAGACATGACATTTGGATGCTGAACAAAGCAAAAAACCAAACAACCATATCCAAATGATCCTGGCAGCCATGTTTACTTACTGTGTGTTAACCACAGTACATTGGTTGTCTGACAACATGGCTAGTGACTGCTTTGCTTTTCAGTTTGCAGCTCTGAAACATGAAATGTCCCCAATAAAGAGGGAAGAATTGTCTCATTTAGCCATGAATACTTTGTTGTTTTCAGAGTTGTAGCTTCAAGTGCATGTAAAGGAAGCTGCTTCTTAGTGAGCGGATACATGAAGCATCTTCTAAGTAATTTCTTTGAGTCTATAACTAGCCCTCCTCTGAATCAAGTGCAAATGCCTGTTCCTGTGTTGCCTGGATAAGAACACAGGGCTGCCAAAAGGCCCCTTAAAAAACAGCCCAGTTCTGCTAGCCCCCTGTGACCATGGGGACACAATGACAACCATTCAGCTGGTCTGAGCTGCCGTGGCCAGGAGCTCTGCTGCCATTTAGGCCTTTCAGCTGAGCCCAGCCTTTGTGTGCATGTTGGAATGAGCTGCCTCCATAGGAAGAAGACGGAGGGGCTGGGGGCTGGTCATACTTGAGAAGATGACGGTTAGTTTGTATGACTAAGGGGGGTAGTTCACCTTTCTTACCCGGCCATATCTCAGCCAGGACAGGGGTGAAAAGGTCATGTCCAGTTGTTTCCTGTAGTGACCCTACCTGGCTGACATTTCTCGCCAGCTGTCCTGCATGTTATACAGAAGCCCACTGCTGACTTGACGCAAGCAATAATCCATACAGATCATTTTTTCTTCTATGAATTAGTTGTTAGTTTCTAGGTCACTGTGCCATTAAGGCTCCAGAATACAGATTAAAATGACTGGCATGTCAATGCTCTACCCCCCACAAGTCAGTAATTAAAATAATCAAAGCAGCCTCTAAATAGATATTCATTTTGTCTGCTGAATTCCTGCACTCTTGTCTTTTAGCTGTGTCATTGCCTCAAAATGAGACTGCTTTGGGGAACCAATTTATCCACAGACTTAAGGGGTTATCTTCTCTGAAAACAACCACACACAGTATCTTTATTGCGTAAAACACAGAATTTCTCTTTTAAAAAAAGTGGTTCTGAGCTGAGCTGCTGCCAGCTTGTTGGCAGACACCCTGGATTTCAGGTGAGGATTCCTTATGTCTTTTTATTTTTTATAAGTTTTTTGCTGAGAGCCAAATGATCAACAGAGGCCAGACCACTACCAAACAGAACAAAAAAAGTAACCAGAGCTGGCCAAGATTAAAATAAACAGTTGAATGACAAGTTGCCCTTCAGTGGTGGTTGAGGTAGCAAAGTTGTGGTATACTTTATCTCAAATTCTTTCTCTGTCTCCAGATATTCAGTGGCTGAAATCTTTGATCAGATCAAATAAAAAGGCTTGAGAAACATGGTGGCATGTCAGCAATAATTTGAAGTTGTCAGCTAAAATGTCTTGAGTATTTTTCCAACAGCCTTTGCTTTTGAGAGATTGATTTGTTTGCTTTGTGAACTAATGCATGGCCGTCTAGTTTGCTGACATTAGGGCGTTGTGTGGCACCCAGCTGGTCTGATTGAGGTCCAGATTATTGCTTGTAGCTTCAGTTAACCTGCCAGCATTCAGATGCAGCAGAAGTTGCTTGTTTCGTCGCTGTATTAAGATAAAAGATCATCAGTAGAGGATGACGGCACTGATAGGGACCCATTCAGTATCAGCCATTCATCCTCCTGACCTGAACCATTAATGACAGCATGTAGGGCAAAAGCTTAATAGATTCTGGAGGACAGACTCTGTTCCAAACCAAAGGAAGGTTTGCTAAAACATCTTCTTTCTCCCTATCTCCCTTGTTTTCAAAAAGGAATAGGCAGCCAACTGTTGTTGTTGCAAAAGTGCTTATTTTGAGACAGATTAGAGACGTGCTATTAGACACTTCCTCAAAGTCAAGGTCATGTGGTGTGCAGCACTTATTTTCGGAGAGGAGGTGTGCACTGGCTCAAAAGAGAAGAGGCCTCTCACACGATCCCAGAGCTGAAGTCTGAATCTAAACTCAACTTTATTTCACAGCTTTTGACCCCAGCAGGCATGATACAGAGCGCTTTGTTTAGGTCTCTACCAAATGTTGCTGCGTGGTCCTGCTAAAAGAAGTGGGCAATTTGTTCACAGCTGTTGTTGTTGTAGTAATGCATTCAGCATTTATCTCTTCAGTATGGAAGAGTTTATATATTCATCAATCTTTTCAGGGAAAATATCTTTAAAGTCTAGAATAAAGACATGCGACACATTCAGGCAGGCCAAAGCAAACCAAAAACATCTCAATTACAGACCATTCGACGACTTCCCAGGATTCTATTTGCAGAAGAATTCAGAATGACATGTTATAAAGTTAAAACTGTGTTCATCCAATTTAACTAAATCGTGCAACACAATTATATAAATGTCAGAAAAGTACATTCTTCAAATTCCCAGTCTTTGTAGCAGTATCTGTAAAGTCCTGCACAGTTCCTTAGCATCTCAGTTCAATGAGCTTTGAAATGAAGTCTTTGTTTCTGTTTGTAGAATGTTGATAGTTTATGCTTCTGTCAGCAACACCGGGTCAGACTCTTCAAGAACCAAGCTTTTCCCTCACTGCTTCAGAGCCAAGGCCTCAGGTCCGAGCAGATGGTGGGGTACTCTTGGCAAAAGTATTTCCCAAGTGTGTGTGTGTGTGTGAGTTTACAGTATGTTTGCACATGCAAATGTGTGTGCATGTGTCACAATACTGTTACTGTGAATAGCTAATGATGACTGTGGACTGTTTTCTCTCTCTTCCAGACCTGTTGTAGGCTGAATTATTCACATGCTCTCATTAAATACCAGGACACCCTCACAGTGTGGTGTGGGAGTGGGTGTTGGTGTGTGTGTGGATGGTAAACGTGACTTTTTTTATGTTCCCAAAAGGTAGAAGTCGAGGCTTGCTTGGAAAAAAAAGGCCAACCTTCTTTGAGTTAACGGCAGGAGATATTGACATCCCACTCATCAGCCCTCTAGACCTGCACATGTCTCACTAGTTTCTACAGAAGAAGATGCTTAACTTGTTGGACAAGCTCACGTGTAAGGTCTAGCTAGGACTTGGACAATATGACAGAAATCAGCATTTAGTAGTTGTGTGCAGGAATAATACAAAACATGCAAATCTGTGTGTTCAAAAGCCGTGTTTGTTGTAAAGTGTAAATGAGAAAACTTCAAATAATGAAAACTTATTTTTATATCCATTTCATAAGGAGCCTTTAAAGATAATTAAGGGGAGATGAACATACAGTCACAATATATGTCCACCTGAAGCATTTAAGTAGATAAACAGAAACTCACTGTGTAAGGGCTCATGTGTTAATGCTCTGTAAGTCTCTGATGATATAGTAAAACCAAAACACAGTGTTATGGTAAAGTTGTGTATTAAACCTGCTCTGTTTTTGGGGCTCTGATCTTCACGTGGACGTCCCCTTTCTTTGACGTAAAAGTCTTTGACTAAAAGTTCACATCACATTTGATATTCCCTCTCTTTATGTGATAAACGGGCGGCAGCTTTTGTATCTCACAGCTTGAAGAAAATAACAGTTCAGACAAGCCTGTTTCCTGCTAGTTGTAAACCTGTGAGTCACTGTAATTAGGTGTGTCCTCCACTCCGAGGCACATCCATCTGACACAAAGTGAGAGAACCTGTTTTAGCCTCCCGCCCCACTGGGCTGTTTACTGAGTTGAAAGGTCCTGATGCTACCTCCGCTCTGACTCACCATACGGGAGAGTAAATGGGGATTTTGTGGTATCAGACCCTTTCACAACAACACACATGCGTTCACCTTTTAACCTACCTGTGATTGCCACTTGTCTGAAGGCGGCTGGAAGCACCTCTCTGACGTTGCATTGCGTAATCTTCCCACTTTGTGGCAGGCTGTTGTAGCCTGCAGCCATTTAGTCAGGGGCCCAGAGTATGACACACTAGACATTGTTGACTGATATGTTTTATACCTTATAGGCCAAGTGATAAACTTTGGTTTTGAAACACAAACAAGGATTTCTATGTTGTGTGTGTTTTTTCCTTTTTTGGCGTGGTCAGACTGGTAGAGCAGATACAGAGCCCCTCCAATGTATTGCAAAGCTATATCCACTGGCTGATGAGCCATGTGACTGTGCTAATGCTGAAGAATGCTCTTGTGAATATAAATAGACCTGGCTGGTAAGACAAATTTGCTTTCATGCCCGAGGAGGGGGAAACAAGCATCTCTTTGACACAAAAGCCCCTCCATTATTTCAGTGGAGGCCACCCTCTCAAAATCCCAAGGAGTCACTTCTAATTGTGTGCATGTCTTTCTCGCCGAGAACAATGTTCCTGGCTAGTAGACAGCCGCGGTATCAAACTCTTCCACATCTAACCAACTGGCCGCTTGGCTGCTACATGTGGGTCACTGTTTCGCCCATGGGTTGTGTGTGAAATACCACAGCCTGTTGAGAAGTGCCCTTTTCAGGGAAACTCGCCTGCTGTCTGACCCACGCAAAAAGTAGCTATAGGTATGCTAATTGTCAAAGCTTCATACCAGTGGTTCTAGGTGTTTGTGTTTACATTAGGAGTGGGAAAAAAATCGATACAGCATAGTATCACGATATTTTGTATGGTGATATATCGTATCGTCACATTTACCAAGTATTGATTTTTCAAATTAATTGCTAATATGAAGTCAAATCTATGATAATGGAAAAATAAAATCAACTGTTTGTCCAGTGAGGTTGGCAGAGGTGACATCATAGAGCAGGAGGAAGTTAGTACAACAAATATAAGGTTAGCAAGATGAGCTACATGAAAATAAAATACAGCAAAAATAAGACAAACATAAAGGAAAGACAAATGCTAAATTGACTAAAAAGTTGAAAAAAATTGTATGAATTGCAATATATTGTATCGTAATACTTTCTGTATTGCAAAATGTTAAAAATAGCAAGTATCGTATCGTGGTCCAAGTATCGTGATATTATCGTATCGTGGTCTAAGTATCGTGATAATACTGTATAGTGGGGCCACTAGTGATTCCCACCCCTAGTTGAAGTCTTATCACCACTGATAAAATGATGCTGTGGGCTTAAACAGTGAACCTTGGTAAAGTGTTTTTCTTTCTTAGTGCCATTAAAATCAACAAGTATTTCATCAGAGGGAATATGTCATCTGCTTTGTTTTTTATGCTGTCATTTTTGAGGTTGATAAAAGCAAGGAGTCCTCCTTACAACTTCACTTGCTGAGCTCGGCTGTTTTAGTGCTATCAGGGCAAATATACTCGTGTTCATCTGTGAACCCCTACACATAAACATTGTTTTCTAGATTTGACTTAGGATAGCACAGCCTCTGGCGCCTGATTCATTGTCACATGCAAAAAAATGTATTTTGATAATGCCTTAGCTTATAGTTCAATAGTTAAAACATTTCATGAACTGGCAGCCATCAGAGGTGTAAAAGTGAAAGAGAAAATGCCATCAAGTAACTTTCCCTTTCATGTTTCCTCTAGCATCAACACATGACTTGTTTTGCACCTTGCTCTGATGTTGTTTTACAGACGGCACGGCTTAGTTAGCTCAGAAACATTACTGGATCTTGTATTTTAGATCTTGGAAATTTCTATCATCATGAGTTTGATCGCACAAAGGGACTGAGATAGATGACTTCTGCATGTTTGAACCCAAGTCATATACAAAGATTCTCTCTCTTTCTGCTCATGTTTTGCTTTCTCTCCCCCCAGATGCATGCTCTCTCTCTCTCTCTCTTGTCTTACTTTGTGTGTGTGTCTCTCTCAGGGTCTTCAGCTGATCACCCACTGCTCATCACTTTAATGCGTGCCAGGGGAACAACAAGTATTTTCTTAGCAGCTAAATGGTTTCTGTACATGTAGAAAGAGGCTTTTGTCACATTGATAAATCAAGGGCTTGTTTTTTTTCTGCTGTAAATGTACAATGAACGTTTCCAGAAGGTCACCTGCTTACTCTGCTGCTGGATTGTTTTTTTGGACTCGTGCCTTGTGTTTGAATAGTTTTCTACTTCATTCTTATGCTGAGCCAAATGGTTATCGAAATTGCTCAGTGAGTCCTCAGGAAACCCCCTTAACAGGCTGATGTGTATCACCTCTCTTGGCCCCTCAGAATGCATTGTGCTGGAGTTTGGCTTGTAGTCATGGACCCCTTTAATTCAACTCTCCGGAGACTGAGGTAAAACAAAGGCCATGAAAACACATCAGATAGGTGGGGCTTTGGCCTCTAAATCCTGTGCAGTGAAAACGTGCAGACCTCTTGACCAGTGTAGGCTCACACAATGAATGTGAATGACTCTGAATAATAGCAGACAGTTTAAATCTGACACTTGGGTATATCTTCACTTCAGCCTTGGCCAGTCTCACGCTTCTTATTTCCTAAAGATTTGCTTGAATTGGTTGTTTTCTGATCTGTGTTGCCGTGACAGTTGTTATGGGTATTAAGAGCTTTGTTTTTTTATTGCCGGCACTGAGTTGGACTCTGTTAAGAGGTGATTTGTATCTGAGGATATATATCACATGCAGCTGCAAGCAATGACCGAGAATATCCTCACAGTATTTCTCAAACTCCTCTTTTATAAAAGGCCTGAGTTTAATTAGGGATCTTGTCAACATGTAAATCTGAAGCTTTTCCAACTAAACTTCCCCTTGTGACTCAGACCCTTTTTCATACTGTGTACATTCACTCAGCACAGAAGTTCAGATCTGTTTTTCATCTTCATTTGTTTCTTTCAGCGCTTTAAGAATACCAGTTTTGATTGCTTCTCTGGCAAGTCTCTCACGTTGGTACAGCCACTACCTTCCTTCCCCCATCTTGACTTGAGTGATAGGGATTAGCTTGTTGCCTCGTTGCCACTCTCCTGTGTGACCTTGCATTCCACATGAAGTGAAACGTTTTTGCTGACACAGAGTTTGGTGTATTTTACACTCAGACATTCCTACAGTATTCTTCATCACTCATCCACTGTTGCACACCTTGTTGAGCGTCCCCGCAGATTTAGAGCCATTATCCTCCATGCAGTTATACATTCTCATCCTGATGACAGCCTGTTTAATGACTATGATAGTAAGTGGTGGGAGGTCAGGACAGTGAGCCGTCCACAGAGTGAAATGCAAGCTCTGAGGCCTTTGAGGTCTGGGTATCAGCTGCAGACTCAACAATTGAGATGTGAGTGTGCCTCAAAGGCCATTCATGGCTTTTTAAGAGCTTACAGTATTGATTTATGAGTCAGCTGTCTGGTTAACATTCTTTACTCTGCATCTGTGTCCTCTTTTAACCTGTTATCCAGCTATTAAGCAGCGTTAAAGTGCCTCATTTTTGAATATGTTGGCAAGGGATGAATCACAAGAGATAGGGATGTTCTTGGGCTGGGCGATAAACCGAAGATTTACTTATACCAAAATTCACAACCATAACTGACGTCATTTTGCCCATGTCAGTATATTCTGTGTCAAAAAAATAAATAAAAGTTGGTTTTGGATGTGTGTTGGGTTGTTATGGTCTCATGTCCCTTTAAAATGCTGTCCTATGTCAGGGACATGACTCCACCCCATCCAGTCCGTAACAAAGAGGGAGACAGGTGAGGAGATGGAGGACAATTCAAAAGTTGTAGCAGTTGGAGTGGCGGCTGAAGTAGACAAAGTTAATGTGGGAGGGGGTGAGCAGCTTGTGGAGTAGTTATCGTCCATTTATCGTTATCAGTCTGCTCAATATATTGTGATATTGATTTAAGGACATATCGCCCACCCTTAAGATGTTCAATAAATCTCAGATCATCAAAATCCCAAAGTGAACATTTGCAGGACAAATTACAAAAATATTTATTTATTTAAATAATATAGGAAAGTACTCATCACTCAGCAGGTGTATTATACTTGGCTAATACACTATTTTGAAGAAGCCATAGAAGCTTAAACCCGCAGTGAGGTGGCCTCAGATTATTTGGTGATAATTAAGAGATGAAAAAAAAACAGTTCTGTGGATGTGCGTAGATTCAGGACAAGCATGATGCAAACACAGGTAATGTGCAAACAGAACAGCAGCTAGACAATAGAAACTGTGATATAGTCTCCAATACTTGTCTCTGAACATAGTTCTGATTGATGTCACAATATTGAAGAACGTTATTGCACATGGCTATGTTTCTTTTACATCATGCAGTCCTAGTGTCAGTTTTGCTGGGTGAAAGGCTGAACCAAGAGGTGTGAGAGTAAAAAATATTTTCTATTTTGTTGGAGAAAAATAGACTTAGAGTCAAATTCTAAAAGAAAAAAGTGTTTATTTTATATTTTCAAACTACACTTGGGTTTTAAAACCAAGGGGAAATCCAGTTTAGATGACGTACAAGGTACAGTGAACCTCAGGTCACATATCACTGCTGACCTCTTTAATCTCTTCACTACAACACCGCCACACTGAGAGTTGACACCCCTCTCTCACTTTCACTGCTGAACCTGTTACCCAGTAATGCAAAACACTGGTGTGCCATGGAGTTTGAGCTAGGGTGACCATACGTCCTCTTTTACCCGGACATGGCCCCTTTTTTGGGGGGCTGTCCGACCTGTCCTGGGGGAGTTTATAAAATCCTTCAAATGTCGGTGGTTTTGTATAGAAGTTTTCAATGGACTCACTGAGTTTAGAAAAAGGGCGTAAAAAACACGCGACCTGACCCGAAAAACCCTCAAAATTTTGCACTCAACTCCGCCCTGCATAGAAGTGTTCTCTTTTTGGGGATTCAGAATATGGTCACCCTAGTTTGAGCTAGGATGGTGTCTACATGCTGTCTAGTTAGACTTGATTTTATTTTGTCGGTGTCTGCACTCTGCTCTAAATTAAGCCAGAGTCCGGCTGACCTTATAGCACTGCCCTCATGGTCAGAATTCAGTTGATAAAACGAAATAGTAAACATAGTCATAGAGCTCAGTTGCACCAGAATGGACTGTTTCAGAGTACACAACACCAGAGGCAGGTTTCACCCAAATGATTTAGACTGTTCTGTGTTGTAGGGCCAGTTACAGCTTGTTGTGGATTCTGATTGTGTCAAGCTTTGTATTGTCAGTGATTTAGCAGTAGATAAGCTGGTTTAATAAACTTGAAAAGGTCTGTTTCCATCTGATTTCAATCTGTATTTTAAGGCGAACTGTCTGAGGGCACTTTCTTCACACTACACCAACTGGTGTGAGAGTTTCTTCATAATTCTTTCATCTTCTTCTCAGAAAGATACACAAAATAAGTGAAAAATAAAAAATGTCTCAAAATATTTAATCATGCTGGAGTGTAAAAAACTTAAAGCTGATCATTTTGTACAGAACAATTGCCCTGTAGATGACTAGATGGGCTTTAGTGCCTTTTTTTTTATACATTACACTTTTTTTTCGAGGACAAAGGCATGGCTGTTACTGGTTTTATTCAAGTTTTATTCAGTCACATCACACCCACACTCCTGATCTGTATGATGTAAACTGATATCAGCTGTTAATGCACAGGAGTGATTGATCTTCCCAGTTGCACCAGTTCTTCTGGTACAGCGCCGGATCACGTATCCCCTGAAAAGGAACCATTAATTAATCATGACATTGGTTTGATAAGCCTGAATGTCAAAGCATTTTCAAGGAACTGATGTGCCGTTCTAAGCATACAATAATCCATTATAGGAAAGCTGAATAACCTGACCGACCACATCTGTATGATTTGGCCTCTTATCTCTGACAGTCTTGCTCAGCTGGTCACCTCATTCCTCAAACAGAACACTTTCCAGCTAATAGGCCACTATAGTGAGTTAGGTGTGCTTTAGGGCAGCCTGTAGAGTAAACCCTGCCTTTCACTAACATGCAGACGGTTTGTGTTAGTGTGACGTTGGTGGCCTGACTCAGCAATGAACCAGTTGTTCTGATCACCTTGAGTCTGAATGCTTTTGTAAAACAAAAAAAATATTTTACACCATCTCTGTTGTAGTGGTCAGGGAAGCACTGAGACTATAAATAAATGTACGAGTGTACCAACAGAAGGATTTATGCCTCAGTTAGTGCTGACCATCCTGTGTGATTGTGCTTTAGCGAAGGAAATGGATCATTGTTCCAACTGTTCATAGTTTATAGTCTTCATCTCAAACTTGATCTCAGCAGCTTATAAACAATTGACCTTAAGTGTTTCTGTCCTGTACAGGACGGCCTGACCCAATGAAACCATCAGATGCTTCAGTCAGTTAAGGAGGGTGGTATCACAACTTGTGCAGTATGTTTTTATGTAGGTGTGGCCGATTCTATACAGTATATGCTGTGCTCCTGACTACTCAATATGATGACAGTATTGGTTAAACTTAATTGAAGGAATAAGTTAGTGCTGCATTCATGGTACAGCTTTTGTGTGTTTACAGGGTGAGTTGTTTTGTCTGAGTCCTTTGCTTTATGTATCCTGACAGTCAAACTTTGCAGCTTTACCCAAGCTATTCTTTAGGTCTTATTTAGTCTTTTAGGTTATTAAATAGTGTCTTAAATTGAAATAGGCTTCTTTGATGTAACCTTCATTCACTTGTCATGGCTGATCAGCATTTAACTAACTAAAAAAAACTAAAAATGTCACATTAAGAGTATTTCCCCATAGTGAAAACCACCGACTTTATTACATTTTCAAACATGGCTCAAAGACACATGAAGAGTAAGTTTATTTTCATCGATTTTGTAAAGGATACGTAGATGGAGCCAGACAGGAAATGTATATTTTTAAATGAAAGAAATAATCACTACCATATAAAGTAATGTGAGTATAAAACGATAAAAAAATGGTCCTGTTCCATTCATTAGGATTTGACAGTTAAGACAGTAGGACCTCCAAATACAAACCAGACCTCTTTTCTGATGTCAGGAGGAGCAACTCTCCTTCAGCCTTTTCTCAGCTGGCTGCCAGATTTCTTCATCCATCAAGGGATCGCATCATCTACCCTGTCTGCCTTAAAACCCCCACATGGGGCAGCCAGGTCCCAGAGGATTTGTAGGCCTCCTTTTGGAGTGGAAAACATTGGTCTTGGAGATGGGAGGCTTTTGTGTGAATGTTTCTATCTCTGTTGAGACATGAACTACACAGCCCCTGAGTGAGATTTCAGTACAGCTGCTGAAACATTGACGTTTCTGTTGTGTTGAAGGACATTTTCACACAAACTTGGATGCTCGTTCAGGTTTCTGGTGAATATTAAGCACTTGAAAAAAATGATCAACCTCATAAAAAACCTTGTACCCATATCTTTTTTTCGTCTAGCAACAGATACTCAGACCCATAACACATGAAAAACTGAGCGGAATCAGCGAAAATGTTCAGGAGTAGTTCAACTACTGTAAGAATGACTCTGAGCACGAGTTTAAAACAACAGCAAACTAGATTGATGCCGTCTTTTCTTCATGCTTTGTGTTAATATTATTACTGCAACTAATGCTGTATCCAAAAGTGACTGAAGTCACATGAAACTCAAATAAAAGTTAGATTTACTGTTGCATGACCAAAGTACCTCCACGCTAGTAAAGCTTGAAGTTTGTTTGAACTTTTCTTGATAAAGTGCTTTGACAATTTTACATTGATAACCTAATGTCTTTTGTGCTTTCTGCCATTTCAAACACATAACAAAGCTTAGGAACAAAAAAAAGTCTCATTGGTTTAATATAATTGTGACATTTTATCTCATAAGTATGAATTAATATCTTGTAACAGTGACTGGGTTTTTCTAGATGAAGCGCCCTTGTTTTTTGGACTGGTAGAGATGGACTGTACAGCAGGGGCTCAGATAGAAAGGCAAACGATGTCAGCTCTTGTTCACATTATATGAGGGTTAAAAAAGGAAGCTTAATCATCCTTGAATGTAAACCTAGAGTATAGGTATGCACTTTTTTCTTGACTGGCTGTAATTTCAGAGCATCGACTCTGAAAATAAGCCGATAACATCTACTTTACCCAATGACCAGGTGCGGTTAAAAGCTTCGGTGACACTCATACATTTGCATTTCCTGCTGAGTGCTATTTAACCACGTTCTTCTCCGCACAGCCTGCCCCTTGTTTTTGTGTTTCTGCTCTGAGTCTCTATAAATAAGATCCTGTGGGTGACGTGAGTTCCTTTCACATCCCCCTGTGTTTATGTGTGTATTTACATGTAAATGTGTGTGCACTGTGGCTGTTGCTGAGAGTATTTGTTTTTGTGCTCTGCATGCCTCCTTGCTGTCTCCTGCTCACTGAGACCCTACGGGGAAATAGCTTTCTTTTATTTGCTGATATCTGTTTTCTCGTGAGAGTTGTGTGTCAGTGTTGTATGCTAGCATCACATTCAGCAGTGATAAACAAAGACAGCTTTGTGCAGATTGAACCAGTATCACTGGCTGAAGGCCCGACTATGACCTCACAGGGTTTGACACAGTCCTCCTCAGCAGACTAGCCTGAATTTGGACCTTTTATTTGTCTCATGTATCCTTAGCAAGTCCACACAAAAGCCCAGACAGGGCTATTTAATCTATTAGGTTGTCTGTAATCTCAGATTACAGATTAGGATAAAGCAAAAAATGCAAACGCCAGGGGATTTTTACAGCGTGAAAGCTGGGCTTTATTCATTTCTATCCATATAATCTCAGGAGTCATCCTCACTGAATCGTGTGTGTGCAGCCATGCGTTAGTGTGTATCCTGTGTGACATGTAGGTGTCCATGTTAATACAGGGAAAGGAACTGATACTTTAGGCCAAGGGGAAATTGTGGGTGGTAGAAACTGTAATGTGGCTTCCTCTTAGAGCTGGGTGCTACGAGGCTAATCTGCCCACAGTAATTACAGAGCTCCACCAGCGGGGGGGTTTAATACATGTGTCTAAGTAAGGGTGTCAGTGAGGGGTCTTAACGTAGTATGGATTTGTTCTGCAACTTCAGCAGAAAAACAGAAACCATCATGGCTAATGAGGTGTCATTGCCGCATGAATGATGGACACAAAAGTGGAAATCTGGAACGTTGCGTATCGTTTGTTTACCAAGAAGTCGGTAGAGTTTGTCCGCGGTAAACCAGGGAATGCTTGTGAGTTTATCAGCTGATTCTTAAAAGCCGTTTAGGACCCTCCACCACACTCGCATAATCTGGTACCTCTGTGCTGTGTGACTGACTTTAATCTGATTGTTCCTGTTGGTATGTTGTAAAGTTAGCAGATTAAAAACTACAGTCAGGACTCTCCTGTCTGCCAGCCTCAACCATCAATTCCTCATTCCATCGTAAACAGAGAAACAACAGCCCACCAGCGATCTCTCACTGGGGAAAAAAGACCCCCTCAAAACTGTGCTGACTGTGTGATTTTTACTGCATTGCAGCACTGTTGTTTCTGCTGGAATATTTCCATCATCTTGTTGCTGAATCTCATCTTCATACAGTGCCAAGTACATCTATAACCCAGGGTGTTCCCACTTTAAAGACGAAAAAAGAAACTAAAGGCACTTTCAGACTTAATTTTTCAAATCGCTGGTGGGTTTTCCTCGAATGAAATGAATTCTCAGTACCAAACAGATGGAAAACTTTGGCTGTAGAAAAGTGCTTCACTAAGCCTCTAAGGCAGAGAAGAGCATTTTACAAAATTAAGAGGAGTTAGTCAGGAGCCAACTAATATCAGTTAAGAGGAAAAAAAAAATCACAGTTGGCAGCCAGTGTTACTCTGACTGAATGAAAAGTGAGGGAGCTCACTGCCTGTGTTGGAGAGGGTTGTACTAAAGTGCTGTTTGCTGAAAGTAGCATCTCAATAAACCCTTGATTTCACACTGAAGAAAGTCTTTAAAATTTTGCAGATACTTGTCCTCTTCTATTTTCATTATTCATTTCACATGTTGCTGAATAGCCGTCCCCACATCCAGCTTACTTCTCTATTCGTAACCTCAGCCCTTCCTCCTCAGTCCTCGGTGACTGTGTTGTTCTCATACTTGTGTTCATTACTCATCATTTACTCATCATTTATGTGGGATTAGTGTTCCTCTTTTTACTGGTTTGAGAAAACCAAGCCCATTGTTGAAAGCTAACCAAGAAACTACACTTTATTCCTGTCAATTACAGTCAGTTAATTCAGTGTTTCAGCTGCTCTAAAAGCCCAAAGAAACAACTTGCAAGACATGAAGATTTCGTCACCATAAATGGAATCACATCAGCTCTTAGACAGCTCACATTTGCTTATATCTTTCTTGGTGTCCTATCACTGAGACCCTAAAGAAAGAAAGTCTTTATTTATAATTGACGCAATAGGGATGATGCAGTTTCCTGGCTGTCAAAACAGAAAGTTGAATTCTGACCAACAGGCTAGTCTAAAGGTAAGAAAACACCCAGAAAACAGCCGTATTGATCTATTGCTTTTGGACTTTTGCTAATTGCTGAGCACCAGTCAGGGACCATTGTTCCAGAAAAGTCTGTTTACATCAATGTGAAGAGATTGGATAAAACTGGTGGTGTATTCTGCTTCTGACACCCCTCAAAGTATTGGTTTTGCAGGTGTTGCTAGAAGTTTTAGAGCTAGTTGGGCTTAAAAATGCCTACTGCTATTCCATCTATTCCAGTGAGACATGGTGCTGTCAAAGAATATTTGAAATTCAGATATATGTTCAAATATTTTTTAAACTTGCTGTAACAAAATTTGAAAAAATCTTTCATTTCTGTTGATGTCTCCCTGTCACCTGCAACAGCGAATGAGCCCATCTGTGTAAAGATAAGTTATGTCTACCTAGTAAAAATGGGACCCAGTGGTCAGGTCAGGACCATGAACAGAACGATTTATGGCACTTAGACCAGAGATGACCCACATGTTTTTTTCTCTTCATTTTGCACTGAAAACACACATTTTACTGTCACTACACAAACGGTGACAACGTCTTGTAGCAGGAGACTCCTGCAGACACCATGTCATGTTACAGCTGCAGCCACAGAGTGAGAAGCTCCTCCACACCAGAGACAGACAGACAGAGCAGCTCTGTGTCACTAACCTCAGTAGTCCTGCTGCTCCACGTCTGTCAAACACTGGCGGGCTGACCCAGACTCACTCCCCATTTCAAATATATTAAAAAAGTAAGTTACCTTAAACTGCTCACAAGAAGTTCCTTTCTGGAGCCACATATGTGTCTTTACGACAATACGCGATAAAACACTACCGATTTTGTCCATAGTGGCCGCTAAAATCAACAGAAAATAAAAACTCCATCGAGCTGCTTTGACAGCAGACATACAGATGCAAAAAAACTGATACTTTACTGATAAAAAATACACTTATATACTGCCTCTTGTTGCATGATCAAATAGATAAATGATTAGATGATAGTTGAGTGGCCCAAACCTTTGTTTCTTTTAGAGGGAACATTCAAACGCCCCTTTTGGTCAATATTCACAGCTCTAATGGGACAGCTATCCCCCTCCTTTTATGGGCAAAGCGAGCTGCATTGCTCACAGCTGATGCATGATGATTGAGTGTTCAATTCAATCTAGTAGGAGACATCTGTGTCACTCAGTATGTAGACATACTTCAGTTTTAGATTAACAACAGTGTTTGCCAGTTACTGTAGAAGTGCCTTACAGAGTACTATGACTCAAATTTGATTCATAAGGGGATGACATTTCAGACAGTTGACCTCAAAACATATAAAGAGGCACTTGACTTGATGTTAATACTTCCCTCACTTTGATCTTGAATGATAGATCCTTCACTGAGTTATCAGTTGTGTATCTGGACTTTGCACTTAAAGCAGAACACACAGAGTTAAATCAATATTTCCTCATGCAGTATTTCAGGAGCATTGGGCTTTGAACACTTTGTTTTTGTCTGAAACCTGTAAAACTATAATGTAGATTCATCACTCTGAACACCAAACAGTGAGCTGAAGGCACCATTTTAAGTTTGGATCATTTTCAAACTTGATCATTTACTCATGAGTCTAAATCATAGATCACAGTCGTATTCACATTTTTAAACTCTTAAAAGATGTACTCAGTGGCGACAACCATCACAGTGTTTATGAAATGATAAACAGATGAGCTGCACAAACACAAAAGGTTTCTCTGTACTGGATCAGGTCAGAGAATGCCTCTGCAGATTAAAACTGAAGTGGTCACTAATGCTTGGATGCATGACTTCTGCTGTGTAATCCTTTTATATCAGAGTCAGCTTCAGCTGGCTGCAATCATTAGTGTAACTTACTGAGAATGCTGTTTGTGTTTCTGATCCCCTCTGTGACCCTGTGTGCCATCAGCTGTGAGAGGATCAGCCCTCTCTCTGACATGTCTTGAGGGCAGAGGTCAACAACAGCTGTTTAAAGGAGGGTCAGAGGGTCACTACCATCATGTCGTCTTTAATCAACCTTTGAAACAGATTCAGGTCTTCCACTGTTTAGACACTCAATTTAATTCAGATTATAAAAAAGACTAAATGGGATTATTATGGTTCAGTTCTACCAACAGGTTTCTCTTTATACTGAAAGACACAAACTTGACTGAGCAGGTCACATGTGCTTCAACAACAACAACAACACATGCACACACGTTCCTGTTTGACACACTGACACACATTGCACAGAGAAGGCCTTTAATGCCACTCATCTCCGGGGTCAGTTAGTATTCATTCCTCTGTGTACTGTAGTACAAGTTAACCTGCACCAGCTGTGTATACACACACACACACTTACATGCAGATACATTCACTTCCTGCACCCCAGGGGACTTTTTGGCCAATGAGCTCTCCATCCTGGCCAGTTGGCCCTCTCTGTTAGCACGGACTACACCAATCAGCACATTCCTCTTTCTCTAGACAGACACAGGGAGACGGTTTTGGCAGTGCACTCACAGGGTGGGGTAACGTTCATATCCTGTCCCCCGACCTCAGATTACACACACATACAGACACACACACACAAACACACAGTCACTGTACTGTTTTTTCCCTCATTCTAGCACTCAAAACACCACATTCTTGCTCTCTAAACATGCAGCTTTTCTTCTGTTTTGAAGCAGCTGTCACAGTCACTCTTTCAAACCGGAGCCCTCAGTGTCTGTGTGCCAGTGTGGTTGTGCCAGTCCACGCCTGTTGTTATGTCCCACACCAATACAGACTCTGCTCTGTCTGTGTTAATGACCTCTCGCTCCATCTTTCCATCCCTCCCTTCCTCCCTCCCTCCCTCCGGGCACCACTTGGGCACCACCGATCCCAGTCTCTTCAACAACAATGACGCTCCTGTCCACTGCAATCAATTTGTTGTTGATTTTTATCCTCGCACATCTTCTCTCTGAGTGTTAACTATGCAGCCGCAATTTAAAAAGTGAAGAAATAGAGATTATAGAAAGTTGTGCACCCAGGCATGAAGTTGGAGTTAAATACTGTTCACCCCATTTGAGCTTTTTTTACCTAGACAAAGACAGAGCACTCGATCACACAATCCTCTTTTTTAAAACATTTCATTTCTTGTCAGTTGTATGCACTCTGCTCTCCTCTTCCTCCCCTCTTACTCATAATTTCACAACGGTATGAAACCTCAAGTGGTCTATGCCTGGAAAGGATCAGCAGAGGAATCAAATTCCACCCATACTGCAGGGTTTCTGCTGGGTCTTAAAACGTCTTAAATCTAAAAATTTGAATTTAAGGGCTTAAAATGTTAAAAATTCTCTTAAAAACCTCATAAAATGTCTTAAATACAAATTTGAAAGGTCTTAAAAGTATATGGATGTTACTTACAAATTAAGATTGATTTGAAGTTAGTTTAAAATGTCTCAATTTCCCTTCATGTCTTTTGTATTTTTTTGCCAGTATGGACGTAAAAATGGATCTTAAATTGTATTCATAAAAGTCTAGAAAACCTCCACTAACAATAGTTTTGTTGTTTTTTTCAGGCAAACATCACACACACACACACACACACACACACACACACACACACACACACACACACACACACACACACACACACACACACACACACACACACACACACACACACACAGGGATAGTGAGTGACCAGGGTGTGTGAGAAAGCCTTAACACACAAGACACTGAATCTCAGTCACACATGGGACTCCCCACCCTGTGCTGACTTCTCCGGCTCAGTGCTGCTCACCACCCTCTGATTTGCTGTTTCAAATTCACTTCCCCTTCTCTCCCATCATCTTTCTGTTGTTTAATTTACATACACACTGTGGAGCTTTTCTGATTTTGACTGAGGAAACAGTATAGAAAATTCATAACGCTATTGGGAGGTAGGACAGTGGATAGAATAAAAAAACTAGGAAAAGGACATGTCTGTACAAGCGAAAAAAAAATCCCTGAAACTGAGTTTGTTACACCATTAATCTGACACAATGTCTGCCTCTACTGATGACTGTTTCCGAGTAAAACAGAGGAACCGACTTCTGCTGAAATTTCTTATTACGACACAAGACACTGCATTACTTACAGATAGTACAGAATGAGTCTAAGCTTGCAAAATGACGTGTTAAATCAGTGTTAGCACAATCTTTTTTAATACGAAGGTAAAATGATCAAATTAAGAGTAAACAGCTTCACATGAAAAATCTCTGCTGCTGCTGCCAGGCTGTTCTTAGACGTGAGGAGGGGGCGGTTTGACTGACAAGCTTTAATGTTAGCTCTATCTTCATTGTGGATTCTTCTTCTTGTTAGTGTACCGAGTCAGGCATTATTACAGCAGGCACATTCATACAGGGTGTGTTTTTACACCGCATCAAATTGAGAAGAACATTTGGATTTTTTACCAGTTTGTACTGGTTGGATCACTCTGTGTCACCTTTCACCCCAGTCTAGTACCAGAATGGAAACAGTGTTACAGAGTGTCTCTAACACTCACACACACACACACATGAAGCTGTTGTTCGCTCTGCTGGTGACTCTCACTGCACGTTTATCGCCTCACCCCCACATTACCCTCTCCTCCCTGTTATCCTTCTTTTTTTTCTTTTTCACCTCCCCTCAGTAGGTCGGGGTCTCCTTGTTGTCACGGGTTACAGTGTGGAGGAGGTGTCAGTGGTTTGAGGCTAAGCAGTCCTTTGGCACACTGCACTTGACATAGCATACACTGTTATCACTGGACACAGAGGAAGGGAAATAATAATAACTGAGAGAAAGTTTGCTGTAGCCTGTTGTTTGTGTCTACAAGGGAGTTTGTGTGTATATAAGTGAACTCCTCAGGGTGTGTCTTTCATGCATATTTGCTGCAGAGGCAGCATGTGTGTTTAGGGGTCCCCAGTTAGGCGGACTTTGTCTTTCTCTTTAGCCTTACAACAAACTCTGGTAGCATTGGGAGTCCTGCCAGTCCAAGGCCGACAGAGGAAGGGAAGGGGTGGAGCTGGGTGTACAGTGGGAAAAGAGGAGGTGGAGGAGGAGATAACTGGTCGAGTCCCATGTGAAACTTACTCACATGGCTTCCTTTTCTTCTCTGCTTTCCATCCAAAACTTTCCCCGATAGCCTTCAGTTTTGCCATTGTTCTCAGCCTGGCCCAGTTATCTGCGAGTCGCCATAATCATATTTTGGTTTGCAGCCCCAGAGAGACTCTTGTGCTCACGTCATGTTTGTTCACCGGGCTGTTGTCAGGCTGAACAATGGAGTTATCTCCTTCCCTAAGTTGTAAACGGAATGAGTTGTCCAATAGATTTACTTTAAAGAGGATTATTATTAGGATGACTCAACTCTTACACATGTGTGAGCCTAAGCAGAGGCTGTGTTCCCGAGTGTTGCTTGCACTTTGACAGAGTTTGTTGTTTGTGTAGTCAGCTGTGTAAGTGTGGTTATCATGACTAATATAACGGTTTGGTGTTGCTGTCCTCTCTCCTAGGTGACATCACACAGAAGGGCTATGAGAAGAAGAGAGCCAAGCTGCTGGCCCCCTACATCGCCCATTTGCCAAGTAAGACCAACTCTTCTGCTCCTCTTTGCCGTTGCATCATTTCCCCCTAAAAGCTCTTCTTTTTCTTCTTCTTTTTTCCTTTTTTTTAAGTGTCACCCTAACCTGTCAGCAATTTCTGTGCTGGTCACACCACAGTGCAGGAACTTATAGCACTTACATCAGACGTTGTTGATAAATGACCTCAGAAACTGGAAGTTGCTCCTCAGCTGATGCCCCCCCCCTCCTTTTGTTTAGTTAGAAATGACATTAAAAACAGCCATGTGAGTGTGGTCTCAAGTGTGTTTTTCAGCTTGAAAAAAACAAAAGCAACTTCACAGAATGTCTACTCTGAAGGGAAATCCCTTTCAGTGAGTTGTTAAAGGGACTGTCTGGTTTTCTGTGGCACTCTAGTGGTCGAATTGGGAACTACATGCAAACTCCCTAAAACAGTATGATATTGTGAAAGAGCTTCTTTAAAAACTGCAGCAGAACATTTGCAAACCCTCCTGAAACAAAAGCTTATTGTGCCCCGAAGTCTTTAACACAGTGTGAACACACTTTGCTCAAACCACAGTTCGTTTACAGGCTCTCATGAAAAAAGGGAATAATAACAGAGCTCCACTGGACTATCAGGCAGTGAGTCACCTCATTGGTGAGTTGTTTGCTGACTCGCATTAGGGTGCGGTGCACCATATTAGCACTGGCTTAAAAAAAAAAAAAACTCTTGATTTGTCACAGAAGCTAAAAGAAAAAAAAACTGTATTTAACTTTACCTCTTGCTGCTTAAGCTCTGCCTTTTTCTGGCCTGAGCAAGTAGTTTTTTTATTTTGATTTTTTTGGTGAAGTCCACAAAGCAGCCCACTTCCAGATGCCAAGAAATCAAAATATACCCATAAAACCTTTGCTGCACCATAGGTATTGCCTTTAAAGTGCTGTTGTATTGCGATCAAAATCAAAATCAAATGTACTGCAATAGTTACAAAATAACTTTAAAAGCAATCATCTCAACAGTGAAAGAAGTTTTCCCACACAGTAAATCAGTATACTTTATAAATTGCCCAAGTTATTAATAAGGCTTTATAACATGACACATGCAAAAAGGCTTTGATTATTTTTCTTTTTTCCTGTTCCCCTGTGCACAAATAAACTATTTTCCTTATTATTAAATTCATTAATTACAGCTGACACACCATAAAACGTTTTCTTCCCCATATTTCTAATCTCATACTAGAAAGCCAGTACAGGTGTAAACGGGCTTTTATTAACTTTGACCATTTTGGTTTCCTGATTCCAACATTTACACCTCATCCCAGTTGTTGAAAACCGAAGGCATACAGTAGTCACCCTGGCTGTGTTGTGGACAGGTTTCCCTGCATGTCTAAACAGGTTTTAGGAAGCTTTGAAGCTCCAATGATGGCCTCTTACTTCAGCACCCATCCCCTCAGGCCTCCTTATACATCTGAACCATCATCTACTTACAGGCTTTACCAGGCTACATAAGAGGACAGCTGATTGAAAACATTCAAATCTAGCCTAGTTTCACATACGGGTTAATGGAGTCAAGCCCATGTCCTTACTTCATGTTATGCTAAGAAGCTCTGTAGTGAGGCTAAATTTAGAGAGCTTTTCAGTGTACTATATAATATTTATGCCTACATGAAGCTGTAATGGCGTTATGTAAAACAACAGAGTGTAAGATATTCTCGTGCATCTTTTCAAGAGTTTGTCCTTGTTTGTTGTTCGTACCATTGCCACATGTTTTCACTGACATATACACGTGCTAATACACGCCCCTGCTCTCTAGATGTGGATCTGTCCCTGCCAGATGTGCAGCTTTCTCCGGGCCACAGTGCTGACCCCAGCCCGAGTCCTGAAGCCCCGGGCCCCTCCACGTCATCAGCTTCCAGACACCACCGCGCACACCGCAGTGGAGGGGCCAGAGATGACAGATACAGATCAGGTAAACAACAAGGAGACATAAAACGATCATCTCATCAAACCATCATGATATATCGTCTCACTTTTTGCCCTGTCTTGTTTTTATTTTAATATTTGTGCAGACATCCACACAGAGGCTGTTCAGGCAGCACTTGCCAAGCACAAAGAGGAGAAGATGGCACTGCCGATGCCAACCAAGAGACGCTCAGCCTTTGTCCAGTCTCCCATAGATAACTGCACACCTCCAGGTAAGCTGGATTTCTCACATTCAGAGGGTTGCAGGTCTGGTGTTCCTCTGCCAATGATTATCTTAGATCCCAAGTAGGGAAAACAAAGTTAAACGTGTAAATATATGCTTTTATATCTGTTAAAGAAAACAAGTTAATAGTCTGTATTTGATCTTTGTCAGACACATCTTCTGCATCAGAGGATGAAGGTTCACTTCGCAGAAAGGCGGCCCTCAGCGCAGTGCTGGCCCAGACCCTGCAGAGCCCTGATTACTGGATCAACCGTTCCGTCCAAAGTTCCTCCACGTCCTCGTCAGCTTCCTCAACCCTCTCCCATGGAGAGCCCAAGACCCAGCCTCAGCCGCAGCCCCAGCCTTCACCTGCTGTCTCTGTGCTAGCTGACGTTCTGGCCCACACCCGTATAGGTAAACCTCGCTGATCAGTATCCGTGTTATGGAACTGGAGCTCATGACTGGAACAAAACTGTCATGGATGGCTGTTGTTGACACATGTGGTGCTCGATCTTTATTCTCCTCTAGAGAACAGCGTTCCTCCAGATGTGACGTCCTCCACCCCCCAGGAGCGAGGGTCCAGAGTGGATCTGCCTCCAGCAGTCAGGGGCATGAGCCGTGGACAGAGCCGCTCCAGCATGCTTGATACTGCAGACGGTACAGTCACACAAACCAAGACAGTTTTAGTGAATTTTGATGGCGTTTGTGAATTTATAGGGGTGTAATCATGTTTGTTTTCTGTCCCTGGAATAAGTTTCTGATTTCTGGTTGTCTTGGTGTTCTTTGGAATCAGTGGGTTAATCATGTGCATGTTTTAGTCATGACTGACGTTGTGTGTTTTTACTTAGACGGTGATGATTTGAGTGCTCTCGAATCAATAAACAACATGCCCACATTCAACCAGAATCATCATCCTCAACATCACTCTCATATCACTGTGTGGTGAATGCTGCTAACGACAGATATTTTGTGTTCTTTCTTTTGGGTCCATTAATCCTGTCCCTGTCTTGCCTTTCATTTAAAAAAGGAAAAAGAAAAGGTAATCAAAATCAAAACCTGGGAAGGGGAGGGATGCTGAAGAAACCCAAATCAGCTTGCTTTCCAATCTGGAGTCTGTTCTTTCCCTCTTCCTATATTGTCTGGTGTTAGAGGTTTAGTCGTAGAAAACCTCCTATTTGTTTTCCTAAAGATTGTCCCATTTGTCCGTTTCTGATGGAGTACCCCTTTGAATCTTTCCTGCTGCTGATCTAGTTCCTGAATGTGTGCTAGTGCGTAGGGTTGTGCCTGTGCGAGCGTGTGCGATGAAGTAGAGGTTCGTGTTAGAATAGAGCTGCATGTGTGGGTGTGTGAGTGTTGTCGTGGTTGTTTGTTTGCTTGTGTTTGTGGTGGTGACTGTTCTTGATGTTTTTCCAGGCGTGCCTGTCAGCAGTAGGGTTTCCACCAAGATCCAGCAGCTGTTAAACACACTCAAACGGCCCAAGAGACCACCACTTAGCGAGTTTTTTGTTGATGACTCAGAAGAAATTGTAGAAGGTGAGAAACATCAACCACCCATCCATTCAGATTTTGTTTTTCCTTCCCTTTTATGTGAAATAATCACAGGTGTAGGCCTTGGGAACATCTTAAGACAAGAGTTAAACCATCTTACACAGTCTGTTAAACAAACTTACACTTTGATGTAGAGGTTCTTAGACATATTTCAGACAACTTTCTTATCATTTTTTGTCGTCTGAGGCTTTTTTAAGCACTTTCACAGTCATTGAAATGGGAAATATACCTGGAAAATTCTTTTTTATGAACAATTATTTTAGCTGAACTGAAAGAAAATGTCTAAAACTAGTCGATCTACAGTTTTGCTACATGCAGAGAGCCACTGTTATAAAGTGAACCACATTGATTGTGCATTAGTGAAGCATTGAAATCCTCTCAGCTCATGACGTTCTTTCTCACTTTTATCACATTTTCTTTGCTTCACTCACCTCTGTTCAAAACTACGATCACATTTCAACGTATCGGTTGCTTTGTCAGCAACACTTTAATAACGTTGTTGTCCATAGCTCTTTCACATCATCTGTCTCTCCTCTGTCCAGTTCCCCAGCCAGACCCCAACACCCCAAAGCCAGAGGGACGTCAGATCATCCCAGTGAAGGGGGAGCCTCTTGGAGTGGTCAGTAACTGGCCCCCGGCCCTGCAGGCTGCACTGGCACGCTGGGGGGCGACCCAGGCTAAAAGCCCAGCTCTTACTGCGCTGGATATTACTGGCAAACCCCTTTATACACTCACATATGGTGAGCAGGTCCTACACTAATGGAAGTGTTTATGTAGATGGAAAAAAGTGGGATTTTTAACATTTTTACGTTTCCAATACTTCGTTGGTTATTGTTTCCTTCACTTGTAAATAGAAGATTCACCTCGTGCATTTAAGGTGATTCAGCTGAATAGAGTATTTGCTACTCAGTATTGTAGTAGGTTATGGTGTTCAACTGTCCTGGTATATTTATACAACAGTGAGAAATGGTAAGCAAACAGTAAACAGGACATTGAATAATTTTTCCTCATTTTTGTTGACAGGCAAACTATGGAGTCGAAGTCTTAAACTAGCCTACACACTTCTGAATAAACTGGGCACCAAAACCGAGCCTGTCCTACAACCTGGAGATCGGGTAAGGGGCTGCTGGTCTCAAATCAGTCTGTGTGGATAAGTATGGTGTAAAATAACATGACACGGATGGTATGTTTTGTTCAACTCCTCAGGTGGCTCTGGTGTACCCAAACAGTGACCCCGGTATGTTCTGGGTGGCTTTCTATGGCTGCCTGTTAGCTGAAGTCATCCCCGTGCCCATTGAGGTTCCACTGTCACGACAGGTAATGATGTCACTGTTGGCTAGTAAATGTCATTGTGGTGATCAGTGAAATATGCATCATCACAAAAGCAAAACTCCCAGTCAAATCAAGAATATTTTGACAACAACAGGATAAGACTAGTTTTTATTTTCACGCTGGCCTCTACTCGGGTGTCAGAAGGCTCTTGACCCTTGTTTTTTTCCGTAGGATGCAGGCAGCCAGCAAATTGGCTTCCTATTGGGCAGCTGTGGTGTAAGTCTGGCCCTGACCAGCGAGGTGTGTCTCAAAGGGCTGCCCAAGACGCCAAACGGAGAGATCATCCAGTTCAAAGGTCAGTGAGGAGCTGATCAAGTGCTGTTTACTCTGCAGAATTCATCTCCAACTAGGTCTCTTAATGAGTAACTAGATGAACTCATTAAAGTAGATATACACCTCAATGAGTATTCTCTGGACAATTTTAGGCCTCATTGTTTGAAGCTGTTATGTTGTAAAGGATTAACTCAATATAATGTCTGTCATTTTAGCGTGGGTTTAATTTACTGTGCCCAAACACATGTTCTCTATGTGTCAGTTTCTTTGTGTCAGTTTCAATATTTGAATGTTTTTCTGTGTTGTTGTGTTTTATTTACCAGGATGGCCGAGGATGAAATGGGTTGTGACGGACACAAAGTATCTGACCAAACCATCCAAAGACTGGCAACCTCATATACCCACTGCCAACACAGACACAGCCTACATAGAGGTATGTGAAATCACTCACCTGGTGTCACCAGACCAATTCACTTGCAAATGAAAATAAATATAAGTAGGCTGATGAATCTGAAAACACAAGGCTATGAAACCACGTGCCAAGCTTATCTACTTTAGTTACAAAAACAACTGATCAGCTGATCTTACATAAACGAGCAAAAGATGTAGTCCTTCATTTTGTTGCAGTATTTGACCTTTTACTTCTAAAGTCAAAAGGTATGGCTCGTACTCAGATACCTGCTCACTGAGCCATGTCAGCACTGCACTACAAGTGTGAAACATCCTGCATGACTTTAAAAAATAATTAATGATATCCCGGAGTAAATTTAAGTTAGGGTCAAACACACTGTAACACCGAGTTAGACACCCCCTCGAGAGATGAATGTTGCTGACTATTTGCTTCTTTAGTTATACCAACTTTTGCAACGATCGCATGATAGCAATACACAGCGGTCTATGGATCTATGGATGATTATTACTTCAAGGAACTGATTCGCTGCACTCTGTGATTGACTTGTCAGGGCTCCCCCCCACAAACATGCGGCTGCTAGAGCAGAGTTAGGGTGTGTTTGACCATAACTAAAATTTATGCAGGAATATCCCTTTAATAGTTGTACTGTTGGTACTATTTTTGTTTTATTTTCTACTTTCATCCTAGTATACCTGGTTTGTTATTACATGCTTTGTGAAAAGAGGATTGTTGAAGTGCTTTAAAGGGACTTGACACATGTGTGATGACTGACAAGTATTTCTATCACTCTGATGTTTGTGTGTGTGTGCACATTTGTGTGTTTCTCTCTCACTACAGTACAAAGCGAGTAAGGAGGGGACAGTGATGGGAGTCGCTGTGTCCAAGATCTCGATGCTGACTCACTGTCAGGCCCTGTCACAGGCCTGTAACTACTGTGAAGGTCAGAACTAACTTTTTTTTAATAACTCACTTCACTCTCTCCTACACTAGATATCTTTATTTTTGTCAAGGTGAGGTGTTTAAGAGTTAGAAACTGTGCATTCGAAACGATTTTTGGAAATTTCACAGCTCAGCTCTTAAGCTCTTCAGCAGAATGTCATTATCAGCATGCCTCAAATTTATTTTCATCCTCTCCGGCTCAAGAAGAGAGACACCTCAGGAGAGATAAGCTGAGGATCAAATAGAGAGGGAAAACACACACTAATGGACCATAAAATTACATTTCCTGTGGTACATTTCATGGTTTGCTTGTGATCACTCATACTTTACTCACTGTGTTTTCTGTTTCAGGGGAGACGCTGGTCAATGTGTTGGACTGCAAAAAAGACATGGGCATGTGGCACGGTGTACTAACGGTGAGACAAGACTTATTATTGCATATCCACACAAATCAAAGTTTTTGCTGGTGTATGAAGCACAACATGGCGCTGACAATGTGCTCTGATTTTCTTTTCACAGAGTGTCATGAACAGGATCCACACCATCACAGTGCCGTATGCTGTCATGAAAGCCTGCCCCATGTCCTGGGTTCAGAGGGTCCACATACATAAAGGTTCAGCCATCTTCTCTTATGTTCCATTTTTGTAAACTTAATTGTTTTATTTTTATTTTAAGTACATGTGTCTAACTGGTAGTAGAAATATGAAGCTCAAAGGGGGAAAAAAGAAACAAACACTTAATACAAAATACCGTGTAGAACTAGGGCTGCAAGAGTTGATGCATTCATCCCAAGGCAGTCAAGTTCCAAAAATTAGCATGTTAATTCATTTTTAATTGTGGGCCCTTTTGTCCCTCATAGCACACCATAATTAAGCTGCCACCATGATGGAAAATAACAACACCACGCTGCTTCTGAATGGCACATTTCACTTTTGTAATCCCCTCGACAGCTCAGTTGACAAGTTAAATGTAATATGCACATTGTTTCAAACAGAATTAGAAAATCACTCTGAGTTTGAACTGCCACCTATGAGCGACAGATGCAGCTCATACTGATGACTGATGTCTGAGGGAAAGCACATCACAAAAGCCAGCAGAGCACTGTTTTGAGGATGCAAATTACCACAGACCTGTGCATCAAACTAGATCAGAGATGTTAACAGCGCATACTTAATAGCCGACTGCAGTCCAGTCATCCTCAGGTTGGCATGTTGTTGTATGTCCTGCAGTATAGGGAACTATAGTTTCACACGTATAGGACATGTTCGAAACAGAGAAAGCAACAAAACTGGAACCTGAAAAGTGCAAATGCTGTTGCATTAACTCAGGATCATTTAGTAATTACAAAACCTATCCAAAGAACTATACACCCCATTAATACTTCCTGGACAATTTGTACCTCCATCACTGCTTACTCCTTCAAATGAACACGATTTCACAGAATGAGCACTTTGAAAATGTGAATGTCATTATTTTAGGCCACACCAGTGCAGCACTTTAGAATTTATTCAAATAATAAATCTAAAAGTACACTTCATTGTACTCTTACACTGGTAAGAGTTGCTTTATATTGTTGCTCTGAAAATGTTTTAAATCACAAAAGAATAGAATTAAAGATGTAATTGAAAATGTGGTTAATCACAGTGAAATACGAAAACACAGCTTTAAATCACAGTTGAAAAAAGTTGAGTGTTTGACAGCCCTATACAACATATTCCTCTTCTCCTCTTACAGCACGTGTGGCCTTGGTGAAGTGCCGAGACCTCCACTGGGCCATGATGGCTCACAAAGACCAGAGGGATATCAACCTGTCCTCCATACGTATGCTTATTGTGGCTGACGGGGCAAACCCATGTGAGTTACCTTTATGCGAAAACAGTCTTTTTGCAGCAGAGAAGTTTGAGTATACAGATGTTGTAAGATGATCTCTTTTCTGCTTTCTACCATGTTTTTCTCCCTTTACCTTTTCATCCAGGGTCTGTATCATCCTGTGATGCCTTCCTGAATGTGTTCCAGTCTCATGGTCTAAAGCCTGAGGTGATCTGCCCATGTGCCACGTCTCCTGAGGCCCTCACTGTGGCCATACGCAGGTAACACATCCAGACACTCACATGTTCCAGGAAAAGACGCCTAGATAGAAAATTGGTGCCGTTTCACCTCCCACAGAAGGCTCTAGAAAAAGTACTTCCCATTAACAATCAAGTTCTCTACTGCTTGTCTTTTCTGTCCTATGCAGGCCTGGTGCTCGAGGAGCTCCACTACCAGCCAGAGCCATCCTGTCCATGGGCGGGCTGAGCCATGGAGTGATCAGGGTCAACACAGAGGACAAGAACTCAGCTCTCACTGTTCAGGATGTGGGCCACATTATGCCTGGAGGTACGCCGTCTCAGCTGAGTTCAACCAGCAGACATATTTTTGTACTTTGGTTGACTTAAGCATTAATACTTCTGTGACATTCTCGTGTGTTTCAGCGTTAATGTGCATCGTGAAACCAGAGGGGCCTCCTCAGCTGTGCAAAACAGACGAAATAGGAGAGATTGTGATCAATTCACGGGCTGGAGGCACCATGTACTACGGCCTTCCTGGAGTCACCAAGAACACATTTGAGGTGGGTCATCTGCTAAAGTTCAGATGTCAACTCACTCACATCTGTTCTGCACACACTAATCTCTTGGTATAGGCGACTCTCTGCTCTCCTGTCATGAATTAAATTTACATTGGGGTCAGCTAAGGTCTATCCTCTACTCCTCACACAAAAGCAGCTCCAGAAAATGGATGATTGGAAAGAAGCGCATCTTTGTCATCCACTAGATGGAGTTGCTTCATTCCAGTATTTTTCCATTTTACATATTTTCCCATTTTCTGCAGAAAAGCTTTAAAAGATCCTTGTGAATGTTTTGTTCTGATCTGCAGGTGATTCCTGTCAACCAAGCTGGAGCACCCATAGGAGAAATCCCTTTCACTCGGACTGGTCTGCTTGGATTTGTAGGACCGGTAAGGCCACAAACACAGAAAAAAAAAAAAAAGGATTAAACTAGCCTGGAGATTTTTTGCTCAGCGCACTGTTTGTTCCACAGGGCAGTCTGGTGTTTGTTGTGGGGAAGAATGAGGGACTGCTGGTGGTGAGTGGACGTAGGCACAACGCAGACGACCTGGTAGCCACGGCGCTGGCGGTGGAGCCTGTCAAAACAGTTTACAGGGGGAGGTGAGACACTGACAGCTCCTCATGACCCTGTGTTTTTATGACTCTTGCTCTTGCTGTGTGTTTTTATGAATTGTGTGGGTTCTGATCTCTATTTGTTGTCATTCATGCAGGATCGCTGTGTTCTCAGTGACAGTGTTTTATGATGAAAGGATTGTGATCGTGGCAGAACAGAGGCCTGACGCCAGTGAGGAGGACAGCTTCCAGTGGATGAGTCGAGTTCTACAAGTAAATCAAAAATATCGTCTTACAAAATATTTATATTTGATCCCGTTTTCTCTTGGTTCCTTGCTTGAACACTCGGCAACCTTTTCCCTGAAAGACACAAACAAATATAACCATCTCTTTAGGCCATCGACAGCATCCATCAGGTTGGTCTGTATTGCCTGGCTTTGGTCCCCGCCAATACTCTCCCAAAAACGCCTCTTGGAGGGATCCACATCTGTGAAACCAAGCAGAACTTTCTAGAGGGAAACCTGCACCCCTGTAACATCCTCATGTGCCCACATACCTGTGTGACGAACCTGCCCAAACCTCGCCAGAAACAGCCAGGTAACCTCTAACCACATTTTCTGATGTTGTTGATAGGGCTGGGCGATAAAACAATAATGATATATATCAAAAATTAATTTTCCTCAATATTGATATAAAACATGGTCAGTATCCTTTTCGATAGTCGGCATTCTGACATGTTTTGGTAGACTTCACGAATAGTCAATGAGAGGGGGAGTTGCTCTGGGTCGCCTGCTCTGAACCAATCATATGCTGAATTAGAACCGAGTAGCAAACAACTGCGTAGTAGCAGGCTGCAGCTACACGCAACCATAGCACTTTAATGCATGAAGCCAACAGCACTGTCAGTGAGAGAAAAGAAAATGAGAGCAACCCCCAGCAGAAATGCAGATGAAGGCTCAACAGATGACGTCGTGGTGTGGAGGGTTTTTTCTTTTCTTTTATTTTTCTTTTTTTTGAGGTCGGACATGAAGCTGAGTTGAGTACATGTTAAATTTCATTTAAGAGTAACAGGGAACATTTAAGATTGAAAAGTGATTTTTTATATCATGATACATATTCACTGACATGAAAAAAATATATTGTGATAAACTTTTTCCCATACCGCCCGGCCCTAGTTGTTGATATCTATTATACTATTAGTTATTTTTTGTTTTATGCCCTCATGGCTCTCAACATCTTTTTTCCATTCAGTGGACGTCGGCCCAGCTTCCATGCTGGTGGGAAACTTGGTGGCAGGGAAGCGAATTGCCCAGGCTACAGGGAGAGAGCTGGGCGTGGTGGAGGACCAAGATTTGATCAGAAAGGTACAGTTTGCCACACAGACACAAAGATGATTCAAGATATAATCAGAGGCCTAGTGAAGGATGTAAACATGCACAACTATTTCTTATTGAGCCGGTTTATACAAAACCATCTGCTTGTCAGACCAGGTTAAACACAGAGGTAATACAGAATACTCTCTATTGTTGTACTTATGATTGTTATTCAGTCTGATACTGCTGCAGTTCTTAGTCTCTTTGTGTAAGACTGTTTTTAATCTGTTGATTGATGACTGGAACATTTTAGTATAAAAAACTGATGAACTGTAGAAATGTAAAATATGTGATGGTCTCAGATTGTTGGATGTTTGAGAGAGCAATATAATTTATCTCAACACCAGTATATCTTTGCTACTATTGGTCAGAAAACAAGAAATTTGATGACATAAAATTAAAAAGAAAGTAAACTAACCACAACTTATTTAGAATAATAATCTATGATTTCTTTTGGACCGATGCATAGTTCTGAAATAATCTGAAGTTCGATTCGACTCTGTCACCCTGTCCCTATCAGCTGGAACAGATGCTAATATGGAAATCTCTGTTATTGTCCTGCCTTTACTTTGCTTGAGTTGGGCTTTAGCTCTGTATGTGGCCCACCATGATGGTAAGGCTCAAGCCGGCCTAACCCGTCTTTGCTTCTGCTGCTCTGTCAGTCAGATGTGCTTCTGCAAGCGTGTTAGTCTGGTATCCAAATGCAACAGCTTTTGCGCGACACACAGAGAGGACTGCCCAGGCTGGGAGCTTGGCCAGCAGGGGTCAGCACACGTAAACTAGTCCACTGTCATATTTTATAGTTCATGGCATCCTTTAAGATGAGAGTTAGTAAGCAGCTAACTAGCTTTGCCAAAACAAGTGATTTAATGAAGTTCTCACTCAGTGGATGAACATTTTACTCTTTTTTAAATAAAGGGATTAAAGTGTAAACTTCAAGCACAGGACTGTTAACAGTCATGAATTCTGACTGTTTACATTCAGTGATTACATTGTGATCCACAATGTAATCCCAGTGCTGATATCTTTTCAAGCCTCAGAATAAAAGTAGAAATGAGGAACATTTTGGTGTGCACCTCTGCTCGCTGTGTTTACTTTGATGCTCCCATGTGAAGCATGGCTTGATGAGTGGTCGAGATAGCCAGTGTGCATGATATGACTGTCGACCTGTTGTCTGACTAATTGAAGCTCCCAACGTTGACTTTTATACGGTTGGCTTTTTGATATACATGTCTATTCTTATTTTTTGTCTCAGTACTTCTTCTGTCTCTTTTTATGTGTTGCCTTACGCTCACTTGGCTTCTGCCGTTAAAGGAAATCTTTACTTTCCTGTCTTGTCTTTCTTTATTCCTGTAAACCATTCCTTTCCCTGTGTGTCAACACAGCTGATCAAAAGGCTTGAGATACATTGATAGTTGCCCGTGCCTTTACTTTTAAAAATATGAAGTGTGTTGTTCCTTTCAAAAATATTCAAATAAACTTGAACTATTTTGGACTGAAAGCGGCTCTGTCATAGCTCTAGATAATTTCAGCCTCTTGTTTAAACGGGTAATAGCTTGATAGGTTGGACAGTGACATAAACTGCCTTCCACTAGGTGCAGATGGTCCCAGTGTGACTTTTGCACAGGGCTAAAGTTGTCTCTGGAGTTTTCCACTTGTCTGCTCGTGTGTCTCTGTGTCAGAGCTCAAAGGCTGCACAGATTCTCTGTGAGGTTCCTGAAATGGTTTCCTGTTTTCTGTCCCAAATAGTGTGTTTGAAATGAACAAATATCTCTAGTCACTGAGATGAGTGTTTATTTTGGCCAGTGGATGAAACATAATGTGCACTTCTTTTGACTGTAAGGCTTTGAGTTTCTACCTGCTGTCCTTCATATTTATCTGTTTACTGCTGTGGCAGCTTTTTCTTTTTTTTCAATCAATTGAACACATGTTCAAAGTTTTTCCACCATTAATGTCCATATGACAAAACCCTCTCTTCAACAGCACCAGTTCCTGTCTGAGGCTCTGCAGTTTAGAGCTCAAACCGACCCAGACCATGTCCTCTATGTACTGCTCAATGCTAAGGTAGAATATACACTCAAAGTTTGACTTCATGAATATGTTGATGGTAAAAAGAGTGTGTCATTAAGGGATACTGTCATAAACCATAGTTACCTATCTGGTCAGGTGTGAGTTCAGCTGTGTTTCCTCTCTCCTGTAGGGCGTGGCAGTGTGCACAGCCACATGTTCTCAACTGCACAAGAGAGCAGAGAAAATCACAGCAACTCTGATGGAGAGAGGTGGCCTCAACACAGGGGACAATGTGGTGCTGCTTTATCCCCCAGGTAAACACAGACATACAGCATACAAATCAAACATCAGTCATTGTCGTCCCCTTATTTCTGATTAGAAGATTCCTGTTTTTTTATTTTCCTGCATGACACTTCATAAGGTCTCTCTCTATCTCTCTTGTGTCTCTCCCTTTTTTCTCTCTCTCTCTCTCATTTTATTCTTGCAGGTATTGACCTGATAGCTGCCTTCTACGGCTGCCTCTATGCAGGGGTCATCCCTGTGACCGTGAGGCCACCTCACCCACAGAACCTGGCCGCTACCCTCCCCACTGTTCGCATGATCATCGATGTGAGTGTGTCTTTAAAATAAAAGATAACCCTCTGACAAACAGCTGAGCAAATTCTATTACTTAATGGGTGTCAGTCAAACCTTACCTCATATTTTGTATGGTAATGTACAAATGTAACTTGGGTTACACTTGAACTGACTGTTCTGCTACTGATCCTTATAGCCGAAGCAAATGAAAAAACTACCATTAACAAACATCTGTTTCTGAGCTGCACCTCAGTGAGACAGAGTTTATCGTGTTTTCTGCCCATCAAATCACTATTTTCATCTTTTTAGGTGAGCAAAGCAGCCTGCATCCTCACCACTCAACCTCTCATGAGGATCCTCAGGTCCAGGGAGGCTGCTGCCAGCGTCAATGTCAAGACCTGGCCCACCATCATAGATACGGGTTTGTTTGTTTACTTGATGGCCTTCATGACACATAGATATGCAAAAATACTTGAGACTCGAGTGTTTTTTTTTTTTTTTTGGGTGACAAACTGTCTCTTTTGCTTTAACCCATTGTTGAAACTAACATGACTACTCTTTGTAGTCTTGAATACTTAGATTACCTAACATTTCCTTTAGAAAAGGAGCCTTTAAATAAAATTGTATGTAGCGTTGAATTAAAACCACACTTAAAGCTTTTTAAATGTGTAGTAAACCTCCTTCAATTTACATCCTCTCATTGAAAAAATTAAGACAGATATGTTTAAGTTTATCTTGTATTTTGCTGTACAAGAAAAAAACTGACATCTTTCTTCTCACAGATGATCTCCCCAGAAAGCGGCCTCCACACATCTACAAACCCCCTACAGCTGAGATGCTGGCTTATCTGGACTTCAGTGTGTCCACCACAGGCATGCTGACTGGAGTCAAGGTAAAACACTCTCAGCACTCAATTATACAAAGGAGCAATCATAAATGTTATAATTGAAATGTCGTACATTGAAACAAGGTTTATGTTTTACCTATCTCAAACATTGTACTAGAAATGAGAGTTCAGAGTCTGTCTGATGAGAGCAGGATTCCACCTTTTTAGAGAGTCTCAAGGAATAAGTTCTTCTTTCTTCATCTGGAAAATGTCCCAGACCACCCCAATCCACATATTATAAATTGCAGGATCAGGTTTTAACCCCTTAATTGTGACGGATTTAATTGCAGCTGTTGTTAATCTGTAAGAGATACTTTCTAGCTTTGCAGTAAGGCCACTCTTGGATTTCTTTTAAGATTATGATGAAATACTGTCTTAAGAGCTTCAAAAACCTCCTCCCAAAATGTTCTTGGTTTGGTACATGCCCAGAGTGTGTGGGTACGGTTAGCAACTTGTGCACCACAATTTCTCCAGCATCTATTTGAATACATTAAGCCCATTTTGGCCACTATTTTTGGTGTTGGAATAATTCTCATTTTAACCTTCCGTTCAAAGTCCTTCCTTGTATTTGAGTTGCATATATCCTCCCGTTTCTCCTCTCATATGTGTGTTCATTTCAGTTTTCCATCTCCTTTTTACCAACAGCTATTTTTTAAATTAAAGATGTGTATGTAAATGTCAGTATTTCAATTTGACAGCAGCCTTTACAGTAAAGAGGATCAGTAAAGCTTAAACCTGATCTAGATTAATGAACATGTAAAAGGACTAAATGCACAGTATTTCATTTGTTTTATAGTCATGCTGTTTAATAATCACACCCATGATTCATTTTTTAAGGTACAGATATAACTGTCAAGGCTTTTGGGGTGAATGTCCATTTTTGAATTTTTAGCCAGAGATTTGATGAGTAATTCTGAGGGTGGCAGAAAATGTAAAAAAGTCGGCGTAGGCGAGTGATAATGCAGACGTAGATCAACATCGCTCAGTGAGATTAGCATGTAAAATGATGCCTGAAAAAGCGAGTTTGCTCACACTGCGAAGGTCTGATAAAAGCACACAGCGTTTGTTTTAGAGTTTCTACCTGTTTTCTCTCAGATGTCTCATGCTGCAATCAGTACTCTGTGCCGGTCCATCAAGCTGCAGTGTGAGCTCTACTCTTCACGCCAAATAGCCATCTGCCTGGACCCATACTGTGGCCTGGGCTTCGTCCTGTGGTGCCTCTCCAGGTAGCAAAAGCACTAAATATGTATCACACAACCTTTCCTTTAAAACGATGCATTGTTGATGCGTTACCTGTCTTCTTTTTTTTGTGTGTGATTCTGCAGCGTTTACTCAGGTCACCAGTCCATCCTTATCCCTCCCCTGGAGCTGGAGTGCTCGCTGCCTCTGTGGCTGAGTACGCTCAGTCAGTACAAGATCAGAGATACCTTCTGCTCCTACTCGGTCATGGAGCTCTGCACCAAAGGCCTGGGCACCCAGACAGAGATCCTGAAGGTCAGCATCACACCCAAACGCTCTTAAAATAAAACTGCTGCATTTGTTTTCAACACAGTAACACTCCACTAGTGTAAAACTCACAGGCGTGTACATTTCACCGCTTTAAGAAAAGATGCAGGTGTGGAAAGCATTTTAAGACATTTCCTGAAAAGTGTTTCTTTGTGGTTAGGGTCTAATTTTGGTGGTATTTGGGGTAAAAATACCACAATGCTGAGTTCTTGTTCGTAAAAGCCTCAGTCTAAGCTTCGTGGTTTCTAGTGTCAGTAACTCTTTGCTGTGTGTCTCCAGGCACGAGGACTGAATCTGTCGTGTGTGCGTAGCTGCGTGGTGATAGCAGAGGAGCGTCCTCGCCTCGCTCTCACGCAGTCCTTCTCCAAGCTCTTTAAAGATCTGGGCTTGTCACCACGCGCTGTCAGCACTGCCTTTGGCTCCAGAGTCAACCTGGCTATCTGCCTACAGGTCAGTTGTACACAGACAAACCCTCCCGTACTGGCTTTTGCTGTTGTCTGTTAGCATACACATATCTTTATTTTGAATTTTGAAACTTTGTTACTTTTCACCAGAATTGTTTTACGATTTAACTCAATTGGTAATCATTTTTTAAAAACAGTGAATAATGAATGAAAGTCTGAATGTGCCCTAAAGCTCCAGCTTTTCTTAATCTCTGTCAGGGCACTGCTGGTCCAGACCCCTCCACTGTCTATGTAGACATGAAGTCTCTGCGGCACGACAGGTAAGAATGGAAACAACGGTGGGCATGGTCAATGGTGTGTTAACCGTGGAACAGAATATTTAATATGCTGTATTTTGCTCCTGTTCATCAGGGTGAGGCTGGTGGAACGAGGAGCACCACAGAGTCTTCCTCTCATGGAGTCAGGCACTGTAAGTCTTGATCCCAGACTTGAAACACATCATTTATGTCATTCTAATACTAGAGGAAGAGTGTGGAAATATTGATATTGATATTGTGCTGAATGTAAGCACACAGCGATACCCTGAGTTCATTGTAGTGAGTCTTTACTCTGGTGGCATGAATTGAAAGAGAGGCGAGAATAAGTATCTGATATCGTGACAAAAGTCAAGTCTCTAATAATACATGATGTCCTCAAAGATCCTTCCAGGAGTCAGGGTCATCATCGTCAACCCAGAGACAAGAGGCCCGCTGGGAGACTCACATTTAGGGGAGGTAAGTGGCGACGAGGAAAGCAGCAAATAAATCAGCTCTTTACATTTTGATCAGATTATTTTTTAAACGTTTCGCTCAGATTGAAGAAAATATTTGTTTCTGCTCAGATCTGGGTGAACAGCCCACACAGCGCCAGTGGCTACTATACAATCTACGGGGAAGAGAGCCTGCAGGCGGATCATTTCAACACCAGACTCAGCTTTGGGGACCCCCAAACTCTGTGGGCCAGGACAGGCTACCTGGGCTTCATCAAAAGGACGGAGCTTCTGGATGCAAGTGGAGGTGAAAGAACACAAAGGATGATGTCAGAGATTTGTTGTGAGCTGACGCATTGAAAGAGTTTAACATAACTACTGTTGTTATACGCACACATTACAACATGGACTTCAGATTAAGTCCTGGAGAATCTATGAAGGTAAACCTGGTGGTTAAAATAACCAAAGCAGTGAGAGCGTCAGAGGATTTGCTCTCAGAGATACAATACAAGCAGAAATGTCAAATGAATAGACATGACAAACCTCCGTCTCTACATAGACTCTCTCATTACCCAGTGCTTAATAATAAATGACTATAAACCATTACTAACTCCTGCTCTTTCTCCCATAGATCGTCATGATGCCTTGTTTGTTGTGGGCTCCCTGGATGAAACATTGGAGTTAAGGGGCCTACGCTATCACCCCATTGACATTGAGACATCTGTGTCCCGAGCCCACCGCAGCATTGCAGAAAGGTGGGCTTCTTTGATAAGAACTGGTGTTTTTTTAAAAAGTATATGAGGCAAGATTACATTTGTTTGAAGCACAAGTACAAAAATGTGAAAAATAGCCTCAGACAGAATAGAAAATTCAGAAACAGGTTTTTAGTAAACGAAACTTCATGTTATATTCAGGGGTCTTTTCAGCTTCAGTGGATCTATATTTTACAAATGCAATGACAGGGAAAGTACAGATGTTTGTTAAAGTCAAACTGTAGTTTGAGTACAGCTATTGGAGGTATTTTGACCTCATTATTGACCCTTTACTGGATTAATTTTTATTAAAGGCTAAAACACACAGGATCCGTATTGAGCGCAAAACGTCAGCAACGCGTATCACGCAGCAAATAGGTTGCCAGTCTAATCAATGCAGTATCGCATACAGGAGGCATATCAGCTCCGTCGCTCCATATCAGAAGCGTATCAAGAGCAGCACTGCTAAAGATACGCGTCAAGTGTATTTTTGCTGCTCTACACTTCCAACATGCGCCAATCCAAGAGAAGATCGTTCTAGACAGGAAGTCATGCATGAAAACCGCGCATGTCATCTGGTATTTCAAAATAAAACACCATATGGGGACTGTATCAGTTTGTGTAGATGAGAAATACTTCCTGGTTATGGATTTATCAGTAACACAGAACAGAACTGCTAACTCTGTCTGAAGGTAACAGCACAGCATAAAGGAACATAGATTACTTTATTAAACACGAGTAAACCTGCAAAAACAGAAACTGTAAATTTATGTTGCTTTTTCACATATAGTAGAGGCTCAACAGTCACTGAATTATATCCAAATTAGCAGGAAATAGACCATAAAAAGGCAAAACAACCTGTTGTGAGCATGTTGTTTCCTCTATACTGAGCCCAGCTGACCAGGGCTGCACTACGCTGCTGCTACCCTCCAAATACGCATCCTGTATGTGTTAACCAATGCTGCTCTAAGGAGCAAATACAGAACGCGCTCAATCCTGTATGTTTTCGTCTTTACACACTCCCTGAGAGATGGCCATACCTTCTAGTTGACACGTGTGTGATCTCTTCCTTCACAGTGCTGTGTTTACATGGACCAACCTCCTGGTGGTGGTGGCAGAGCTGAGCGGCTCGGAGCAAGAGGCCTTGGACCTGGTTCCACTGGTGACCAACGTGGTCCTGGAGGAGCACCACCTCATTGTCGGGGTGGTAGTCATCGTGGACCCCGGGGTGATTCCCATCAACTCCAGAGGAGAGAAGCAGAGGATGCACCTGCGGGACTCGTTCCTGGCAGACCAGCTGGACCCCATCTACGTGGCCTACAATATGTGATCGCCCTCTTTGAACTGATGCAGAAACCTGGGCCAGGATCTAAGGACAGACATGAGGGAGAAGAGCACAGGGGTGCGTTCAGGAGCAGCTCCCCTGTGTAAACTTCAGACACGCGTTGAAAACACCAACAATGCGGGGAAAACAAGTGCAGTGCTGTTACTGTGATGAGACATGCTCCTCTCTTAGAGACCGATCCTTCTTAACTTCCACCTGCTCAATCCCTGCAGATCAGGATCACTAGATTACTATGGAGGGGGAAGGGTACTTTCTCCCCTCTCTTTTAGATCCATTTATCAGCCGGAGGAAATATGATCTCCATCCTCTCTGCGCATCACTCCCTCATAGCTCCATGTCATGTTTTTAAAGACATTTTCATAACAAACTCAAGTCAAAGAAAGAAATTCCCTCTTCCATTCCTTGATTTCATCCATTCATCTTTGTGCGCTTGTTATTTCTGTTCTAACCCCCCCCCCCCCTCGTATCTTGAAGACATGATAGTGCACTGGAACTGCTGAGGGGAGCTGGAACTTTCCCCTCTTGCACTTTAAGTCCTCGCACCTCTGAGTCCACTTCCTGTCTCGCCTGCCTCCAGGGGACAGCCACTCATGTCGGCTGCTTTCACCTGAGCAAATCCACATCAGTATTAAACGGTGCCACCGCAGAGAGCAGCCCACAAAGAGGCGAACCTGACGTAATACATCCCCATTCAGTGCACCAGGTGGCTTTCACCTTCCATCACATACTGTACTGTACTCAGCAGCTGTACACAGGCTGTGGGTAATCAATGAGTCCCCAAAACAAACGTGTGAATTATTTTCAATTTGGGAAAAGAAAGACTTAAAGATGATCAGTGTAGAGAGGAGTGGGACCATAAGATAGTTCTTCAAATTGTGGAATACTAATAAAGTTTTTTAAAAGCATCAATTGACGGATTTAGGTATGCAGGCTAACTTGGTGTGCAGGTAATATGAACATGAAGGCAAAAAGGAAGCAAATGTAAGTTTTGATTTGGTAACTTTACCTGACAATGAAAAAATCTCAACTTTAAGGTGTTCCTCCTCTTTTCTCCCAGAGCTTTAACCATATCACATGGTCTACATTAGCAGATAGAGCTGAATGTCAAACATGTGATGTTTACTGTACAAAAAAAAAACATGGATGAGATTCAGTGACGTCTCCCACCGGGGTCTGGAGAAGTGTTGTGAAGTGCAAAGATATTGGAAACGTGGTCTACAGCCAAGTTCCAATAAAACCAGAAACTAGCACCGGAGTGGAGTCAAGGGCCACTGCTTTGCCCTCTGGTAAACAGCACTCAAATCAGCCGTGCCCCTTAGTGTGCCTCATTGTGCATAACTCCCAGCCACTATATCAAAGCAGATGAGTTACAAAAAACCTGCCATACAAGTAAAGAAATTAGGAATCAGGCTACAAACATGTTCGGTTGTGCTCTATGGATGTTTTATCAAGAGCTGTTGGAGCAAGCCTCATGGACACTTCGGAAAGTGAAGTCCTTTTGCATCACTGGAGGTCGCTTCTGATCATATTAGGGGTCTAAAAGTTCAAACATCCACAGCGCTACAGACTCTGTCTTTAAGGACAGTTTTAGTGATGGGTTCACACTGAGTTGAGATTTTTTTTTTAAGCAAGTGATCAGTCTATAAAGAAGCACGGAAAAGCATCTTTCATGTATGTGAGCAGCTGATTAGATACATGGAGATCATCAGAAGGCAGGACAGTGCCTTTTTTAGTACACCATCCTCACAGTGATGATTATGGACCGTGGAATTTATTACTACCAAATATCAAGATAGAGGACAAAACTTTGCCTTACTAAACCTGTGGAACTTCAGTGCTTTTAATGCATAATCTCTCATCCCAAGCTGATTGAAAAATACACCACTTCTTACCACTGGAATCAGCTGAAAACATGCTCATATCATATTTTTTGAAGGAAGAGGGTCTGTTTTGTTTTGTTTTGTTTTTTTGCAAAGACTTGTGGTCATGCCTTTCTCATTTCATCATTACCATTAAACCCAATTCTTCCTGAATGTCAAAAACAGTGGAAAAAAAATGTAGGAATGAAAAACAATCATTTAGCAACCCCTGGTTTGAAAATGACAAAACCTCCTGCAAAAAAAGGAGGTTCTAAAAGAGGGTCTGGTTTTTGTCTGTATACTGTATTTTAGAGGTCAGATACTGTATTACTGGTGTTGATGTGTACATGGATATGAACTCTGTCCATCAAAACTTGACTGATCTTTCATACTTGACAGCATTTTTCTGCATTGTTTATTTATCACATCGCAAAAAGAGAAAAAGGTTTCCGATTATTTTGGCAGGAACAATGTGCACTTTCCCAATATCATTTTTTCTGTGTGTGTGAGAGCGTGTGTGTGAGTGTCAAGGTGATATTTGGCTTTTCTGGTGCAACAAAGTTTGTCTTTTGTAAGAAAATGATCCCAGATTATTAAAACATTCTTTTTTATTATTTGTATTTTTATGTCGCCTCCACTGTATTTGAATCCTTTCCATAAAAATTTGGAATCAGATATATTTTATAGGGATTTCATCTTTTTTTTTCTGATGTAAACGTTCTTTAAAACTGCACATTTCTTCTGCAAAACCTGGTTTGATTTAGAAACAGCATGTCAATAAATCACTGATGACATGCGAGAAGCCAGTAGGAAGCCATGTGGGGCAGGTAAGAGTTCATCCTAAAAAAACTAAGTGAAGCTTCTGAGCTACTGTGTGTGATATCTGCTTTGTTGCTTTTGTTTCACTCCGACAAGTTTGAATAAAGTTTTATAATTTCATGTTGGCCTTCAAGCCTTTTCAATAGACATTGGTGCTATTTAATAAGGAAAAGTTTGCAGACTTTTGACCTCCAATGTCACAGAAACTTTCTTCCTGGACGCCCTTATTGTGTGAAAATAAATAAAATCTATTCCCATGCCATCATTTTAAACACCCATTTCTACTTTTGGTTTTCCTTCAGTGGTTTTCATCATTTTCCAATATTTGATGAAAACTCTCATCATGGACAATCCCACCTCCCCTTTTCCATATTTATTTCTGTCTTTTCAGTTGTCGTGTTGTGAGGAATGACAATACATTTTAAACCTCCAAAGTTATTCTAAGCACAAAATGTAAACGACCATGTGAGGTTATAAAAATTAGGATCTATATCACACAAATAAAATCTCAAGGGCCCACAATGTATACCTCAACAACTGTCCGCTCACTATGCATTGTCAAGCTGCAGGAAAGACATTCTGAACTAGTCAATGGTGCGATAACTTCTAACAACATGTCTTACTTGACAAAAACACTGTCACACTGTCATTGGATGTGTTTCATGTCAAATAAAAAAGTCCTTTGTCAGAAATTCTTCTGCTGTTTCTTGTTCTTTTTAAAATTCTTTCTAGAAGATTCAGGAATTGGCTGCTGCATTAAAGGAAAAAAATGCAGCTTCTGTCCACTAGGTGGCAGTCAAACTTCATCTGAAAACCTGAAATGAGCCACCCTATGATGTCATCACGGGCCCGTTTTTGGGTCAGTTTTGAGCAAGTTTATGCACAAATATTCACCCTCTCCAATAAAACTTCTGACCAACTGTTTTCTAAAATAAATTGTTCAATTTCATCCACAATCATTCATATTTAATTCTAGATGGACCAAAACTTCTGACAAATATATCACAAGGTAACAAGAGTCTTACTGGCTGGCTGTTAAGTGTTAGCACCAGGCAGAAGTGGGACCAACAATCAGACCACACCTGACTGAGTGGATAAATGAATTGTTTATCCAACTGTTCAAAAAAAAAAAAAAAAAAACCCAGGAAGATTAGAATGAGTTAAAAGGTCAAAATATCCTGAAAGCTCGTCCAGAGTGTTACCAACAGGGTAGATAACGAACTGGCAGGGAGTGAAGATTCATACTGGATTTTGAAGCTGCAACAGTCATCAGTGGTGGCTGATGAGCTGATGACTAACAGGTGTGTAAATGGCACAGGTGAGTTGATTAGAGGAGGTGCCCAGCCCACACTTACAAAGACAAGAGAAAACAGACGACACAAACTCAGGAAAAACAAGGGACAGACACTGCAGGTCCTAACACTGACAGGCAGGTTGTTAATTGGTTTCGAATTTAATATGTGAACTTTACATTATTTAGCAATCTTTGTTATATAGTATACCTATTAACACTCACATTATAACTAACAATTATTTGACCATGATATGAATTATGGTTGTGTGGTAATGAATTTAGGTTGTAAATTCATTTGAAAAGTGATTGTATGGTTGACATACTAATACAGACATCCCCTTTTTTGACTTGTTATCTAACTAAATAGTCTAAGACACTAGTTTAGAAATAATCCCTTTAATTTGGGGTAAATGTGGTTGTCCATGTTCATGAGGGTTGGAAAACTTTTTGAGAGGGTGAAGGCTGCTATTTCTCATGACACAGAAATGTAAAAACTGTTGATACAATAATGTAAGGCACTGGTTCTCAAGTCCAGTCCTCGAGCCCCCTTGTCCTGCACGTTTTAAGTGTTTCCCTGCTCCAACACACCTGATTCAAATGATCAGCTCGTTATTGAGCTCTGTAATGGCTTAATAACGAGCTGATCATTTGAATCAGGTGTGTTGGAGCAGGGAAACATCCAAATACATGCAGGACAGTGGGTGTTAGAGGACTGGACTTGAGAACCGCCGATATAAGGCATTGGCAAAGGGTAAAATGAACTTTGCTGAAGCCTATTTGTTAAACTCAGAATCCAAGGGAAGAACCAGAATGTTTGATCTTCAAATCTTTGCTCAAATCTTTAAAAACTACAAAAGAAAACAAATGTGTATGTCCAAAGTCAGAATTAAAATATTAGCAAAAGGATCAATCGACCAATATTAATAAATGCAGAGAGGGTCAAACTAGAAGTCACAGAAAAGCGCTTGAATAAGCACAGCTCAGAAATAGAAAATCAGGTTGCTTCAATTTTGGGTAAAATTAGGTTGAATAACAGCAAGATTTCCCTAATTTCACCTGAGTAATTGGGTAGGGAAGCTTCTTCCAGTCTACACCACAAGTTTTAATGATTTTTCTCACATATATTACCTTCATTGATCACACAATAATCAAAGGTGAAAAGTGAAGGCTTAGACTTTCATAACTCTGATCAGTTCAAATAGGCAATGTAATGTGTGTGTTTGAGAATTTTCAACTTATCAGTTCTTATGACTTCTGGGTGATAGACCTTTTTCAAATAAGGCCAGTTTGGATTGGTTAGGAGAAGCCTCCTCAGCTGCCTGTTTGGCTTCACCTGAGATCATGAAACCTCAATTTACTGCTGTGAGACACTTGTTTGTAACTTTATGTAATGTTTCTCTGATGAGTAAAATGCAATTTTTTGATTTATTCATAGTTGTTAGCAGGTGGTTTGACAGCACTTCCCTGACCTTTTAGCTTGGCACCGCTTTTTGCACGTCATTCAAATTTGCTAACTTAGCATGAGCTCCACCTTAAAAAATGGTATTAGCTTCCAAAAACAAGGCGGCACTGGCCAAACATTGCTCTGTCCCTCAAACCGATCATGTTGCCATGGTGGCACATAATCCTGAGTTTCTCCAAATCACTCATTTGGACAAAGTGTAGGATTGTTGTTTTAGTGCTGGGGGAATAAATTAAAAGATGAATAAGGATAACACAAGCATGGGCACCATTAGCAAACATGAGATCTGAGTTTGTCTTTGTGTTCAATGATTCATTTATTAATACACCATCCTTGATTGTGTGATATCAGCCACAGAAAAGCACATAGGCAGCATGAATTAGTTTATTTTCTAATGTATCCAATCTATCATTTGAACTGAAATACTTGTTTGTGATTGTTTGTGGGTCATGAAACTGGTGACCAAAATTTTAAACTGATATGCATTGGCTGTAAAAATGAAAATCTTGCTGTTTATATCTTTTGAATCAGGAATATTACACCATCCGACACACATTTTGATTTAAATTGAGCAGATGGGTAACAAAAAAAAAAAGAAAAAAAGAAGAGGAAAAACTTCATTGATGCCTGAAGAGAAATTCAAATGTTACGTTTAGAGTCATATAGTTTTCATGGTTGAAGTACAACAGGGACGACCAAAGGTGCCACTGACTTGAAGTATTTCACTATTACTCATGTGGCATCTAGCCAATGGGATAATGTTGTGAGTGGTATATAAGGCCATTCAGAGCGGTGAGTGAAAACAGACCCAGAGGGAAAGACACATCCTGTGAAGCAAAAGTAGCACACTTTATAGTTGGTTGATTTGATCGGCAATTAGTAAATATAAAACACTGATAAGGGTGATGATTGTGTTTTGGCTGATAAGCTCTTAAATCCTTGTTTTCTTGTCCAAATATTACAACATATAAGTCCACAAGAGGAATAACTAAATCGGCTCTTTTGCAGGCTTGTGTAAACAAAGGTATACACTGGCAGTATTGACCCAGTATACAGTCAGTGTGACGTTCCTTGTTGTCTTTATGAGAAACCTTTCCCGGGACAGCTTTGAAGAGTTTGTACTGAGGGAGGAAATCCAAACAATCCCTATCATTGGATCTACTGCTCTTAACTGTTGGCTAACACTTTGTGCAGTGAAATGTGGAGCTCCCACAAACCGCAGAGGAGCACTGCACCTTTGACTCCATTAAGTTAATACTCTTAATGACAAGTCAGGCTATGTCTTAAGTTTCTTATGGCCAAAGTTCTTTGTGACTCAAGAGAAGACAGTGAAGCTGAAATAAAATTATATGAGGCACACAATCCTCAGAGAATTGTGAGGTTGAATTTCAGCTGTATTCATTCACACAAACTTATAGACACAGAAATACACACAGGCATGCCCACCTCACACACATTACATAATGGCAAAAGACAAGGGGCAGGTGGCCAGATTAAGCTGACTGACGATTTGCATACTAATTTATGCTATTGTAGAAGAGACACTGAGGTAGAGGTCTGATGAAAACACCAAATGAAATAATTTGAGGAGAGAATGCTCCATTTTTTTTATATCTAGCTGATATATTTGTGACATGGTCAGGATAAAACCTTTACCTAACATTTAATTCCCTCGGCTAAAATTCAGGAGTTTTCTTTCATTTTGATCTGTTTTAAAGACTGGAGACATAAATGATTTCTTCCTCTTTCTATATCTGTGTCTGACTGAATGCTCTCAGCCTGACAGCCAATAAATTCCTGCACTACAAACTCACCCCGCTGAACACACAGTGAGCCAATGCGTTCAGAAAAAAAAAAGCCTTGCGCATCTTTTCTGTGCACACTCTCATCCAGGCTCATCTCTGAGCCAGGGGAGTCTTTATTTTGTGAACCACTCAGGGGGGTGTGAAGGCTGCAGGCCTAAATGACCTTTAGGATTTTGCCAAGCGCACTTGCCGACACTCCCTTACATTCTGCTGAGAGTCATCAATTATGCAGGGAAACTGCTCGCACTGAGGGGGAAGATAGCAGCAACAATATGGCGACAACCGCAGTTTCTCCCCAATCTTTTTCACATCTGCAGTCCTACTACGGCTTCCCGGATTCATTGTAACGCTGACAAAGTGAGTATCCTTTATTTTTAATCGCTTGAGAGGTCGATACGGCTGTTGTTAGGTTGAGGTGGATTGTCTCTCCGTCGGTATCCTTGCGTAAATGTCGCAGAGCTGCACACTGCCCCGCGTCTTTTTTTTGGAGCGGATGGAAGAGGGTGTCTGCGTTTACTGGGTATCTTTCGGCAGAAGGAGAGCGGGGAAAATCAAGAAATGATCAATCAATTGTCGTCGATAGGAAGGTATTTATCGGATTAGGCCCATTTCTTAATCAAGCATTGTTTCGATCCTTCGCGAGAGAAAATGCCCCGTTTGGGGTAGGCATCAGGAAGGGCGCAGTCTCACCGTGTCCGCCCAAAAAGGAAGGATTTAGGATTTTCCCTAAATTTTGGGCGTTATTTTGGTTTTATACACCCTACAGACAGAGGGATGATTCACTGAAAACACCATGAGTCTTCGGAAAGGAGGCTGATGCTATGTAAGTAGCCCGATCCCCCTTCCATCATCAATAACCACGAAATTTACACCCCTAGCTGATTTTTTTTTTGGCGTGGCAGTATCATCATCGCTGTCTTCTTGTCGTTTTGTTTGTCTCCGCTCGTCTTGTGTGCAGATTTTGTGTTTATGTCACACCGCTGAGCAGCTTCGGTCGTTCTCGGGGTTTCTTCATGCACAGATAGAGCCCTTATTGATTTGGCAGTCGACATGGCTTCACGGGTGTGGTGCAGATCATTCAAGGCAACGCGCAAAAACGCACAAATATCTCGGATTAAAGATAGATTTTGACACATTCTTCGCTGAATAACAAGAAGCAACATCTTGTTGTTATTCCTTTCGATAGATCGACCTCTCTCCTGTGACTTTGACATTTCTACGATAGCGTTTGCTACAGCGTGACATTTTCTCCATACAAACCACCCACTGCACCAATGGTACCTTAGCCAATTTAGTGGTAGCGGGCCACTTCTTTGCGCAGTATAACCTCCTGCTTCTCCCCCACTGTGATCGTGCTGGACTTTATTATTTTTAATCTTGTATATAGAGGGGGGCAAAGACGCACATAATGGCGTCTGCAGGCCCTCCTTCTCAATTAACAGCTTTGGTAAACAAGTTTCCAATACTCGCCCTGATTTTGGAGACGAGAAAACGACTGTGCAGATGCCAAAATGTGCCAGGGCTTTCTATCAGGATATGATTGTATAAACAAGCCTGGATGCAAGCTGGAGACTTGGACACAGGTAGACCGGTGCTGTCACCGTGACTTGATAACACTAAAGGAGGACTAGAGGATGAACTGTGGGCCTACAGGCGTCGAGAAAGAGAGAAGGCCCGGTTTACATGCACAGACAGATCGGTGATGATATGTTCTTTTATCATCTCTGCATGCTTTCGGTCGTGCATATGTATGTGCATGTGTATATGTCTACGTGTGTGCGCGCTCGTGTGGTGCTGAAGCGGACAGCGCCAGCAGAGTAGCAGAAGGCTCAGTGACTGCGAGGTTCCGGGGTCCATTTTAAAACAGACGTCTTGGCTCACAGGCTGCATGTTTTCATGTGTGTGTGTTTAAATAGCGTTTGCTCTGTAACATCAGCCCATGCAAGAGAAGAAGGGGGAAGGGACAAGCGTTGTGATTCAGATACACTTGATTGAAGTCCAATTCCGCTGCTTCCTCCTCTTCAGGATTAAAACAGAGCTACATGTTGAAAAGGATCCACAAAATCAAAGAACTCCAGCCATACATCCATAGAGTTATATCTCCTATCAGATGTGTCTATGTTCTGGTAAACTCCCCTGTCTTCCAGCTCTATCTTTCATCAGTGTAATGACCCTGAAGTGTCCTGAACAGTTGTCATGTAACCATCATGCCCTCCTTACATCTAACATCATCCAGAGAAGGTTCTTCTGAGTTCTAGAGCCATTAGGTGTGCCTGGCTGTCTGTTCACCTCCCACCAGCTGTTCAAAAAATCATAAGACATAAAAACCCAAATGGGTCTGCTGTCATGTCAGAGATTTGGATGCAAGATCTAGAGAGTAAGAGGAAATATTGGCTTGCATACTTTTTTACAAAGTACAGAAGTCGGCATTAGTAGAAATACAAAAGACAAAATATTGGTCTGTATGAAGACATTGAAAGGTAATGAGATTTATGACAAAATAAGTATAGTCAAAAAGGACAAAATTACAACAAGAGAATAGAAATGACTGCATTATAATATGTAAACAATGTAAAGTCATATCACTGTAAACTGAAAATAAGTGGAGTATTGTTAAGTTATTTCATCAATGGTTTGTGACATCAACCTTTGCCAGTATTAAGCAGAGTCGTTTGTCATATCAATCTAAGGGATCTGGGCTTCCTTATAATTCATGGCCAATATAATCAGGTTAATACTGACCTCTCACTAATTTACTGATGTCATTGTATACATTTGAGGATACAATTGATGTAAGGTTTTGTAATTTGGAAATCACTGATTGTGTTAATTTACAAACTAAGGTCAGACTTGAGTTGCCCAGATGTGCTCCACAACTCAAAGTACACATCTAGGACCCCATATTGATAATAATGGTGTTTTTCCTATCCACAATGGGTTTCAGTATTAACCCTCTTGTATTGTCAGGAAACAGTATTGTATTTTTGAAATGATAAACCATCAGGTATTAGCTGTCTGAATTATATGAATAAGCGACATACAGAAGACTTTTAAGGATAACAAGATTTTATTTATCCCAGAACGGAAATTCAGTGTGATAAACTTTAGTCTCGATATATCAAATGTATTGTACAAAAACTGTATTATACACTCTAATTAAAGTTCATTTTCCACTTAAGTATAATCCTAAACCTTACTAAGCCGTTAGAATAAATCAGCTGTCAGTGTTATTTTAGGTGACCACTTCAGAAAAATCTGTAATATTTCTATTTACTCACTTAAGACAGAGACGAGGGAGTAAGAGAGAGAGAAGAAAAGAGAGGTTTATTTTGAAGGACACAAATTTACCATCCAAACATTTTTATTGTAGCTTCAGGCTGTTATCTGCTGATCTTATTTTATTTGATTTTTTTTCTCAAAATCTGTTCTGAAATTATATATGTACATAAAGTAAACGTTGCAGAGGGTAAGCGGTAAAAAAACAAAAACAGTCATTTGTAAAGGGAAATAGGATGTGTTGAGGAAGCAGCGACTTCATCTATCTGATCATATTTACAGATGCTGATTTCATTTTCCATTCTCCAAACCATTTTCTGTCAACATAACAAAATCTGTAAATAAGAATGTGTTTACATGATAGATACAAGCATCCTGGCGCAAATCATCCCGCCGTTGCTTAAGTCACCTCTCCCAAACCTCTTCGTATACAGGCTAAAAGAGTTTTCTAAACATGCCAGGTTAGTGGTCTAGGATAGAAATATTGTAGGAGTTGGGTTGACTGAACTCTTTCTGTGTGCCCCTCTTGCAGAACGACTACAGTGGATGGTACAAACTAAAGACCAAGTAGCTGCAGGATGAAAACATGGCTGCACCCCTTCTTGCACCGCCAGGACCTGATAGCTTCAAGAAGTTTACCCCAGAATCTTTGGCGGCCCTTGAGCAACGCGTCAATGAGGAGAAAAACAAGAAGCCGCCCAAGCAGGACAGCAGCTACCGTGATGACGATGACGAGAACAAACCCAAGCCCAACAGTGACCTGGAGGCTGGGAAGAGTCTGCCCTACATCTATGGGGACATCCCTAAGGGAATGGTGGCGGTACCACTGGAGGACCTGGACCCATACTACGTGAACTCTCAGAAGGTGAGTTCACAGAAACACACAAACACACACACACAAACATATGTGTGGCAATATTGTCAACGAACATTTATTGGAACTGTTTAAAACTACTCCTGATCGGGGCTGCTATTGAACATCTGTATTTTCTGATACCATCCAAAATGTTTCCAGTTATCCTGAAGATCATCAAAATTTGGTAAAAATATTTGCTCAGATCAAATTGAACAGCCACAGATGAAATTTAGTTTCCTTTGGTGCTTTTGTTGCAGACTCTCAAACAGTATTCAGCTCATTTTATAAATGGTGTTTGTCCCTTTACCTCAGGTGTCTTAAATCTCAATCCATGCCTTCATGTTGTGTCTAATATTGCACCTTCATTGATAGATACAAGTGAAAATGTGACATGATTGCGTCATATCAGAACCAATTTCTTATGCCTGACATGTTTGTCTCTTTTAGTCGGTTTAACCAGAATTCTCTGGGATTTCTTTTGCAGTAATCAACAACACAACCCGACTTTTCTGTTTGTTTGTTTCATTTCATATAGTTGTATTTGAAGCTGTGGTAACAAGTACTTTTGACCCCCACCCACTATAATTGAGCAGCGTACACACCCCTTTTGCTGTTAAAGCACGCAGGCTGGTATTCTTGGACATTGGCTGAGTCCGAACATACGTCCTGTGATAGTCAGATGATGAGTAGCCTCATGATGTCAAAGTGAGTCATCCATGATGGCAGGAGCTGACGCAGACAAAGGAGAGACGACATGTGCTTTGAGACGCTTGGCTTCCAGGTGTGCCGTGTTTACAGTTATTGTATTTTCATGATTACATTAGAGGCTGTAATCATGTTCCCCTTTTTGAAAACCTTTAGGGAGTGTAAGAGTCAAGCCGGTGAGCTGTTGAGTACAGTGTTTTCTTATCTCTGATGGGCTCACTGGGCTTTGGGGAAAAGGTCAGAGTAAGTTACCATTGAAAGACTGTTGTTCCACATGACAGACTTTCTTAATTGTTTAAGAAATAATCTTTGACAGAAGAGAAAGCAGCAGCAGCAGCAGCAGCAGCAGCAGCTCAGGGGGACTCTGGATGTCTTATTGGAGACATTTGTCTCTCTGGGGTTTCTGTCACGCCTGTCTTGCTGTTTAAGGACAGCCAGGTGACCTTGAGAGTGTCTGAATATCACCTGTCAACTAAAACTGTGAAAGGTGGCTGTTTATATTTTTGATGACTGTCTAGCTCTCGTTGGATTGATCAGCCTCTGTCCAAAATGACAAAGGTGAAATGAGGACTCAGGAAATCTATAAACTAGCTAAAGCCCTTTGAAAGAATCTGGTGCATATATAAAATATGATCCTCCTGTATTCTGAGATTATTTCACAGTGTGAGACTGGCTCTTACTTAAAAAAGAAGCATAAATATTCATCGTAGTTCGACTGTCTTTACCTCCAGAATTGATCAAGGGTGCTCTGAGGTTAGTGTAATACTGATGTGTTTTTAAACAGAGTGGAGCAGAAAGACTAAAATCTTCCATCATGTCATATTTTGCCTTTTTTCTAAAATAATTATGTAACAAAATTGGCAGTTTAATCCAAAATGGTCTCCTCTGATCACATTTATATCAAGTACTGCTGAACATTTGACTACCTTGTTGTATAATTCAGTGCAAGTCAACATCATATGCGAGTCCCACCTGAAAACAGGCCTGTTATAAACGCTTTAGTCATCGTCATTAGATGAACAGATTTATTCCGATATTTTGAGCGGAGATATCTCTCTTTCTCCGGCTGTCTCTGTCTCATACCTCCCTGTCTTTACACCGTGCACGCCGTCTGTTATGTAACCGTCAGTCCAGTGCACAAGTAGGAGACACGATTCAGATGACACGTGGAAAACATTTCCAGCAATACGTGGGTCTGTTGATAAACTGACTCAAACTCTCACTTTCTTTTTTGTCACACACATCCATGCATTACAGCTACAGATGCATGCGAGTTGTGGGAAAGTGTTTGTGTTTCTCTTGTTTGGTTTTTCATCTCCCAGCAGTCTCAGCTTCAGGCAAATAAAATTACAGCCTTCGATCTAGTCTTGTTCCAGTGCCAAAGGGAGTCGATGCTGCTTCGGATCTGGCAGCTTGAGCAGCCGTGACGTCAGATCAGGTGGTGACCTTGATAGAAGAACGTTGCTCTGTATGTCTTTGTCACAGAGGCGGCGGGTTGGCTCTGGGTACATTTCTCACAGGGACTTGGGGGTGGGCGGTGAAGAATAACTGTAAAGGAAAGCTGTTCATCTTCCCCATCACAAATCTTCAGCTGTGGCTCCGTCAAACAGTGTCACAGCAGAAGCAGCAGCAGGCCTGGTGATGACGCAGCATCCAGCCGGCGGCCAGAGCATTATAGTGCCACCATGAGCCGGGCCAGGCCACGTCAAGCTCAGTACAAGGCCAGTGAAACAGATCATTTTCAAGGAGAGGGGAAAGAGAGAGAGAGAGAGGGAGGGGAGAGGGAGGGAGAGGGAGGGAGGGAGGGAGAAAGCCAGGACAGGGAGGAAATGGACCAGGGTGTGCAAAGATGTGCACACACTGGTTCTTCTTCATGACGCTGGCAGGCTCACAGAGATGGTTTTAGCTAGGAAAGACCTACAGCTCCCTAACATGCTAAATTTTGACCAGAAATAAGAAACAGCCACATAAGTATATAATGTTATTGAGTCAAAGTCAGCCTGATCTGTGCAGTAATGGGTTTTCCTATATGTGTAACAGGGAATAGCTAATCCGTCCATTTTTGTACTGATTAAACACTCTTTTGGAAAACAGTGATATTATCTCAAAAGTAATTGATGGGTTTCAAAGGACCCCGATACAAAGTAAATAAAATCTCATAAAAGCAGGATTTATAGACCACATTTCAAAATTGTGTCTTGCGTGTCATGTTGCATATTCATGATATCACTTATTTCCCTGACAAAGCCAAAAGCCTACATTGAAGGACACAATCAGATTTTTTAGGGTGAGGAATGGCCTTAAGGCGGGGCGAGGAAATTATGTGCAGGTTAGTAACTAACATGCCAGCAGAGCCTCTGAGGCCCTCTGGCAAGAGGACCCATAAATCGCAGTCCACTTACCATTTACCACATGGGATGAAAGAAGGGGGCTCTTTGAATTGCTGCTGCAGCCCTTCGGAGACTGATGCTGCAGCCTTGCCTGATGGCTGAGGCTTCTATGTGGAAGCAGCTCGCTCGCTCCTTCTCTGTCTCCCGCCCATCCCCCCCCTCCCGTTGCCTTTCCAGCTTCTGCTCAGCTCCCTCGCTTTGGCTCCCTCTGCCCTGCTTCTTCTCAGCCTGCTGCTGCCACAGTTGCTGCCTGCCTGCCTGTTTTACTCGCTCGTCATCTCCCCCGTTTTCTGCCTGTCCTCTCCTCTGCTATCCACGTTGCTCAGTTCTGGATTATGAAATTTTCAGTAGCTTTGCAGCAGTTTAGTCAAGCGTTACAAAAAAGACTCCCATCGTATATAGCAGGTCTGTGTGTGTGTGTGTGTGGTTCACAACCCTGGTTTGCTCCTGTCTTAACTTTGTGCATGCATGTTTGTGTGCATTTACAGAATGTGCCTGTCCTTTCCTCTATACGTATCAGTGTGTACATGTCACGCTACTGACAGCTAGCATGTGTCTGTATGTGCCATTATGGCTGACCATAGTGCTCACTAGGAATGCTTAATGTTTACATGTGAGAGTGAGGGGCTGCTGCTCTGACCCATTACAGAAACTAGAGAAGGAGACCATCAGTTCATGTCGAGCTAATCTGGTTTGTTCTGAGTCGTCTATAGATATCAGTCAAATTAGCACCAGGAGCGCTGATGATAGAAATGTGTCTTATCCTCGGGGCAGATTAGCTCTTTGTTTCATTTCCATATTTCCACCTACGATTGTTGAGCTCCTTGTTCACAACAACATTTTAAATGTGTAGCTCATATCTTTTGGGATTGTGTAGACTTTAAGCAGTCATGTAACACCCTAATGAGATCTCTTACTGTACATGCCCCCTCCCAAACTTCCTCCTTCTCCCGTTTGACTCCACTGCGTCCGGCCTTCAGCGGTTCTGCAGGGCTTAATGTTGTGAGGGATGCCTTGTTAAAAGCACGAGGGCTCATATCACTCTTGCAAATGCACAGTCTCATTAAAATTTCATGCAAATCGCCATATTTTATTTAAACAATTATGAGGTTATCCACAGAAAGAGGCTTGTCTGCCCCTCTCAGCTTGGCTCGCTTCCTTCAGTTTTAACCACCAAAGCCATGAAGTGCAGGATGGCACTGAGTGACTGGGACAAAACACCGACATCAGCAGCCATTTGAACTCTGCTTCAATGTGTTTTAGTTTGTTTTATTTCCCAAAGAAAACGCACAATTTACAACTTAAAAATCACTATGTGTGAGATAAATGTACAGTAATTTGAACGCTGACAACATACTTCAAATACTTGAAATAGGACGACATGTTGGTTTTTTAAATTGTTTTTTTGTAATGTAATTTTTGTAATGAATAATCTTTATACTGTTTGCTAAGCTTTTTGTCAGACTGTCAATTGACTAATTCTCTTTTTCTGTCTTTTTTTTCTCTCTCTCTCTCCACAGACATTTATAGTGCTAAATAAAGGGAAGACAATCTTCCGTTTTAGTGCCAATCCTGCCTTGTACTTCATAAGTCCTTTCAATTTGGTTAGGCGAATAGCTATTAAAATTTTGATACATTCATATCCTTTCAAATGGTCTCTTAACAGCTGAGACAAAAGGGTTTCCTGTTCATGTATATTATTCATGATGATTTGTTCTGTCTTTCTGCTCATGCTGTTATTGATGTTTCCTGTGACTCCTGCTACAGGAGAGACAGATATAGATGGGTCTGTTATGGTCAGAGTCTGGAGATGGTAACCAATAGCATGTTTCATGAAATGTCATTTTATAGGAAAGAATAATGAACAAGAACACAGTAGATCTCCTAAATGATAGTTTTCACACATTTATGCAGGTCTGAATCTCTCTTACAATGGAGGGCCCAGGTGGCACCTCAACAATATTTCCGCTGTGCATAAATCATGAAGATTACACAGTATTAAACCTGATCATCAGTAGATACCTACTGAGCAACAGACAGCTATTAGAAGTCTATTTTTTTTAGATATAATTTCAACCTTCTAGATTCTGTATACTTTTAGACGGAATTTAGACGTTGCACTTTAACCCATTATTTGATAGCTATTTATTTAAAAAAGCAACTGAGTTGCATAACTGATCTCCACATACTTAACCAAAACAATTACAATAGCCTCTGAGCAATATACAGTATAGTATAGATATAGCCTAGATTTAGACTTGGTTTAAACTTGGTCTAAATTTAGACATCTAAAAAACTTTCATTTTTAGACCTGTGGTAGCCTGATTTTAGACCAGTCATCTAGGCTACATTAAGATGTCTATTAGACCTCTTTTAGACCAAAAAAATGCTCATCGGGAACTGAAACCCATTAGGCAACTACCTACCAGCCCCAGTCAGGCCACCCTTAGAAAGAACAGACGTTTAAAAGAGCGTTAGTTTAAAAGAGATATAACTAACAATAATACTTTTAATTTACACATACATGTGTATTCTACTTCCTTCATTGGACATTTTGTTTACATTACCTGTAATGCAATTGGAAATCCATCATTTAAGTCAGAAGTTGACTCAATGACTCAATACCCTCATATCGTCCAAAATTTGGTATTTCTAGGAGAAATTTTGCTAATCTAATTGTCCATCTAACTACATATTAAATTGACAAACTGTATTTACCCATGCAATGCCATTATCTTTAATGGTAAAGTGTCTCTCTTAATTTTAACTGGAATAGGTCTACATTTTTTAAATAAGACAAATTTGTGATGAGGATATTCCCATTCTCCAATTGCCTCTGTAATAACACTAAACCCCTTTTTACTCTGAAGAGTATTGATTATTGCACCGCTCTTTTGTTTATTTCATTTTCCCTCATTCAGAGCCACAACCCACAGCTATTACTGACCTCTGTCTGCTTTTAAAGCTGATCCTGAGGTTTTCTTTGTTCCCTCTCAGCATAGACCTCTCTGCACTAAAGGCCTCGCTGCATAAAAAAACATGCTTTTGTTTTAGTCTTGCCTTTGTATTCCCACTAAATATATACCATTTAAATATTTCATTGGTAAAATAATGGCCTTTGTGGTAGCGAGCACACATAACCCCTTTTCAAGTGCTATAAGTAGCTTTTATAGCATTTAACTCCTAACATGTTGAGGGCTGTTTAGGCTGAGTGGACCGCAGAAACCACTTCAGATGTATACCTAAGTAACTCTCATTGGTTTTATAGCTGTGTTTTACATTTCTGATGAGCTATGATTTGTTTCTCAGTGTAATCCATATTTTCCTTAACCTGCTCCTCACTCTTTTCAGCATGATCATTATGTGTACTATTTTGACCAACTGTATATTCATGACCTTTAGTGATCCCCCTGAGTGGTCAAAACAAGTAGAGTAAGTACATTTTCAAATATTAATGCATGCTTACTGCAACTGTCCCAGTTTGTGCCTATGTTATTCTGTATCACAGGAATGCAAAGCTAGCTTAGTGCATGTTTTAGCACTAAATAAAGAGGCAAGTACCAGGGATAGGTAACTGCTAACTCTTACATTAACATGATTTTAGTTAAAATTCATAAATCCTGTGTCCTTCACTCAATATTGTTGTTAGTAAATCTTTCAAGCACTAACGCAGACATTGCTGAATGAGTGAATTTACATGCAATCAGGTGAACTGACTCTGTCACTGCTTTTTCTCTTAGGTACACATTCACGGGGATTTATACATTCGAGTCTCTTGTAAAAATCTGTGCGCGAGGATTCTGTATAGACGGGTTTACTTTCCTTAGAGATCCATGGAACTGGCTGGATTTCATGGTCATTTCAATGGCGTAAGTATTGTTTCTGTTATGTAAACTGTCAGTGATGATGAGATGTAAATGGTAGCACAAATACTGCTATTATTTTGCTAAAGTAGGTGGGGTGAAGGAAGTGGGGTTTCTGATGTACAGACCGTTCATCCTTTTCTAATCTCTCTCTTCTTTGTCTGATAACCCATCTTCTGTGTTTCCTTCATTGATCTGAGACTCCTCTGGTCTTTCTCTTTGGGGACTGAAGGTTTCCATCAGACACTCTGCAGCCTCTTCTTACAACACCTACATTTTTCTTCCTCTTGTCATCTACTCTGCCTTTGATTCACCTTTCGTTGCTCAAAATCAGCTGGAGTCTGCCACATTCAATTTAAGGCCCACTATTTCAGCGTCTACTACACCTTACCAAACAGTGTGTCCTACATGTGTCTAAAGGAGTAAATACATACGTCAACAGATCAGCACCATGACAAAACACCCTCATTATTTGTCGAGCTCACATCCCATGGCTGGTCTGTGTGTGACTACCTTTTCACCTCATCTCTGAATGTAAATAACGAGCTGTTGTAACTGTGGTTTGATCCTGCAGGTATATAACAGAGTTTGTAAACCTAGGCAATGTCTCAGCTCTGCGCACGTTCAGGGTGTTGAGGGCATTGAAAACTATTTCTGTAATTCCAGGTAAGACAGGATGGGGCGGGGGATGGTGGGGCGGGGTCGGTGTTAGGTGTATGTGTCTTTCTTTCCTTTTACCTTCCACCCTTCTCCTCAGTGGACAGGCTCTGTGAGTGGCGTCGTTTCCTCCTGGTTCGGTGGTGTTGTGCTCTTGGCGTGTGTGGTTATTGTCATCGTGTTTGTTCTGTGTGTGATCCTTCCCCTATTTCAGATATATAACAGAGTTTGTGGACCTGGGCAATGTATCTGCGCTGAGAACATTCAGAGTTCTCCGAGCATTGAAAACTATCTCTGTCATTCCAGGTGAGACTCAGTTTAAACACTAAGGCTGATCCTCTCACCCTTTCTTTTCTACTCACTATTATTACGATTACAATTATGATTTAAGCAACTACTAAAAATTGGAAACAACCATTTTTTGATTTTTTTTCCCTCCAAAATTATCAAAAATGGTACTAATACATTTTTGATAGGCTTTGCAGTCTCCTCCAGGGCCCTCCAAAGTGTCCTCACTCTCCTCAGCCCCAGTAGGAATCTCATTAAGACACTCACTTTTAAGGCAGCTGTGTAGCTCTTTAGAAATAGCTGTAACCCGTCCTTCCTCACCAGCTTTACGATTTAGAAATACCATGTCCCCTTTACAAAGAAAGCTCTTTACAGGATTTTTCTCATTAAGGTAAATATATATGGTATTCATCATACATAGGAATTCAAATGATTTAGAATATCAGCAGATTGTTCTTTTGCAAAGATAAAAAGAACAAGTGAAGTTAAGACAGTATTTTTGTAACACATTTATGTTATCGGCTGAATTGGAAGTAAAGGATTCCATGTTTTTGGGATCAAAAATGAACCCTGTACATATCAAAGTTCATATGAGAAACAGCTTAGCTCTGAGCCTCATCCCTGAGAAAACACCCATTCATTATAAATGAAGACTGCCAAGCCTAGTTTGTGGACATATCTCTTACGCTGCATGATGCTTTTCAGTCACTTGCTTTTACAATATTAGCCTACTGAGAGCTTGGCTGACAAATGGCATTGAGAGTTTGATTTGCCCTCTTTTGTTTTTTAGTTTGGTTATTGATTTTTTTTTTTCTTCATTTTTACAACCTACTTGAATGATATACTACACACAAAAAAATGCTGTGCTCACATTGTGGAGGTTTTGGACACAGATGGGATGGTTGAACGACCTCTTGACCTTTTGGAGTGACAGTGACCCCACATCTATCTATCTGTCTATTGATAGAGGATGTAGAGCAGATGTCGTGTTCACTCAAAGGAACTGCTATGGATGACTTTTCTCATGTCTAATTCATCAGGAAACTGGAAAAAGAGTCCTTATAAACTGAGATTGGTGATATTTTAATTCAAAGCCTATTGAAATGAATGTTTGGACACTTTGGAACACATACGTTAACTTAGTTTAGCATCGAGATTGAAATCAATAGAAACAGTGGACTTGGCTCTACAGCAGCTTTTATCATCAAGAAGTCGTTTATCTAAATATATTTAAATATCTGCATCTGATACATCTATAGACTGGAATAAATGAACATAGCCAGCATGACTATGATGAGAAGTAATGAGATGATGTGACTAGAGTCAAAGACCATTTAGCAAAGTTACTCAATTATATAGATCATGTCCAAGGCTGACTATAATCAACTAGCTTTAAAACCAAGGTATAGTAGGTGCAGCTACAGAAGTACGCTTAGAGTCAACAACTCAACACACCAAAAAGGTTAAACACAGACTTCTGTCACTGAGTGTAAATACAATTGATTGCATAGTATATCATTTAAAATAAGAACTTTATTGATCTTTGAAGGGAAATTCAATAATTCAAATTTAAATGTTTGAATAAGTTTAATTAAAAGTTTCATTTGACACATATTGCAAGTATAGATATACAGAGTTATCCAGGGGCCCAAGACCACAAACGCAAAATTTGAAGTTTGGTGACTCTAGTGAAAAGCTGCTAGCTTTGGAAACTTACCATCTTAATGCTAGACTTGAACTGAATCAGTAAGTTATGTAAGATCCCCCCCTCCCATATGCACATACAGAAACTCATTGAATGGTTGAACTAAGTTGATCAGAGCTGTGATCTGAATAAAAAGGTTATATTTTGCAGAGATTTTAAGATGGGGGGTGAATTTGAATTTGCTCACTGTAAGCCCAAGCCTTAAGTGGCAAGCTGACAAACTGCATTTTAACCCCTGAGATCAGTGCAGTCATGATTGGCAAAAGTTTATACTGCTTTTTCATTTTTGACAGACAAACTTAAAAGGTTCGCATAAAATTAGTCTGCATTATTTTTATTAAATTTATCCCTTGAGACATTGTCCACTGTTTCCTGCTGTTTCCTGCAGTTTTTAGCTGCTCTTTCAGCTGTGACAAATTTCTTTCTAAGTGGATCAAGAATATTATAGTTATGAGCAATTTAATATGATATTTCTGAATAATGCTATGATCCTCTGATTAAGAACCTGTAAATAACACTTTTAATCCAGCTGTTTATTTGGCTGTCCCAGTCAGTAGCAGTTTCCACTGCAGTAATGGTGGCTACCCAAGATGGTACCACACACAAACCACTTGCCAGATCCATCTATGATAATAATAAGAATAATATAATTTTCCAAAGTGTCTAAATATTCTTAAGTCATCAAGTCCAGCAACAAATTGTAGGTGAAATTGTAGCTTTATTTTACAGCTGTAGGGAAATCTGAAGTTTTTTGTAAAGCAGTAAGATTATCTCTTTGTCATTCTTAATTAACGTTGCCTATCTAATGGAACATTTAATAAGATTTGCCAAATTTAAAATCTCAATTTGGATCATATTTAAGAAGATGCAGTGTGTAGCTACAGCGGGTGAAGCCCTCTGTACCGTAGAGACCAACAAATAGTGGGTGTGCGTCATCCTGCTTCGATTTTAGAGTCCCCTGTGGGCCCATGTGAACGCTGCCAGAGGATGCCTGTCCAAAAGGTAAACTTAACTCTGTCGTAAGTGAAGGCGTGGGTGAGACAGACTGTAGGGTCACCGTATGGGGAGTCAGTGCTTTCCTTATACAAGGCAGTTCAAGAAAGTGCCCACACTGGCACTGGCATTGAATTGCTCCTGTTCAGCCTTGGAGTTTAAATGACCTGCATGTGGTTTCCAGCCCCCTTGCCTGTGCCTCTGTCCTTCTCATGGCCCCTATTTGTGCTGCTGTGCTCTATTCCTTATGAATTTCCTCTCACTTTTCTTCAGTCTTCCCCCTCTTTTTTTAACTCTGCAACTCCAGAAATGCAAAACTATTCCGGCCAAAAAAAGTTTTCATTTTGTATTTTAAAGTATTTTTGTCTGGGTGTTTCTGAAAAGAGTGGGAAGGCTCCTAAATATTTCCTGTTGTTTTGTATTTGAAGTTTTATTCTATGTAATCTTTTTTTTCTAAAATGTATTACTACCTACATCCAAATTTTAAAAGTTAGCAGTAGTTAAGGAGACTCAGCCTTTTGCCCATATTTTTAAGAATACCATATATTTACATTAGGCTCTTTAATTACATTTAAACTGACAACAACTTTTGGTTGTTAAGTTAACCAAAAGTTAGAAGTACTGTCAATCCAGATTGAAATGTGTAGCTATAAGTGGACTGTGATATGTTTACAAAAGATGTAGCACAGAAGGAGTAGTAGCCAACAAAAAAGACTTAGAGCAGAAATAAACACTCAAAAGAAAAAAGCCCAGGGCATCAGCATCACCTGTGTGGTTTGTGTGTGTGTGTGTTTGTGTGTGTGTGTGTGTGTGTGTGTGGCTGCTTCCCAGGCCTAAAAACCATTGTGGGCGCCCTGATCCAGTCTGTGAAGAAGCTTTCGGATGTGATGATCCTGACAGTCTTCTGCCTGAGTGTCTTTGCCCTCATCGGTCTCCAGCTCTTCATGGGCAACCTGCGCCACAAGTGTGTGATCTGGCCAATCAACATCACCGAAAGCCACCTAGCCAACGGCAGCAAGGGCTTCGACTGGGACGAGTACATCATGAACGAGAGTAAGTGGAGGCATGGCTTCACCTACAGTGAACTGGCAGCAAGCTTGGGGTGTGAGTCAGCACATATGATGGGAAAACAAAACAATATTCCATTTTGGCTCCAGATAGATAAGAGGAGCGGCTTTGAATAAACCTGTGCTGAATTGAAATGATGAACAAGTGAAGTCTGAAATGGATCTTAACGGATTTACAGACCACTGCAGAATAAACAGATGCGCGACAGTGTGAACAAAATGACTCATAACTGCTGTTTGTTTTTTCTTTTTCAGCCAATTTCTACATCCTCCCTGGCCAGCTGGATGCTCTCCTTTGTGGGAACAGCTCAGACTCTGGGTGAGTTGCTTTCTCTGTCTCCTCTGCTGTTCCTCCAAAGACCTGCTGCAGCTTTACTATCTGTCTAAAGTCAGACTGCATTAGAAGTAAACAGTGCTGAGTCATTTTGGGCTGTGTGCCCTTTTCTCTTTCTCTTACTCTCTCCTTTTCTCTCCCTCTCTCTTGTCACCCCTCAGCCGCTGCCCAGAGGGCTACACATGCATGAAAGCTGGGAGGAATCCAAACTATGGCTACACCAGCTTTGACAGCTTTGGCTGGGCCTTCCTGGCTCTCTTCCGACTCATGACACAGGACTTCTGGGAAAACCTTTACATGCTGGTGAGGCTCAGAAGTCAACAGGTTCAGGTTGTTTCATAGGAAAGCACAGAAAATACGTTCATGCTCTCCTAAACAGAGTGACACTGCAAAGAGGTGTTGAAAAGCTTAGTCACCTTCTGATTGGTCAATCCATTGATACCATTGATCCAAACTGCATGCATCTGTTGGTTTGAACCCCTGCAGTTGTGCAGATCAGCTGTATAAGATTTGATAGCTGACAGAAATATAATATTATAACAGTAATATTGCCGTGTGTCATTATTATGTACTAACAGTGAAGTTTAAACTGCAAATCATAATGGTTATTTGCTAAATACTGTCTACTGATTTCATACTCCTGTGCTCTGTCTCCTCCTGCTATCATAAGCACTGTTCATGCACCATATGAATGCTGTTAGTCCACCTGGAAAATGGTGGATTATTTTCGTTCTCCCATGTTCCTATGTTGAGTCACCTGATCTGCATGCTGTTGCCAAGTCAGTCAAGTCTGTTTCCTGTTCCACATAAAGCCTGTAGAGACCTCCCTGGCTCTGCATACAGAGTCCAGGTGGAAGAAAGGGTAGATGAAATATTAAAGGCTTAGCTTACAGTGTGGCCAATGAGAGAGCTGGGACCTGATGGTCCCTTCCATACTTCTATTTTTGCTCCCATCATTGAAATGCATTTCTAAACTACAGGCCTTCACAGCTATAGAGTGCCATATCTTGTTAATAGGGATTATTCAGCTGTATTCAGGACTGATGTTGACGGCTTTCAGTCTAGTGTTAAGGAAAGGAAATGAAGAGGACTTCAATCCTTCATATAACCACTAAGGTGTTTTTCCTGCCTGGGTGTAAAACAATAAGTCAGACTCCTAATTAGTTTTTGCTTCTCCTGTTGAAAATGTTGTGTACTCGCCCATCATGTCTACTACATTCAGTGATGATGTGATCAGCATTTCCACTTTTGCCCACCAGGAAGTCTTCCTGTTTGTTCTGCTCCAAAAACATTATCTCACCTTTTAAGAGGGCAACCAAATCAGGCCAGCAGGATCCGTGATACTTTCTGTGCAGACTGAGAGCAGATGGTCAGTCAGTACATCGCTGAGTGGTATAAGGAAAACACATTTTAGCAGCAGAAATTAAAATATCAACAAGATATGTTTGTATTGCATCATGGGATTTTATCTCTATGCCGATTTTTGCTGAATCACACCTGCTTGTTCTACCCAACAACAGCTGATGGTGTTTATTTCTGATGAGTCATTGTGAGGGTTGAGGTTATGAAAGAGTAGCTCCTGATGTTTTTGTCATTCATTCCCTCCCCCCCCACCACCTGAAAGACACTGAGGGCTGCAGGAAAGACCTACATGATCTTCTTCGTGCTGGTGATCTTTGTGGGTTCCTTCTACCTGGTGAATCTTATCCTGGCTGTGGTGGCCATGGCCTATGAGGAGCAGAATCAGGCTACAATGGAGGAGGCCCAGCAGAAGGAAGAAGAATTCAAGGCCATGCTGGAGCAGCTCAAGAAACAGCAGGAAGATGCTCAGGTCAGACCCCTGCAAGGTGGAGAACGTAAATTACCCAACTCATTTTGTGGAATATCTCTGACTCAGTTTGTGTATATGTTCCTTTGCAGGCTGCAGCCATGGCAACCTCTGCGGGTACAGTGTCAGAGGACGCAGTGGAGGATGATGGAGGAGGGCGTCTGTCATGCAGTTCATCTGAAATGTCAAAGCTCAGCTCTAAGAGTGCCAAAGAGCGGCGGAATCGTAAGAAGAAGTGGCGGCAGAAAGAGCAGGAGAAGGAGAAAGGAGACAGTGAGAAGTTTGTCAAGTCAGAGTCTGACGATGGCAGCAAGAGAAGCCGCTTCCGATTTCCTGATAACCGCCTGGGTCGAAAGTCTTCCATTATGAACCAGGTAAGAAAAATAAGAATAATGCTTTGGCGACTCAAGTCTTCCTCCAGTGTAAAGCTGATTTTCTTTTGTGAGTAAGTAATAATCATTTTTCGTGTGCAGGGGATTTCAAAATTCATGAATCCTAAATTTTAACCTTTTAAATTAACTATAAAGACATATTTGGTTGGCAAATCACCAGATTGTAGCCTCTGAAAAATGATATTGGTTTTTTTAAAGATTTAAATGCTAAAACACCTCTGACTTACTCAGCTAAACTCTGTTGTAATAATAGCTGGTGGCAGAAATCTCATAAATCATTCTGATAACAGAGAAACACCACACATATTTAAATTCAGGGTGTCTGCAACTTCAAATGTATTAAAAGTCATTACATCTATGTGGTGAAATTTAAGGCCATTATAACACAAGAGATCCATTTATTTAGTTATTTTTCCAATGTGGGTTGAGAATTTGTCAAAAGAGTTTGTAAACTGAAGATTTCATTTTTTTAATTTTTATTTTTTTCGATTAAGTCAGTGTCTTTCCAGCCATCACAGATGTGTACCTGTTAAAATCCTTGTAAATCTTGTCGTCTGAAGAGGTCAAATATTAAGCTCCCACAAATATGCCTCTGATCTATCCACTGACTGTCTGCTTTGAAATGCAAGTTGTAAATTGCTGGCAGACAAAGAAATTTGAAGCTTAGCTAAGTGTAAGTGCCATCACTGGGAAAAACCACCAGGAAGGGTCTAAAATTAACACCAACATAACATGTAACAGGCAGATTTTCCATTTGGTGAGTAATCCTCTGAGGGCTGTGTGCCATTTGGTTCGTAAATGTAGTTGTGTAAGAAGAAGAAACTTTGCTGAGTCTCAGGTCACCTACAGTAGGACCTCTGTCTCCTTCTTCTGCTCTGTCTGCATGTGTGTGTGTATGTAACACACACACTTTGCTGAATATCATTGTTATGAAGTCCCTCCTGGAAATGCCCTGATTCTTTCTCCTCTATTTATGTTGCTGGTTACAAAGTGCAGCTGGTTTTATTTGATGTGATACTGTAGTCTAATCGAGCAGTGGTGGATAATCAGCATAAAGTGAGGAGGAAGAACACTGGTTATGGTAAACATTGTGGCAAAGGTAAAAAAATGAGAGGTGATTTTCTGTTACAGCTGTTTTCTAGCTGTTCTGCTGCTAAAACCTTAAAAACATTTTCACATCTCTTCACAAACATATGGGAAGATGCTGGATTTAGTTTGTGTTCAGTTCGGGTCATGCTTCATCACAGCCACTCTGACAAATAACTGGTGTTTTGTTAGGGCCTTTGGCATCAAATAAAGAGGCACACATTACAGTTATGTCTGTGGCAGACAGACAGGGAGGAGAGAGAAGACACAGTGTTGTCACCTGGTCGCTTTGTTTTCTATCAGTCCTGTGTTTTGACAGCTCCACACCGATGTACAATGAGTGATACCCATAAGTGGACTGTTATAATTAAAGAGAGCCAGTCTCTACAGAAACACTAGCACACACTTTCTCTGCCATTTGATGAGAGTTTAGAGGAAATATTTTTACTTTTGCTGTTACTTTCGGGCAAATCTCATTTATCTTGTCTGTAATTACAATTTTCTGCATGCCAAAGTTGTTCTGTGTTCAGGGACATTTTCTGCACCAGCACTGTGTGCAACTTGTAAATCAAGAGTAAGAAGCATAACATGTCTGTGCAGTAGTGCAGTTTTGTTGTTGTAGCGGTATCAAAACTGACTGCTGGTCCCGCACAGCCAAACAGACCTCCACAGCAGCTCCCTATCACAGAGATTGCATGCTTGCTGAGGTGATAAAGTGAGTCTATCTAATAATAATGCTGGGTGCTGGTTAAATAATTTGCATGCACTTTAATGGTCCTCTGCAAGGTATGACTAATGTGCAGCCACTGTACATTGTGGTGTTGCCTGCTTTTAAATAGAGGGGAGCTTACAGTGGCTTGACATGTAGAAACACAAGTTCAGATCCTGAATTATTCAGTGTGATAACATGAATGTTTCAGAGGAAGCAATCCCGCAGCTTTGTTGAAGTCTCACTCTGGCACCACTGGCTCTTAATATATGTGTAACAGCAGAGGATTAACTCATGAACCTCAATTATTTATGGAAGGGTGCGGCTGCTAATATATCTGGGAAGCTATTTTTTTAGGGAGATATTTGGACACGAGGTTGGAAGATAGAAATGAGGGAGCAAAAGAGTAGAGGGATGGAGGGCCTAGATTTGGCTGAGGCCCGGACTTACATCGGCAGCCACTGTCGAGGACCACAGCCTTTTTATTTGGGGCATGAGAAAAGCTGGCACTGGGGGCACTAATTGTATAAGACACCAAATATTCAGTGAATAGGTCTGCTGATGCACCTTCACCCTGTGGCGATCAAAAGACACAACTGCCTCTGTTTGTCACAGAGTGATACATCACTCTGCAAAATATATCACAAAACAGACTAATAACCACCAGAGTAAGGAGAGGTAAGGTCTGCTCTAAATAGCCAAGAGGTGATGAAGCAGGCAGCTAAGTTTTAGATAGAGGTGTATACATCTTAAGATGATCTCATGCTAAAAGGACACCATCTGTATTTGAATGGATTTCTTTATTTTTAAGAAGTGACTGATGCTTTGTAGACCTTGTTAGTGTTTCCCACAGGCTGTTGGTTTACCTGTGTTGGTTGGGTGTTAGTTATGGCCTGGTGGTGGTGGAGGGTGTTGAAAGTAAAAGGACATATGTAAGAATATCTGATTTCTCCTATGACTAAAATATGTCTTTGTTGGTGTGAGTCAAACAAGGATTTTGAAAACAAAGTTTTTGGAGGTTTGATTTTTGGGTTCTGACCATTTAAAAGATGTCAATTTGTGAGTTTTATGCACAGTTTAATCCAGATGATCTGGTCTTACCTCTCTTGTGATTATCCTAACGTAACTTGCTTTCCCCAGATTTGGTATAACTTTTATCTTCGTCTCTTTTGTACAGAGCTGTTAATTGTGTTTGATTTAAGTGTGACTAAGGTGGAAATTTTAGCCCAAACCTTCTGAATCTTATGTTTTTGATCTCAATAATGTTTGTATGTTGCTGTCTGTACATTCAGCAATACATGTTGTCTCTTTTACTCTTGCATTGTTGCGGGGAAGTGAAGCTGTCAATGCTTGCTTTAGTGTTTGTTGGATTTCTTTCCTAACCCTGAGGGATACTGGTCTCTGTAGTTCCCACTTCCCCCTCACTCCAGTAATGCAAGGCATAAACAAAACTACACCAGAACATTGAGATTTATTTTTTCTAATGATATAGATGACAGATAATCTTTAAAATATGCCATATTGTCACAGCCTGGCTTTTGCAAACACATCCCCTCGAGAGTTTCAAAATAAGATCTAGCACACTGGCATAATGAGACACTTAAAAAGTCACAAGCAGTGATTTTGCTGTACATAAACCATCTACACAGGCTGAGGATTTATGTAACAAAATGTAATTTCTGTTTGTACTCCCTGTGAGGTTGCAGTCATATTCAGATCAATACCTGCAGCAGCCCAGATTGATGTTGTCATGACTCATGGTCCTCTTTGGTTGCCTGTTTCTCTGGCCTGTGTGTGTGTGTGTGTGTGTGTGTGTGTGTGTGTGTGTGTGTGTGTGTGTGTGTGTGTGTGTGTGTGTGTGTGTGTGTGTGTGTGTGTGACCTTGACAATGTGGGATATCACTGACCTAATTATGCATTTCCTTCTTGTTATTGAGTCACATGATCTTCCTGGCAGGGTTTGCCTCCTCAGGGTAAAGCGCCCTGGTTGTGTAAATGTCCTCGCTTCACAGATGTTTTACTTTCATCATGACCTCAAGAACGGATGACAAACAGCATAAAACTGAAGGTTCACTCAACAGTGATTCAAAAGTACCCTCAGATACAACAGTCACCTGTGTTTTTTCTACTTCCTCCCCTCCAGTCCCTTCTCAGTATACCTGGCTCGCCTTTCCTGTCCCGCCACAACAGTAAAAGCAGCATCTTCAGTTTCAAGGGCCGCAGCAAGGACGTGGGCTCTGAGAATGAATTTGCCGATGATGAGCACAGCACGGTGGAGGAGTGTGAGGAGCGTCGGGGCTCCCTTTTCAGCCCGTATCGGCGGAGTAGCTACAGCGGCTTTCAAGGCAAGAGGAACAGCACGGTGGATTGCAACGGCGTGGTGTCACTCATCGGCCCTGGGCCTGGTGGACGCCTTCTGCCTGAGGTGAAAATAGATAAGGCAGCTACTGATGACAGTGTAAGGAAGTCAATGAGTAGACCTATCTAGGCATGGCCCCCCTCTCGTCCGTTCCTTTTCTTTCCTGCTCTCTATCCTCTACTGTGTCATCTTTGCAAGTCCGTATGTATCTCTTGGCTAAGCGCTCGCGCCTCCCCTCCCCCAGCCCTTGCAGTGTATGCTGCCCTCCAACAGTAGGCAAAGGATGGAGACAAAAAAATTGAAAAGAGAAATACCATAGCCAACCCTATATTTGATAGCTTAGGAAAACTGGGTCTGTCAATGACTTCCAGGCAACTTTGTTGTTTGATTTGAACAGTGAATGTCAATGTTATGAATGTTCATATCAGAGTATTTATTCCCACATACACCATACTCAAACTGTCATACAGGCACTATTCAAAAAGACATATAGTTCTTCAGCATACCCATCTCCCCATAAGATTTTGGCTCATATTTCAAAGCTTGATTAATTTTTCACAACTTCATGCGTGGAATGTCATCCACTTTCTTTATAACACACTTGTGAGTAATTGAACAAAGTCTTTGGTTAACAAACAGCATTTAATGATGAGTTAACATGCTCCAGTGTGTTGATGTGTTCCTCCTCCAGGCATCCAGGTCCTCTGCTAGCCTGTGTGGGTAGATCTACAGTAGGAGTCGGAGGAAACAGAGGGGACCAGCACTATAGAGCCACAAACATTTTTATCTGCGTCCTTGTTATACTTAAAGTCCCCCAAAGCAGACACACAAGTTACATACACACACCATCCTATCAGGCCTTTACAATCTAATTTAAGGAAAAAAGGAGGGCTGCTGTCCTTGTCTGTCTTTACATTTCTCTGTTTTTCAAACTCTCCCTGGTCAACATTAGTGGATTAGATGTGTCTCATTTAGTTAGCATGGTAGATTTAAACCCCAAATTAGAACAAGCATGACATAGACGAGTAGAACAATGGCTATGATGTCTGTAATTTCCTCTCCTTCTCTTTGACTTGGAGCATGCTCATGCATGACAACTGGACTGAGATGAACTACCTGCCTCCATATTATCTTTTACAATGCTCTTGACTTGATGGTTGCAATATAAATTGTATGGTTTCAAAGTAGGAAGATACATTAGCCTAATTTGCAAGTAACATTAAAATGGCCAGATTTGGGAGACATTTTGTAAAATAACCTAATGATTATATTGCAATGGCAGCAAAGCCTCCATTACTGCATGACAGGACTGAAAATGCTTTCATGCAAAAGCAGTTCTCCTTGCACAATATCTCACGATCCATTTATTATTTAATCTGAATGAGCTAATTACGTTCAAACACAATTAGGTCAAGTAGCCCTAGACCACTGCTCCCACTTTGGCTGAGACCTGCATGCATTTACAGCATACACACATCTTCCTTGAAACCAGCATTGAGATAGAAAACAATGAAACATGACCCGCCCCTTTCCAAAAAATTCTGATCCACCACTACTTTTTTCCTGCCAATGTTGTTGTGCACTTCCCTCCGCCGGCCACCGGTGGTGATGTGGGATGGTGTTCATGTCCTCTCCATGGGTGCTTGATTCTTCCTCTCCTCCTGACAGCCAACAACTGAGGTTGAGGTGAAGAAGAAGCTGTCGGGCTCCCTGATGGTGTCTGTGGACCAGCTCAATACCTCCTTTGGGCGGAAAGAGCGGGCCAACAGTGTCATGAGCGTCATTACCAACACACTAGTGGAGGGTACTGCCACTTTAACCCAGCTATTTAACCTGCTCTTAACCTGCTCTCATTATTCTTTAACTAGGGCTGCTCTCATTGGTTGATTAGTTTGACATGAATTTCCTGCTTATCTGCTTTGCATATCCAACAGTACCAGATACATACAATGCATACAATTTTTTCTATTATTTAATACCATTGCATGTGATAATCTCAAGCACGCCATTATGTTTGTTTTTGACGTTTGATCCGCGCTATGTCTTCAGAACTGGAGGAGTCTCAGCGCAAGTGTCCACCATGCTGGTATAAGTTTTCTAACACATTCCTGATCTGGGAGTGCTCCCCAAAGTGGATTAAGATCAAGGAGATAGTGAACCTGATTGTCATGGACCCCTTCGTGGACTTAGCCATCACCATCTGTATCGTTCTCAACACCCTCTTCATGGCGATGGAGCATTACCCTATGACCCCGGACTTTGAACATATGCTGTCTGTGGGAAACCTGGTGAGTGGTGGTAATCTTTTTTAAAATGTAAATCACTGATTAAGAATCTCTTCTGTTTCTTTTTTGCAGCTCCCAGAGAGGTGTTATTTTTGGGACTTTAATTGGCAGCTCTTTCGTAGCAGATTCAGAGTTGAAAGAGAAAAAAACGCTCTCAAACCTCCCCTGCTGCTTCCATGTTTCTATGCATTTCTCTTTTCTTCGCACGCAGGCACGCACACAACTGTTCTGTCTCCTCCCTTTTATCTCTCTTTCTCTCCTCTCCTTGAGTGGATTTGCAGTTTGTTTCAGTGGGACCAGCTAGACTCTCTGCTGGTTGGCTGACTGGTGGGAGGCCTGCATTAATATTTCATGGAACCTGATCGATGAGCTGCTCTAAAATGGTGCCTGAATCATAGCTTGGTTAACTCAACCTGGTTATTTTTTTTCTATAAGCCTTATTAATTAAGGAAAACACGTTTACTTTCAGAAATCTTTTTTTTTTTCACTTTACAGTAACAAATTAAGAAACCTATTTTTTTTCTCTTCTTGGACCATATGTGTACCAAAAGACAGTGAAATAATTAGCTTTTGTTAAAGACTGAATATTTCAGTGCAAGCTGCTCAGAAAAGCGTTATTTCCTCTCCTGCTTCAAAGAAAGGCCAATGGGTGGTACAGGTGGAAATTTCTAGGTCACCTTGACGTAGAATGAGTCATCTTGTTACACACACACACACACACACACACACACACACACACACACACACACACACACACACACACACACACACACACACACACACACACTCACACAAACAAGTAGACACACAGACAACCCTCACATGGACCAACATTGTGTGCTCATCCATAATGTGTTTTTTTATGATTGAGGATAGCCCTGAGTGATTTACTAGAGCGTGGATGCACACAAACATGCTAACACTGAGGAGAGGCAAACTGGTAATTCATAACTGTGCTGTGTCCACAGAGGTTATTTTCATTATGATGGAGTTTCCTTGAACACAAGCACAAGTGGTCAAATCAAATCAAATCAAATCGTTAAATATTTCGCCAACAATTAAGGCTCATTTTTTCACGCAGTAAGTAAAGCCAAAACAGCTCAATTAAAACAACTCTTTCGTCTACCTACCTGCAGGTGTTCACTGGAATCTTTGCTGGAGAGATGATGTTCAAGCTGGTGGCTATGGATCCGTATTACTACTTCCAAGAGGCCTGGAACTGTTTTGATGGCTTCATAGTGACGCTGAGTTTAGTAGAGTTGGCGCTGGCTGATGTCGAAGGCCTGTCTGTCCTGCGGTCATTCCGTTTGGTAAATACTCTGTTTAGCTCCGCCCTATTAAAAACCAGGAGAGAGCATTTGGGCGTAACATCTCAGCATTTAGAATATACACATATTTAATTCTGAATTTTGTTATTTAAGTGTGAATATGCTGAAATGGTTGTATTTTATTCCTTTTTTAACGACTAAATCATATCCTTCTCACTCTTTTTTTCTTCCGAACCCCATTTTAGCTGAGAGTGTTCAAGCTGGCCAAGTCATGGCCCACCCTCAACATGCTGATCAAGATTATTGGTAACTCTGTTGGAGCCTTGGGGAATCTGACTCTGGTGTTGGCCATCATTGTCTTCATCTTTGCCGTGGTGGGAATGCAGCTGTTTGGCAAGAGCTACAAAGACTGTGTGTGCAAGATTGCCCAGGACTGTGAGCTGCCCCGCTGGCACATGAACGACTTCTTCCACTCCTTCCTGATCGTCTTTCGGGTGCTGTGTGGTGAATGGATTGAGACCATGTGGGACTGTATGGAGGTGGCGGGTCAGGCCATGTGCCTCATTGTCTTCATGATGGTCATGGTCATTGGTAACCTGGTGGTAAGTGTCTAGACTGGGAGGGTAAAGCTTGGCTTAAAGGAGTACACTGTAGGCTCTTTAAGCCATTGTGAAATAATATAAATCTCATCAGATGAAAAGAATAGCATTTGACAGCTAGTTTATCTCATTACTATTTTGTGGTTGTAGGTGTTGAACCTGTTCCTTGCCTTGCTGCTGAGCTCATTCAGTGCTGACAACTTAGCCGCAACAGATGACGACGGAGAGCCCAACAACCTGCAGATTTCCGTCATGCGTATCAAGAAAGGCATAGCGTGGTTCAAAGCAAAGATGCGGATAGTGGTAGCCAGCCTGCTGAGAAAACCACCAGTGGAGGATGAGCAGAAGCCCTTAGATGACATGTATGACAAGAAACTGAACTGTATCGCGAATCACACTGGGGTAGACATCAACCGAGATTTGGACTATGCCAAGAATGGTAACGGCACCACTAGTGGAATCGGCAGCAGCGTGGGCAAGTATATGATCGACGAGGACCACATGTCTTTCATCCACAACCCGAACCTGACCGTTTGCGTGCCCATAGCTGTGGGAGAGTCTGACTTTGAGAACTTGAACACAGAAGACTTCAGCAGCGAGTCGGAAAACGAGAACAGCAAAGAGGTCAGTCACTCTCTTTTTTATCCATTTTAGACTGTTTTTATCAGGCAGGAAATGACTCCTTTTTAAAGTAGAATTGAAGCAATAAATGCAATAAAACCCTTTTTCCAAGATCTTAGAACATTTGAAGGTTTCAACACTTCACATGCCGCTAATATTGTTAATAATCCTAATCTACTCTATATGGTGTGGTTTTCCCTCTAAGCCCATCAAAAGCACGGGTGTGGCTGACTACTCTGCACTGTCAAGACACTATTGAAACTCCATTACTCAACGGGAGTCATCTAGAGTAGCTTAGCCAGGAAGGGAGTGTGGATGAAATGGATATCTGCTGCTGTATTTTGTAGTGGACAAAATCCATTTAGGAGACTTTCAGAACATATGATCTGCAATTTGATATTCCATTTACGTGTTCTTGTGAATGATGTGTACGGCTCAGAGTTGTTATCTCGTCCATTTCAAAACAAAGACAGAAAAAATGAGGTGATCAAATAGCACACGAGGTTCCTCCCTTTGAAAGATTTAGCAAATGCAGTCTGGAAAGAACTGGAGATTTCCCCTTCCTGAGGAGACTCCATCAGTGCAGCTCTGTAATAGCTTGCTTTGATTTGAATACATAATGAAAAAAAAGAAAATCTGCCTCTCGTCTCGTTTGCTCTTTCATGTGCATTAAAATTGTGTGGTTTGTTTGCTTGTGTGCTCCCACATCTGCGTCTCTGCAGCTGGACGACACCAGTTCATCAGAGGGCAGCACCATTGACATTAAGCCAGATGTGGAGGAGGTGGTGGTGGTGGAGACAGTCGAGGAATACATGGAGCCAGAGGCGTGCTGGACAGATGGTGAGGCCACTGATCCCACTGCTCACATGACATCCACCCCACAGCACTGAGACTCCCCTGGGCTGAGTGGAAGTGATAGGGTGGGGAGGGGGACAGTTTCATTAAGGGGAATCACTCACGCATGGAGACTCTATCTATCAGCCTGTCTATCCGTCTGTTAAACAATCTGTATACAAAGCTTACACTCATGCTGGGATACATGCTCATCCCTACCATTTGCTGTAATCTTAGGCCAGTTTGGTTTTAACCTTAGCTTCTTCCTTGTTTCCTCAGCTTGTGTGGCAAAGTACAAGTGCTGCGATGTTGACATCACTTTTGGCTGGGGAAAGAGCTGGTGGTTCCTGAGAAAAACTTGCTACCTGATCGTGGAGCACAACTGGTTTGAGACCCTCATCATCTTCATGATCCTCCTCAGTAGTGGTGCCCTGGTAAGAAAGAAAAGATCAGTGCTGCTCTCAGTTTGGTTTTGTAATGTAAGAGCTGCTGGTTGGTTGGTTGGGGGTGGAGCCAGGGACCTGTGATTAATGGACTGCACCATCTATCAAACGGGGGTCTATTTTGGGGGATAGAGTGGAGTCTTGCTCTCAAGCATGCCATGTGCTGCTAAAATAATAAAAAACACTCTGCTTGCAAATTGGCTGTTGAGTTAATTTGAAATATTTCACAATAACGCATTTGCCCAAATCTTGCAAATCACTGTGAGTGACCAATAATGAACAAGCTGTTCTGCTGTAAACAATTTCATTAGGGGAATCATAAATCATGAGGGGTAATATTTCCCACCCAGTCATCACCACAGCTGACACATGTTCCTGTTACTCCTCCTCAGGCCTTTGAAGATGTCTACATCGAGCAGAGGAAGACCGTTCGAACCATCCTGGAGTATGCTGACAGGGTTTTCACCTACATTTTCATCCTGGAGATGTTGCTGAAATGGGTTGCTTATGGTTTTGTAAAGTATTTCACCAATGCCTGGTGTTGGCTGGACTTCTTCATTGTGGATGTAAGTCTAGCTCTTGTTTAATCTATCTTGTTATCTTAGACTAGAGCATTAACATGATCCTCAACCTCACCCAACAGCAACACGTTGATACAAAGAGGCATAAAGTCTGTAAGTCAGACTAGAACTAATGCTAAATTCTGCTGCTTCAACAACTTTAAAGTAATAATGAGCTTTCTGCTCGATTGAATTAGGGGTCACTCTGATGCCTTAACGATAATTACAGAAGATGATACTTTTGTTGCTCCTGTTGTGTCTGCTGGGTGTGGTCAGGCTCCATAGGTGAGGTTCACAATGAAATTTCTGCTTTGTGGTAAGCATAGGATGAGATGGCATGTTGTTTACAATAAAAAGATTATTCATTGTGTGCAACCACATCTAAAGGACAGTGTTTTACAGGACTATGCCGTAGTCTGTCCTCTTTATGTAAACTCATGCCAAGGTCACCTTTTGCAGCTCCACCAAGCAACAATATTTATACATAACTGTATCCATCACTCTGAGATGCTTGAATATGCAGAAAAATGTCTTTGACCTTCTGTTGCCTAAACTATATGATCTGACTATCTTCAATGTTAGAGAAGACATTATTCAAATTTGATTTTATTAGTGTGAAATCAATGCTGATTGAAAAGACATATTCAAGTTGTGCTCAGAGAAATGAGATGTGTAAATGATGTGTCTCTGTTAGGCTGTCTCTGCCCATGTCTCTGACCTGTATGATGTTTGATATGTGCCTTTGCCCCCTCTCTCTGTGTTCTTTTCTGCCCCTGCGGTCAAGATTGAAAGACTGAAACAGGGAAAATTCTTAAATCTATTCTAAACGGTGATATAATCAATTCTTGGGTCCCGTCTTGAGACGATATGACCTGAGATTGGAGAGTTACTTAGCTGTTTGTGAGTGAGTTAATATCCCATCAGGCAATACTAGTGTTTAGAGAGAACACGGGAATCATTTTCATACTTAAGGGGCTCAAAGCATTTAAACAAATGCTGAATAGGATAGAATAAGAATTTCCCTTCATTTCTGACTTTCTCCTTGAACTAACCACCTCTCTACAGTATCCAACACCTCAGCCAATACCTGTGAATGGACTCCTATCAATGGCCAGAGGTTGCCATGTTGATCCACTGAATCCTAGACCCCATACAGAAACACAAAGTCAAAACACACCTTAGACGTTGTACATTTAGTTAAATGAATATGGATTGCTGCATGCATACATTTTTACAATTGAGAATTTACAAAGAAAATAACTGAATAAGTTAACACATATTACTCACACGGTGCTTGCAGACTTAATATGTACTGTACGTACTAATTCTGATAGTTGCCATGATATACTCCCTCCCTGTAGGTGTGTTGTCAAGCCCAACACTTGGGATAGTGGGGGACATCACGTTTCCCAAGATGTTAAAAAATGTTACAAATCCAGTAACATCCATCATCCCTTCTTTCCCCGCCCCCCTTTCATTCCCTCTTGAAAGTGTAACTTCAGGATTGTGGTGATATTGTGCTGAGATGTAATGATGGTGGGTGACAGGCGGCTGACGGTAAGTTTGGTCTTCACTAGCGCTCCCCCTCCCCCCAAAAAAAACATATGTTTGATGAGTCTAGGTTGTGTTGTGTGCCTCTGCCGTCCTGTGTTGTGGGGTGAAACAACGGACTCAGAGGGGGCACCATCATTAGACCGGCATGTATTTTGTTGTTCCCCATTTTCCCTGTCTAATTCTGTTATCCATTTAATTTTTGTCTTTCTGAGATTCATTATAAGAATGGTTTTTTTTTTTGTTGTCTTAAATCTGGCGCAGAGCAGAAGATCTAACTCTAGGGAGAAGGTGTTTGGTTATTTAAGTGAAGTTAGAAACTGTACTTCAGAATTCAACCTGATACTTTCTAAAGTGAAGAACTATATCTTAAGCATTTTGTTAAAAAAAGAACAAAAAACATGTTATATCAGTAGCAAAAGAATGAAAATGTATGGTAGGGAATACTAGAAGAGCAGATTTATTTAGTGGTACAGATGCGGAGGACGTGAGAGGTTGATAGGTGTCATTCTCCATTCATCTTTCTTTTTGACTCAGATTATTTTCATTGTTTTTTGTTTTTCCCTTTGCCTTTATTTTGCATTTTTTTCTGTTTGGTTTGTGCTGTCGTCATCATGGGATCACAGCCCCAGATGTCATTGGCCTTGCCTTGCAGAGCTCTGTGAGAAGGACGTTGAAGCGCTGAGGTCACTACCACACAGTTGGTTCAGCAGGGGGGCCAGAGGCCAGACACCCCTAAAGTGGGCTCTCCAAGGGGTCAGGCTGAAGGTGACAATTACCCCAAACACTGTAGTATAGATCATGGCAAAATCTTTATTTTACTGTCCTTCCCTCAGAACAGTTCAGAGGTCAAGATATTTGTTTAAATGGAGACTTTAAGCTAAAGGACAAGACCCTGTCCAGGTAGTCTTCAACCAGGGTTTAAACATGGTCTTGAATGTACATGTTTGAGAGTGGTGGTTTAATGTATGCCACATTTTTGGTCATTTTAAAGTTTTGATGATAAACAGAGTTGGTCTTTTGTTATCTACATTGCTGACGGCCTCAGTCAAAATGAAGATTTTGCCTGGTACAAACCTCCCTCCGTGACTTTGGTAAGCTTTGGATGTTGTGTAATTCTTGCAGTGAGTTTGACTGGTGGATGTCAGTGGCTGGTTGGAGGTGTTTCATATGTGTTCACTTTTGATATGTTTCCTTATTTGTAAGGAACTGGTTCTCCTCCTTTTCAGTGCCCTCAGCTTCCTGACTGAGGAAAATACCAGATTGGATTTTTTTTTTTTTAAAGACTTCTCAAGGTTTCAGTTCCCAGGATCATTTGGAACAAACAAAATTGTCACCATTTCACTGATTTTAAAGCAACAGTTGAGCTTCCGTGTGCAGCAGCAGCAGCAGCAGTGTCTTGTCTTAGCACACATGGGGCAACTCCATCCTAAGTACATGAGTGCAGCTTACTGACCACACTGACCATTGTCCATTTCCTCCTTTGTTAACAATGCAGTGCTAAACATGTGTCAAGCTTGTCTTGGACTATGAAGAATTTACCAAACTATGATTTAGGTCACTCTCCCCCAATTCAAATAAATTAAATATAAAAGGATAGATTTACAATGCTCATAATTATTATAAATCTCCATTATATACACTCATTAATGTCACTGAAGATGTCTTTATAAACAGTTTTATGAGATAATGATACAATCAAAGTGAGAGCTTTTAAAAATGAACACACTTTAATACAGTCTCTGGCTGCCATATTCCATGGTGGCTGCTGTTGGGCAAGAGGATTTGCACCAGTTTCTTTGAGGTCGTGTGCTGTTAAAGTTAACTGTTAACTGTGTGTAACTTGACTGTACTCTGTTAATTTTGTCCTTTCAGTGCCATCCAGTGCTAATAACTATATCCAGTCTGCCCTTATCCTCCATCCTTGTTCCATGTGCGTGGTTCGTGTGACTGTGGCTCTCCTCTATGAGTCTAAATGCTGTTTTTTTGATGTCTGCCAACCAGAATAGCAAAATGACACACATGTACATGTTTACTTGTATTCTTTCTCTTAGGTTCCGTTAGTTTGTCTGTCTTAAATTGTATGGGATTTTATGCCTCAGCCCAAGAACGACATGGAGAGACAATGTTAGAGGGGCAAGGGTAAGGCTCTCAAGTCTGTTGGGTTTTTATCAGCTTCTACAGGGTAACCTCTCTCCTTCCCTCCTTTCCCAACTCCTCTTCCTCTGCTCTGCCCAGTCCCTTTGCTTGTGTCTTAACTAAATCATGTAGCACTCTTTTCTGCCTAATTTACCCTCTAAATGAGTCTTATGTCAATATCTCCTCTCTTTCTCTCTCAACTACAAATTTCTTTGCAGGTACAAAGGACTTTTCGCATCTCGTCAACCTCCCCCAAATAACAGACAAACAATCCCTCTGGCTTACTGCTTCTTAAAATACTACGCACATAAATCCTATACTAAACACTGACCTTCTCTCTCAGTGTATATGCATATATAAATGCAATATTATACATGCATATACATGCAAAGATTTATGTGTGTATGTCAAGAAACTCTTCGCCTATGCCAGGGCCGTCTCTCTTCCCTAGTGAATATTCTCACTTCTAACAGTTTGGAACCTCTTTTGCTTCTCTGTTTTTGTGTAGGTCTCAATAGTCAGCCTTGTAGCTAATGCGCTGGGCTACTCCGATCTAGGGCCCATTAAATCACTCAGGACACTAAGGGCCTTGAGACCCCTCAGAGCCTTGTCACGTTTTGAAGGGATGAGGGTAAGATCCAAAGCTAAGCAGCTGATCCTTCCGCATGCCCATTCAACAGTTTAAAGCATGCTAGAACTGATCTAAAAAAAACAAACTAAGAGGACAAAAAAAACTCCAAGATATTGGGGGATTGTTTATAAAACCAGGAATGAAAGCCAAGAAGTCACTTTTCATGCGCAATCTGTACCATGCCTTTGTTAGAGCCAAAGAAGTCATGATGCAGCTGGGAGACTGAGAAAAGTAACAGTAGAGTTGTTTGCTTGTAGAAAAAAAAACATGCATTTCAATTGAAAAGGTTAAAAAAAAAAAAAGAAAAGTCATAGACACAAATTGATTTTTTTCTACATTAAAAACAAAGAAGAACAAAAATATTTTTTCACAAAGCTGCCTCATCACATAAGTGACAAACTAGAACTTCTGGTCACATCATCATACTTTGTTTTTTCTTGATTGGCCAAAGTGAATGCCAAATTTGGTCAGAGCTAACCAAACTTACATGTCATCTCATAGAGCATTCAAATCAACAATGAAGCCCTTCATCTGGCCTTATTCTCAACCTCTGCTTTTAATGAAGACCCCTTCCTCCCCCTCCACATGCTACCCTCTACCCATAACCCCTAACTCCACATCCTCCCCCTCCCCCAGACCCAGCTCACCCTATCCTTTAACACATTTGGCAACGAGAACAACCAGCAGGAACCAGAGAGCTACTGGACATCCCCTGCCCAACCAGTCACACCAAAATTACATGTACAAGTACATGCAGTGAGGCTGTCAAACAACCAATCAGAGGACTCTGAAAATCGCTTTCTGCAGAGGGACCTCTGGTTGCTTCAGCTGCCTTTTTTTTAAAATACACAGATCTAATTGGGCGTCCATGTGACTGTTGTTAGCGATAGGTTACACCTGGTTGTTGTCACTTGTTGTTCCTCCTGTTTCTTTGTCTCCCTTTCTCTCTTAATCTCATTCTCCTTTATTACTCACTCTTCTTGGTCTGGTTGCCTTGTCTTCTAGTTTGAGCTTCTCCCCCTCACCTCAGACCCTCCTCACCTCTTCCTAAGCCCCACATGTGCAGCACTGTGCAGCACACACCCCACCCCCCTTGTACCTCCACTACTCACCTCACCTTGGCCCTGGTTTGGCTGGGCCGCACTGGAGGGTCAACACACTCTCTCCTGCTTGTCCAGGATCTTTCTGCATCAGGGACTCAGACAGAAACCACACACTCACAGTGCTGTGGCTTTAGGAGGAAAATATTTGTTAAGCTTCTGCCAGTGTCAGCACTTTGGATCATGCAATCTGACCACCTGATCTGCCAACAGTCCCCTCCGGAGGCAGATTATTACACTTACTATCTCCAAACATTGTCCATGTTATTAATACCCATGGTCATTTTAGTGCCGCCTTTGGGGAACCCAGGCAGAAGCTTAGCAAATATGCTGGCTGCCATTTCACACAAGGCATTACTGCTGTCATGTCATGGCAACACATGCTGTAGTGCATACAGCAGGCCATGGCTTCTTGTTGCCTTCCACTCCCACAGGATGTGAAACTGGGAGGCAACATTTGGCCCAGATACACCAAATATACTTTAAGTTCTGGGTCTGGGTGGGTTGTGGCCCACAGGTTGACTAGCTCTACTTAGTCAGGGCATCACTTCAACCCTAGACAGACAATGTATTGCCCCTTTAAGTATGTTTTAAAAATGCCAGACGAGCAGGAAAAAGCAGGTCTGTGCCATCATCTGTTGGGTGGACTGATTATAAATCAATGTGAAGTCTCGTTCAAATTAGATATGTATAGTGTCTAAAATGTGATGTTGCTGCACGTAAGCAGACATCAGTTCTTTAGGCCCCAGATAGGATTTGTAGTTGTCATTTATGCTGTAAGTAAGGGTTTAATTGTAAACTTTGGGATGGGAAATGGTAAGATAAAGTCTTTTTTTGGGGGGGTTGTGACACTTCTTAGAGTGTAGATATGCCAGTACTCCTATGAATGACTTCATCCACTGGGTATAAGCAGTAGGAGAAGTGAGGGTGGCCAAGTAATGCAAAGGGAAACAAGAGAATTAAATCCTGCTGTATTGATTATTACAATGTCTATGTTCATCAATAGAGTTACCATCTTTGTTTAAACTGAAGACAGAAAATTGTAGGTCAAAATAATAAATAAACGAATAGAGAAGAACATGAATAGAGAGATGACACTTAAAGGAGATTCTGGAGAGCTTTTATTGCTCCTGCTGGTTGAGTGTTGACCACAGATGCATCATGGAGGCCAACACCAAATCAACACCAGTGAGCAAGGACCCTAGCTTCAAATGAACACATTGCACTGCTTAACATGCAATGATAATGGGCTGCTCTGACTACTGTACAGACTTTGTTGTCCTTCTTTAAAAGCTGCTTTGAAATCTTAGTCCTGCTCACATTGTACAGGAATCATCCATCTATCCAGTTTATTTTACACCACAGTTAATGAATTCATAATAATGTGGAGAGTTTCACTTTAAAGCTATCAAAGTCCTTATTGTGCAGCTGGGTATAACTTTGAATCCAAATCAGTAAGAGCAGACCAGGACCAAAGCTGTTTGAGCACGAGAGCATATTTATCAGACACTCATAAAGACGTAGTTAAATGTGATAATCATTGTCAAAGCTTCAACTATTACTTCTATAGCTGTTATCTCTCTATCCACACATCCCTCTATTTGTTCATTTATTGATTTGAGCGGTTCTTGAGATTGCACAATGCCATGTAACACGCATGTTCTGTAACTGCCGATGCACATTATGCATTTTTGAAAGCCATTTTCCCTCTTTCTGAGAATGCTTTCCACACAGCATGGTCCAATTTCTTTAGATACTGAATTTTTGAAAGCGATGCAATTGTACCTCCGATTTAGGGCCATTCTCTCAGTGAGTGCAATGAAATTATTGCAGGGGGAAAAAAATCAGAACTCTAGTTCTGTATAAATTTTTTTCATCTGCATCAAGATTTGATTTTTGAAAAAGGAAAGCTCCTTTTAGTCTTTTATACTTGACACTATGCTTTAGTAGCATGGATAGTATATTTAAAAGGAGTCAGCCTGTGACAGTCATGCACACACTGAGAGAATCCTGCTCTACAGCTTCTCCCTATCTGGTTGTTATGAGGAGGGAATATGGCTCCACAAAACCAGTCTGCCAAAGACATGCATGTTCAGCTGTCTGCCTGAGAGCTGCTGGTCGGCCTGCGTAACACTGGTAGTGAGCGGTTCACTATGTGTTGAGCTTATGATGGCTTATTTAAAACTACAGGATATTTGATTAAGTTGATTAAGATGGGCTAAGGGTTTGGGGTGGTGGTGGGAAGTATTATACTTAGAGAGACTTTAATTTTGCACTGCCATTCTGCCGTTATAATGTTTGTAGTAGTTACGGAAAAAGATCAGTAAGATTACAAGAATATTGACTGTCTACGGTTGGGGTGGAAAGGGACAGCACTTCATGGTGGTATGGCAAACACTCTTACAAATTTTTCACCTGTCCTCTAAAGCTTTATGAGCCACACATCTAGAAAAAATATGCATACATTTTTACCCAAATAGCATGTATTATAATTTTTATGTTTTTTAAGACCTCCTTTTATCAGTAAGTGTGTCTTTCAATTAAAAAAAAAAGTTTTTCTTAAAATCTGGATCAATATATCAATATATCAATATCAATAGGAACATTTAACAAGCATTAGGAAGCTAAGTTTGAGTGCATATGCCTGAGTGAGTGGTGTGAATGTACATGTTACATATTTGTGTCTGCACCTATCACCTTAAATGATTTGCTAAGTATGCAGTTGCTTCAATACTGCAATAAATAAAATGACAGTTTATTTTTTCCTTTGGGACAATTATTTAATCATGTTTTTGTTGTTTTACAGTACAAAAGTATAGTGTTTTTAAAATCATCACTATAATGCTAGCTGTCTATTTGATTATTTCAGAGTAATCATCTATGTGTCATACATTTTACATTATAGAGATTCTGTTTCATAGATCTTTATGGTTGCATTTGCCTTAATAGGTGTGTGTGTGTGTGTGTGTGTGTGTGTGTGTGTGTGTGTGTGTGTGTGTGTGTGTGTGCAGGCATATGAGCATCTCTAGCTGCATGCTTGAAAAGATCAAAGAGCATCTCAGAGTCACATCAGTGCTGCTCTAATTAGACTGATACAGCTCTCCTTCCCGTTAATACACACTTCAGAGTGAGCATCACAGTGGTGGGCGGTGCTTATTTTAACTGCATTAAATCATAAAAGGATTGAACCGCCGCTTTTAACACCACCTTTAACAACAGGCTGGATAGCTTTTCTAAGTGCTGAGTGTAAAGCCATAACAGTATGCAGTGTCTTATCAGGGGAGGGTGAATGAGCTGTGTCTGTTTCCTGGTTCTTACTCTGTCATATCCTGTCTCCCCTGGTCTGGTCTAGGTGGTAGTCAACGCCTTGGTGGGTGCCATCCCTTCCATTATGAATGTGTTGCTGGTTTGCCTCATCTTTTGGCTGATTTTCAGTATCATGGGGGTCAACTTGTTTGCGGGCAAATACTACTACTGTTTCAATGAGACATCAGAAGAATACTTCTCTGTGGATGTGGTTGACAACAAGACCCAGTGTGAAGCTCTCATCCTGCAAAACTTTACTGAGGTCAGGTGGAAGAACGTCAAGATCAACTTTGACAATGTGGGCGCCGGCTACCTGGCCCTGCTGCAAGTGGTGAGAGAGTCGTCTCTTCTCTTTCTGACTCACTTTGTTTCATGAAAACTCGGTTGGTTTTCTCATTTTCCTTAACACTTCATTTTTTTCTATTTCTGTGCTTCACCTGAGGGCCTGTTGTTCCTTTAAACCCCATTGATTTTCACAGTGCACCGAAGCTGTCTGCTGCTCATATCCCATGTGTATATTTGTTGTTTCTCTATTTACTTTTCTTCATCTACATGTTTCTTTTCATGCACAAGCTGTACCACAGGACATGCATCAGTTTCGGTTTGAGTTTGAGTTTCTTTGATTTCAATTTGTCACATGCCCTGTCTGTTGTTTTGACTACTACACATGTATTTATTCATATTTCTCTGTGTGAAAGGCAACATTCAAAGGCTGGATGGACATTATGTATGCGGCAGTGGATTCCAGAGAGGTAAAATTTAGCAGAAATTTAAAGAAAATGATTGTTACCCAGCCAAGCAAGCTAATCTCTGTGCCAAGCTATGTTGGCCAGGTGCAGACTGTATTCTCAGATTTGCAGATATAAGAGTAAATTTGATCTTTTCATCCCATTCTTGGAAATTCTGGAAATTAAATCCAAAAATGTGTTATTATTTTTTTTGCATTGGTTAATAAAATATTAATCTCAACATCATTCTTCCCTTCAAGGTGGAAGACCAGCCTGACTACGAAGTCAACATCTACATGTACATCTACTTTGTTGTTTTCATCATATTTGGCTCCTTCTTCACCCTTAACCTCTTCATTGGTGTGATCATCGACAACTTCAACCAGCAGAAGAAAAAGATAAGACTTCTTATTTACTAGTTTGCTTGAAGAATTTCAATGATAACGTCAGAATGTGATTATAACCAAATCTGTATTTATGCCTTTACTTTGGAGGTCAAGATATCTTCATGACAGAGGAACAGAAAAAGTACTACAATGCCATGAAAAAACTGGGGTCCAAGAAGCCACAAAAGCCTATCCCTAGGCCTCAGGTACATTTGATTTTCCACTTGTTACCCTTAAGTTACCGTTAAGATTATTTGAAATGAATGCCTTTGATTGAGCCTTCGGTAAATCTTGTGTCTTCTTCCTCTACAGAACAAGATCCAGGGCATGGTGTTTGATTTTGTGACGCAGCAGGTCTTTGACATCTCCATTATGATACTCATCTGCCTAAACATGGTCACCATGATGGTGGAAACAGACGATCAGTCTGATGAAACTGAGCATGTTCTCTACTGGGTCAACTTCATCTTTATCGTGGTCTTCACCACAGAGTTCTTGCTGAAGCTCTTTGCTCTTCGTCACTATTACTTTACCAATGGATGGAATATCTTTGATGTGGTTGTGGTCATCTTGTCTATTGTTGGTGAGTGTGGGAGGTCAAAACCACCCCTAAGTAGACAGTCACACTCAAGACCAGCCGTGTTCTGATTGTTTCTGTTCTGTCTTTCTTTTCTCCCCTCCTCTTTCCTCTCAGGTATGTTCCTGGCTGACCTCATTGAGAAATACTTCGTGTCACCAACCCTGTTCAGGGTGATCAGGCTGGCTCGTATCGGTCGTATCCTCCGTCTAATCAAGGGAGCTAAAGGCATTCGGACTTTACTCTTTGCTCTGATGATGTCACTGCCAGCCTTGTTCAACATCGGCCTGCTGCTCTTCCTGGTTATGTTCATCTTTTCTATCTTTGGCATGTCCAACTTTGGATATGTTAAACATGGAGCAGGAATTGACGACCTGTACAATTTTGAGACCTTTGGCAACAGCATGATCATTCTGTTCATGATCACCACGTCAGCCGGATGGGACGGCCTGCTGCTGCCGATCCTCAACTACCCACCAGACTGCGACCCCAATTTGGAGAACCCTGGTACATCTGTGAAAGGCGACTGTGGGAACCCCTCAGTGGGAATCTTCTTTTTTGTCATGTACATCATTATTTCTTTCCTGATTGTTGTCAACATGTACATTGCCATCATTTTGGAGAACTTCAGCGTGGCCACAGAGGAAAGTGCCGACCCGCTCAGTGAGGATGACTTTGAGACCTTCTATGAGATTTGGGAGAAGTTCGACCCCACGGCCTCTCAGTTTATCACTTTTGCCAAGCTGTCGGACTTTGCAGACGCACTGGAGCACCCACTTCGTGTGCCAAAGCCCAACACTATAGAACTAATCGCCATGGACATGCCCATGGTGAGTGGCGATCGCATTCACTGCCTGGACATCCTATTTGCCTTCACAAAGCGAGTGCTGGGTGACAGTGGCGAGTTGGACATGCTGAGGCAACAGATGGAGGAGCGTTTTGTGGCAGCCAACCCCTCCAAGGTTTCATACGAGCCCATCACCACCACTCTCCGCCGCAAACAGGAGGATGTCTCTGCCAGAATTATCCAGAATGCCTACCGCGCCCACCTCATCAGGCGAGGCATCATCTTCAAGCGCCACACTTTTACTAACAATAAGCTCGAGAACGGTGGGACCAACCAAGAGAAGAAGGAGAGCACACCATCCACTGCCTCTCTCCCTTCTTACGACAGCGTGACCAAACCCGACAAGGAGAAGCAGGATGACAACAAAGAGGAATGGGCAAGGAAAGAGAAGGATAAAAACCAAAAAGATGAGTGGGAATCAAAGTGTTAGGATTGATTGACTCAAAATCCGGGAAAACACAGCGAGCTGAGACTCTGAGCCCACACCCAACAAATGTAGAAAAAGTGATCATTTGCAATTAACAGAAAACAAACAACAAAAACATCCAAAAAATGTTTACAGACTCAAGTACTACTGAGGCAGTGTGGTTTGTTATGTCGTCAGAGACAGCTGAACCAAACACAGTCAGTTTACCACGGAACTCTGCTGCATAGTGACCAAGTTCATAGAAATGAAGAAAAAATGCAAATTAAAAAAACAGTAACTCACAGTGTGACGGCCGATGGCACACGTTTCTTTCGGGACCAACTTCCAAGGTGTAGAAATCTCTGCAGATGATTGGAGTATTGCAAAATCCCTGCCACCACCAAGTGTGGACCCCCATCCCGCAGCAAAACTGCCAATGCTACGGGACCGGATCATACAGATCCCGCTAGAACTGTGGTAGCAGTCTACAGGAGCGTCTGTAACACTGAGTTTACCGTCTTTGTCAAGAAGAAAACAATAATCAAACAAGCAAGTTTAGCCAGGAGAGAAACACTATGAGGGAGGGGTAAACCCAGAAGAGTAGACAAAGATTTCCTTTTTGTTTGTTTGTGCTGAGTATACTTGCATCTTTACATTATTTGAGCAGCAAAAAAGATAACATTTAGCCCATGTCACTGGTCTTCTCATCTCCTCTTTGTTATACTGACATTGAAAAAGACATTTTCTACATGGGCTTTCACACTGGCCGGGTAGGGGTCATTAGTCATTGTTTTGACTTGGGCTGAAGGAGACTTGCTCAGACCGAGTTCCAGATAAATAATTATTGTGCTCGTTCAATGCATAGAAATGACTTGCATGAAGGCATGTTTTGATCAGGAATCATGCATGAGTAATCATAGTCCACAAGACACTAATTCTCAGACCACTGCAGTGGCTTGATTATAGTTTGAGGTTGTCTATGGGGGAAACAACGAGGTGACTATACCTAGAAAATGAAGACTTTGGATAGTGATAGATAGAATACTGGGGGAATGATAGTTGTATGATCTTGCCCTTCACTAGTTTTGCTTTTCATCTGGCAGATCTTTAATTCAGCCCTTCATTTAAGTTTCAGTTAAATGGAGGATGTAAGCACTCAGAGGCAAAGTCTCAGTTGGATCAGCCAACAACACAAACTATAAATAGTCTTTTTGCTGCTCTGAATGTTAGAAGTGTAGAAAGAGTGTGACGTGTTTGACAAGTATGAAGCATAATATCCTCATGTTGAGGTTGCAAAGATTTGGAGGACTGTGTTAGTTGTCTTGACAAATCTGGGGCTTTCATATCTTTGTTTACTTACATTCAACAAACTATCATTTTTCATACTTACCCGCGATCTCTGTCACGACAACGAGAGCAGGTGATAGTTCATGCCAAGGAATTCATATCTGGCACCAGAAAAAGTCTGGTGTGCTTGTGTCAAAAGGAAGTACTTCTACTGCCGTAGTCCCCGCAGAAGGGGCAGAGATGTGGTTTTATTTAATTTTTGATAGAACTTCTGTTGTTTTTGGGGCATGTGGAAAAGCTGAAAACTGCATTTAGGTCGAAACATTAGACAGCACTCTTATTGATTCATGCATTTCATATGTCTCTTTTTTACTCTGTCAGACCCATGTCAGAATTTCCTGGTGAATGATGTCTTAGGTAGTGCTTTTTGGACAATTTGAGTTGCCAGCTTTAGAAAAAAAAGCCTTGGAGTCCTTCTCTGATGTCCTTGTGATGCAATCATTCTCAGAAAAGGCTTTGATCAGTGTGAGCGACACTGTCCATATGACACAGCAAAGTTAGCAGAGAATTCTCACAAGGACTTGCCTCGTCGTGCCTCGCATGTATGGAAGGTTGGTGGCCATGAAGGGCTTGTGGTTTTGGAGCGTAGAAACAAATGGATTTTGTCTGACATTTCAGGGAGGTGGATGGGTAATAAAAAAAACAGCATAAATGTGGACCAATAAATATGTAGAGCCCCTCCTTTCAGGGTTTTAGACTGACTGCCATGAGAACAAGAAAGAAATGGAAGAGCAGAAGAGGAGAGTAGTGCTTTGGTCTGAGTCAGAGTGCTGAAAGTCCCATGTTTGTCAGTGTATCATTGTGCTTTTGTGGGACCTCTTGAACACTGTGTGGTGTTGGACCCAGCCTCGCACCATCTTTTCACGTACTTGCAGGCTTTCAAATATGATCACCCGCTTCGAAAAAAAAAAAAAAAATCAAAAGCCAGAGACCGAGGTAGAAATGTGAACACTTGACCAGATAAAACATCAGCAGGCCTCACATTGATGCAGCTATGTTGTATATTAAGCTTTGTGGGTGTTTTTCATAAAAGAAAAAAAAAAAATCTAAAACTTGAGGCTTCGTCAAGTGGTAGACAAGATACAACTGCCTCTTTATGTACTCCTGCCATTTTTTTTCTACACAGGAGTGATGGTCCTATTTCTGGGCGGATGACTGGACAAAAACATCTGGCATCCGTCTTCACACCACTAATGCCATTTGGTGTGTTTAACACTGCCTGTACCAGAAGCCCCTGTCTGTAACAATGACTGAGGTCTGTTTACAATATGAGGTCTCCGAATCAGTTTGGCTGCTGCACACTGAAACCAAATACATTCCCAATGAGAACCACAGGAGGAGTGAGTAATGTCATTCAATTTACCCATGTTCATCTTGGATGTAATGTTTTAGAATGATACATTCACACTTGAAAAAAGAAAACAAGCAAAAAAAGACAAAAAAGAAAACACAAAAACATATATATGTACAGTGCAGGCTATGATGTAAATGGCACAATCGCTGAAAAGAACGAACTTTTTGAGAGAAACTATAAATATTGTATTATATTCTTTTATTTTATTGGCATGCTTTGTTGTGTTTTTTGTAAATACAGGATTTTAAAAATGTTACTACTAATAATCAAAAGATGAATAATAACAATAATATAGAATGGCTTCCAGCTATGCCCTTTGTCACATTTGTTACCTTTTGGATTTTTTGAGACACTTTTCACTTTGTTGACGGAAATTGAATGAAATATAGATATTATATAATACAAAAAATATATACATGTATACATATATGTCTATATGTATATACATAAAACAGAAGAACACTGTTTGTCACATTTGATTTATGTGCAACACGTTCAGTGGATGTCTAAAAAACTGGTTGTTTCCAGCACCCTTCTATGTTGGGGAATAGCTCATGTGCGATGTTACTGGAGCTGCTTGCCATGGATTGTAGCCTGATCATGATGAAAGGATAATGTTACCAGCACATTTCTCACTAACTGTCATATCTCTCACCGTCACTGAGTATACAGGACACACCCACAGTCACGGACACAAACACACAGGTGACTCTCCTCACTGCCCACCTCCTGTACCAGTGATCTCTTTTCCCGAGGACGTCAGCTGGTGTGACTGACTGCCTCTCCCACCCTGAGACGGCACCCACCCCAGGGTCTTTTTTCCATTCCCACACATCAGTGCCATTACAGTTCAACATGCATACGGTCATGTACTGGCTTCTCATCCTCACGTTAATTTTGTTGAATAGTTTGTTTCTAGTGTTCCACTCGATGGCATGTGCCTTTTTTCTGCTTTTTCTGCAAATTTGGATGTTGATGCCACACTGAAAAATAACACAAAAAAATCACAAAAAAAGAGAACAGAAACAAAAAAAAATTGTATCTAAACTGTGGAGGGTGGGAGTTTGGGGGGTGAGCACAACATTAATCAGGGATGACAAGTTAGAAATACTGCCGGAGGTTCATCCAGACAACCCACTTCATGTTAATATTCAACAGTGTGTGATGTTAACAGAAAACAGCTAACTCAAAAAAACGTCCTGTTCTTAGTGCTATGTGTGTCACCCACTTGGCTTGTGAAAAAGCAGCTTGCCTTCTATATTTCTGTTTGATTTCTTTAATATTTCTGTTTCCATCTGAAATTTATTTTTGTATCAATATTTGATTATAGGACTCATTCTTTTTTAGCATGGTTTATTATGAGCGTATTTTCTTTTCGCTGACAAATTAAAAAGTGCTTTTCAAACTGTTGTTATCATTTGACACCGTAATAAAAGAGGATATACCGTACAATATGATGGTGTGTTGCACAACCACTTGGACTCTTGGTAAGAATATATGAAAGATTGTCTTCATTTGAGCACGAACCTTTTTATTACCAATAAAGCAGCCTTCCAGTTACAGCCATAGTGTTGGGTTTTCTTTCTACGAAATCTTGACATTTTTTTTTTTTTGCCTCTCACTTGCACTACTTTCCTTCAGGCTTATTCTACAGTCCTTGTGTCCACTTCAGAGAAGTGGTCACCATTTTGTGCAGATTATTTTACTTTTTTTTTGCTGTATGAGGATGCAAGTGTACCACAAAACATCCTGTGAAATGGAGCTGAGTGGCGCTGCGGTAACAGAGTCGTGAAAGGTAGCCTTTCAAATGTAATGGACTTATTGAATTTGTTAAGAGCCTTGTGTTAACATCCCCTCACAGGCACAAGATGGACTATAGCCCCATTATTGTACAGCCCATCTGCACTGGGATGCCCCTCTTTGAGGTCTACCATAAAATAAATAGCCTAGAGGTATATTACTGTCACCAGCCTCATAACCACATGAGAACAGAGCTGAGAAAAAGCGATATAAGGTGATAACGGTATGTTTACAATCCTGCCACTACTTGGCAGAAGGCAAGGAAACCCTTTTTTTGGGTTTCTGTAGCTGGAATATGTAAATGATGCATGGGGCTGTCCTCAGACTGTGCAGTCGCCGAAAAAATGGAAAAATTTTGTCTCCTTGGCTCCTCTCCCTCCATGAGGTCACATGGACTCAGCCTCTCTTTCCTCCCCGCCCCCCATCTCTCTGGCTTTTATTTTTTGTATTTTTAAATCAGTGTGTCATTTATCATCTACACATGGAGGCAGTGGGAATCAGCTCCTTATTGACTATCGACCCCCCCAACTTGTTCCACTGCCAGACTCCAGGATGGTTGTGTGTGAGTGCAGTGAGGTGGAGAGGAGAGAGAAAGAGAGGAGAGGAGGGGGGAGGAGGTAAGGAAAGGAGATGGGGAGGGGAGGTGGTTGAGCACTGCAGTGCAGATAAATTAATGCAGCAGTCGAGGCTGAGTCAGCAGCACACTCCCAGTTTGGCCTGGTGCCTCCATCAGCTCCACGGCTACCTAGGAGACCGGCTCCCACGCTTAGAAAAAAACCCTCAAAATTAACGACATTTCTCTCTATATTTACTGTCGTTAACGACTCCTTGGAGCGGTGAAACCCCGCAGACAAGCCGTGCTGCTTCGTGCTATATGCAGAGGAGCTGTCCGTAGTGCTGGAGGTGGTACACGGTTGAACCAACGTCCTCCGCCCGGCTCTGAGGCACCTTGGGTGGGGTCGCATGGAAAGAGGACAGCGCCGGTTGGCGTGTTGTAGCCATGAGAATATGTTGAGTGCGCTGAGGAGCTCGACCCAATTCGGAGACAGCCACACCTACCCTCCTCCTCCTCCTCCTCCTCCCCCTGCTCTTCTGCTCGCTTTCTTTCATCCCACCTCCCCTCCTTTATAAAGCATGTTGTCACATAGCATGTGGTTTCTGTGTGTCGACATGAACGTGGCTAGATATTAAAAATAAAGATATTGCAGTGTTCTCTGTTGAGGAGAGGCTTTAAAAACACGGAATATCAGTGAAGCGTTTATATGAGAGCTAATTAAAACCACGACAGGCAGCACAATGCTCTGAATATGTTAGTCATTTCTGTCTTCTTGTTATCGTCCTCTGTCCTGGTTTGCTGCATCCCTGCTGTTTAAATGTCAGACATGCAGTAAGCACAAATAGCCAGCAGTAAAAGGGGGTTTTCCTACTATCTGATCCCATTTCAACCCTTGACTGAGATCAGAGGGTTGTGTTTGTGCTCAGCTGGTGCTCCCCTTCTTCCTCCTTCCCTCCCTTCTTTCCCCCCTCCTCCTCCTCCTCCTCCTCCTCTGCTCTCCCTTTCTCCCCAGAGAATCAGACTGAGGAGAGAGGAAAAAGCCCAGAGAGGGAGCTCTCCATCATGCCTATGGCAAGAAGCCAGGAGCCCCCACTACACTGCACCTCACACAACTCACATTTCTCAATAGGAAATAAGGCAGACACATAAACCACCCTACCCCCAGTCCATTACACACACACAAATAAATAAAAAAACTTACACCACCACCAGCAGCAGTTACAGCCTCCACCTACCTATATTCCACCAGCCCTTCCCTTTCACTGTTGACTTTATAACTAACTGTATACTGTATATTCTGCCCATTTATTGCATAACTTTATTGTGCAACAATGTATGAACCAAGAGTGTGCTATATACAGTAAGTAAAAGAAAACAAAACAAATGCCTACACACCTACACAGTCTTGTCTTTTTTTTTATAAGGTTTCCAAAATCAGCCTGCGCCGCTTTATAATTTTCTGGACAACAGCACCTTCCTCTGGTGTATGCATGTACAACACCCTTTGTATGAGCTGATTATTAAATAAAGCATCATCCAATCATTTCCTTTGGACAGCATAACAGTAATGTATACTGTTTTAGACACAATATCAATACACAAACATTGCCACTTAAAAATATTTTATTTTTAGACCATCAAAGTCAAACAGGTCCATTCAAAGTGTAGGTGATAATCTAAAAATAAATTGTCTAGTCCTTCTGTATTAGTCCTTCTTTAGAAAACAAAGAAAAGTACACCCTGAGCTCTTTGTGGTAGTAATAAATGGAAACTAGAAATACCTCAACTTTGAATGATCCAGGCAATGTGAAATAATCACAAGAAAAGAAGTTGAACATTTTGATATTTGCTCATTTACTCATCACAAAAAAACAAAATGCACCTTTTATCTGAGAGTACCATCAATGACTGGAAAGAGGTTCTTCTTCCAGTTCATTCATCCTCTTTAATGCTGCCAGATGACTTGAAGTAAGCATATAGTACATGTAATTTGGACTGTTTTAAACTTGTGCTGCAATCTGGAAAAGGTCCTCATGACATCTGTAAACAGAAAATAAGATAAGAAGAACTTTATTTATCTCTGAGGTGAAATTCAATAAGATAAAATAAGAGCATAAGTCAAACAAAAGAAAGATTGTTTCAGTAAAAAATACTGATACAACATGTGAAACATTTTGAATTAATTAAAAATTATACAGAGATTTTTAGTCACTCTGGTCTACAGGTGAACGTTGAAAAAATATTGAATTATCTAGACTGTGAATTGCAGCTTCCTTGTATAACCTCTGCCCTCATACAGTTTTTCCATCACATATTCAGCATAAAAGCTTGTTTTTGGAATAAAGGTCTTTGAGCTCACCCTTCCTGTTTCGTTCTGGCCAGCCACTCCACAAAATCTTTAGCTTTGATTTTGTCCAGAAAGTGGGTAAAGTCACTGGTGAAAGTCCCATCTGAATGCCTTTTGAAGTTTCGGATGACGTTTTGTCCTTTTTCCATTTGAAATGAGCGCCACCTGAGAAAAAAATATCCATGAGTTAAAGCGCTTACCTGACAATTTTCTGTTTTTTTTTAGCTTTTACAATACTGATACTAATATACAATGATTTTGTACAATTGATACTTTTCTTTTTTTTTTTTTACAACAAAATATCAGCATTCAGTCAAACATACCTCGCTGGCCTGGTTTTCTCCACAACCATCTCTTGACTGCTACAGAGAAACAGCAACAAAAAACACCACAGGTGCAGGCTCATCTTCGAGACACCTAGTCAACACAAAACCAAGAATACAACACTGTTGTCTCACTGCTAAATAAAAACAGTAAAGAAGAGGCAAAAAGAAGAGCAGGTTTAAAGATGAGAGGTTCAGGGTTTAAATCAATGAATATACCTTTTGAATTACTGTAGCTTCAGCTCTTGTCCGTAGTGTTATATTGATGAATCCACAAAGAAGTCTGTCCACACTTACTGGAAGTGAATCAAACAGCAAGGAGCGGTTTTCTGTGACATTTTATAAAGTGAGCAGGTGTCCCCGTCCCAGTCTTTAGTTCACCTCTCACAGCTGTTGTCCTTCCTCCTCATTACGGCGGTCCCGATCATAGACTATCTGAACTGTGATGGCTGGTGCTCTCCCTTTGCAGGTCAAAGGTCAGAGCAAACTGTATCTTTCTCAGACAGCAGCAGGTGTGAAAAACATTTTTCTGACCTCTGACGTCAAAAACATGACTTCTGAAGAGCCTTGTTTCCTCCTCTCATATTTGAATTAAAGGCAACTGACTATATTTTTTCATCTTATCTGCAGTTACAACTTTTTGTACAACGCAGCACAAGATATAGAGAAAGATAGATGTCCATTTAAACAAGTCTCGAATTCTTTCAGGTTTTTATTAGTTCTTGATGCCATTCACCATTTAGAGGATGTGTTTGCTAAAGTCTAAGCACAACTAACCAGCTTTTTGATAAAAGAGAACTAAAATCCTTTGCACAACTTCATGAGCAATTTCTTCCCATGACCACATGACCTGTACAAATATTTCCAAATAAGAAACCATCTCCTAAGATCGCTCCAAAATTCATGGATTTATACAAAATTTTGAAAATCTCCCCCTCAATCCCCTCCCCTACATTTCTGTTTCCTTGATCTAAAGGAATTGCCTACAACAGAGATCAGCAATATACAATGAAGACACTTTTGTGCCCCCAAAAATGGTAATTATGAAATGCAAACATACAAAAGCACTAAGGATAACTTTGTAGGAACAGAAACTAAGACAGGTCTACAAATGACTGCAAATCTATCGACATAGACATTTTTCTTTAAAGGTGGACATGGGTTAAATCGTGCATATCTGTGTGTAACTATAACAGAATTACTTGAAGCTAAAAATTCAATAAAACATTGTTTCATGATTGACCCAGCTCTGGTGGAAATGTCAGTTCTTGTTTTCAGATTTATTTGTTGTTTATTTTTTTCTCCTTTTCTCTCTCTCTCTATTTCTTTATCACATAGACTATTTAGTAATTTAAAAAATCCCATGCTAAAAAATGCCCTGTTTTGTAAAAGATGAAAATAAACAATTAAAAAACACAAACAGAATTTGATCCATTGATTTAGTTTTCATTGCTCCAATTAATTATAAAGGTTTACTTAGGTTAACTTAGTCAAGGTCGAAATTGGCGACTTCTTTTTTTCACAGGCAGAGACCTTCAACAGAACCGTACTCATGTTGAACAGCCATCTGCCGGACAGAGGACACGGGAGTTCAGAGTGCCTGATGATCCCAGCGAAGTTCCGATGTTGGAAAGTTTTAAGCCTATTCTTCGAAGGAGTGACCGTCTACCTCCTAAACTCTTAGAGGGTTACAAAGAGACAGGCCTGACCACTTAAGACTTTAGCAGTTGAACCGGACAACATTTGCGCGTGGCTGTTGCTAGTTGTTTTGTTTAGCACTGAGATTGACCGCATGGATCTTCAATGAACAGGTAACAAAAATGCTCAATCTCATCCAAACATCTGCGGCCTGTAAACTCACCAGTTGAGTCCAGAAAAGGCTAACACACAGTCGTAGAGGTTCTGGTGAAATTGCACATTTTGCTATTGTTCTAATTTTGCACACAAAGATGTACCTATACATAATGTTGTACTGGGTATTTTAGGAGTATTATGCATTGATATAAGGTTCTCAGTGATGCTCCTGTACACCTTGCAAGAAAGTTGAAAATAATGTCACTCACTTTTTGTGTATGTGGTTATAATTTTTTAGATAAAGAACCGGGGCCTCAGATCTGGAGGGACAAACAGGATGTAAAATAAAGTACACAACTGGGATGACATTCCCCCTCAAGCCACCAGGACCCCTAAAACCAACACATTAAGGACCTGTGTAAGTTGATTTCAACATTTTCTGTACCTGACTTTGACGTTCACTTTAAAGTAAAAAAATGAGAACCACAATAATTTTTCCTTGTTTTATTAACTGCAAAATCCACTGTGACATCTTACCCCCATATAGTGGGACAACTTACCCGATGGTGGGGCAACATGTCACATGTTCACACTCTCTATTTGATTGCTTATAACTCTGCACTGACACAAGATATGAAAATGACATGAATGCAAAATATATACCTGAGACTTTAGTCTTTCATCTGGAACACATTTTGTTTATATATGATGTATTGATATTAAGAAATGTATAAGAGTCTAAAAAGTGTGACAACAAGCCCCGGTCTCCCCTACTAAAACAATAAAAAAGTCATAATTGATACCTCAGAAATGAGATACAAACTTTTGCTTTTGAGATTTACGAACAAAAATCTTCACCACCTCATCACTCGAAACACTTGAGGTAAATAGCTTTTGGTCCATTCTATAATCTTACCACTAGATGTCGCTAAACATCTTCATTTTACACACTGCACCTTTAAAGCTTCATCACTCTGCCATACATGAGGGGGGACTCCTTCCTCCAGTTTTGGGGGCTGTGACGACATAAACACACCCTACCTGGCCGGTTTGGGGTTTCCGGTCCCTCAGAAAGACATCATCCCTGTCAATTCTCTGCTGTCCCTTTAGTGACCATCAAACAGACCTTCCTTTGTCCTCTCTTTATGTCTCTTTGTCTCTCTGTTTTGTTTTGTATTTTTCAGTTTATTCATTGGATGTCAGCTCTTATCATATCTGGCCTCTCTTAATGTGCTCCAGTGTTGGTTTTGAATTCTGTATTAGCTATTTCTAATATGGTTTTCACTTGTTTTTTATATTTCTGCACAGTTAGATAAAAACACCCTGACTTTGAACCTTCATATGATGGTGCCATGGCTTGTAAAACTAATGGTTACTTGGTGTCACAACAACAACCTTCAGCTCAACACATCAAAAACCAAGGAACTCATAATAGACTTCTCACGCTCACCCACAGCCAAAACAGCCCTTTTCCACCAACTCAAAGCCATCACAGACTCCTTCAAATTCCTTGGCACACACATCAATAATACACTCAAGTGGAAGCAACATGCAGATGTTATTTACAAAAAAAGCCAATAAAAGTCAGACACATTATCCTCCTTCAGTTCTACACAGCCATAATTGAGAGTATCCTCACAACATCAATAATGGTCTGGAACAGAAACTTGGACAGTCACTCACGAAGAAAACTTCAACACATAAGAAACAGATCATCCAAAATCACTGTCCACACCCTCCCATCCATAGAGTCTCTGTATCAAAGACAAGTCACCCAGTGAGCTCTGAAAATCACCTCAGACCATAAACACCCTGCACACCCATGCCCTCATGCACACTCATGCCCTCTGGGAGGCGGTACAGGTCTTTGACAGCCAACTCAGCCAGATTCAAGAATAGTTTCTTTCCCTAAGCCATACGGACACTAAACCGATATCTGAAGTAAAATGTATCCACATCTATTATCTTGTAGCATGATGTGCTGTAACAGAAAACAAATTCCACCAACCCTGTTGTGTGGCCATTAATAAATCATCATGATTCTGATTCTGGTTTTGTATTGAGCACAAAAAGTTACTATGCATTTTAAGGTGAAGACATAGTTTAAAGACTCTTATTGGCCTTACACAAAACAGGGCAGTTCATTATTTTTGTTCATTTGGTATTATTTTCTGTTTTCAAACTAAATTGTATCAGTTTTTAAGATTATAAACACATTATGTATTCATGTATTTATTCAGTCATTTTGAGTTCTTTAGTAAAAGTAAGCTCAAACTATAAAACACTTAAAAAAGGTCCATTTTGTATTTTTGTGTTACTTGAAAGAGCTTGTGAAAATCTCACTTTTCCACTGTTGACAGTTAAACCATGGTTAACTGGGGATGAGGCTAACTACAGCTGATGATGCACTGAACAAGGTGTTCTTCTTCCCGTTAGTGCACATTTTGGCTTTACTGACATGAGAAAACACAGATGTATTAAGGTGATCTGTTTATTGTGTAATTGTAGATCATGGACACTAGATGGCAGACTTGACCACAGCAGAACAATGAAGCCTGTGTCTCATTGAAAACTCGTGTTGAGTTTCTCAGTCTTTTCTCAGTCAACATTTTAACTCTTATTTTCAGAATTACCTCAGCAGCTTAAGAAACTTAACAATCCTCTGTTTACGATTCTTTGACAGCGTTTTAAGTTTCATGCACATGTTTTAACATTTCACACAAAGCAAAAACACAGATAGTTTTAAAATATGTAATTTACAGTTGTGAAGAGAAAACAAACAAACTATGGAAATATGTAATAAAAACTTCCTTTCCTTGCCACTCGAATCATCCCTCTTCCTTTGTTTCTTGAGCCTAATGATGCAAACACCTGCTGTGCAGTCAGTGGTTGTTATTTGGAGTCTGATGTTAAAAAAAAATATATATTTGGTGCAGTCTTTTGGTATTAAAATAAATCTCTCTGTCTTTTGGCATTACCTCTGGGGAGGAGGAGGAGTGTAAATGTTTGAGTCTATATTCAATATATATTATCAGTAAGAGAGAAAAGGGAGTTTATAGCTCAGGGTCATTCTTACCGGGCCGCAATGTTCTCTCTGCTGCTGCTTGATTGATACATTAATATTGCATTGATCCGTGCCTTTTCTCACTCACTCAGGCTTTTGAGCTAGATAAGGAGGTGGCTTTTTGGTGCAACATCAGATTTTTTATTCTTGCTGAGGTAGGTGGGTTTTTTGTGCTTGCTTCTGTACATTCAGTTAATTCACCTGGAAGTATTTGGTGAGACATTGTTGCACCTAACAAAAATTGAAAGCAGATAATCAATGGTTTTACATTTTCCCTTTATTTTTAAACTCTCTGGTGTGAGACTGAGGACATGAGATGTATGATCAGCTTACTCAAACAAGGAACTACTTATGTGTGTGTGGACTGCAGTAGTTTCTGCACACTAGACAATTTATCTCCAAGAACAAACACCTTCTTTGGTGAGGAAAAGCAGGACTTCGAGAGGCCACAAGAGAAAAAAACAATGAGTCTATCACCTATAAACATCACCAGTGAGGGATGTGGTTTAACCTGAGAATTTTTCCTTCAATTTATTTGGGCTGTTAATGATAGGCTATCAGATTCCTATCTCCCTTTCCTGCTCTCTCCCCTCTCCTGCTCCCTGCTGTAGCCTGGAGGACTGTTCTGGCGAGCATCTGGAGGCAGGCTGTGTGAATAGGCTCCATTCTTGCAGGGTCCTGTGCTCCAGCGAGCGCACCCAGGGCATGGACCACGGTCCACACTGGAGAAGGCTGGGGGGTGGGGAGGGAGAGACGCCTGCAAGATCACATCAGAGTTGTGAATTTCTCCTCAGTGCGTTTTCCGTTGTTTCGTCACTCTTATTTCCTCCATCTCTGCTTCATGTCTTGTCATCTTTTTTGTTTTGCTGCTGATAGTGATGGGAGGCCTGGTGGTGCTGTTGAAGTTTGATGTAGTTCTTTAACAGGATCTTGGATACTGAACAATGCACTGCAGCTTGGGCCTTTTCTACGCAGGAGGGGGGTGGTGTGGAAGCCAGCTTTGATTTAAACAGCTGAGGAAATCTATTTTCAGCAGTTTTGAAGGATGCTTGGAGACAACTGTGGTCATGAACCTCGGCCACTAAGTAATTCTTTGCTACTTTTTCATTGCCTGGTATCATTTCCTTTAGGAAAAAGAGAGTAAAGGAACGCATGTTAGTTTGATTTTTAATTTTATAATATCCACACTTCATCATGATAGATGAGTTTATTGAAACACTCAAGAATTTGAAAATATCCGCCTACCTATAACTGTGTCAGTAGTTCCTATACATTCCTCTTAATGACTGAAGTTATCTTTTCTGTGTGTTTCAGTCAAATCCTCTTTATAATCCAAAGAAGACTACATTTCACAGATAAAACTTGTCTCACTTCACTTTAAAAACCCACACTCTTCCTGCTGCCATTGATTACGTGGCTGTGAATCTGGGACTTGTGTCTGTGTCTGCCCTCGCTGTTTGCTGGTTCAGATGTTGGATCAATGTGTTTGTGTCCGTCTAGAGAAGGCTCTGACTCCAGCCAGGGCTGATCTGCAGAAGGTAATGGGATTGTAAGTGTCTGGTGGAGAGGAGGAGCACTAATGAAATGACAGGCGGGGGCTGTCAGAGCAGAAGCTTTTAGCTGACAGCCGCTCACATCCGAGGATACACAGCATCTATGGTGTAAGTTTGAGTCACACGTGTGGGAATGTGTGCCTCTGATTCTACATGTTTCTGCCCTGACTCCGTCCTCATGCTGACAGCCAGACAAGATCACATGAGTTAGAGTTTGCTAACTGTGTGTTTCTAGCTCTGCCGCAGTGATAGGCCACAACCTCGCGATGACAGTATCACTGCAGAGTGTTAGAGCAGGGAAGGCGTGCCCAGCTCCTGTGTTTCCTTCTCTGCTGATAGTTCTTATCTGGAAAAGCAGAGAAATAGACTAATGCTGCCTCTGCAGCTGTCAAAACAGTCATTCTCTCTCTGTTTACTTGATGCATGTTACTGAGAGATAGAGCTTAGCTAAGCTGCAAGAAAGAGGTTATGGATTGTTGCAGCACAATTTGTACTGGACTCTTGTACCAGTGGGTTGCCATTTGGGCTTTCTAAAAAGCATTTCATCTTGTTGTTTTTTCATACTCCTGTCAAAACGTTGCAAATGCTGCCCTGTTCATTCTGTGAATCACCCTCCTGCTGTCCATCCTTTGAAATCATCATATCACTGCATAAGCCCTATATGTATCCCATTGTGATTTGATTTGGAGAGCAAAAATGGCAGATTAGTCTTAAATCCGCCCAAGTAGATTATCCACTCATCTCTAAAGCTTATGCATCGAAGGTTCCTCATAATTGCCGCTTGCAGTTGAGGGGGCAAGAGCGCCCGGCTTACCCGTGATCGGAAGAACAGAACTGAGCTGCTCCCACAATGCCATCCGTGTCTGCTTATTAAAAGTGTGCTTGACCCCGCTTTTTCCCCCCGTGTATCTCTTCCTATTGTGTTCCGCCTGATTGATGTTGACTGGGGTCACCTAAGCTCATGCAGGGGATCATGGCACAGTGTGCAGGGGGCTAAATGTTTACATGCATTCATCTGACTTTACCCAGGGGTCTGCTGGCCTGATCCAGGGTTGTCTTGTGGACTTGCAGACTTAGCCATATGTCATGCTTTTCCCTACCACTGGACTGAAGGTCAACCCCACCAGGTTACGGAGGCTAGTTAGGAAGAATAACTGCTCTTCATGGGCTGGTCCCTATCTGAGCTCTCAGCTGTGACAACACATATGGCACTTAACATGAGTAGGTTGAAGAACATGCATGACACTAATGTGCCTCTTCTGCTAACATTAACCTGACTGACATGACGCAGAATATGACAGCAAATTATCTGAGGTGTTTGAGTAATGCACTTATTCTGAGGAGTATGTGACAGTGGGGAACAGAGGTGAGCTAATGGAAAATACTTAAGCTTGAAAAAGAGACCTCAAAAAGCTCTAGGAAGAGGAAGTTTGACAACTGAACTGACACAGAGAAGTTGAAAGGAAGGGCTGGGTATGCTAAGAACCTCACAATAGGATACATTTCACCACACATGGGTCACATACCTGTATGGGTTGTTATATTTTGAAGGCATGATGAGGGTTACTCAAAATAAAGCACTGACTCATTGTAAACCATCTTCCCACCATTATCTCTGCATTCAGATTTAATGCATTAATAGCAGTCGCTCCGCCAGCGAGGGGAGGGACCTTAATTCCCTGTCTGCCCTTATTTTCTGTAATCTCTCTCCTGCTGCAACAACAAACATCCCATTGTGCTTCGGTAACATAGTTAAAGTTGTCATCTCACCGAACGTCACATCTGGCTCGTGCCTGCACACCAGCCACAATGCTAAAGAGCTTCTGAGTGCCCCTATGCGCCACAAATACATGTAAAAACAAAAACACTCCGACTGCAAGGACGAGCTTGGTCACCTGTTTGGTCTAAAATCTAAACATGTTTGCCTTTAGTCAGCACCTCAGTAACTCAAATCCTTAGTTTCACCTCATCCAAACAGTGTAAGATTGCTCCAGGGGTACCATAATTGTTAGATTATCAGTCAACTGTAGGGCTACATGATTAATCGATTATAAATCTTAATCTGATTATCTCATTATGATGATGTTAAAAAAACTGAAATTGTCAAATCGATATTTCTCTCACCTCTCATGTGGATGCCTATTTGCGTCTCTCTTAAAACGATTATGTGACACACAGCGTAACTCTTTTATGACGCGTGTATGTGTTCGACCAAAACAACCTTTTTAATCATGCTCTGTACTCTTCTTCTGTCTTTTGTACATTTTCTCGGCAGTGTGACAGCGCTACTTACTGGCTTAGCATATGCACTACATTGTTTTCAGTGGTTTCGTTTTGAGAGATGATAGAAAAACTTTGATCTTTTAAGTGAAATTTGGTGAAGTTGTCACTGAATGAAAAATCAAAATTGAAAACGTAAATTGAGTTCTGAGAAAAAATCTGGATTTTATTTTCAGCTAAAATCGTGCAGCCCTAGTCAACAGGCTACTGAACCACGTACTTTGTTTTTTGAGGTGGCTCTGTATGAAAATCTGTCCACATGAAACCACACAATGTCAGTAATTGTAGTGAAAACATGCGTAAAATTTATACCGTGTGGTTTAACCTGGTGGTGTGAGATATCTGAGTAATGCTTCAGGCCATAGAGCAGGATCATTTGTTCAGTTATGGAAATGAATGAACAGTCGGATCCTCTCCTGTTAATGTGTTCCTCTTTTCATTTGGCACTGACGCAGTAATGACCCCATTCAGAGCAACTTAGCTTTATAGCATATGCATTAGAGTTTAAGTGTGCACTTGCAGCATCACAGGCTTGAGAAAAGTGTTTTTTTTTTCTGTTTCATCCTGAAGTTTGATATAATGTTCAAACCTGGTGCCGTCATTTCCCTTAACACAGCTTGAGACAACTTGCAACACGGTCTGAGATTCATGCGTGCCGTGGTAGGAGCTTCTACCCTCAAACAGAGAGTAGATCAGGTTCTTTTATTCTTCACACATCCATCGAAAGAATAACCTCAGCTCTTTCTCTGAAGCCAGTGTCCAAGCACAGTACCTTAAGAAGTAACTCTGAAAATAAAAATGATCAGGAAGTCATGGCCGAGTATTTACTGGTTTGACTGCTGCGGCTTCACATCTGCATTGTCAAATGTCTCCAAATGCTTTAACAGCCAGGCGTTGATCCACCTCATTCATTACATTCACACAAGTTTCCCACTCTCTGCAGAGATTTTCTCTCCCATGCTCATACACTGGAATGTGAGTGAGTGTGTGTGTGTGTGGTGTGTGTTTTGAAATGAATGTTAACAGGCAGGCGGGGGTGGGGTAGCTGATTGGAGTCAGAGTGAGCGCGAGTGTTCGGTGGACTGTGTGGTGGAGAGTTAGAGAAGAAAAGGCCAGAGAACAGACAGTGGTGGTAAGGCATAGAAATGAAGGATTGTCTACACTTTCTCTCACCCATTAACCAGACAGGGCCATTGTTGCGCTTACTTCCCCACTGGCACACTGTTGCTGTGACTGACAGGCCGACAAGCTGCCTCTGTGGGTCTGCCACATGGTGGGCTGCTGAATGGGGAATGCAAAACGTCACTGCTTTGTAAAAATAGCTTACCTCAACTCTTTCAATTGGGAGAAGCTTTCACCTGCACTTCACTTAACACTGAAGTAATGGCATTTGCTTCAAAAGCCCGAGGCTGAAATAGGGGTGGATGTTTTTTTTTTAAAGCAAATCAGGTTAAAACAAATGCAATTGATTTTATTTTCATTGATTTCTAAGTGGGTGAATGTCAGATATTATGTAGTGGTCTTGCTGTTTTTCCTCTCGCTGTGTAGTATTGGTGTTTTGTTTGCATGCTAACATACACGGCTTGGTAAGTGGAGTCCAGTAAATGACAGCGATGTCTTAAAGGAAAATCTCTTCTCACACTTAGAGTCCGTCTTTGCTCCCACCTCATGAGTCTGTATACACACCCACTGCTTGCAGCCAGGATGGCGGTGGGTAACGCCGGCTGAGAGCGGAGGCGTGTTGTACGACTCTCACAGGCTGAGGCTGTCTCGTGGAATTCCAGAGCCAGAGCAGGAGGCAGAGAGGAGGCTGCTGGGGAAACAATGACCAGGGACATCTGTCATGCGTGGCTGCACTCCCCTTCGCTTACAATGGGTCCGGGGGACCAGCCAGTGGTGGCTTTCTTTTCTCTCCCCTCCTTTCCGGGGACACTTCTGTCCCTTACAATGGGTCTTTTGTCCCTTCCCCGCTTTTTGCCAACGTTTAACCCTTCGAGTCTGCTCCTTTTTCTGCCTTCTCTTTCTGTCTCTGCCCGAAAACAAAACATAGTCAAAACCGCGACTATTCATTCACCTCCCTCTGCTCCCGGTTTTCATTATGACTTTTGGCTCTGTCTCTAGCTGTGTGCTTCAGTTTCTGTGTGATTGTGTTGAGACTTTCTTTTTGTGCAGCAAACATGTTTGTGAGAGACAGGGCAGAGTGAAAACAACTCCAGGACTCCATCTTCTGTTCTGCACATCAGGGATGAGATAATAACCCTGCTAACCCGAACTTTCCTTCTGGTACATCCACAGATCTAATTTCACCACATGTGGGTCCGTTGGCTCCAACACAACATGGCAGTAGCCTCTGGCACCTGAGACATCATCCTGGCTCGGTATCTTCTTTTACCTCAGTGGTGTCCTTTTCCAACCGGCACCATTGTGCTCCAGTCAGGTAGATGTGTTTCCAGGAAGCCAGTCCACTAAGAGGTTGTCTTCTCACACTTACTGCCCACTGAGGCGACACAAATCACTTCCCCTGTGTGATACCTGGCAGTGTGGTGAACCGGCTGTGCTCATGAGTGACAGTTGTTTGGGTCCTGTGAGTTCTACTCAGTACCATTGATTATCAAACCTACGATAATGTTAAAGCCACAGCTCGGCTCCGGCTGCTGCGGTGTAATTATACTCAGATCCTTGGAGCCGTCTCATTCGCAGTGTTTTCAACACTCATCAGCCTGATGTAAATTGCAAATTGATTTTTTCCCCAGCCTCTCATTCTTAAGGACTTAAGGGTTCAAGCTGGTCTACGATTGATTGGTCAGATTGCAATTTATTATTGCTGTCAGTGACAAGACTTTTCAAGGGGAAACTTGGCAGTCTACTGAGTAAAGTGAACTCCTCACCTCTGCTGGGCCAACTTGACAAAGCAAAAAACCAGCAATTTGGCCCATAAACATGTGTGTGTGTCACTGCTTCAGGTATCACCAGCCTTTAAAAGTTTTTAGATTAGATAAGCAGGATTTGATTGAAGAGATTCCACAGCATATATATCACTAATTTAATTCATAGCTCAAGGCACTTGTGATTCCTCTCCCATGCGTCACACTCTCCTTGCAACATAATGGACTGACTGGCAAGCTGAACTGCTGCGTCCTTTCCTGGCAGCTAATTGCTGCCAGCTGCGAAGGGCCGAGGAACAAAGGCCTGTTTGAAAAGGTGATCTGTTGATTGAAGAAAGCATCCACCCTCCTTTTATTAGGATGTGCTTCATGTGAGCCCCGGCATCTGTGTACAGTGCTGCCTCATTCTGGCACACATGTCCCCGGGGCCCATGCAGCGCAATGCAACTCTTGTGTTTTGTGAGCAGAGTACCAGATGAGCTTAAAAAGGGAACGGCCTGGAGAGAGTGTGAGTGAACGCAGGCCAATTCACTGGAAACTGGGAAGTGTACGTGTATATTTTTAAAGTTTTTATAAATGTTTGGGAACTGAGAAGTGGAATACGTTTATGCACTAAAGGCCAAAAGTTTGGAAGCAAGGCCATTACAGGCCGAACAGTTGGGAGTAGCTTCAAGTTTTTGTTCACAATGCTTTTTTTGAAATCCAGCAAGAGTTTTGTGTATTTTGGGATGTATTTACTCCATTATCAGATGTTGCTTTCATGGAAATGCACCATTTTACTCCATTTACCTTTAGATAAACATTGATGTTAACAGACCATTGCTAAATTTATGTCAGCAAAAGATAATAAGGGATTAGTTTTAGGGTTGAAAACATTTCCAAGAGTCACAACTTAAGTGTAAAAGCAAAAGAACAAATCACAGTTGGATTATTCACTTCAATTTTTGGCTTTTGAGAGTCTGCATACAAAAATCCTGGATTGGAACCTGATGAACGTGCTAGTAACACAAATCAACAAAAACTTTCTTACCATGATATTTATGATCAAATGTACGTAATATTGACAATCCAGAAATATCAATACTGAACTTTATTATTTTCCCCTTTGTTTCCCTTGCTATTAACTCTCTTGCTGACCATGAACTGCTTGTATGCTCGGGTGCACCATCCCTGGCTGCACATTCCCTGACAAGGATGACAGTTTATCATTCTCTTGTTTTCCAGCTGCAGTGGTTTGGAGGATCATGGGTCGAAGTCGTGCTAAAGCAGTGCTGCTCCTGCATATGCTCTTCCACTTCCTTTTCCCAGAAAGGGCTCAGCCAAATGACACCTGAAGCCGTACCCTGCTTTCCTACACCTCAGCCTCTGCTTCTCCATGGCATCACATGTTACATGAGGAGATCAGGTAATGATCAAAGTTGTAAGCAATAGAGGTCATTTTAAATCATCTCTCAAGGATCTTTTGAAACGAATGACACTCAGATGCTTGATTTTCCTCGTCTTTTGGTTTTGGAGGAGATGGCTAAAAAAGCATGTAGTGATAGATGAGATGACACTTTCTCTATGAGGTTTGATTTGATTGGCAGATGTTAGTTAAACTTAAGCTGTCAGACCCACACAGTTCTGGTGAACAAAGGTGTTTCTGATCAAGGTTTTCTGATAGTTATGGACATTTATCTCTGCTCAGATCTTTGTTGAGACTTGATGACTTATTCTAATATTTCAAATGTCCCCAGAGGCTTTAAGTCTCTTTATCTGAGTTCTTCATCTCTTCACATCTGCGCATACCTTTGAAACAAGCTCTAAGAGTTGTGGAGGGGTTTTAGGAAGCAAACGTTTCGTGTAAGTGACTGAGTAAGAGCATGTGTTGATATTAAATCATATCTTGTTGGAGATAACCTTCCTGTCTTTTTCCTGTCAGCATGAATATTTAAGCAAACCTGTCAAAGGTGCTCCCTTCTTCCTGGTGCTCTCCTTCAATAGGAAGAAATGAGAAAAATAGGAAACAAGGGTGAGGAGAGAAATCTGAAGGCACTGGATTGGTATCTGTCAGCAGGGGCTGTGACTGTAGCTGGGACCACTCACATGCAGACAGGTCCTCTGCGTGTGTGTGTGTGTGTGTGTGCGTGCGCGTGCGTGCGTGTGTGTGTGTGCGTGTGTGTGTCTGTGTCTAACACCTCTCAGGGCTGTCTGTCTGATCGAACGGCCCTCCAGGCGTCCTGTTATGACAGCTCTCTGTCCGCCTTGAGAGACCTCATCTGGGGTGTGTTCTGACAGGGCGGCCGCTTGGAATAGCTCTGATGAGAGGCGAGCGCAGACCTCCATCTCTCTGCTGCTGCTCCCTGTCACTCTCGCTTTCTGTCTTTGTGTTTCTCTGTGTGTCTGCTTGTCTGCATTTGCTTTCTCTCTTTGTAAGCATCTGGAAACACTGCTGTGGACTTTGAAACGACGCTGAAGCGCTCATCAAAACAGCATTTTTCTTCTCTGCAGCTTAAATGAAACAGTTTTTAATATCTAAGTACATATCTAAAAATTGCAAAAAGCTTAAAAATGTTAATTTAAAGATGAGATTATGCCTCAAGCACTGTACAGCAAAAAAGCCCTGCAGTATTTCTCTCATTAATCAGTTTTTTTCAGTGGAGCCTCCAAAGCTTTAGTCCTCACCCCTCGATCATAAATCACTGTATGGCACTACAGAATAATTAAGTTATTCAGTTTAAAAGCCAAGAAAATCCACTTCAGCTTGTTTTACCAGTTAAGTATCATGCATTACAGCAGAACAACCTTAAACAGACCAGTTTACTAAAATAATGTTTGTTATAAAAGCTGTTTATCACATGGGAAGTTGTGAACAGTTGTGACACTCAGGATACACCTTTCAGCTGTAACCTTCTTAGCTTCTTAAAACCGAACCTCTGAGGCTTTAGCAAAAACTTCAGTGTGATGTTTAATCTGCATGTTTTCACATCTTCCTGATTAAACTTTTTAAAGCTCTGTAAACACTGAGTAAGATACAAGTGTTTATTTTCACACAGTTTTATTTCCTGTCTCTCTCACCTGTTGCCTGAGGGGAAAAAAACAGTAGCTCTGAAAACTCAGAAACACGTGTAATTTTATAATTTGTTGGCTAAAAGATTGGACTTTAAAACACCAAGTAATATAAACAATGTAGGTGAGATAATTGTCAACATCCTGAACAAATAAAACATTTAAGGGTAGACGAAACACTGAGTCTCCATTAAAAAAATGCAAATGCTCAACCTAAGTCTGTCAAATTATCAAGTCAACATGTCAAACTGTCAAAACTATTGATTAGAGTAGAAAGGTTAAAAAAAAGACTTTAAATCAGAGGGTCAAGTTTGTTTGTGATAGCTTTTGAAGTGTCAGTGTTGTGTGTAAACGCCGTAAAACACCCTCTTTTACTGAATGCTCTTGTATTTTGGTCAGTGTTGAACAGAACGGCTCACCGTGTCACTCATAAATGGGAACATGAGCGTAGTTTGCGTTTCAGACAGTCGAGGATGATCCAGGAGGTATTTAAGGTTGCTGAGGATTGACTAGCACCATGTCTTACAGCAGCAAGAGTTGGATTGGTTTGTGCTGATAATAGTGTTAGTGCTGCTGAAACCCACTCTTGTGAAAATATGAGAATAGTCTTTTTTTTTCTCTTTTTTTGTTAGCAATGGTGCCGTAATATTGTGGTTGTTTCATAACAAGCTCAAACCGTCTCACAGTCGCTCGAGTGAAATGTTTTTTTCACTCCATTTGTGAGGAGCCACATCTTCAGTTGCTCTTATACAACACTATAACTGCCAAGCAAAGAAAATAGTAAAGAAAATGTAATGAGATCCGAACATAGAGTCATACCTCTGGAGGACTTATTGTGATTGACATTGTGAGGATGAGATAAGGAGATCAGGGCAGTAAAAATGTCCTTGACAGAGCTCTAGCCTGGTCATAGTTAACAGATCATCCAGCACCATCTGTGACAACCCCAGAAGCAATTATCCCCTATCACATCCTCACTGACCATCTATATTAAAACCTGCTCACAACACCTGAGATTAACCCACATGTGTACCTCTCCAGCCATAATCTTGCCTGTCCACCATCCCTCCTTCTTCTCTTATGCGGCTGAGCCAATAGTGTGGGGGCTGGTTCAGGGTCAGCCCTCACCTTGTTCTGGGTATTCAGCCATGCTTCTTCTGCCACTGGCCCGCTCTACAATCATAGCTATAGCTGCCATAAAATGTCCTATTGCTGAAAATGACAATAAGCCAAGCTATTACAAGCAGCGGTTGAGAGAGAAGGGGGTCGGCTGTAAAAAGCAGAATCAGGGGCTTGTCCCTCAAATGGCACCTGAAGGTCAGTGGCTGACCACTGTGATCCAGCTGTGCTTTCTAACCCTCTAAAAACAAGACTGATTGTCTCTGCTCTGTTTTTCCCTCTTTGTCTAATTAGTCCCATTCTTTTCTTGACAAGTGATGTCAAACATTCCTGTAAAGGTATAATGCACCATTTTACTCTAATGTCCTTGCACCTTTGGAGGATTTTCCTTTTGAGCTTTTTATATGACCCTGCTGTCAAGATGATTTATACAATTAAAGGTAAAGAGGTAACTGGTAAATAACTAACCTGAGTCCTCTGTGTGCCTGCTCTTTATCCAGCCCTGGTTTACCATTCACAGTGGAGTTTTTGAACCTTGTTCAAGCACTCTCAGGTTCTGGACTGAGTTATCCTAGTCTTGATCAGATTCAGACAGAGCACCCACTGAGGCCCCAACTACACGAATGCGGATATATTTGAAACCGCACATATTTATGTCCGATTAGGCCTCCCTACCACACCAAAACGGGAGTTTAGAGCACTCAAACCGGATAAATCTGAATCCGAAAAAACAAGTGGAGAAATAAAAAAATATCCGTATAAGTGGATTCGTGTGGTTGAACTTTTACAGATCGATGACGTCAAACCGCAGCTCGCGCATGCAATATTAAAAAGAAAAACAACAACAACAATGGCGGACATACAGGGTATTCTTTACGTTTGTTTTGCCCTTTTGGGGCTAATTTCAGCCTTGCAAGTGAACCTTGTTTTATACAATTACACCCACCAGTCAGCCAGCTCACAGAGGCGTCTGCTTTGTTATAGCCGCCACACCGTCACATGGACCCGACGCACTAACGTAGCTTCCGCAAACAATTTATGACGCGTCACGCTGTTACGATTCATCAGCCAATCAGGTAGCTTTGTTCCTGAATTTTCTTTTAAGCGGCACCAGATAGGATTGAGTTTGAAGGCTACGTGTGGACGCAGATATTTTTGAGAACTAACACGTGTGGACAGATACATTTATTTAGACCGGAGTACAAAAATATCCTGATAAATAAATATCTATATACGTGTAGTCCGGGCCTTAGTCACCTTTTCAAAATTCTTTCAGATAATGCTGATGTGTGTGTCCATTTATAGATAATCATAGGGCTGGGAGATAAAACGAAAATTTATTGATACTGAAATTTATTACAATAACTGATATCATTTTGCACATATCAGTGTATTTGGTGTAAAAAAAAAAAATAAAAGTTGGTTTTGGATGTGTGTAGGTAGGCTATGGTCTCATGTCGCTTTAAGACGCTGTCCTATGTTGGAGATGTGACTCCACCCCATCCAGTTCATAGCAAAGAGGGAAAGACAGGTGAGGAGATGGAGGACGGTTCAAAAGTTGTAGCGAGCAGGGGCTGAAGTAGACAAAGTTAATGTGGGAGGGGGTGAGCAGCTTGTGGAGTAGTTATTGTCCATTTATTGTTGTCGAGGTGAACTGCTCAATATATCGTGATATTGATTTGAGGCCATATCGCCCAGCCCTAGAGAATTATCTATTATTTTGGTTCTCAGACTATTCATTCTTAAAATGGTGAATCAGTCTTGAGAAGATGCTTGCAGGGTAAACTAGCTGTCCAGGATTTAAAATCTTTAGTGGATTAGTGGTTGAAAATCTAAACATATCAGATTGGACCACAAAGCAGTTCTCTATCAATGTCACATTACTTCCTTTTTTGAATTTCCAAATACCAAACCAGCGTTTTCTCTCTTCTCCGGTGCAGAAAAATACATCCTGTCAACTGCACATAACAGTGTGACATGTCCACTCTGAGCGTGCTGTGCTCCCACTCCAGAAAGTGAACAGACCTTCAAAGTACAGAGGGACGTATGGATGGCTTGCACACGTGTGATGATGTCAAAGTGAAAGGTGGTGAAAAAGCGGTGACAAAGAGCAGAGTTGCTGTGGCTCAAAGAGACTTAAAGGTGAATAGGAAGATGGAAT